TATAATAAAAATCAATTAAATCCGTCTAAATAAAAAACAATAAAAAACAAACAAAATTGATCATACAGGAGCAAATTACAAACTCAAACTTCGGCAAGAAAAAAATTTGGAAAATCAAATTTGTTAATAGTCAAACGACTTTTCCGTGAGAACATCTTTGCATCGGTTTTAACTAAATGTTAAATTTAATGTTTTTTTTTTTTTTTTTGGTCTTTCTGCTTATCCTGATGCGCCTGGTCTCGCCAGATATGTCTGTCAGGCGTTTCACCCCCCTGCAGACGTTCGCAATGTTTGACAATCTTCAATCTTTGATCAAGATGATTTAAGATCAAGTAAATTTGATAAATCCTTTTACAAAGGAAAATTTATTAAGAATTTACCTAAACAATTTATTTCTGCCCCTTAGACTTAGTCATTGGTTATGTTTTAATGGGCTACGAGGTCTCTGTAAGACCATAAAATTATTGTATTATTAACATCCTGAAATAAGTTGAAACAAAAAAATATTTGTTTATTTTGATACAAATAACAAAATTTAAGGTCACTAACGTAATTTAAATTAAAATTTCATGTTATATTGGATACGCAGATAATCTGACAATATTTTCCTTGTCGGAGAAAACGACCTGAGTTAAAGATAGTTTATTATATGTAGTCTATTTATAGATAGACTAATTACAGATTAAAAGATATCTAAATTTTCGTGACACATTTAATGGCGGACCTATAAAGTGTAATTACAAAGGCGATACATGCCAAATTGCAAACTCTATACCTTGTTTCTGCTTAATACAAAGCAATAGATATTCAAATACCGTTTTTATTTTCAAATACTTTTTCAAATACTGTTAAATTAATTGAATTATGTAAAAAAAAATCTGATCTTGGACCCAACCCTCGGGGAGAGTTGAAAATAAAAATAGAAGGAGAAAGTGGATTCAGATTTTTTGCAGTGACTCATCCTCTTTGACGGAGTGTCCTGGGAGTTTCCCCTGGGATGTTAGGTGATTTTAATTAAGGCCAAAGATAAAGGTTCCATTTTTCAAGTTGAAATTATTTTTGATTTGGATCTTATACGATTACACTTGAAAATATTACATATTTCATTTTTTTTATCATGAAAATTTATCTTTTTTTTCTTAAGTAAAGTAAAACAATTCATACAGTGCGGCTTTAAACCCGATGATCATTTGAAAGTATGTCGGGTTGGAATGCCGCTGGATTCGAACCCGGGACCTTCACCTTACAGTGATGAGCTCCGTGTCAACGCCTACACTGTTGCGGCCACCGACACCCCCTCTTAACTTCGTTATTATTATTAGTATTATTATTATAATTTCTACTATTTTTGCTATATTACGGAATCTAATCTACAAGTACATACACATACATACACTTCTCTTTTTTTAAATGTGAAACTCGTTGCAAAACCTAATAATATTAGAAAAAAATGAGAACCTACTTTTAAGTCTAAGAATTCATCGCCATTCCCGAATAATCATCGACTAACGGTCACTAATCACCACACATTGTAAATTATTTTCAATTAATTAATCTTAAGGTTTTGGTTGAGATAAAAAGTCAGTGTCATGAGCGGGATTCGAACCCACGACCTTCGGCTAAATACCCCGCTGCACTACCACTTGAGCTATCGTGACTTCGATCCACTCGGACACCAACTTCCCATCTCTACCCCACCTTTTGAATTTTCCCTCCTTTTTGTCATTTATCTCAACCAAAACCTTAATTAAATATTAATTAATTGAAACGAATTTATTTGGTCAATCGGTACACGAAACCTAATAGATTGTAAATTATGTGTAACCTTGCAGATTATTGATAATACTTAACTGCAGTCTTTATGAACGTTTGTTTGGATTTATCTAAAACTGATCGACGAAGGGACTGAGTGCTTTCTTTCAAACAATTCTTATTTATTATAGCATTATTCTTGCTTTTAATATAAAATTGTAATATTGAAGGTTGATATTAATTATATCGATTAAATGGTAGACGTTATAAAGTATTTCTACTCACTCAAAGTGTTGGTTTTCTGCATATGAGTCAGTAGTTATGAGTCATATATGAGTTAAATACGTTGATTTAATATAAAAAATATTTTTTGCATTGTATAAATTCACTTTTTTCCACATCCTGCATGTATTTTTTAAATTTAAACAATGTTTGTAAATCCCAGGACCTGAAGATGATCTCAATAAAGATTGAAACGTTGGCACGACAAAGAAAATGTTTTTCTGAAACCTACATCACACCAGATCGCATCTCACGATTCCCGAATAATAATTTACAATATTGAAACTTATGTTTTCAAGAATAAAAATTTTTAGACTTTTCTGAAGGTCCGAAATACAGGTTCACCACTTCACTGAACCGAATAGGAAATCGCAAAATAACTTGAAAATTCTAAGAGTTTCTCCGCTAAAGAACACATGTGCCAAGTTCAACCCAAAACGTTCCATAATTTTGCGATAAGAAATAAAGTCTAGCAACTAAATCTACCATAACATCCTGAAGAAACAGTCGATGCACAAAAATAAAAGTGTTTCCTAATAAATTAAAAAAATAAATGCGGATTGAGTGGTGGCCTAGTGAAGATGTGTAACTTCTATTTCATTCTCTAAATTTAACCCTGCGCAAATAGCCATAATAATAATCGTGTCAAACTCATAGTAAACAATGTGTGGTGATTAGTGGGCACTCTCGACACGACATGCAAGAATGGCACAATTACACAGAAGACAAACACTTTGAGCCCTGAAGATGATCTCAATAAAGATCGAAACGTTGGCACGATAAAGAAAATGTTTTTCAAAAACCTACATCTCACGATTTCTAAATAAATAGTAAACAATAATGAAGAATGTTTTCCACATATGAATAAATATTTGTAAAAGTAAACAAATTTGGAAGAAAGTGATTTAAAACATAAATCTAAATGCTCTACTTGGTTTATAATGCAGCAATATGATCAATTGTTTGCTTAGGCAGTTTTAATTCACCTTACTTTTTGGTTGTGGGTAACTTATAACTTGATCTTGCTAAAACTTTTGTTTCTTGTCGGTTTTTGTTAGGGTCGGGTGTTAAGCGGATTTCTTTGCGTTCTAGCCTTTTTGGCCATGGATTCATTGAACACCAAGCTCATTTAATAGCAATTGCATTTTATGATTTCCCATGTAAGAAGCGTGTCAGTTTAAGGACAGCGAACGCCCATGGACCCAGCGTCCCACTTCTCGTGTTTATCGACGTGGATGTCCTTAGCAAGAATGCAAGGGGCCCGAACACCGTTAGACCCGTTAAGCCGACGTTGCCATACGAGACGTCACAGCGTTGCCTTTAAACTAGCTAGACTTAAAGCTCCATTAATGGGGCTTGGTTTAATTAGAATGGTAATAGGTGAAAGGTGGGTGATCGATTGCAAATCGGGTCCGGCGATGAGCCTTTGTCTCGTTAATTGTCTAAAACTTGACCCTTTTTTTCCGACTTTCCCTTTCGACTCTTGCGTCAGTTGTGGGTCGGAAAGTTATATTAGAACAGTACACAAACCGACTTGTAGAAATTCTCCGAAAACTTTGGATTTTACAAGTTTAATACTCAACAAGCGAAGTGTTTTGTCCGATTGTAAAACTGTAGAAACAGTCACTGGTCGTTTTTTGTAGTGTGGTCGTATTGAACAACCCAATCATTGAAGATGGGCAGTCAAATAGGATCCGAGGCGGCCAAACTACAGGTTCGTCACCTCAAAGACCTCAACAAAAACAAATCTTACTGTTTGGTCGAGGAGTCTTGAAAAACTAACGAAAATTATATATGCGTTCTTCTGAGGACATTCGTGGTCAGAAATATTTTCAGGTTCGCGCCGTATCAATCACATAAAAAATAACTATTTTGGCTTGTTCATTTCAGTGCTATTTCAGTGGAACAAATTTAAAGGAACTAACGAAATAAATTATTTTTATGAAACGTTCTTTCATTCTCAATTAAAAACTTTTGGCAAAACTATTGCGACCCCATGGCTTTACACTCAGTTTTCTTCAGCAGGATGAGGCACCGAAACAAACCCAACAAAATATTTTTTGATTCAGAAATAAAATTATTTTGCAAAAGTACTACGATTCCACAGCTTTAAACCCATTTTTCTTCAGGGTTATAAGCAGGGTGAGGCATCGAAACAAACCCAACCAAAGGGTCTTTGATTCTCAATTGAAAATATTTGACACAAGTAATACGATTCCAGTTTTCTTCGGCGGAGTTTTAGCATAAATTCATAATAAATTAAGAGAAGAGTTGAATTCTTTTTGAGACCTTGTAATTTGATCGTTTCCGATCATTTCGCCTGTTCATGCTCTCAGGGTTATAAGCAGGGTGAGGCAGCGAACCAAACCCACCAATGGATCGAAAATTATGTATGGCATTAATTTTTCCGTAGCAAAGCCTCTTTAGAAATTACAATAATAAGTTAGCTCTTGTAATCCTAAGATCACGAACTGGCTAGCATTTGCGACGTATTCCATTGATCAGAAACACAAAACCAAATTGATTTAAATATTTACGTTATTTTCCATGGGTCAAGTTGACAATCTCTCTTTCCAGTATATTGGACGGTTTTGCCTGGATTAGTTAGATCCGTTGGATTAAAGACATTTCTATTTATTTCAAAATTTCACTTTATTTGCTGATTTTGAAACTTTTAAATACACCTTACGATTTGAATAGTGATTGCGAAATTTCTTCTTGACCTGTTAGTTGGTCCAGATCATCATGGCTTCAAATCAGTCTGTCTCTGAAGCAACAAATGAAGCAACCACTGCAGATGGCGAAATGCCGACCAAAGTGCAGGTCAATGATCAAATCAACGGGATGATCGGCAATGACCAAACTATCAATAGTAGCCTATTCTAATTCCAATAGACCTTGTATAAACTAGATGAATATAATTTGATTTGATTTTTTTATTGACTAATTAGCATCTTTTGTTTCAGTTTTCCCTACTTCAAAACACAAAGAGGATGCTGTCCATGTTACTGCCGGTGCAGGCCCGCAGATACTTCCAACGAAAACCGGTGATTTACAACTGAATTCAGACGCAACGATAAAACAGTCTATAGAATCGACAAGTGCCCAAAGACGCAGTTCCAACGGAGAATCGACTTTTGACACCCGAAGGAGCAGAGACAGGACCGTCAACGAAGGCTACCGTCCTGATATCCAACAGCATTTCAACTTCAACAATGATTTGTCAAGAAACTATTACGAACTCGTACCGACAAAAAGCTATTCTGTCGTTTCGAGCAAAATCCCAACTACGACTGGTTCGGGGGAAGGGAATGGGGCTCCCCGAGGTCGAGAGATTCCTCAGGCGGAGCCCTCGAATACTGCCACATCGGCGGCGACTGTCCCGAGAGGAGACAACCGAAAGACTAACCCTGATCTTAGGGAATTCATAAACGATTTCGTCAAATACCTCAATGGAAACGGTCAGCCAGGAAGGCCGGCCATGATAAGGAACAGGATCAACAACAGGGGTCCACCGAGGATATCAGATCTTCCTCCTTTGCTGCTCGACCCGGCTCCTCCGCCTTCGCTCGTGCCACCCCCTTCTCTCGTTCCTCCGCCTCCACCTACGACCCACGACCCTCCGCCTTATCCTTTCGAAAAACCGTTGGACAAACACGTCGTCAAACCTTTTGTGTCCGGCGTCCCCCTGCCAGAACAGTTGGTGCCGACCAATCCACCGAAGCCTAACAACGTCCCGCCCAGTCTTCGGCCACCACTCCGCCCGACGAAACCAAAGCCCGAATATGAAAAAAAGAACGAAAACAAGACAAAAGATAGTACCAAAATATTTATGGAGCCCACGGCTATAACTCCCATAACGCAAGCAGTTATAACATCGTCTGATGTGAAAATTTCACCGTCTACATCCCAGATACCAAAGATCAACGCGACCAAAGTGATCGGAGTCGATGTTTCCTCGACCGTTAACATCGTCACTACTGCGACTCCTACTTTACAACCGAATATTTCCACCGGTTCTTCCACGACAATTGAAATGTCCACGACCGAAGCTACAACAACAAAAAGGACGACGACCACTACCACTACGACTGAAGACGCACCGACCACCGTCTCGACCACATCCAAACTGAATGATAAAAATGTGGTGACACCCAAAATTGAGTTCGTTTCGACTACACGACCGGCCGATCTCGGCCAAAAAGTTGTCACAGACTTCCCTTCGACTTCAGTCTCTTCGCCTCTGATCGAATCGTCCATCGTCGAAGCAGTTACTCATAAAGACGTCCATAAGCAGACAAAATGGGACCAGACGTCAATCGCAACTAAACCGTTTAAAGGTAATTTTCGCCCATCATAATTTTAAATCCTTTCAAAATAATGATTATTATCTTTCTATATTAAAAACAAACCCCTAAGTTAAAGATCTTAACAAATCTATTAATGTTTTTCAAGCATAACTAAATTATTAAAAAGTAAATAGACAAAGTTCGAAAGTATTTATTCCTAGTACAAAAACTTTTTAAGCTACATTTCGTTTTAAAAAACGATGAGGGTGACAAAACAAGAATGACTAATGTGTATCCTGTAGAAAGTGGAACAATTAGCCTGCAGAAAGTGATAGGGTGAATCATTATTATGTATTTGTGCTCATGACAAGGGCTTTATCAGACTAGTGTTGTTATATTTATGTAGGCAGATTTATAATAAAAGTCACTTTCATGCAATTAATTGCTGATTGTAGTTTTTTTTTAAACTTGAATATTTTGAAATGGTGGGTGTACTTTTTATAAATACATACACGAATTATTATTTCATTGGACATATTCCAGAATTTACAAATTATTTTCCATTTTCCAGCATATATAATTTTACATTAAATTAGGGATAGAACCAATTTGAAAGAAAGTACTCAATTCCTTAGTCAAGCTTTCAAGGAATGCATCCTCTTCATCAGGGCTTTAAAGCAATTATTAATATAGGTTAACAAATCTAAACATAAATTTACAATAATGAAAGTTAAACATAAAGAAAATTCAGTAAAGATTTTTTTAAAAATAATTTACTATATAAAGAAGTGAAGGTTTTAATCAGACTATACTTTTTTGAATTTAAAATACAATGAACTGCATTACAAGAAAGATATCAGAAACAAGTTTGAGTCAGGACCTGTTCCAACAATATAAAAAGGAAGCAATAAAATGTGTGCACAATTTTAGGAAGCAAAAAGGGGTGCAAAATCATAAGGAAGGTCAGACTCAGAAAGCTTGTCACCCATGCAATTGACAAGAAAACCATAAATTCTGTGCACCATGGGATCCAGACAATTGGCTGATGATGTCATGCTAAAAAGCTTATTGTTCTGTACCTAGTTTCTTAGTTCAGTTCAATTGACTTGATCCTTCTCTTAAAAAGTAGTAAGTCACAGACTTTTTCCCACGTCTTCTTTATACCGTAGGTTATGTCTCCATTGATCACTAGCAAGTTCTTCCTGCTCATTGCATAACTTACAAATGGGGTCAGCATTGATAATACCCATGTAGAGGTTTTTTCAAATGCCAGTGACCGGTATATAGCATTATCACTCTCCTTTTACCCTGTCTAATGTGCAATGTGTTTGCACATTGTTGTCTCTTTTAGTGAGAGTTCGTCCATTTTTACTTTTGTTTGGAATGGAGGAGTCTGTATTTGATTTTGTTATCCTAGCAATAGGTTCTGATCCTATGCAGAACTCTAGCCAGTTTGTCTGCTTGTTTATTACCCAAACCTCCTTTTTGTCCTGGCACCCAAGTTTCCAAGGTTTTGGAGATTTTGGATGCATTCACAGACTATAATGAATGTGATGTTTTTACATGCTTAAGTTTTTAGGGTTACTTAGCTGTCTGATCTTATGAGGATTTTTTTTTTTTTTTTGTCAGTCTATCCATTTTTAACATTTAACAAGCATTGATAGCATGTTTTTCAAATTTAAATAGCAAGGTGTACTTCTTTAATGAGTTTGAGTGCTCATATTTTGGGATTGCATAAAATATATCAGGTTCCTTCCTGGTTTTGTGCCATCTGTATACTATAAATTGTATTTGATTTTCTCCTGATTTCTTCTTCTCGTTTATAGTCAGTTAAAATTTTATAAGATTCAAAGGATCTTCTTGGTATCATAATTAGTCCCATTTTTAGGAATGGGTGTTGATTTTATTTATTATTGTTTTATATCTGAAATGTTTAGTCCACATACAATTTACTTGTTTTTGTTGACTTTACCAGCTTCACTTTGTATATTTCTAACAGAGGTAGGTTAGTAGTTAAGGCAGCTTATGGGGTTGTTTTTCATTGCCCCTGTAGTATTCCTTCCAGGAGTGTGGAAGCAAAGTGCGAGTCCAAGATATTTTGAATTTTGGCACTAACCAGAACTCAAGAGATCTTCTTATAAATTGTTATTATTTTGATATTATTACATACATATGTATAGGTAAAATTTGAATCCTGGAGGCAGGAAAGATTATAAATGATGGGGTGAGTGTGGAGTTCAATCCTTTTTAAAAAACATGGTTCCTACTCACATTAATTGAACTCCACACTCGCCCCATCATTTATAATTTCTATTAATTTGCTAGTCAAAGCAGTAATGGATTATAACACAATCAACAACATTTTTAAAAAACTTAATGTGAGTAGGAACCATCTTTTTTAAAAAGGATTGAACTCCACACTCACTCCATCATTTATAATTTCTATTAATTTGCTAGTCAAAACAGTAATGGATTATAACACATTCAACAACATTTTTAAAAAACTTAATGTGAGTAGGAACCATCTTTTTTAAAAAGAGAAGCTTTCTATCTTTCTGGTGGTCAGGTGCAATGGGGGAGTGGTCATACTGAGTAGTCTCCTAGTGTCCTCCACCCTTGCTTTTGGTCCTACATCCCTTTCTCTCTGTAGATTGTTTTGTTGAGCTTCACTTGTTCACCAGATTAATGAGCCATGAGTCTTAAGTCTTATTAACGTCATGTATAGCCAATATGACATTTATCCATTTTCATTTTTTCCAGATTATTTAAACCTATTTTTACCTATTTTTTGTCACCTTTTACCTCTAATGTCACAGCCTGATCTGCTTATTCTCCCTGTACATGCATGCCTGGCTACTTTCATCTTTCTCTCTTTAAAAACAATTATTTTAAAATATATCCTTTAATGCTTAAGTGGAAAACATTTGGTTTAATCATTGCTGACAGTTGAAACTTGATCATTTGAATTGCCTGATAACCGAAAAAAATCTGGGTATTTTGATACACTCATAATATCCCTTGCAGCCGAAAGTTTTTTAGAATTTTTTCTAGTTTGTTATATATGGTGTTCAGTGTTTTGTCAGTGTTTTCAGCACTGGTTGCTTTGGAAAATCATTTAGACAAAGTACGCCTGACCACATTAAAATAAAACCACTTCATAAATATTTTAATAGTGCATAACAATATTCACTTCTAGTTGATCTATTTCTACTTTTCCATTATTTTTATGATCTTTTATTAGTAAGAACCTTTAAAAATGCATATCAACTCTTAACATATTTTTTCCTCTTGATAATTTGAATTATTTTGTGGTCCCTTGGGTTTCAAATTGTCAAGAGTCGATTGTATTATTTTAAGAAAATTCAATGGTAAAGTGAAAGCAAATCTTTTCACAATTCAATGTTAAAATTTTTGATCTTTATCTCATTATTAGTGGGTTAATTTTTCAAATAAATTTAATTAATCAGCAATATGCTGATCAAATTTGAGCTAACACAAAATCCCGAAAACATTTCTCATGATCATATAATTCTATGTAGCTAGTGTCAATAAGTTTTTATTAAATAAACAATTAATGTAGCTTATTTATTTATTTAATTCAGAGACAAGTCATAGTGGATACTTACCCAGACCCGGCATTGTTCTTGACGATCCTGAATACAAACCAGGGTTAAAGCAAAGGCCAATTGTAACTGCCCCTGTTAAAGGGGAAATATTTGATGTAACTGTATCTGCCATTCATGGTCCTGCTTCTAGTACCGGTCAACCAGTAATTTACCCAGGTAATTGACTATATCTAACTGTACATACATATTTTCCTAGATTACATATTTAATATTATTAGGAATAGTTTTATTTATTTTTTTATTTATTTAAATATTAGTTGAATTGGAAGGAGTTAGTATACCCGGAGCAGGGAATGCAGAAATATCTGTTATAACAACTGCAGAAGAAGGACAACATTTTGTGTCAATTGATGGAAAGAGAACGTACATTAGTCTTTTCGGTGGTAGCGAGACAGCTGGTGTAAAACCGACAAGAGCTCAGACTATCAAATCCACTGCAGGGTAATTAATATCGACAATTTTTTCAAAATTTTAATTAATTTTTTAAGATTTTAACTTCAATTACATATAATAATTGTGGAACATTTCAAATTTTAAAAAAATATGTGAAAATATAATCACTAATGTAGTCAATGTGATAGGGTGTATGGGGGTGTGCCACAGCAATCTAATAATAGGCAAAAACGACCTCCTCATAAGCGACCTCAGCAGCCTCCAGTAAGGATTGACACGTGCATTGTCGGTGACTGGAGCACTTGTGACACTGACCAGCATGAAATATGTAGAACCGAACAAGGCGTTTCTTCCTGCCACTGTGCTCCCGCTTACAGCAGGCATAGCCACCGACAGCCGTGTAAACGGGTCGTTTCCGTAGTGGCTGCGATCCAGGTTGAAAAAATATACGAACATAAATTAACTTGGAATGACAAATTGAGAGATGTAGAATCCCAGGAGTATCTACAATTGGAGTACGAGGCCGTTCGAGCTGTAAGTTATATTTGTTTGTAAATTTACGTAGTTCTAATTTATGTGTTTTTTTAAGCTTGAATCGGCAATGTCGATGACACCGTTTTCTGATGCATACATGGGTGCTAAGTTGAACAACATTTTCACAATTCCTGGGTCGACACTCAAGCCTGTTTTCATCAACATGACACTGCAGATTGAGGAGAACGCAGAAACAATACGGCCACAGATCAAAATGGAGATTCAGAAACAACTCCTTGGAGCTATCCACAGAAGGAGCAACAATATTGGAACGAGTCCTCTTTGGGCGACACCAGTCAATAGCGTATCACATCTTCACGGTAACAATCTTTAAATAAAATGTAATAATGAGTATTACAGTGTTGAATGTTTAGATTTGGACGAATGCCGATCACCAGAACTCAACGATTGCCACATTGCTGCAAGTTGCAAGAATACATTCGGTTCTTTTGAGTGTACATGCCCTCAAGGATACAAAGATGACTTTTCTTTAAATCCACACAAATCTGGAAGGAGGTGTGAAACTTGTACCTCCGACTATTGTAATCATAGAGGAACCTGCAGCTACAATAATGGCCAGCCTGTCTGCCAGTATGAAATTTTATTAAAATTCTTTTATTTTACGCATGTTTATAGAATTCTAAGAATTTTTTTTCTTCAAAGGTGTGCTGGTAACTACTATGGATCACAGTGTGAAGTAGATGGTGAAGTTTTGGGAGTTGCCATAGGTGCCTCAGTCGCAGCCATTATTATAATACTATCAACGTTGGTATGCTTGTGTATGTGGAGGTTAGCTGAGTTCCTTTTTTTTTAAATTACAAAAGCAATTCAGTTTTAATTAGTAAATAAAGTTTCAAAGGTTATAGTTTTGTGTAATGGATAAAATATGCATTGTCCCTTTTTTTTAAATTTTTATAAAACAACTAATGCATTATTTAAAATACAGCCGACGTTGGAATAAAGAGCAGAAGATGGCTGGTATTGGTTCTCCTGTATTCGGATATATGCCTTCTGGTGGTAGTACTGTAAAGACACCTGGTATAGGTGCCCCGCCTTATCAAGTTTCACTTGAGGACCGACTGAGATGGGCGCAGATTGCCGATGTCATGGCACAGAGCACAAACCATTACGCTGTAGGTTACAAAGTACTACATTTATTTTTATTAAGAGATATTTAACCATACAACTTCTGATAAAATCAATCTATTTTTTAATTTTCATTACTTCCAGCCTGAACCCGTCGGAATTGCTACAAGGCCGTCCTCAGCTATGTTCGGATATGGAGGAACTCTCCCTATGGCTCCTATGCCATTGCCTAGGCAAGATTATTTTATTTTTCATTTTTAAGACATAAATTAATTTTTGTTTAATCTTCAGACTGGGTTTAAGACCTGGATCAACTCATAATACACGCCATGACTCTAGCAGTGAAGAGGAAGACAGGACAGATCTCCTTGGGAGAAACTTTCATGTTCCTAGGCCCAAAAGTCGTGGCTCTATTGCTGTAAGTTCACCCTACAGTGTGTATTTCTGTATGAATTTTGAATCAACTGGTATTATATTTTCAGAACCAAAGTGGGATCTATTATGATGTAGATTATGAGCAACAGGGTGATCATTACACAGGAACAAAGCATCCAGGGTGCATAGCTTTGAACACCTATACAATGGGACGATCTCACTATTACCGGACATAGACTTTAGTGAAATTTTTGTCCTCAATTCGGAGGTTTCAACATGAAATATATGTTTTTCTCAATTGAAATGAAAAATATGCCATTTGTGGAATGATGTTTGGATTTTTCTCACTGACAATTTTCAATCAAAGAGAGATAAATCTAAAGATTTACTTGAAACTTTTGATCTGTACAGTTTTATTTTGATGTACTATAAAAATATATAAATACTCAAATTAGAATTTTAAAAACGATCAAGCTTGAACAAATATCTTTCCAGTTTAAGTTCATTTGAGCAAAACCAGGCAAGGATTTTTGTTTGACCCCATATCAACATGTTTATAATTTATATAAAACTTCAGTTTTAATTTCCATGTAGGTATTAAATAGGAACAAATAAAATGTATATTATTATTTATTTAATTTTTTATAGCCATCATTTATCATCTACATCCAAATTCCCCCTCTACATATCAATTTGTTTTCAGATATGAAATATATTTTTATTTTGCACCAAACTTGAGAATGTGGACTTATTTATGTTTCCACAAATGTTGCAAGAAAGAATCACAGTAATTAATATAAATATTTATATTAATCATGGCATAAATAACGGTTTGTAGCAATTCAATTTCTTGGCAAATATGCAAATCAATCAAATTTTCTCATCTTGTCAGGTCACAAATTATAATTTGCCCTCTATTCATTTGATTTTGATAAGCTTGGTTAAAATTTGATATATTTAATATATATATATTTGTTATATTATATATTTAATATATACAATTTTAACCAAATTTATTATACTTAAGTAAATTGTGGTATATAAATATAAATAACCAGTTTTTACCAATATATTTGGGTGAAAAAGAGAGGAATTTTAAAAATAATATATTCATTTTCTCCCACAATTTTAATCAAAATAGATGCGAAAACCAACTATTACTAACCAATAAAAGTATGTATGTAAAAGTGAATATGAGCTTGTAAAGAAGTATAGCTATCAGAATAGAGCAGGAAACAAAAAAATTATGTGGCATTTGGTCGAAATAGCCATTTTGCCTCTATATTTACTTGATTTAAATTATTATAGATAAAATGTATCATATATATTATATTTAAGTCAACTGTGGTAATAACCAGTTTTTACCAATATATTTTGGTGACATAGAAGAGAAATCTTAAAAATAGTATATCCATTTTCACCCACAATTTTAATCAAAACAGATGCAAAAGCCAACTATTATTAATGGGGGGGGGGTAAAGTGATCAAATCGATGCTATTTATAATTTGGCAACAAAGCAGACTAAAAAATCGCAAATTAATTTAAAAAATGAATGTTAATCTCAAGAGAATATAAGCTTATAAAGAAGTATAACTAACAGAATAGAGCAGGAAACAAGAAAATTACCTGGTATATTGTCGAAGTAGAAATAGAAATATTTACTTAATTTACATTATTATAGATAAAATATATATGTATTATATTTAGATCAATTTTGGTATTAAAAACCAGTTTTTACCTATATATTTGGGTCACAAAGAAGAGGAATCTTCAAATTGGCACATAGTATAGGGTCGAAGTAGCCATTTTACCTCTATATTTACATAATTTAAGTTATTATAGTTAAAATGTATATTATGTATTCTATTTAGGTCAATTATGGTATTAAAAATCAGTTTTACAATATATTGCATTTTTACCAATATATTTTGATGACAAAGGAGAGGAATGTGAAATTTGCCACGTAACATATGTTCAAAGTAGCCATTTTGCCTCTATTCGTTTCATTTAAATTATTATAGATAATATGTATAATATTCATTATATTTATGTCGATTGTGGTATTAATAACCAGTTTTACCAATAAATTTGGGTGGCAAAGGAGATGAATCTTAAATACGGCATGTAATATATGATTAAAATAGTCATTTTGCCTCTATTTATTTCATTTAAATTATTTTAAGTTCCCATCATGATACTGTAGACAACACGATTTTTCTTAATTTGTTTATTTTCATTTATTATTGGAAAAAATTATAATTTTTGGTTGATTGTGACCTAAATAATCATTTTTTTAAATAATACTATTGGTTTAGAAATGAGAAAAAATCTCTTGTTTGTATAAGTTGATAGGTCAGAAGACACACATATCTGTTTAATTCCCATTATTATAATTATTAAAACTTTAGATTTTTGTTTTCTTTTAGTCACTGGTGACTAGTCTCCCTTTAATACATTGTGATGTATTATGGAATTGAACTTTCTTTTATTTTTATATTACAGAAAGTGGATTATGTTTAATTAAGGCAGTTTAATACTTTCTGGAGTTCCCTTTGGTTCTTTTCTTGGGCATTAGTTTGAATTGAAACACATTGAATATGTTAAAATGCATTTGACAGACCAAAATGATGTTACAACCAAATTCTAGGCATTACTGTGTTCCTTCCAAAGTGGTTGTTCTGTTTCTTGTCTGTGTTGCAGTCACACATCCCAGTGTCTCTCTTCTCTACTGCTCATACAGTAGTCAAATATCCGAGTTTTCCCATTTTTTTAAGGCGGGAATTAAATTAACAATGTCCAGTATAAAGATGTATTATTTTTCTTAAATCCTGCCTGCTGTATAAGTTATATTCTTGTTTCCGCATCTAGATGTTGAGACATTTTTTTTATTGTTACGACTTGGTCAATTCATTCATTTTGTTTTTCTCCATCCATTTGATAAATTCTGCTTTTAGCATACTTTGGGGGTGTAGTGATTTGCAGTTCTGATCCTGCTATTGCTAGTCAGCCTGTTCGTTACCTTCAATCCTCTTGCGACCTACACTCACAGTCATCTATTGGGTTGTCCGGAAAATAATGCAGGATTTTGGTATTAAACAAAAAAAAAGAAACTAGTTACTTTAAAGCAATGTTCTTTAATCAAAATAATTNCATACAAATGAGTAATCCTGTAAACGTAAACAGAATATTTTATATAGATTTTTTTTAATGAAAACTTAAAATCCTGCATTATTTTCCGGACAACCCAATAATTTTGTTTTCCTAGGAGTTGAAGATACGTTAGGCATTCTACGACCAGCATTATGTTGAAGGTGGATTATACAGCCTTCAGTGTTCTTGGCTGAGAGTATCTTTTAGTAGTCCTGTTTTAAGTATTTCTTGTGCACAGACCAAAACATTTTATTGATTAGTTTTGTAAATCATATTTTATTTATGTGAATTGAGGGACAGTACAGATTTTTCATAAATCGTTGGTACTGTAAACATTTCAGTGACAGTTCAGTTTTGGCACATTAACCACACCTTGAAGAATCGACCTTTTAATGAAGCGATCCCAATATAAAAATAAATATCAAAGCTAAAAAAATCATAGATATAAAGGAAGGTGTGAATTAAAGTAAAGCTATAAATAAATTGTTTAATATTAAAATACAACATGTTCAAAAGCCTTAAAACTTAACTTAAACTTTATCAAACAATTGTACAAACTTAATGAAAAACTAAAAAATCCAGTAAGAAGTGGACTGGTTACAGTGTAAGTGGCTATGGTAAAATCACAAACAATTATTAAATACACAGAGATAAAATAATAAATCAACTTGTAAATTTTTTCCAAAAGCCTTCAACATCGATAATTTCACCTACTCCGACGTTTGGATCGACGGAAAGAAAATCTTGAAAATTGTTTTTGCAATCTGAGAACAGAAAGATTTTATTATATGTTTGGTTTTTCCCTTTTAAATAACGTACAAAAAGAACTACAAACCACCACAAAAAATAGGCGGGTACAAAGGAGGTGGACTCATAAACTGTCCGTTTTTGTCCTTCATGTGGCTCCTGTCAGAAGCAAATGATGTCAAATAAACCGAAGCAGGTATTACACGAAACACCCTGTATTTCCCAAATAATTAAATTACAGTTAGAAAACATAATTATTAAACATTATTTTAATACTATTTTAAAATAGTTTTTAAATTTCTCCTGAGAAAAAGATTTAGAGAATATTGTTATAAAATGAAAGCTCCTGGAAACATACCTTTTGAAATCAGGCAGAAAATTGTCTTCAAGCCTCACAGCCTTTTGAAAGTACTCAGTAAATAGGCATGGTATATCGAGTGTAGTGTCAAAGTCGAAAACCACAAATTTCTCCGAGCATTTAGCTACTAAAAACACATGATAATCCTAAAGTAAACACAGTGAAAATTACAGTTGTGTATACAGAAAAAGTTGATTTCTACACTGCTTACCCAGATTGCCAAATTATCCTTGGCATTTCCTTTCATCTGGCACCAGACTAGGGTTTTCCTGGCGGCATTCGTAACGAACACTGCATAAGTATCACAAAAAATATTCGAACCCGTATCTCTTAATCTCTCACATAGTTTCCATATATTCTCCTCACTTAAACAAATTAAATTGAATTAAATATGCTTGGTTAAGTAGTAGTTGTAATTATCCTTGCTGGGTTGGTCAGAACATTTTGCCATCTTCAGTTTATGATGAGGGTTTATGACTATCAGACCAAACTAATTGGAAATTAGTAAGCTACCGTGGCATTTTCCAGACCCAACACTGATGACAAAATGTCAGCCCAATGAGGTTAAGCAGACCAAGATGATCGGTAGCGATCAAATTATAGGCTCATCACTCCACAGAAAGGAGGAAATCTCACTGTTTAAAATCTCCAGAATAGGGGTGAGTGATTTGTGAAAAGAACATAATTCATCATAATCTCAATGTACAGAACTAAGATAATTGGTTCTGTAATCTACAGAATTTGTAGTTAGGTCGTTTCCAATCGTTTTGGTCTGCATATCCAAGCTGTTTTGGTTTGTTACTTTGTTAGATGTGTTGTCGTTTTTCTCAATCTTCAGTGAACATTGAGATATGAGGACCCAGATAATCAAAAAATGACCAAACTGAAAGCTGATCACTCTAAGACTAGAACAAAAAATTTTATAATTAATAAGTCTTTTTAATAAGTGTTTTTAAAAAAAGGGCTCAAATAAGTAAAAGAACACAAAAACCTACCATTAAAGATATCAAAAATCCTATGTTTGACAGACCAAGATAATTAGATGTGTTCAGAACAAATAATCTCACAGGGTAAGAATTGTAAAGACGATCTTGGGCTGGACGGGCTGAGAAGCTCTCATGTGTCGATAGGTGGCAAAGGATGAGAATGGTATCCATACCCGTTTATTAATAAGCCATACAAGGATGACACAAAGACGCTTACTTTTGAGCAAAAGCTCATGTACATGTCCATCACGTAGTGAGCAGTTGCTCGATGAGTACCATTTAATTGAGCAGTGCCATTCCTGGTTCCATATAGAAAGTATGTTGGAATGCCCGAATGAGAATTTTACTTGAGCACATCAGCAAATATTTGGGTCCCCTGTTCCAATTTTTGGAGGAAACAGAACTTTTTTTAATTGTAATTACGATAGATTTTATTGTATATATGATAGGTATCTTGTTTTGTGATACTGAGACTGAATGAATTTATTAACATGAATGTTTAGTGTGAGAGGACCAATGGCGAAATATTGGCAAAAATTCACTAATTTCGTGGTCCGCCTGACCAATTAATACTTTAGAATTAATTAAGGTTTTTAGTTGAGATAAAAAAACTCATAAGGTGGGGTTGAGATGGGGAGTTGATGTCCGAGTGGATCGAGTCACGATAGCTCAGGTGGTAGAGCAGCGGCGTATCTAGCCGAAGTTCGTGGGTTCAAATCCCTCTCGTGCCATTAACTTTTTTTCATCTCAACTAAAAACCTTAATTAATTGGCAAAAATATTTTGAAGAATCACTTTTGCTTAGGTCGTGAAGTTTATTGCCTTATCACAGCTGAGTAATCCAAATGATCAACACTTGTCGCATACTAATCCCAGGTTATATCATGCAGCTAGAATTATAATCACATGCATGTGCAACTCTGTATAGGAACAAAACAAGCAAGAACCCATAAAGCAATTTCTGCAATTCAGAAAGGCTTAACGAGCAAATATTAATTGGGTGTGACGGGTCTTCTGGCTCTTGGGCAAATGGATCCTGGTCTCCGAGTACACCTTGCAAACTCCTGGTATCGCTGAATGCCCATCAACTGTCGTTTTGGGCAAATTTAAAATTCCTGCAGCGTAAAACTGATTTCAACTTGCTCGGTGATTATGGGCATTTTCATAATCGTTTTGTTTTCTGCCACCGAGACAATAGTGAATAGTCATTTTTAGAGGATTAAATGCCCTTGTTGATGATTTACATTGTGGCGATTTTAATCAAATTAGGAATTAAGCGGTTTTGCCTCACAATTATTAAATCATGTTTGAAGTAGTAAAACAAAAAATATGGCTCAAATATTAAAATGCGTCAGTTTTTTTGTGGAGCAGTGTATTTTAATTATTGTCTGAATCAATGAATGTAGGGGTTGAATATGTAAAGGAGCGATGGAGCATAATGAAAAGCTTTGAAACATAAGTATCAGAGCATGATCAAAATATGAACTGTTACATAAGAAAATTGATTACCAGTAGCAGGATGTGTACTCGCATTCCTCTTTTGTCGGCAGATCCTCGGCCAAATCGGTTGTTTGATTTTCTACCATGATAAGATGTTATTTCATTAAATGAAAGTTAATCTAACCGATAAATTGTTTTGTTTTTGAAAATTTGCTGCAGCTTAGACGACACACCTCGATGACAGTAACGTCATAATAGTTCTGAATGCGGGTTTTCACGTGATCTTTTAAAATGACGTATTAATAATTACTTCAAAAAAAAGGTAATGTAGGTGATGAATATATTTTATGAAATATCGATTTTAATTTTATGATTTATGATTGTCACAGTGAAAATAAAATCGTGCATAATTCATCGGTGCACATAGTATTTTTCTTAATGTTTAGACCTCAGGTGTTATATTTCTTTGTATATTGTGTGTGTTTTAGTATTTAATTTACAGGCATGATTAAAAAATTAATTTGCTTTGGTATAATTCAGCAGTAGTAGAAAAAGCAGCGAGTGGGGGCTCTGTCGAATGTCGACTGTCATTGACTTGTGTCAAATCGAGTCGGACCTGTGTGGTTATGGATTTTACGCAATGGTATTTCCAAGGATCCACAGGTGTTTTTCGCATTTCGTTTTAACGTACAGTTGCTCAGGGGTTCTCGATTAAAAGAGCCACGTGAACATAGCCCACCGCAGCATATTTCCATGTCCTCGACAGTAGTCAATTTCGGCCTACTGCCACCTAAACGGACAGTGTTCCTGCTTTGTGACATCCAGGACAAATACAGACCCGAGGCGGTTTACTTCAACGAGATAGTAGAGTCGGCTAGTAAACTAGTGAGTTATCATAAACGAGATAAAACATTCTTTATCTATTACCTTAACGATTTTGTATAGTGCCAGGCTGCCAAGATCCTGGACATCCCGCTGCTTGTCACCGAACAGAAACTGGAGACGATGGGCAAGACAGTATCAGAATTGGACATTAGCCATGCTGAAGGTGTTTACGAGAAAACCAAGCTGAGCATGCTCACCCCTGCTGTGACGGAGAAATTGGACTCTTTGTGCAAAGGGAACGTCCTTTGTGTTGTGCTATTTGGTCTAGAGGTATTACTCTCCTAAGATTCCATTACTTTACAGGTACTCAATTTTTTTAACATTAAATAATTAAGTTTAATTGTCTTAAAAAATCAAACGAGTCTGTCATTTCAATCGTTTAATTTTCTGTACTAGAACTTCTCAAGACATCGATGAAAAAATCACAATTTACTTTGTACGTTTATTAACCCTCAAACAGAATGGGTCAGATCCGACACAGCGGTTCATTTTACCTGTTCTTCACTGTCCCCTTTTATTGTCGGTGGTCGTCGGCCAGGAACCCTACCTGCCAGTCGTCCATCATCTAGTGTAGTGACTGTTATCGGATAATTGAATTTGTCTTCCTCATTCCAGTTTTCTCTTCAGTTCAGGCCCTCTTATTCCAGGCTGCTTCCTACCCAACATAACAATAATATTACTAACGACTTATTTCACAGTTTTGATTTGAAAATGTCTTGGTAACAACTGTTTCGCCTGAGGAAGTTCTAGCTGAGTTTTTTCATCAGGACAAAAGGTCCCTGACCCGTATCTGTCAGAAGCGGAAGATGGTAGTCTCATGAACAGTGATATTGAACTATTTTTGACTGTAATGAGGACGAATGCTTAAAGTCTGATGGGTTCGCACTAGGGAGGCAAAGAACCAGTCTTTGAAACAATCAGAAAAGCCTTTTCGCTTAACATATTCACAAAGCTCTTTTTCGAACGTGATTACTCACCTGCCTGACCATAAAGAGATTGCACGGGGGAGGGTAACATATGAAAAAACAATAATTTCACTTTTTGTGACTAACGAAATGATAGGAAACATAATAAAAAAAAATAGAGAACTCGATACTCAAGCTCAGTGAACCGCTCTATTCATTACCTTTGTTGTTGGCAGCCCCAGATGGAACTGTCATATTCGTATATTAAGACAGCAAAATGTTGTCAAAAAAAATATAAAAAATTTATTTCATGTAAGATATCAATAAATGTTATTATACAATGAAAATTATTGTTACCAACTTATGTGTACCAAAAACCTCATCAAAAAGAGTACCGTGTATTTCACCTCAAACTATACCGTTTTGAGGTTTAACATTTTCTTTCTCCCTGTTCACTGCAGTTTTTTTAACTTATTGTACTCCTCCCTGGCTTCATTTTTGGTAGCTTGCAACGACACTAAGTGAACTGAGTCGTCCCCGGTGTTCTTCCATCGAAGAAATTTTCAAAGAGAGTCAGGACCGGGTCGCTGAGATTCAATCCTGCCCTGGAACCTCCATTGATGAGTGAGTCAACTTTTTATTGTGACCTACCCTTTTGTATCAGAATAAAGTCCATACGTGATGGTGAGAATCGAACCATGACCACTGGATTTACTAGCCAATAATCTAATAATGCCTTAACAACTCTGCTACATGGTATCTATTACCTCTGTTGTAACATCCAACAGTAAAGTAAAATTAAAGTCACTGTCAGACAAGTTGCATAGAAGGTGTCGGACCACTGTAGAATACATTTTTCAAATTATTCTTCAAAACAAATTCCAAGGGGAATGTCAGAGTTCATTTTGGTGCAGCCTTTATCAACCCAGTCTGCATATTCTGATATCTGATGTTCTGGTATCTGTGTAGAAAAAATAAGCAAGAATAAAACAGACCAGGATAATTTTGTCTGTATAAAATTCATTACAACATTTTGAAAACGTTTATTTATTTGAAAAAGGTGTGTTATTTTGTAAGAAAAATTTTATTTCAGACTCACATAACCATCGAGCAAAGTGCGGCTGAGCTGAGGGCTCTCGGCCTTCAGGTGCACGTGGTGGCTGATTCTTGTACGTCCAGAACCCAAGAGGACCGCCTTTTGGCGCTGAAGGTATTTCAATTTATCGAATTTTCAATTTTGAACTTTTAAAATTTATCAAATCGTTCCAGAGACTCCAGCAAATCGGCTGTTTCATCACCACTACCGAGAGTGTGTTGTTCAAATGCTTGGCAGACCAGGAAAATCCCAATTTCACCAAGATACAATCCCTTCTGAGAAGTCCTATTTCTCCTACGGGACTTACCAGTTTATAAACTTTCCTGTCTATATTTAACTGAGTAAATTTGTCTTACCTTTAAGATTGGCACTGGTTACTGCGTTAAAAATTTACTTTAAGGCCAATTGCGCAGTAATTCTTCCATTTGACAAATAAAAGCCAGTAATTTATTATTTGAAGTTAATTGAACTGTTTTTAGTATTTCTAAAGAAATATGATTCAATTCCTTGTACAAACTAGTCAGATTATAAATTTATTTAATATAAAGTTCAACAGAATTTTAAATTATTTTTTAAAAGCGCATTATATTTATTTTAAAAAAAAAAGGCCTCTTTTATGCTACCAAATTTCATTTTAAATTAATTTTGGCAAATGTTTCATCATTTTCTGAAACAGAAGTCCATGCGATGCCAAATAATTGAAGAATATAAAAGGTTGGTTACCCAATATGTACTTTATTGAAATTGTTATTTAAATTAAAATCTTAATTAAGCACGTGTGTGGGCACGCACATACACATAATTTTAAAATCTATGAGAAAAAAGACGTCTTCTATCGTGTTAATGGTTAGGGACCATTTGGACGTTACTTTAAGTGAAAGGTGAATGCGTAGAATTAGAACCGCTTAAAAATAAATACTTATTAAAATGCAAACACATCAAATTGCTTGCTTATATAGCACATAAAAAATACATTGATCCACAAAAAAAAAAAAAAAAAAAAAGTCGCTCATTGAAATATTCACTTGCGGGCCTCCTGACGTGTTATTTATAACTCAGCAAGCTTTGAACAGTCTCAGGACTAATGTTGACATTACGAGCATTTCGAAGGTGGCGGGGGCCATCTCAGAATATAGAATCCCCAGGTTCTGTTGCTCTCGATTGGCCCAGGCCACTTGTGACAGGAACCAGTCTCCCGATACTGATTGATATCTGGATGGTTGTTTCAGGCAGTCTGATAATACGCGCACCAAACGGTTGACTAAACCCTTCTTCAATCAATGCGAGTGCAGTAGCTACTTGCTCCTCAGAAATGACTATTTTAAAGCAAAAAAGGAAGTTTAAAACTAATGACTCTTCACTCAAGAAATCAAAACTAAATGGAGAGATCTGTTTGGAAGTAATGAACATTATGGACCTTTGTGCAAAAGAGTAAAGAAAGCAATTAGTGATGGGTATCAAAATAATGTTAAATAACGCTTTATAAACACATTCCATTGAAAATATTAAAATAAAGTCACAAATTAAACAAAAAACTAAGTGCATTTTTTTCTTTTTTTGTGGAGCAATGTATATAAAAAAATGTAAGCTTTAATTGTTCACATAAATGTATGAATACTTTTCTATTGCCATGTATCTGTTCTGGACAATAGTTGATGACAAATGTGATGTATGCTGTTTAATTTCCCAATTTTTGCACACACAAAAAAAAATAGATTACTTTGTTGAGTTAATAAATTACTGAAGTGTAGTGATTCACTTCTTAAGCCGCTCTAATAAAAATGAAATAACACCCTTGTATCTAATAAATGCGTTTCTATTTAGCTTCAATTTTAAATAAATAAACTACAGGCGTTCCTCTTAATTTTAGAAAAGCTCAAATTAAAAGTATTAAAACTTCTGCCGTCTAACTTGTGCCAATTCAATAAGTCTTGTCATAAACTATGCCTTACAACGGACAAATTATTTTAGAGAAATTAATTGCAATTTATTGTAATCAAATCGCTATTTAACTCAGCAATAAAAAAAGACTGAATTATTGCACTATCATATACTTTTGTTTCTTGTACACAAGAGACAAGCAATTTTATAATAAAAAGGAAACGCTTAGGTTGTTTTATTATATTGTTAAAGATGTTATCAACCTGTGTTATTAAAAGGTGTTTACATTTTGCCTCGCTTATTCATAGTCTAAAAATAAATGTCCAGATATTTCTGTACAAATTATTCAATGATAATACAATATTATACTTTGTGTTAAATTTTCCTCCCTCCAGTTAATGTTAGCAATTTGAGAAACCAAAAATTGATCACCTGATTTTGAATCCTTGTTATTTTCTGCCTCATAAAAGGAAATTTTTTATTAGAAAAGTAGTGATTTACCATTGGTCTGATTTGTTATTTGTTTTGTTATTTAAGTTTTTAACTTGTTATTTTTGTTATCATAAATTGTCATGCTTTCGGTTAATTAAAAAAAATTACACGCTAATTTATATCGTATGATATAATTTTGCTTTTATCTGGTTGCAATATCAACTTTTTAAAGTATGTGTATTGTAATAAACTATATTTTTGCACTATATTATATTTTTATCATTACTTTCCTCCTTTTCAAAATGTTTCCCTACTTTTGAAAGTGAATTTACTTATTGTTTTCAATCTAGTAGTCTCTTAAGTCTCACCTTGCTTATACCCTGACCACAATACAAGGCGGCGAAATGAATAAATGCACCTCACAGCCGAAACAGCATAAATAATAATAATATTCTTTATTATTTGTATAGAACATAACAATTAAACACATAAATAAGAAAAATGAGGTATTATACAGCATGGAAAAAGAAAATCCATCTGCTGGTTAATATAAAGTCGCTGGATAATATAAAGTGATACTGCTTTTTTTTACAGTTGAAGGAAAAAGTAAGAACTAATAAGGGAAAAAAATAAAGAAAACAATGAAGATTAAAGAAAAGCAGATTCATTAGAAATTAAATTCCACCACAATTCATGCCAGTAATGCCAGACCTGTCGAGCATATTTAATTAAATTCCTAAACTTTTACTTTAAGCGGGTCTTTTGCAATTATAGAGTAATTCAAGTGTAAACTGCAGATCTGTGACAAAATGTTGCATTCAGCCAAAAAATGAACAATTTTCTCCCTAACACCTGAACTGCATAGAGGACAACCGACACCGTTCATTTCCCAGAACCCGAAAGGAGGTGCCATTCAGATATAAAGGATCACCTCTGAACTTGATTGGCCAGCGAAGTTCACTCAAAGCAAGCCTTGCAAGTTATATATAATTAGCCTTAACATGCCTGAGCAAAACAGCATAAATGCATGGACCAGAATGTTCATAAATAACCAAAAATTACAATGAATTTATAATTAAAATATTGGAGAATTTTAATTAAATATTAATCACAAGGGGATGAGGCTTTGGATGTGAATCACTTTTTTTAATACAAGACCAAAAATTTATTACAAGCCCTAGCCTTCTTGCCAAGGAGCCAATTTTTTCTGCTTTTGTAGTGCATGTATTTTAATGTTATTATGTATCAGTTGATTTTTTTTTTTTTTTTAATCTGTTTTCTTATTTTGTTAGTCTCTCGAAGGTACCTCAGGTTGTCAAATTACTATTAATGGGACAAAAACACAAACATTTGCTCACTTCCCTCCAACCTTGGATAGTGCATAAACCCCCTCGCAATGACCTGGTGAAGAGCTAGCAGACACCCACAGAAACATGCCCTCCCCCACGGTGCGTTGTACTGGATATTCCAATGATGCCGATATCCTTTTACATCACATAATAATACAAGTCTGGACACATTCTCTCCCCCAGAGTGCTCGATATTCCTTCAGTCTAGTATCACCTAGTCCGTTGCCTACTCATGTCAGTTATGCCTAACTCATGTTAATATAATTATTATAACTGCAGTTCGTAGCATTTTATCATTTATCCTATGTTTGTTCTATGGCAGCATTTTTTCAGCCAAATAATAATTACATAAAAAATGAAAACAAATTAATCTTTTTTTTTAATTTTCTTATTTCCTTCTTCTTCACTTCTTTGAAGTTTTATTTTTCATATTTTTTTTAAATGCCCTACATTCGAACATGACATAATTACAAATGGGCTTGTTTTCAAAAACATTGACACGCCAAGGGTTAATACAACCTGTGCTGTTGCAAACCGTAGTTTAAAAAAAAAAGAAGAGGGAATCAGAAATTTTTTCACAATAATTAACACTAATCAAAAACCATTTTGTATTTATATCAAAGAACAATACATCAATGTACAAATATTAGAGGATGATAATAACAATCAATAAAAAATGCAATCACAAAGGTTAAAGATTCTTAAATAAACTAGTTTACACCTGTCGACCCAAATCCACCAGTGCCTCTTTCAGTTTCTTTAATCTCCTGTCAAAACATTAGGAAAGAAATTAGTGAAGAACAACATACTTATCAAAAGTATAAGCTAATCATGCATCCTTATACACGCTACTTTATTTACTTTCTTATGCCAAAGGAATATAACTGGATGAAAAACAAAAACTGGAAACTTTGATAAAGCCCAGCCCAAATGTTTCATTGTAAATGCAGTGAGAACTAATGGTTTTGTTAAAGAACCACCATGTTGATTTGCATATTCAAAGAATATTATTTTTTGATTATCTGAAGTCTTCCCTACTATGCTATTTTTGTTTACATCCCCCCTGACCTCTGATTAGATCCAATCCTTTCACTTTCAAATGCTAGCTGAACACCAACCCACGTCCCGCGATCGTTCCACAAAGACAGAAAGTGTTCATATTTTTAATTTCTAATTGTATTTTATTTTATTAGATAACAATAATAACTTAGAAAATGATTACTCCTTCAAATTAATTTTGCACCTCAAAAATCGTAATAGGAGATGAAATATCTTGCAGATCTTGTGACATCCAGTGCATACTTGTCATAAATATAAAACCATAAACCAAAATTGTACGAAACATAATAATTATGAATATGCGACGTATTGAAGAAAAAAAATTATATTATTTTTGTTTTAATTAATTTACTGACCTCCACTTCTTGAAGTGAAGGGTAGAAAATTTTTTCACAGATCAGTTGTGCAATCCTATCGCCTTCCTTAACATGGAAATCTTCAGAACCATGGTTGAACAGAACGACACCAACATTCCCTCTATAATCAGCATCGATGACTCCAGCTGAAAACAGGATATCAATTGTATTAATAAAAGTATTTACATATAAATTACATCAGACTTATATGCTACTGGTGTGGAATCTTTAATTTTGGAAAAAAGAGTGAGAAGAGTTTTATAGTTTTTGAAGACTATTTTAAAGTTATAAGAAGAGAGAAAAGTGTTTAATTTGTGATAGGCCATTAACGAATGGAATGGAAATGTATATTGGTTTGTCTGTGTTTGGTAGAATTGATGTAATATTATTAGTAATAGTAGATGTTTAATGTTGAGTTGATTATTCGGGTTTTTTTTGTGGTAGTGATTGTTATGTAGGATATGTTTGTACATCTTTATGTTCTTGTGGTGAAAAATTCTTGGCTTAGGGTAATAATTCTGTGAAGTAACCCTCTGGCCGTGTTTATTATTGTAAGAAGGGGATGGTGTGATGTAAAGTTGAGTTAACGATCTGTGTTGCTTGGTTTTTGATACCAATCTGTGATTAATGTGCCATCTGATTGTTTTATTACGAGTGCATCTAAAAATGGTATTTTTTTGTTGTTTTCGATTTCATGTGTAAATTGTAAGCATGGGTGAAAACTGTTAAATATATTTAATGTAGTTTGAATTTGGTCTGTGAGAACTACTGTCAATTAATTACGTCTGCAAGTATTGGGCTTAGGTTGCTATGCCTAATAGTTGATGCTAAAGAGAAATTAATTCCCTTACAATTAGTCATTGATCACCATTATTGTTAGAGCAAACAAACTAACTTAAATTATTGAAAACCAATATATGCAAAAAAAAGTGTCACAACACAAAAAGCGGTAGTTTTTTAGGAGTAGAACAGCTGTATTTTTAAAGGTTTGTATTTTCGCTTAAATATAGGATAAACGAAAGACATTAACTGATGGATCATGACAGTATTTATTGCCAACGACCGTAATGGCATGAACTTAAGACATAAGTCAAAAAAGTAAAATTCCATCTGTCTCTCCTGTAAAATTTTCGTTTTTGAATTGTGCCACTTTTCTTGTGGGTGTGCGATATGACCTCAAAAAGTACTCCTTCGTCGTCAAGGATTGTGACAGAAGAGGCTTGGAAAAGCTCATTTGGGCTCCAAAAACTATCAAATTTTATAGGAACTAAACAATTCGAGCACACGACCATAATTAAATCAGACACCCCATCTTAGAAATGGGGACTGACTATATGATCCCGGATTCTTTATAACATCCTATAAAGTCGCAACAGACTATAAATGAGAGGAAGAACTCAAGGGAGCAACAGATACAATGATATGGTATACAGAGAGCTCCAAAACAAACGAAGGAGCAGGATCGAGTGTTTTTTATTTCGGTTTTTCAAGCAGAAATACATGCCATCAACGCTTGTGTTCTAGAAAATATTTTAAAAAAAGACGCTGGCAAAAAATCCTTTTAAGATCTGATAGCCAAGCAGCTATTAATAAAGTATTAGCATGTAAAAACACATCAAAATTAGTCAGTGAATGCTTCCAAATCGCCAAAACCTGGGGAACACAACAAGCTGATGATATCTTGGGTTTTTCGGGGAATTTTGGGTAAAAAAAAAGCAGACACACTGGCCAGAGGAGGATCTGCAAGACCATTACCCAAACCTATACTTGAGATAGCAAAAACAAATACAGAATCCTCCATCGCAGAATGGATCCAAATAAAACCAAAGGAGAAGTGGATAAACTCTAGCAGCGCTAGACAAAGTAAACTAATGTTAAAACAACCCTCACCTAGATTGGCAAACTCACTGCTGCAGTTGGAGAGGGCTAGACTTAGAGGAGTGATAGAACTATTAACTGGCATCTGGGAAAATATCTACACAACATGGGCATATATAATGATCCCATCTGCACATTACGCAACGAGGAGGAGTTACCAGCCACCCAAATCATATTCAAATACGAAGCAACAGCTCAACCTAGTGTACAGGAAAAACCTAGGGAATGAAAATGCAGCAGTAACAGTTAATGACCAAATACTTCTTAGAAGAAGATTGAGTCGACTGCACTGAACTAGGGAACTAGGAAGGAACAATAAGCCAGAAGGCTGCAGTGCCTGGAGAGCACAAACCCCGCTTCCTAATTTCATCATCATCATCAAGAACTGTGGCAAATTACAGCTCTCACCCTCATTCCATATTACTTGATTGACAAGTCACAACTCTCACGCGTGGTTATCACTTTTGGCCACGATGAACTCTCTTAACGACAGATAGGACACGGTCCTGATGCACAGTATAACAACTCTATTCTTGTAAAGAAACAAAAGCATGCTCCATCATTATGATGTAATGATTGCGATGCTTATAGTAAGGTGTATGCTGTTTTCATCTTTACATGGACAGGTGGTTTTTTTTTATTTACCTCCGACGTCTATGTGATTTTTCCAGGCCAACCCTGATCGTGGGGCGATTCTGCCGTAGCAGCCCTCAGGTAGGTCGATCTGCAGATCCGTCTTGACCAACCCCTTGCCCCTCGCCGGAATCACGTAGTCATACGCGCTATAAACGGAGGAAATATTATTTAAATTAACTAAAATAACTAATAAATAAAATAATAACTAAAACGATTTTCAAATAACGTACCTTCTCAGATCGAAGCCGGCCGCTTTCTGAGACCCGATAACCGGAGCAAAGGCCTTTTCGGTGAGCTTGATGTATCTGAGAACGGCTTTCTCTCCCGGCATAGTGAATCTTGGATTTGTACAAAACTTATTTAAGTCTGAAAAAGCTAGGGACTTTGGTGCTTTGGGTTGTTCTTAGTAAGATTATAGAGGAACTGACGAAAGGAAGACTACACAAATCTGAACTTAACGAGCGCGCTTTTGCGCCTTATTGACGGAATCATCTATCGATATATCAAAATATATTTCCTCTATAAAAGCTATATTTTAAATAACATGAAAAACAAAATATTCTAGAGATATTATATTTCTTAACGAAGCATTTGTTTGTAATGACCAGCTCTCATACTTTCAATAAACATTTTTATTCAATATTCTGAAAGGAATTTTAATTATTTTGCAAAACCACTAGTTGAAGCATGTACAAAAATGTCAGTAGTGAGATGTACATAAAGATCAAAGTTCTAAAGAAACGACAATTTTTTATTTAATAACAAACTAAAAAAACTAAGTCGATTGAATGTTTCAAAAGTAGTACTTAATTATACTTTATATATTTAATAAATTAAATTCAAATTGTGAAAATCGATGAAAGGTCATACTCGATGGTGGCCATCTAGAGGTATGAAGCTAGATTCCCTCCAGCGGTAAAAACAAGGATTTTTGAGTTTTTGCACAATAAATTTTCTTTTTTGTGTTTATACTGCTTTACTAAGTACCAAATGATTTGTTTTAATATTTTTTTTATTTTTTCATTGCTCCGAAGAGATGGGAAGGAGAAAGTTCTGGGGTGGGTGCTCACATACTTTGATCAACTAAAACTTGCTTCGTTCTCTTCAACTATTATTCCAAATTTTTTTAAACCAAAACTTCTGATTCAACAGAACGCTTTCCTGTGGGGAAAAACCTGCAGTATTTATTTGAAAAGTACATGTATCAAAATTTTAAACAGTTTTTGCAGACGGGTTGATCTCAGGTCAATTGCAATCTAAAGGCCAGTTGCTAGATTCCCTCCAGCGGTAAAAATATGGATTTTTGCGTTTTTGACTAATAAACTTTTCAACTAATAACGTTTTTTTTGTGATTAAACTGCTTTACTAAGTACCAAATGATTTGTATTGATGTTTTCCTTATTTTGCCATTGCTCTGTAAAGATGGGAAGGAGCAGGGTTTGCGATAGTGCTCACATGCTTTGCTCGATTAAACATTTCTTCCACTATTATTCCAAATTTTTTTAATGCCAAAACTTCTGATTCAACAGAACGCTTTCCTGAGGGGAGAAACCTGCAGTATTTACTAGAAAAGTACAAATATAAAAGTTTAAAAAAGTGTTGGCAGACAGGTTGATATCAGGTCAATTCCCATGTAGGCCAGTTGCTAGATTCCCTCTAGGGGTAAAAACATAGTTTTTGACTAATAAACTTTACTTTTTTGTGTTTAAACTGCTTTACAAAGTGACAAATGATTTGTATTAATGTTTTCCTTTTAGGCATTAGACTACTTGTAGATCCTAGTTTTTTAGGGTATTTAGGCTGTTCCAGACAATTTTTGAGTTGAACTGGAGATAATTTAGGCTTAGAATTATCAGCTGGCTGACTCTGCTCGGAGAGCCGTACAACTGGCTGACTATCTTAAGTATTATTATTGTTGTACCCTTGAGCTTTTTGTTATTTATTTCATGTATACATGTTTAAATGGCTAGTTTGGCTAGAAAGCTCTTGTGGAAAGGAGGGCCATATGGTACTCTTAGTAGGCCTCTTGTCCATGCCTGGACCATTTCCCATCTTTTTCACAGAAGAGCTCCATGTTTAACTTCGTTTATTTTTCCAATTAGCTCTCTTTACAATAATGCATGCTATTCTTTGGACATGTGATGTTCTGTTGATAAAATAGTTTAAAAAAACTAAAATGTGCCTCAAGTTGACTTGAAGTATTGTGCTAAAATTGTTAGAATTTTGTTATAAGCATTACTGCCTTGGTATAACCAACTTATTGTACTTTTATAATAGAGAAAATACTTTTTGTTACATTGCCAAAATGAAACTTTCAAAATTTATTATTGCAAAATTAAGACGTTTGCCTCGCATTACCAAGCAATGCCATGTGATAGTTTGGCAAAGAACGTTACCAACAGTGATGATTTATGAACCCCGGGGTCCTAATGATGACACAACATGAGTATAAAAATAAAGACGTTCTATCATAAAATAAATCCAAATTGCTGAACAAAATTAAGACAGTTAGAACCAGGCATAAGAAAGAACATTCACAGATTTTCATATAAAAAGTGGATAAGCAGGACTCAAACCTACGACCTCTGGAGGCCATGGGTTCAAGTCCGACTTGTGACATGTTTTCAACTCGACCATATTTTGAATAAAAATAATAAATCAATTAAAGTTTGATTAAAAGTTGAGTTGCTTTTTGTATGATCAAGCTCCTGTCTGAGCATGTCATGACTGCCTGTCTTCTACAATATTATTAACTCAACATTATTTTAATTATGAAAAATTTAAAAACTAAGTGGAACAATTTAATTGCTGCAGTACAAATAAAATTAGGATCTCATATTAGTCACCTAGTAGTATTGGGTTCAAATCCCAGCATTGCTCTTGGACTTTTTAACACCTTTAATTTCTATTTGCCCACAACTGTGCTTTTTGGCTAATAATTAAACAAATTCATTTACAAACTTTAAACAATCATTAATGAGTTTTTATTGTGCATTTAGTAGTTGTAACTATCTTCTTTGAAAAGAGCATTTAACATTTTACATTTATTTTACGTCTTACGTCAAAGCACAACTGTGTACAAGACGTTACTGTGACCAATTTGGACAGACGGAGTGGAACTTGGAGTGGGCTTCTGCCAAGCACTTCAATATTAAAGCCAACAATTCTTTCAACCTAAAGCCCCTTGAAAAATTGTCAAAGCTCTTTCCACACCAAAATTAAGACATTAAGACAAAAGACGATGACTGACCTGAAATTTGTTCAAGGAAGTTGAAAAAAAAAAAAAAAATTACACATATCGTTTATCTTGATGCTACTGTTTTTGTTTGTACATATCATTTTTTATTCTTTCGAGCTAAAGTGATTACAGTAATTAATTAAAATACATCTATATAAAATCACACAATATAAAAACTATATAAAGGATTAATATATTAATATTATATCATAACAATTAAAATAGTAAATGTACATGGTAAATAAATCAGGTTTAAATTCAATGCTTGGTTTGATTTCCCCAAGCTGAGAGAAGGTACAACGATTTGTTGATCGCTTTGCACCAACCAATCCTGTCTTCGATACTGTCCGCTGATACCAAATGTCTAAAAGTGGCAAACAATTAGCGAAATATAATATTAAAAATATAGATAAAGGTACCTTGTGCCACCAATGTTTTCCAATACGAAAGTGTGAGGCCTTGCGCAAACGTCACGACTGACAAGGCCGACTTCCCGTTTCAGACATTGTGAAAGATCGATTGTGTCAATTGGTATCTGCCAAGGCAAAAAAAAAAAAAAATTAAATGAGGAATAAATAATTGGTGTATTTTTAAATATACTTTTTCATTTTCATGCTCTGGGTATGCCCATAAGGATATTATCGTGCCAGAAAGCACACCCCATCGTCGTCTCCAGGCGCCGAAACCGGAAATTTCTTCAAATAGAGTTAGGAACCCTTTATAGACAAGATCGGTTTTGAGTTGCGTTGTCATTTTCACCTCCAGACTTCCATCTATAGGCGCTCCGTATGGAACCTAAATCGATAATTACACATAAAACATTACAGGAATAAATTAAAATTTAGTGTACTTTGTATATTACTAATTTTATTTATTTCATAATTGTAACAAGAAAAAATTAGAGTATTTCAAACTCTTGTAAGTGTAATAAGACTAAAGATGAAGTTTGTGTCAAATCAATTGAAAATATAAATATTGCTTTACCTTACTTAAGGAAAATTTTGTCCTGTTTATCTCTCTTAGGGAAAACACGGCAAAACCGACCAATTGGAATGCTGGAGATCTAACAGCATTTGGTCCACCGGGGCTTTCGACAACTCTTTGGGTCTTATTCGACTTCTTTTGCGGCGTCAATCTCAACTTATCTTTCTTCCTGTCAATGCCATATTTCACTTCATGAGGGATGAAGTCTGATGAGGACTCGGTGCTGAGCCTGTAGACTTCCAGCGTAATGGTAAAATCTGGGTATAACTTCTCGAATTTCAACGGTTTTGTAAATAAGATCCTGTTCTCTCGCCTGCTTGCGGGTAATGCCTGAGTAGCCAAAACAGTCGCACCGCATGTCGCCAGACAGACGAAATTGTCAACTTTTTCCATCGAGCCTGTTAAAAATGGAACGTTAGTTTTTTATTGGTAGAAAAATAAAAAATTGACTTACAAGGCACTGGCTTTATTGGCAGAGTCAACTGTTCAATTGTGAGATCGCCCCTCTCGTGATCCTGAGGAGGAGGTCCAGGTTTTAGTTTCTTCTCAACCTTTAACCTTTCTATTTCATGCATTGCTGCAACCCTTCTAGATGCTAAAAAATTTGATATATTTTGTATACAATAATTTAACACGTTAAAAAAAAAATCAAAAGAATGTACACGGACATTCATGCATGGACTCTAATTTTCTCTTTCCTATGATTTACGTTAACAGCAGTCGGCCTTGTTATTAAAACATTATGCACTATGACAACATTGGCCTATTATGTAATCTCCATTATTATCTAGAGCTTTTCATTAAGCTGAAGGATATTTATCAGATCCCAAGCTTTGTTAAGGGCACCCGTGGGTATCCTTCAGGCCTTGGTTTTTCCTCCCTGAAGAGTAGAAACCTCAGCCTGTATAGGCCTTTGCACCAGCAGAGGTTCTGTTGCTTCTTCTTCTTTCTGGCAATATCTGCAAAGGCTTTTTGCTGATGCTCCGAGTCTGTACTGTTTGAGGTTACAATAAATAAACGTGTGACGCTTAAATCCATCATTCTAGTTTGAAATAGAGTGGCACATGTATTGGTCACCAGTTCAAACTTGAGTGTCCAAAATAAATTGTACTGTCCTCATAGTTCGTACTACTGGTCAGCCAACTAAATGTTCGGTGCAGTGATGATTTCAGAGATTTCAATCTCAAAGACAGGGAAGGTCAGCAGGCCTTTTATTGTAAACAATGAGCAACTCACAATGTTGATTGAAGAAAAGACAACCAGGGAAATTTTGGAAGAACATAATGTTGACCACTTAAACGTTGTTCATCCTCTGGAGCAAATTGGTAAAGTAAAGAAGCTCAACAAGTGGGTACTGCACAAACTAACCGAACCCAAAGAAATTGACGGTTTGAAATTTGCAAGTCTCTTCTGTTGCACCATCAAAACGATCTATTTGTTGATCAAATCATCGCGAGTGATGAGAAATGGATTCTGTATGATAACAGATGTACAGGTCAGTGGTTTGACAAGGATGAAGCGTCAAAACACTTTCCGAAACCAAATCTGCACAAAAACAAAATTATAGTGACTATTTGGGGTGTACTGCTGGAGTTGTTAATTATAATTTCCTGAATTATGGTGGTTATATCACAGCAGAGAAATGTTGCCAAGAAGTTGACAAAATTCACAGAAAACTGAAATATCTTTGTCCATCATTGGTAAACTGTAGGGGCCGATTCTTCTTCACGATAACACAGACCACATGTCACAACTTCCTGTTGTGAGTCCAAACTTAAGGACTTCGGATATGAAACCTTACCACACCCTTCATATTCACCAGACCTCTCGCTTACAGACTTCCACTCTTTTAGGCATTTTGATCTTGAGGGATAAAATTTTTAAAGAACAAGGCGAAACCGAAAACACCTTCCAAGACTATTGTGAGTTGAAATAAAGATTTTTATGTCAGTGGAGTAAAAGTGCTTACTACACGTTAGCAAAGATGTCTAGATTTTGATGGAAATTATTTTGAATAAATTTTCTTTATTTTATAACATATAAAAATAGTTTTGACTTTTCGAAATCTGCTTTATTTTTGCACCCGCCCATAGGCTGACTTTGGAATCAACTACTACTCCTTTCTTAACAGCCTCTTTAGAAGATAATAAAATATCACTTTTATAAAGCTGAAAGTTGAAATTTAAAAAAACAAAAACCTACATACACATTTATTATATCTTTTGAAGTTGAACTTTTCTTAGGTATAATTTATTTAACCCATTCTTACTTGCAAGAAGGAGTAATCGTTCCGCTTCCACTTGTTCAGGAGAACCAGTAAATTCTATTCTTGAATGGCAGAGGTTCAAAGCCTGAGACGCTTGAGAAATTATTGTAGTTTGTTTCACCATCTATAAATAAAATTCATGTACAATTTTGACAATGGTTTATCCCCAAACATTTCAAACGAGCTTACTTCATTTTCCAACTCCTTCACTCTTTCTTTGACCTTTATTTCTTCAGGAATTTCTTCTTTTGGTTGGTCCCAGTCTCTAACATTTTCATGAACTCTTATTTCCTTTTTTACAGGTGTCGCCTAGAGAAGAGAAAAAGTTTAAATAGATGCGCATATATAAATTTGTGAAATATTACCAGTGTCCCTTGTTTTCTATACATAGACACAGTGTGTACTAGAGTAATTGGTTTCTTATTGCTTTCTTCGCTAAAAAATTTGAAACTGTCACTCATTGTTGAACTAGATGGATGTGATGATAAACTTGGTTCAGTCTGGAATCCCATAAAAATTAATAAGTACGAAAGTTTAAATAGAAACAGAAATAATTTATATTATAAATTACTGACCTCTGAACTAAAACTTTCCTTTGATCTTTTAGGGGGTGAAACACCACCGAGAGCCTCGTCCAAGAAATCATCCATTTCATGCATGACCTTAGATTCCTGTTCGGACAGCGAGTCTGTCATAGTATTTGAATTGTTGTTCGAAAAATTTGATGCTCTCTATATTAACAAAATGAACAATTATTAACAGTCAAAAGAAAAAACAAATTTAAGAGGGAACAGACTTTAAAGCTGGTTTTGGAAATCCTGGAAGCTTCTATGATCGCTTGGCCAAGAGATATACTCGTCTCTCCTGATCCTGAACTATTTCTTTAAAAAAATTATGATTATGGATTGTTTCAAAATTTGAAAATAAAACTAAATTTTTATTCTTACCCATCTGACTCGTCGGTATTATGTTCTGAATACTGAGTGTCATGCTCTGAATCTAAAGCGTCAGACTCAGTCTCAATGTCAGACACACTAGGGTAAAGACGTCCGGGTTTGGGCGGTGAAATTCGAATAGGTTTGATTTCATTAAGCCCAATGTAGCCTTGAACAAATAAAATATAAATTGCTGTCTTGTTTTAAGCTAATATAAAATATGTAATATATTCACCATCGGATTTCCTTGGGCTGCGAGTATACGACTTTTTTCTCTCGATTGGAGAAACAACTTCATCCTGTACCATTCCTCTCACCGGACTAAGGGTGCCCATACGAATCCTCTTCGGTGAAGAACACTGCTGAGGCTTATGTGGTGTTGTGGGACTATCATCATCATTCTAATACACAAGTAATAAATGTAATAATAAATAAAATTATACAAAATTTACAGTGACAAAGAAAAGTTTATACTGAATTGTAAGAAAATGTGCCTATGTACTATTTAACCACTGTTGGCGGAAATTTGTTTTTGTTGAATTACTCATTTCAATGACAGTATTATAAAAAATATATTTTAATTATGTATACTTTCAGTGAGTGATTGACAATCTGCCTAAAAACATTAATTCTATTTTACAAATTTGGTAATGGTTGGATTAACTCAGGTTGAACTGACCATGTTTATAAATCTATAAGATACCACAACTTATTTAAATTTTTTCTAAAAGAAGGTTTCGTCAATGTAATTTGACACCTCAGATCTGAACACTAAATTTTGAATGAATTTTCGATAAATTTATAAAATCATTTCAATCAAATTCTGCCTATTCCAAGCTGCGACTATGGGACTACGGTAAGGTAGAGCTAAGATTTCCGCAAGTTCTTGAGTCGGCTAAGTCGTAACTCGTCCCCAATGAGACCACACTTGCCCAAACGTACACAGGTTATCGACATGGCACCAATTGAGTTAGTTAGCACTCTTAGTTGAAACAAGGAGACTGCTTTAAAGCACACATTACATACAACTGACAAGAGTGGGCTTAATAAAGTGAAAAAGAGGGTCCACATAATAAAGTATAATTCTAAGTTCTTAGCAGTTCTGCACCTGTGGTACTGGCCAAGTGCTTGTAATAAACAAATCTCAAAGCTGATCTTGGCATTTTATGGTTTTATGAGGCCAACAATTCCGCACTCAACCCTGGATGTAAAAAGAAATGAAAATTTTTAAAAACCTCGAGGTATATGTAGAAATTGTAGACAAAAATAAAAAATGGGGCCATATCAAACAAAAAATAACAAACAGATTTTTTAACATTGACTAAAAGATGAGATTTCTTCATGATGAACCTGGTTTGGTTGCTTATGATCAAATTGGTTTATTTATCTTGTATTTTTTTGGGTGGGGGTCGGAGTAGCCCAGTCGATAGTGTATCAAACTCTCGGCTTGTAGGTCCCACCGCCACCATTGCCCTCGGAATTTTTGACTCTTCCCACAAAAATATTGTTCATACTATGCACTCTGGCCTTGAGAAACAAGGCAATTAAAAATTGGAGAAAAACATTGCGTTTTGCTTCTCATCATCTGCCCAATAGGCCAAAACAACCGGAAACGACCAAATACAGATTGATAATCCGTGGCTTGACTATTTTTGGTCTGCAGACTAGAGCTGACACTTCAAAAACACAAAACAGCAAGGATAGAGACAGACCATCAACCAAATATAAAAAATAAACTAAAGTCAAAGATATTTACATAGCAGTCTTATCAAATAATTACTTAGTAATTTAAAAAATAGTGAGGAAATGATAGCACTATCATAAGAGGAAGAAGGCAAAGGAGGAAAAAGGAAATCCGACAGAAAGTAGGAGAATAATAAACACTACTGAGAAGTACTGCATTGAGCTTGACAAAAACAAAAATAAACTAATCGAGCACAGTGCAGAGTTCATTTAACAGTATTTTTCTTAGTCCTTTTCATTATGACTAGCAGCTATTTGCGCGTTCTGACCCAACGTTCTTGGAATTTCCTGTGTATGTAATTTAAAGAAACAGGAGATTTTCAAAAAAATGCTGTTTACAAAATGAAATGTTAGATATACATTTATCCATGAAACCATATTGCAAATGTTGGGAATCGCCCAAACCATACAGTCAACTCATGCCCTAGGCGGGTTGCCAGCAGGCACAAATCCGCTTACATTCTCGTCCCCATTGGTTGACTCAACTCAGCATTCGTTCTTCTCACCATTCGCTAGTTGAGTCAACTGAGTTCACAATAGAAAGCGTTGCCATTGAAAGTTTTGATGATGAACAGTTCTTTGAAAACATAAGTATTAGTCCTGCGATATGGGAAATGAAGAGACGAGTATAGTGATAAAATTAAAATGTGTGAAAATTGTAGGGAAGAGGTACAGCAATAGTTGTGAGAAAGCGCTCATTTCCCGATTTTGTAACAATGGATGAATCTGCACTTTTCTTTGACGGGGTTTTCTCCTTTTTATGCTTCTCTCCATCCTTCTCACTCAGCTTTCAACATCGTACTGATCTAGGATGGGAAGAGAAATTGAATCCACAAGTTGCCTGGTGGTACACCAGCCAAGAAAAATCTTCACATGACAGTTAACGAACTCCTTCGGGGGGCCTCACAGGAAGAAACAGATTTCTATTAAAAATAAACAGGACAAATACCTCAAGAAATTTGTTAAGTGGCACAGAAAGTACTCAAATCTCTTAATGGTCAGAAACTATTAATCAATAAAATTAATTAATCAACAAAATAAGTCGTTGTGGATATGAGGTCTTAAATCACAATTTTGAGAGCTGCAAATATTCTACAAATATCTTCTTAACTAAAGTTAACTAAAGATTAGTTAACTTTGTGTGAAAATTTAAAGTATACTGTCATATTACTGCTTTTGAAAAAAAAAAAAAATACTTTTTTTAATTTTGGAGATAAACTTATAGACTAAAGATGGTTTAAAAAAGAAACAGTGCATAAGCAAAAGCGTGTCGTGTGAATACTATAAGCATTAAAAGCGGCTTTACCATGTTCATGCTTCGAGAGAAAGCCCATCTCAAAGTGCTGCAAGGGGAAAAAAGAGGAGGAGGCATAGGAGGTGGTTTGGGGATGCAAAGTGTGTTTCCTTCCTCCTGTACAAATCAAAAATAAATTAGGGACCTTATTCCAATGGTTTAATTTACAAATAGCTGTTATCAATGAAAATTATAAATAAATAAAAACTGTTGAAACCAAAAAAAGCTGTTAGTTTTTTAATTTTTTTTTTAATGCCATGCAAACAAATATACCAAAAATCCTATTTAAAATAGAAAAAAATATTGTTACACAAACATACATTTGAAACAGTATGGGCCCAAATCCTTTTACCAGAATAGGACTCCAGTGGGGGCATTGGGGGTGGTTTGGGTATATGGTTATTTTCTTCCACCTGCACAAAGACATTGTTAGCGGGCCTGCCACAACATAACACTCATATAGTCTTCACACTATGTTACATTTGTTTTGGTAGTCGAGGGGTCTAAGCCGGGCAATCCAGCTCTCCTCTTCTCCCAACGGTTTTTAAGTTCTTCTATCTCCTGTTGTCGTTCCAAAATCGACTCTGTTACCTTGTCCCTGGGCCTATCGGTCGGCGATGGCGTTATTTTATTCCAGCTAAGCTTTCCCGGAACTTTTACATTTTGGGTGGCTTGCGAGGCTAGGAGGTATAATTTAACATTTAGATTTTAAATGATAAAACAATAAAAAGATTGTTTATATTTTGTGGTTTAAAATGACTGAGAAATTTGCATACCCTGAACTTGATTAAATTTTGATGAAGTGAGCTTTGGACCAGATTCAGATGATGCTAATATTTTCGCTGGTACTGGTGTGCCAAAAGGGACTTTTGGCAAAATTACATCTCCTTTATTCTTTTCAAAAAGTGCCTTTCTATAAATTTATTTCCATAATTATTAACATTTTAATAAAAATATTTTATCACATAATTACCGTTCCATTATGCTCAGTTCTGTTGGGTCTTTAACAGTTTTATTGGGAGAAGTTGAATATTTGGCTGCTAGTTCCATGACTGCAGGGCCATTCTTTTTTGGAGATATAAATCTAAAAAGTTTTGCTGTTTACTAAAAAACACATAAATCTGTCTAATATTTTTCTTACCTTTTCGGAGGGCTTTTCTCTTTAACTGGTGAAGTCGTTACTTCTGGAGTTTGGTGTTTTGTATTTCTTTCGTTAGTGCTACATTTTACCGGGCTTGTATGTGGAGATTTATAATCGTATATTAAATGCTGTTGTGAATCACATCGTTGGTAGCCTTGGGCTTCCTGTAAAATGGACAACATGCGATTATTCTGATCTAAAATGAGACAAATTTTTCTAACTAAAACACATCAACACTAGACAAATACACACCAAAGATTGAATGATTTTATTGTCCCAACCCACGTTTTTCTGAGGCAAAGGGCTTTTTGATGGGGATGTTTTTAAATAATTATTACATGTCTTATCCACCGATGGCCTCAAAAATTTTTGGGATTGTAATGGTTGAGCATCTTTCAGGACAGGTATGGTTTTTGTTTCCTGGGAAAATATCACAATTCATGCAACACATATTGGTTAGTTTAACACAATTCTACCTTTGGTGAAACACATTAAACATAAATACAAACATAACATATATACAGATATATTTTTTTAATAATGAATATAATTTTTTTTTTAAATACCGGATCTTTTATCTTAAAATTGACTTTTTTGTCTGACTGGTCTTCCCAATTGTTGATCACTTTGGCGAGGGCAGCAAGCCTCTGTGCTCTTGCTTCTGCTAAACGATCCTTACCGCGGGGCTTTCCATCGCTGCAGCTTTCCTCATGGGAAGGTGAAAATCGTACATGAGGTTTGTGGATGGGTGAGGATGGTCCTGGAGATTGATCTGAACAGATTTTTTTGTTTAACAATTAAATTCCTAATATAACAAATAGAAGAAGCCATCTGAACTAAAATTTACCAGAATAAAGTGAGCTGAGTTTCTGCAACCTTTCATTTGTCACTTTACTTAAGTGTCCTCCATTGGATGTAGAATTTTCCTTATCCTCCTCAGTTTGTTTTTTGTTCCTTTTCACGACAATCTCATGTCTTGCTGTTTTGAATGTTTTATTAGTAAATAATTAAATATGAACAATTAAACATTTCTTACTTGAAATCACGGCTTTAAACTGATCATTTTCAGAGTCTGTCAATTCTTCTTCCATATGTTTTTTCAGTTCTGCCCTTTTCAGCTCTGAACGAGCAATTAGCCTCTGCACAAAAAAATAAAAATGTTAAAGTGGAAAGAAATCAACACAGAGGCTGAAGTCTGATTGTTAGAAGTCAATTTGATCATTCCAACTTCAAATACTCTCTTACAAAAATAAAATTAAAAAATAGATAAAACTAATGCTAAAATAGCATGTCTTTCCTAAAAACACAATATTTCATTTTCATCTAAAAGCTGTCAAGATATTGGTTACTAAAGCACACAAACTTTGACAACATAAATAGAGGGACAGAGTTTAAAGTTCAGTTTAGACGATAAATGAACTATGAATATACAATGAACTATTTTGTAAATATGTGGGACAAAAAGATAACAGGCCAGTATTTGTTTTTAAATAACTACAATAACATTACATCTGAATAGGACAAAACAGTGAATGCAGACAAAAAGATCATTAGCGATCAAATTTGAAGTTCATCACCCTGCAGAAAACACAAAGAAATCTCACAATAAAATATCACTGTAAATGCAAAAATGTATATTGTTATTTCTGCAACTGATTTAACAATGGAAAAGTAAGTATTTCGCTTAATGTGGAAGCGTACTAGGTCCATAACCCAGAGGCTCGAATGAATGAACTCAAAAGAAAAATAATTAACAATGTTAGTTTGGCACTAACAACTCAATTGAATGAAACAGAAAACAATTAAGAAATCTTACACAAAGAACAATTCAAAGACAAAAAGGAAACAATTTTTTTTTAATTAAAAAAAACCTCCAACTTCCTTCCATTAATCAAAAATTGCAGACTGGTGAGACTCCTTAGCAATTTGGCTCAAGAAGAAGGTAAAATTTTTCTCTTCGCTCCGAGTCTGAGCAGGGCTGAGGGGATGCAGAGGAGTCCGAAATTAATAACTGTTATAATATAATAAGTAATGAATTATAATGTAATAATTAATAAGTAATGAAAATTTTATTTGAAATTATTGTTATACTAAATTGTGAATACATTTTCAGAAGGTTCCAATAAACAGCAGTGGTTCTTTCATTAAATTGGTCTAATTTTTACAAATTTAAAGGTTTTTTAATATTTACTTTTAGACAATCTTGGCTCACTTTAATGTTTTATGATGTTTCTTAAAACTAGCATCCAATAAATAGTTTAAATGTTTAATAAAATCATAAAAATAATATTTTCAACTTGGATCTTTAAGCAGTTTATACTAAAACATTTCCAAACAATTAATTATTTTAAACAAATCCCTTCGATACATTCACAGTGTATGTTACAAAATATGGCTTCTTTGATGATTCTCCCTAGTATGAATCTGAATTTACAGTCAGATAAAAATTCGGGCTCTTCGAAATAGCATATAGTTCTGTGGTTTATGTTTTCTCATAAGCGTTTGATAATGTAGGCAGTAATGAAATATTGGCCGATAGTTTTTTTTTCTCTTTTTGTAAATAGGTATAACTTTTAAACAATCTTGGTTCACTTTAATGCCGCTATGAGGTTTCTTACAACAAGCATTTAATAAATAGTTTTAAAAAAACATAAAAATAACATTTTCATTGTTGATTTTCAACTTGTATCTGTAAGCAATTGTTTTTTGCAAAACCTTTGCAAACTATTATTCTTTTACAATTATATCTTCCAAACAGTCCTGGGTGTATGTGACAAAATTGAATATGGCTTCTTCAGTACTTCTCCCTAGTCTGAATCCAAATTGGGAATCACAAAAAACTTTCTGCTATTCGAAATAGCATATCTTCTGTAGTTCATGTTTCCTCATAAAACTTTGATAATGTAGACAGTAATGAAATATCGGCCTATACTTTGTAGAGAGGTATAACTATAGCTACTTATGGACAATTTTGGTTCGCTATAATGCTGCTAGGAAGTATCTTACAAGCGTTTAATAAATAGTTTAAATGTTTAATAAAATCATACAAATAATATTTTCAAGACTGATTTTGGTTTTCGGATCTGTAAGCTTTTTTTTTGTAAAAGTTTCCAAATAATAGATTATCTTTCAAACACACCAATTGTCAACACTAAAACATGTTTCAGTCGAAATAAAAGATTTTGATTCGCCTTTCCAAATAAAAAATAACAGGTACTAAAAGTTCTATTGTTGTTGTTTATATATTGTATTGTTCTATTTTCCATTAAATTGGGCAAATTTCAACATTAAAATATTGTACATCTCTGAGGCCTAGATCCAACAAAAGTGTTAGTGTCAGAATTAAGATCTTGATCTGCCTTTTCATGAAGCTTATGAATGAAATATAACAAATAATAAAAGTTCCATTTGGCATTATTGTTATCATAAATTATGAATAAATCTTCAAAATGTTCCAGTAATGGAAAATGGTGGTTAAATTGGACTAATTTCAACAATAAAATTGTGTTGATATCTGAGGACTAGAGCCAACAAAGGTGTTATGGTCTGAATTACGATCTTGATCTGCCTTTTCATGAAGCTTATAAATGAAATATAACAAATATTAAAAGTTACATTTGGCATTATTGTTATCATAAATGATGAATAAATCTTCAAAATGTTCCAGTAATGGAAAATGGTGGTTAAATTGGACAAATTTCAACAATAAAATTGTGTTGATATCTGAGGACTAGAGCCAACAAAGGTTTATGGTCTTTATTACGATCTTGATCTGCCTTTTCATGAAGCTTATAAATGAAATATAACAAATAATAAAAGTTACATTTGGCATTATTGTTATCATAAATTATGAATAAATCTTCAGAATGTTCCAGTAATGGAAAATGGTGGTTAAATTGGACAATTTCAACAATAAAATTGTGTAGAACTCTGAGGACTAGAGCCAACAATGATGTTACAGACAGAAGAGAGATTTTAATCTGACTTTTAGCACTGTTTAAGACTGAAAAATAATAAATAAAAGTTTATGTAGTGTTATTTTTCCGGTAGTGCGAATCGATAGCGTTTGTTTCAGAAAATTGGTCAGGCCTCTGAGGTCCAAAGCCAAAATCAAAAGGTGTTACTGTCAGGATCAAGAGTCGCAGATATATGTGATGAAGCTCCACTGATTTTGCCCAAACTCAAGATATTTACAAGTATATAATTGATAACAGCCGACTTACATCAGAGAAATCCATAGTGAAGACTTTATCGGAGAATGAGGCTCAAAAGGGATTATGGATCCGAAAAGGAAAAACAGAAAAAGCGGCTCCAGCCCAAGACAGGATCAGACATTCGCTCGGTTCGCAACGGCCGAACTGAACTTACCACTTCCCACTTCACAGGTTGAACGGGTGGAGTAACGAACTTTTTCGAATCCCTCCGATCGATTATCGATTTACACTTAGTCAAGCATATTTACAACGTTTTATTAATGTTTATTATTAGAACATTACAGTCTTTACAGATGTCGGATTAGAGTTGGTCGTTCTTCAATGACGAGGACACATGTAAAACAATTAATTCAAAGCAGACAAATGTCATTTTGAATTTTTACTCTTCGATCCTACATTTTAACTGCTTTCAAGAAAATCGATTGTTTGGAAACGTTTAAAAAACTGCTTACTGATTCAAGATCCATATTGCAAATAAATAATGAATAAAATTGAAAATAAATAATGAAAATATTATTTTTATGATTCTATTAAACATTTAAACTAATAAATGCTTTTATAAGAAACCTCATAGAAGCATCAAAGCAAAACAAGATTGTAAAATACCTATAGTTATATCTGTCTACAAAAAGGGAAACAAAACTATAGGCCAATATTTCATTACTGCCTACATTAAGGCTTATGAGAAAGCATAAACCACAGAACTATATGCTATTTTGAATAGCAAAAATTTTTGTGTGATTCCCAATCTAGATTCAGACTCGGGAGATGCACCGAAGAAGCCATATTCAATTTTGTAACGTACACTGTGAATGTATCAAAGAGATCTGTTTAAAATAATTATTTGTAAATGTTTTAGTATAAACTGCTTAAAGATCAAAGTTGAAAATAAACAATGAAAATATTATTTTTTTATGATGTAATAAAGCCTCATAGCAACATTAAAGTGAGCCAAGATTGTCTAAAAGAAGCTATAGTTAGTTATACTGTATACAAAATGGGAAACAAAAACTATGTGTCAATATTTCATTACTGCCTACATTATCAAAGGTTTGCGAAAAAATATAAACTACAGAACTATATGCTATTTCGAATAGCAAAATTTTCATGTGACTTCTATTTTGTATTCAGACCAAGGAGAAATACTGAAGGAGCCATATTCAATTTTGTCACATACACCCAGGACTGTTTGGAAGAGGACTTTTTAAGAGAATCAATTGTTTGCAAACATTTCACAAAAAAAGCTTACCGATCCAAGATCCAAGTTGAAAATCAACTTCGAAAAACTTATTTGCATAATTTTGTTAAATGTTTAAACTATTTTTTTAAGTGCTTGTTGTAAGAAACATCATAAAAGTATTAAAGTGAACCAAGATTAATATAAAATTAGCTATAGTTTATGCAAAAAGGGAAACAAAACTATATGTCAACATTTCATTACTGCCTATATTATCAAAGGCTTATGAAAAAATATAAACCACACAACTGTTATTTCGAACAGCACAAATTTTTATGTGGTTCCCAATTCAGATTCAGACCAAGGAGAAGTGCTGAAAAAGCCATATTTAATTTTACAACATACTCTGTGGAAAGTATCGAAGGGATCTGTTTAACAGATTTGGAAATGTTTTAGCATAAACTGCTTAAAGATTCAAGTTGAAAATATTATTTTTATGATTTTATTAAACATTTAAACCATTTATTGGATGCTTGTTGTAAGAAACTTCATGATGCAAAGTGAATCAAAATTGTTTAAAAACCACAATAGTTATACATGTCTAAAAAAAAGGGAAACAGACCTACAAGCCAATATTTCATTACTGCCTACATTATCAAAGGCTTATGAGAAAATATAGACCACAGAATGATATGCTATTTTGAATAGCAAAATTTTTATGTGACTTCCATTTCGGATTCATATCAGGGAAAAGTACTGAAGAAGCCATATTCAATTTTGTCACATACATCCTGGACTCTTTTGAAAAGGTCAAGTACACACTAGTATCTAAAATTTTAGATGTAAGTTTGAAGCCTAAAATTTTGTGTTACAAGTGGGCAAAACTTCTCAGTTACTTCTTTGGGCATTTTTCTGCAGGTAAGTTCGTTCAAGGTGGGTTCAAATTCCAGAATAGGTACTATTTATGTTTTTGGCTGATAGTTTTGAGTTTTTTTATAATTTGAGAATTTTCTCCACTTTATAACTGCAGTCAAGTCTGTTCAGCTTATTAAATGATAGGTTTATCATATAAAATATGTTAAGAGCGCATTAGCATTTAAAAAAAGAATCATATGGATTGTTTATTAATTTTGGAAATATTATTCCTAAAGTTGTTGTTTTTATATTTCAATGCAGTTTTTTTTCCAGTAATCATTCTAAATTGAGCAAATCGTTCAACTGAGATAAAAATTTTCCAAGGATCATTTCAAAACTTGCTATTCTGGCAAAGGTGGTCTCTTCTTTTTCTTTTTTCCCAAACTGCAAAGCTTGTACCACTTTCACCGGTGATGGACAGTGTTTAGAGAGTGTCTGAAAAACAGTTGATTATATTAAACTGATCAAGACTAGTGGTTCAATGGTGCACACCTTGAATATTTGCTGATCAAACCATGAATGGTAGATACGAAAATGGTGCATATACGCCTGTCTAAGCAGAGGTGTCAGACTTTCGATGCATTCACCGTAACGAGCAGAAGGGACTACACAATCGCTCTTTTTTCTTGCATTTAGTATAAAGCAGAATGTCAGTCTAAGGCAACATAGGCATCTGAAAGAATTTTCATCAGTTCAGAATATCGTAACTTGTCCAAACTCTTTACCGGTAAATCCACATTATAGCTTCAGAAACCTTTGCATCATCTGATGTAACATCAAGATAACAGAAATGTTTCAAGTCCTCACATTCGTTGGCATTGTATCTTGATTGCACTACCTAAAATGGACTATTTGTACTTTTTAAACTCAGTAGGTAGTATCAAATTTTATTTAACTACCCACTTCAATACTTCGCACTAATTCATAGCTTAAGGATTTGAAAGATACCCCAAATACATCTAAAACAAATTCTGTAAAGATCGTTTCAACTTTTTTAGCCATATAAGGATGATACCTAGCAAAGGCTTTATTCGCTTGATCACTTCTATAAAATCAAGAACTGAAATCGTTTTTTCACACAGCTGCGCAAGAAACTTCTCTACACTTTCTAAATCATTTCTCTTTGATGCCCGGACGAGGTACGGCTCCATCGTTAATACACACACACCACTGATTTGAACGTTTTGGAAATTAATTTATCATCCGTGTAAATTATTTAAGCTAATTAAAATCAAACAAAGAAGAATCATGTGTATTTTTTACTATAAAATAAAATATTTATTAATAAATAAAGGGACATTTTTATTCTTATTTTAAATAAATAAATTTACCCCCAAAAAAATCCAAATCATCTATTCTTACCAAGTAAATTATGCCCTACATTGATTATAAAAGTTCCATGTAAGACTGTCTCTACAGCACTTTAGCAATATTAAATAATCTACAATTCCAACATGTAGAAAAGTTAGGACTTAATACAAACTGTTTTAAATAAATTTTGCATGTGGAAAACACAAATAAATTAAATGAACATCATAATATACTTCTATAAAAAGTAAACTTCACATCTGAAAATATAACACTCCACATGTGTTGAGTACATAAGAAACAACTGAGAAAACCTTGTATTAACCGGGCAAAATTTGACAACAGAATTAAATTTAATTATTTATCATTAAAAAAATATTTAGACTAAACGATTGTTACAATAGTGAACATTTTGTAATTGACATCCCCAATCGAAATTGTGTATTGATATGAATTACATTAAGATTCTTTTTAATTATTAAGATTTTCACTGGTTCAAACAAGGTAATTAAAACATTAAATAGTCATTTATTTGATTTTTTAATAACAACCCAATTAAAAATTAATAAATAAAAGGCACACATATTAGTTTCAATTGCATTCCAACATTCCATAAAAATCTTTCTATTACAAAAATACAATTCACTTCTGTATATTCTCACTTTAAATAGAATTATTTGCGCTCAAGAAAAGGTAAAACAAAACTGCATTATATAAACGATAACATTAAACTGATAATAAATACAAAATGCCATTAAAGCTTTAAGCATTTGTTTAGAGCTTTTGGTGATAATTAACAAGCCAGAGGCGAATAAGTCAATAGGATATGCTTATTAAAATTCAAAGACTAGAAATTAAATGCTTTTAAGACATAAATACAATAAATAATAAGATCGCAGTTTTACAGCTGTAATCCTTTCCATTGGGGACTTAAATTACCTAATTGTTAAGTACTTAAAAAATTATACATGAATGCATTTACATATGTATGCTGATTTATATGTTAACATTGTAAATATTTGTTGCCTGATTTTAATCGATTTTATGAATATTGTGAATGTTATCATTCAAATTATTTTTATGTTCAGTTCATGTCTTTAACATTCACAAAATATATATATTTATTTTATTACACATGTTTTCAAGTTTTACAGTTAAAGACAATTTGTCGAATTAACAAAAACTGACCAATTGGTTTTTATAATTTTGGCACTTCATTACCAGATGCAAATTTAATATTCATTTGGGAGAGCAGTTTCCCTTTAATTAAAATTAAATATAAAAATAACTGGGCAGCCGACTTTGCTTATGTTAATATGGTCTTATTGTGTCTTCTTAGTCTGTTCACTGTTCTGTACTTCTTTGTCATATTCTTCTTGTTTGACAAAATTCTCATTACTGTTCTCTTTATCCAAGCTGGTTGTTGGTTCGCTTCCTTCCTCTTCCTTTAAATTATTTTGGTTGTCACTGCTAACATCCGAATCTTCTGCAAAATAATTTTATTACTAATTGCACAAAAAAATATAAAACTAAAATAAAATAAAACTAACAAACATTTTTGAGAACGTACCAGTGCTTGGTTGTTTTTGGTCATCAACGTCGTTGCTTGGTTGAATCGGACCAGGTAGTTGCAACGGAGTGAATCTGGGAGGTACTTCTCGAGGTCTAACTTTTAAAGATGGATTTGGAGTTCCGCAGTAAGCACACCGGAAGCCTAAATTTATTTAGCCATTATTAATTATTTATTACAATTTAAACAGAAAACCGTCTCACTTAAATATTCAAATTCCTCTTTAAGTGCCATCCCATTATGGGAGGAACAGAATTTACATATCAGGGCATATCTATTGCTTGGACCATCGCCAACGATAATTTCTATTATCTTGTCTAAATAACTTCGATCTTGAGGAAGCAACGGCCTAGGTAATGGTCTTCCTAAAAAAAAAAAAAAAGTAAAAGAAAAGTTTTATGTAAATGTCACCTTTATAACAAAATTTCTTAAATTTGTTATAAGAAGCAAAAATCACAACAGAGGATTTTTGGTTGCCAAATTGTGTACAATTCTGTTGTGTAAACGCTTTGGATGCACCTTCGTGATACACACATCCCACAGGCCCTAGCCCCATCAGTGAATGCGCTGAAAACTGGCCTTTTACAAATGTACATAGCTCAGTAAAGTTTTGGCGGAGTAGATGATTTAGTAAATGTAATTAGAGTCATATTTGTTAAAACATTAATTTGTAAATCAGTCTATTTTTTCTTTAGAGCAAATTCAATATTATGTAGAATGATATGTCATATTCCTTTTTAATCCTTATATTATCATTTTCCTACCTTTTTATGGCCCCTACTCTCTAACAAATTAGCTTTTTCCCATTAAAAAAATAAAAAAATAAGACAAATAAAAACGTAGAAAGGCACTTTAATGATTTGATTTTGCTGAATGAACCATTAACCAGGAAGTTAATTCACTTACTTGCAGGAGGAATTGGCTTCAATCCTGGAGGTGTGGATCTCAGAGGTGTACTCGCTACCACGCGTTGTTGTAAAACGCTCGAGGGATGGTTCGATTGTTGAACATTTGTCTCAGGTTTTTTATTTGGAGGTGTTCTATTTATCTGAGTAAGAGTTGATTGTAATGGACTCTATAATTCAAAATTAGTATTACTTTACATTAAATAAATAAATAAATATTGCACTACCGGAGCAGGAGATTTTCTAAGTTGTTCGGGCGCATATTTATCTAGTATCTCCTTGGCTTTTTTATAAGTCTCAGTGTTCATAACATCATCTAATATTTCCTTTTTTTTAGTTTGCAAATCTTTTAGTTTATTACTACTATTTCTCATGTCGCGATCATAAAGCCATTTTATAGATCGTCTCACAACTATAATGCTAAAAATAAATAATAAATATAAATAAAAGTATGTAAACGACCCTAACAAAAATACTTACATAATTGGAAATATAAGTAAAGGAATCATATAAAATAATCTATCCCATAAAGATGCTGGGAAAAAGTAGAAATAAAACAGAAGTGCAGCTATTATGTATATTAGAACAGAAAAAAAGATCAATCTAAATAGAATAGCCTTTTCCCTCTTTAGTATAAATTTGCTGTCATTCTCTAATTTTTCAATATTCTGAAAATGGAAAAGGATGTTTTGTTAGGAACATACAGTGTAAAGTGGCCAAATAAATTAATTGTAACAAAATATAAACTTGTAACTATGTATTAACAAATAGTTGATTTATGTATATGTCTCTTTACCTTCTGAATATCCTCTAGAAGTTCTTCTGATGTCTTCTTCTTCTGTGAATTATAACATTTCATTAGCATTAACTGAGATAAGTGTGGTGGCAACAATATTTATTCTAGGCACCGAAAAAACTAGACTTAAATACAGTAACAAAATAAACTGTTATACATTGAGAAAAACAAAATCAGAATGTGAGAATAACATCAACATAATAAGAAAAATAAAATAAAATGGTTGAATGTTAATTAAGAAATTATTACAGAATAATGAATTATGATTGCTTTTCTCATTACGTATAAGCTTAAATGATCGACACATCACTTTACTGTGTCTGTCTAATCTCGATTGTTTATGTTTTAATCATATGCGTTTTGGCAGGCACCAAAACTAGAAGAGTTCCTTAAGACATAAATATGCACTCTCTTGATGTTTTGTCTCTTACATGTTTATGTTTTATTTTATTTATTTTTTTAACAAATAAATAGATAATATAAACAGGGGATGAAAGTTTGCTGGGATGTCTGCATTTAGCTTATATCCTTGACAGCCAATGAAGAACACCAAATAATCATTTATGCACATCCCGCTATCTTCGCTCTGAACCTATGACAATCCCAACATTGTGTTATATTTTCTATGCCTTTGTCTGTAGTCTTTGTTTTTCGGAAGTGCAACTTGGAAGCAATAACAATATCACAAAGAACACCGACTAGGAATTGTATCACCATGCAGACCATAAGAGGAAATCTCACAATTTACCATTTTGGCTGAATTGATATGTACTCAATATTTACAAGATAAAAATAGATATAAATTAAACTATGGAATAGTTTAGCGACAGCTACACATGTACAGATTAATCACCATGCAGTCCTCAAGAGGAAATATCACATTATATTTATTTAAAATTATCACTTTACCGTTTGTGACTAAAAGCCTAGTTGTAAAATTTGTGATAAATACTGACAGCCTCAGATGACACAGTTACAGGTTCATCATACACATTCTTCAAGAAAAAATTTCACAGTATTATCATTATACAAAATTATCACATTAATTTGTTGTGATCAAAAGCCGTAGTTGTAAAAGTTGTGATAAATATATATGTCTACTATTGTCGCGACACAAGTAACATTCATCTCCTCGCATTTCCCAAGAGGAAATGTCACAATATTATCATTATGTAAAGTTTTTGTTTAAACCAACCTTACATAGAAACATTAATTAATTGAAAGAAGTAATTTGGTCAATCAGACCACTAAATATAATGGATTATGTAACATTTCTCATTGTTACCAAAAGCCGTAGTTGTAAAAGTTGTGATAAATACCTACAGTCACTATTCTCAGATGATATGTAGATGTACAAATTGATCACACCGAGACCTCAAAAGGAAATTTCACACAATTGTCATTAAATCAAATATCACATTTACTCATTACCAAAAGCTGAGGTTGTCAAAAAAATTAATAAATATCTACTACTGTTCTGAGGTGACATGTACGGGCTCATCACTATGCAGACCCCAAGAGGAAATATCACAACGTTATCATTACACAAAATTATCACCTTTACTCATTGTGACCAAAAGCTGTGGTTATAAAATTTGTGGTTTGTGGCTACTATTCTCAAGTGACACATGTACAGAATCATAACCGGACAACTAAGAGGAAATTTCACAATATTATCATTATGTACAATTATCATATATACTCGTTGTGATCAAATGCCTAGGTGTAAAATTTGCGCTAAATACCTACAGCTACTACTCTCGGGTGACGGGTGTATAGATTCAACCCCACAAACCCCAAGAGGAAATTTCATAATATTATAATTATGTAAAAATATCATTTACTCATTATGACCACGAGCCATAGTTGTAAAATTTATGATAAATACCACGGCTACTACTCTCAGGTGACACGTGTACAGATTAATCACCACACAGACCCCAAAAGGAAATTTCATATTATCATTATGTAAAAGTATCCCATTTACTTGTTACGACCAAAAAACATAGGTTTAAAATTTGTGATAAATACCTACAGCTACTACTCTCATGTGACACATGTACAACAGATTAATCACCCCACAGACCCCAAAAAGAAACTTCATAGTATTATAATTACGTAAAAGTATTATATTTACTTGTTAAGAACTAAACTGTACTTGTAAAATTTGTGATAAATGCCTACAGCTACTATTCGGAGGTAATTTTCACCAACTATAGGCCCATCGTCAGAAGTGGGAATCTCGCAATTATCATTATGTCAAATCATGGACTAGGTAATGTCCAAAATAGCTTATCAATAATTGGCTTCAAAATTTAAGATTAACGTTTGTTAATTAATAAAATAAGGGATGGTTAGGGAATAAAAAAATAAATTTTTTACTATTTTTTTATTGTTTTAGGATGAATTGCAACAATATAGCTGTACCTATGAATAATATTAGTATGAATTAACATAAAAAATATTTTTAAAAAAAGTCATTATAATACTTTAAATTGAATAAAGGCACAATTATTTAGGATTGGAGAGGGGAAAAAATAAAACATACTCACCCTGAACCTGGAGACAATAATTCCCATTTTGCCAATTTTCTGAAATATCCGCCGGTACGGTAATAAAAGCTTAGTCTCGAAGGTCAACAGCTAGCTGAGCATGACTTTCGTTGTGGTAAGCTAACGCGATGAACATTAACATACAACCGATGACTATTCTCAGGATTAGCACGGTTAACATTCAACTTCCATACGTCGACAGGACGACTTCAATCAGAAACACGAACTGGAAGCAACCGAGAAACCACAACTTGGCGCCATGGCATTTCCGCTTAAAGAAAAATACAAAAGAAAAAAATAAATAACAAGAATTCGCGTCAAGGAATGCGGTTTAGTTTTAAACAAAAGAAACCGCAGATAATTTTAATATCGGTTCAAAACACTGGGAACGTCAGAATTCTAAATTTACGACTAATGAACTAGTTTTAAATTTTTTATCTTTTATAAAACCTTATTTTCTTCGTCTTTAAATGGTTAAATGTCTCTTGGTGGTTTCAACTCTTATCTTTAATGACGTCACAAAAGTATTTTGGTGTGCTTTATAGTTCATGGTTCGGGTTGTAAAATAAGTTCCTAGCATTTTTCAATAATTAAATTTCCTCCCTTTTGTGTCTTGAAGCACTGTTTTTTTAGGCAATTGTGACTTAATGCTTGTTTATGCTTCGACCTGTTCATAACTATATAAATTTGGTCAACTGTGAATACCGTGGGAATTGTAATTTGGGCAAACTCCTGGAAAGGGTTGGTGTGTAAATTGGGCTAACTAAATAAAATTAGGGAGCATTCTTGTACTGAAAGCCATAAGGTATGAAATAAAATGTTTAAATTATTTTAGAATATAAAAATAATTATTCATAATTTCTAAAAAGAAATTTAAATTTTTTCAAATCTCTAAAAAAAGTAAAGAACAATAGAACAGAGAGATGGAATAACCATTTGCCACTCGGTATCAAAAGAGTAGGTATTGAATTGTAATTAGAACTGGATGACATCCATTCGAGCTCTTGCATTCATTAGACTAACCAGTGAATTTGCTAACTTGTCCCCCATTACATATATACAATACAATAGACAATTCAACGGGTTCAGAATAAATTTCTAAGATGTACAGCTTATAAAATTAAAATTCTCTATTTTAATATTTTGGATTCCTTTGGTATCTTAACTTTGGAAAAAAGAGGAATTTACCCCGATCTCTTTTTTATAAACTTATGAATAATTACATTGTCTCCTTATTTACTTTCTAAATTAAACTTTAATGTACCCCAGCTCTCATCCTAGAAACTTAAAATTTCTTCATTTCCACCCCATAATATTAATTACATAAAAGAAAATCCCTTACAGTTTTACCAAATGCACATTACCTCTCAGGAATCAGGCTTTTGGGTTGCAGCATTACCCCAGGTTTTCCTTTCTGAAATTATTGTAATGAACTTTTCATCCTCAGTTTCAATAGGCCTACATTGCGTTTTTGGATGAAATCACAAAGGAGAAGCCCAATAAATTATCCTCAGTTAACATTCGACGAACCCACATATCAGTCTGAGAAATAAATACAGCTGCTCTCAGATGCCTTGAATCCCTTATATATTTACTTAAAAATTCATACATTATTTTTTGGTCTATTTTTTTTATAAATAAAACCTTCATTTTTCATTTTGGGCTATAAACTAGATAATTCAACATTTCGTTTTATGTAATTATTTATTAACAAATAATTAAGTGTTACATTAAAATCAAAACAGTAATATTTTTTATGTAACAACTGCCAACAAATTATTCATTCACTTACAAAATTATCAAGAAATAGCTCAAAATTTTTAATTTTTTGTTCAACAATCATTTGCATTTATTAAAGTAAATTAATTAATTAATTGCAAAAGCTTATTGGCATTTCCTCTAATAAAACAAGTATATGCCAAAATATGGTACATTAAATGAAAGAAAGAAGAGATGGGATGTTAGATATTTGTGTAAAACTGCTTTGAAAATTCTTAATTTCAACCTAAGAACAGTCTTCAGAGATAGATTTTCTTATTTTTTATACAAAGCAGGAAAATCCTGCTTAGGAAGGAAATTCAGTATAATTAACTTATTTTCTGTATTAAAACAATTCTGTTGAATTATATGTTAATTTATATTTTTGTTTGTTTTATTTTCTCCTGTGGTGTGTGGGGTGATAAACCAGTAATTTACTGATTTATCTTCGACATTTCGCCATCTTCAGTGTGTCTCTTTCTCTATTGTGCAATTTCCAAGATTTATAAATTACAACGATTTTACTACTTACATAGCAGAAACAAATAAATACAGAACAAAAAATATATTGTTGATTTACATATATTGATAGGATGGTGCTAGTTTCATAAAATTCAATCAAATATTAGAAAATTCAATTACAAAGAGCAATTATTTATGGTTAGTATGAACATGAAAATACTATTTTAAGTTAATAATTTAATTAAATAACATTAAAATACCTGCTTTGAATTTTTTTGGGTAGCAATTTGACCTGAAATTTTTTTTCAGATCATGGCCAGAAGATTTGGTCGATGTATAGGCCAAATTACAGGTGATAGATAGTTAACTGTAGGAGCCCCCGGGCTGGCCGTAGAGGAGGAAAGGTTGTCAAAGGATTCTAAAAATGACGACAGTTAGGTCGACAGGCTCTAACGACGACGACGATGGTTAGAGAAAATAAGGTCTTTTAAGTAGTTTTGCATATTCAATTCAGTTACTACCTCCAGTCAAGGTTCTAGTTTGAAAAGGTGAGCCTGTCCTAAAATCGCGGCTAGAGCTCATTAAGGAACTAAAACTGATCTGTGCGAAGGTGATCAGTCTGATTAAAATGACCCTCCAGAATACGGAAGCCAAAATTGCCAAAAAATGCTTAAGTGGAGGACCCTCAGAGTTTTTAATAAACATTGGCTTTAAGACAAGGATATAGATCTTTTCCAATCCTCTTCAATTTAGTGCTAGAGCTAACTCCCTGGATAGGAGGAGGAATACCTCTGGATGACTCAGTCATTGTGGCTCGGTCTCTGTGTTGAAAGCAGATTTCGAGGATGGAGCGGTGTCATTTGCCCTAAACATTAGTGAAGAAAAACTAAATTCAAGGTGACCACGAGGAACGTAACGTGAATGAACACTGGTTTGAAGGTGTGACTGTCCTAACCTTAAAAAATGAGGTGGTACACGATATAAGCAGTAGGTTAGCCGCAGGAAATAAATTCTTAGGAGCTTTAATGAAGACATTCCGAAATAAATTGTCTAAAACAGCCAATATCGCCATTTATATGACGATCCTTATGGCAGGAGTCACATACAGATCCGCTACCTGGTCACTCACCGTAGCAGAAGAAAACAAAGTAACTGCATGGAGAAAAAGGTGCTGTGTGTAAGTTTTGAGCGGTGAAAAACGGGATTACAGGCCCCCATACAGCGCAGAATTGAAGTAGTTGAACAAGAATGAAGATCTAATAATAACTATAAAAAAGGGTAGACTTCTCTGTTGGGTCACCTTTGTAGGATGGAAGTCGACAGACCTTCTCCGTTGTCGTAAAGCGAGGAAGAGCATTCTAGAGGGTGATTAAGGTTACAGTGGTTGACAAATGTAAAGAACAACAGAAGCGTACGGCAGTGGAGGAGAAAGGCAGAAGATCGGAAAGAATGACAAAAAAGTTGTTTGTGGCCAAGGTCCGAAAAGTAAGGTGAGCCTCTAGGGAGCGATGAGAGGACGGGAATAGGATAACAGTATCATCTACAAAAGTGTGAATAAATGGGTAGGTAGACTATTCATGACGGAGTTCTGCCGTATATGTTGAAAACTGGATGGGACCAAGGATACTCCCTGTGAGACTCCAACCTTGGAGGATGAAAAGTAAGTTGCTTCCAAATAAATCTCGGTTGCCAGGAGGCTTGAGCCACTTCAGGGAAAGCACTACCTCAGCTCAAGACAGGAAGGGTGTGTTGACATTAGTTTATAATAAATAAAAGTATTTGGAAAAATTTTGAATTTCAAACAATAAAAAGGGAATTTTTTTGTTGATAATATGAACAGTAAGTACTAGTAATTAGATTTTTGAAAACATGTTCAATTCCTTGGTTTGGTGTTATTCAATTCTGTACTTCAATAGACTGATTATAAATGTAATAACTAAATATGAAAACGTTGCAATGTTTCTAAGAAAAATATTATAATAGCTAGTCCCAAGCCTAAGGCCCAAACTTGGAAGATGCCTGATAGATTTTCGATCTTGAGGCCTCTAGCAGGTGTGATTTTAGGCTTGGTCCTGCTCAAGACGGATCTTGTGAATTGAAGTTTCTCGGCTCTTTCAATTTCAACTTTCCAGGCCACTTTGTGCGCGATCCCCGTCTCTTTCAGCTGTTGGATGAATACGTTGAACGATCTGATAAAAGGGTTGCCCATCTGGAAAGCGAATCCGTCGAAAGCCTCGATGATACAACCTCTCGTAGCTTCGAAATCATCGAGCGATCTGGAAGAAAATACCGACTCTTTGGGTAGGAAGAAACCGTCCTGTAACTTTGCACCGTAAAGGACGTGCTTCCTATCTTTAAGAGCTCTGTGTAAAGCCTCCGTCGAAGCAGCTCTGTACGACCTGTACCTCCACCGATAATGCCAGAAATTCTAAAAACAATTAAAATACATAAAAGAACTTCGGCCAAGAATTAAGTAAAACGCACATTAGTCAGGTCCAAAAGTTCCTTGAAGTCAGGTTGCTTTGTGTAAGTCCAACGATAATCCTTTTGGATAAACTCTTTTATTGTTTGAGGCTTTTTTGAATATCTAGTAGTAGACAGAAACGAGACGAGACTGCTGGAAAAGCATGTTGTAAGGAGCACGCTGATCAGAGCGAACCTAATAAGACCAATTATTTACGAGAAAATAATTTAAAAAATTGACTTAGAACAAAGGTAAAACACACACCATGTTAGAATGTGCCTCGTGGCGCCTTGGTTTGCGTTGGAAGCAGGTACACTGCTCAATACTAGAATCGAGATCAACTGAAATAAGCTTTGCCCTATGCCTTTATACTCTAAAAAAAGTAAAATTAACAAAAATTATCTTTGGCTTACGATAATCACGACTAGTACTAACTTGAAACTTTGCTTTGGACGAATTTGTGCGTTAAAATCGACACTCGCTGAAGTATGACTGAAGTTACACCTAGTAAAGCACCAGTCGCGTACCACACGTCCTCGGAAAACGGCAAAAATATACCGTACCATTCCGAAGCGAGCATCTTCGGCCTCGGTATTAGGAATTTGAAGCAGAGCTGGTACAGAGGAGTTGACATTTGTATGTGAAATTTATATTTGCTCGCGGAGACTCGAATGCCGCAGAAAGCCATGTCGATATTCGATTTGGACAACGGGGTCCTGTACCACTTGTCCAAGGAAAACAAAACGATTTCGGATGCGTTGTCAGGCGGTAAGTGGAAGTTGATCGTTATGTTTAGGCGTCTCGCGATTATCCGGAGCAATCTCATTTCTACACCATTAAAATCTGAAAATGCAGAATATCCTTCCAAATATTGAACTCAGACCCAGTAAATAAGTTTACTTACGGCTGATATTATGTACGTCTGTAATGGGCCATTTCAACCAAGAGAAAACAGAGCAATTTGATGTCATTACGTCCATTTGTCTGCCTTGAAAATCGTCAAAGCCGCGTTCCTATAATTTGTTTAGGGATTTTTTAAACTGCCGAAAACATTATATTTTTATATACTTACGTGAAATTTCCAAGGAGCGGTGATATTTTTGACGAGTTCAAATTTTCGAATCGGCTGGCCTAGTTTATATCCTTTGTCGCGGTCGTTCGTAGCATAGACGAACGTTTCTGCATTGCCGAACAACGGCATTTGTTCCTAGAAATCTTTGGTCATTAAGTCATAACATATGTTCGACACTACTCACATTCAGTAGTTTGTTAAAGAAAAATTTGCTTTTCATCTCAGTTATGACCAGGATCCTGTGGTCCGCCCATTTAGGAAGTTGCTCGATCATTTTGGGAACGTTTTGGACTAACGCGCTCAAAATGACGAAACCATTGCAGTTAGTACTGTACTGCGTGTTGTCGATGTTCGCATCCATAAGGATGACAGGTGGGGTTTTTTGAGCCAGGAAGACCTCGTGAATGAGACGTTTGGTGTAAAGGCTGTCGTCGTGGTAAAGCTAAAAATAAGTACTTTTGGATCATTTGTGGTGATGCCGGTGTTACATATATAATTTCTAGCTTGAATGTTTCCGATTTGATCCGCCATCTTCAGTGGTGGGTTTCTACCTCTCCCTTCTTATAACCCTGACTTGAATACCAACTAGAAAAAAATAGCAAAAAAAGACCAAATAGGCCAACCTACAGGTTCATGATCCGCAGACCTCAAATTGAAATACCTCTTTTTTTTCTCCCGGTCAGAACGCTGACAACATGGACAGAATTGGACACTGAGGACCTGAAGAAACTAGCCAACGCTGGTGGAGGTCTCGAGGCCATCGTCGTTTAGACGACGTGGCGGGTTCTCAGGATGGGAGTATGTAGATAAAGTTTGGCACTAGAGTTAGATGGACCGTGTGTGGAATTTTTACAAGCAGGATCGGATCAGTTCGTTGACAAAAGGAATGTTGAGGTCATTGTGGATATTGAGGTTGTTGACGTAGTAAGCAGGTTTGACAATCTGTTTGAGGACTTTTGATTGGATGGATTGAATATTAGATGGCAGATGAACCCCATACTTCCATTCTTTATGTTCAAAGTGGTCGTCAATAATGACTTGAGGTGTATTAGTTCTAGTTTGTAAGCTAAAAACAGATTTCGATCATAAAGGCCCTCGCAGTTATCCAGTCTCATGTTAAGTTTTATGCGGGGATTCCACGTCAGTCTGCTGTCTAGGTAAGTCTTGAGTATCTGACGAGTGGAAGTCGGTACTTCCTTGATGTTTATGTACAGAAGAATGTACACCGGGCCCACTTCTCCTCATTTACTCTCGTAATTAACTTTTTGCACCTATGGGTAAGCCTAAGGTGTTCTTGGATAGGATTCGGGCTAGAAGGACAGCAGTATAAATGGAATACAGGATGGGAACAAGAATGCTCCCTTGTGGGACGCCAGCTTGTATCGATCTAATATATCAGTGTTCATTGTCGCACCTCAAAAATAAAACACAATTAACTAAAAATCGTTGTTAAATAATCGACCAGTTTTTCGAAATATGGCATAACAGAAAGATTTTATTTCAAGAATTCGTTGATTACACCATCAGATGATTTATTCAAATTTAGATTATTAAAACAAATTTAACAATTATTTACAATTTATAAAAGTTAATGAGCAAGAAGAAGGTGACCTTTTCCAAATCGGTAAACACTATCAGGAAATTTTAGAGTCAGATTCTTCCCAAATTTTCTTTCTCCATAGAATTTTCTTGAGAATACCAGTGTGGCTTCAGACCGGGAAGATCAACTATCACCATATATTCTCATACAGGCAGATCTTAGAGAAGTCCTATGAATTTAACATGGATCTACATCACCTATTTGTGAACTACAGACAAGCGTACGACAGTGTGTATAGGAAGGAAGCCTTAGCAGATTTAAGGGTACTTGGTGCACCAAGTAAGCTAGTTAGGCTAATCGGTGGCATAACACGATCTGCCAAGTCAAAGTGCAAAATACACTGTCGGAGGATTTTAGAGTATATGAGGGAGATTTGAAAGTACTTAACTGCGGCCTTCTATCATGTGTCATCTTCAATCTCTGTTTAAAAATAGCGGTACGGGCCATTAGAACAACCCAGGCGGCACTATTTATAATAGATTAATGCAACACATGGCATATGCGGACGACGTATTAATTATAGCAAGAACAAAGGCGGCACTGGGAGGAGCACTTAGGAACTGCAGAAGCCAGCAAGAAGCGAGTCTGGAAATTAACGAAGGTAAAACTAAATACATGAGCACCTCGAGATCCCATGGATGGAAGGACCAGTACAAATTGGAAGCCATAGTTTCCCAGTAGTCAGTAATTTTAAATATATAGGGTCCTTAGTAACAAAGAATAATGATGTAACGGCAGAAATAAAGACAATAATAGAGGCAGGAAACAGATGCCTGTTTGCGGTACAAAAGGCTATGCGGTTCAAGAACCTATCTCTCAAGGCTAAGATTATAGCTTACAAAGCATAGATATAAGGCCAATAGTTATGTACTCTAGCGGAACATGGTGTAAATGGCGAATGGAAAGTATGTAAGAATGATGAATTAAAGCAATTATTTGGTGAGCCGGATATAGTTTCCCAAATAAAGAAAGGAAGATTGAGATGGTTGGGTCACGTGGAGAGGATGCCTGAAGTAGGCTTGCAAAGAAACTTCTCTATGGGAAGCCAGGAGGCTCAAGAATACGAGGACACCCTCAGCCTAGGTGGTTGGACGATTTGAAGGAGGATCTACGGCGGAAGTGTAAGGAGATGGCGCCTCGAGGCAGAAGACCGAAACGAATGGGGAAAACTATTGAGGAGGTCCAGGTCCTGCTGTAAGGACGATTGCCCGATTAAGTAAGTAAGCATAGAATTTTCTGCAGGGTAATGGATCTTCGCTTCGCATTCGCTGTTTTCAGTACCGGCTCTGACAAATTTTGCAGTGTTGTGGAAAGTCATAGGCTGGTCGGTCAGGGTATAAGCAAGGTAAGGCACCAACTCAAACGCAATGGAAACGCGTCTGTCAAACCAAAACGACCGGAAGCGACTAAACTACCCATACAAATAATTATTACAAAAATCAATAACGACGTAAAACATTAAAATCTTACGTAGCAGCAGCGAATATCGGGCATAACATAAGCAAAAAGCTCTTCTATTTTACTCGACAATGAATCTTCCGATAAATAAATGTCATATTCGTTCATTTTGTTTAATAAAGCCTTATTTGCAACACTTTGAAGCGGTATTATTGAAAATATGCTAGACCAAATAAACAAACAGGAAGGGTTCATATTTGCCTATGAAAACTCGAGTGCACAATAGGATAGAACCAACGAACTAAACACAGTTTTCATTTGGAATATTATTTGCTTCTAATCTTTCTAACGACACGCTAACTTCCAATCTGAAAATATCAACTATGATCATCTCGGATAAAAGAGCTTTGATTTAAATTCATAAATATACTACAGATTCTTTTTATTATGATAATTAATATCTTCAAAATGGCATGTGGTATCCTAATAAATGTAATCTCAATGGCTAACGACGACACCAAAGTACTCAGGTCATCCGTAATTACAACCTTAACAAATTACTTTTATTTATAAAAACCTATTTATTTTTCAGTTATTGTCCACTATAGTTAGTAATGATCAATATTTCTATAATCTCCCAATTTGGTTTTCGTGAATTTAATTTGTCCAATGATGAAACGTGATAACACATCACGAAATCGAACATGAATCATAAATATAAACTCCGTTTGAGATTTTCATTAAGATAAAGGGATCCATAAAAAAAAAATCTTTTTCAAGTGACATGCCATTGTCCGGTTCAATCAGGTCTGATAGATTTTGCATCACACAATATGTTTGAATCATTTGAGTTTTCTTAACTTCATCTTTGAACTTGATATTTTAACATATTCTATTTATGTGTTTGTAAGGGACTGATTTTTTAGTTTTCTTTGCTTCCGCTCACATAATTTCTACATGGTTTGTAGTGGACTCTGTCCAAGATACCGATGTGAATCCACAATAGTCAAACTCGTTTTTTCCTTACTGCGAGAACAGTAGCTGCAAGGTGGCTTTACTCCCAGCTAATGTTGACCTATATTTAACTTAAATTCAGAATAAATTGTGAGTAGTGAAATTTTTTTAGGTCTGCCGAAGCTATTTCGGTCTGTATAGGTTTATTATATAGTTATGATCAGGGTTATATGCAGGGTGAAGCATTTTTTTAACGAGGGTATTTCAACTATGAGGTTATATAAACCCTCGGGGTGCCGATGTTTGTGAAAAAAGCCCATTTGTAAGTATGTCGGGTTCGAATACAGGACCGCTGGATTCGAATCCAGGTCCTTTACCTTATAGTGATGAGCGCCGCGTCAACGCTTAAACCATTGCGGCCACCGACGCCCCTCTGTTGTGATATGTTTATTATATAACTATGGTCAGGGTTATAAGCAGGGTGAGACCCGAAACAAACCCAACCAAATGATTTTTCTGAATTGATTGTAGGCATCGCTTTACACCTAGTTTTTTCGCCCGTTTCTAGCCTCAATTTAGAATAAATTATGATTGGTGAGATTTCTTTTTGAGGTGTGCGGAAGAACTTGTAGCTTGGTCGTTTCCGATCAGATTTGCTTTCATACTCTTTGATTATTATTAGATTCTTTGTCTTGAGTCGTATTTTTCAGCCTAGTTTTAGCCTGCAGTATACCAGGGTACGGAGACTTCTGAGATAGAAGAAGTGTTTGTAGGTATGCCACAAGGGTCAATACTCGCTCCGCTGTTGAACACAATTTTTACTTCTGATATGCCCATTTTACTTCACGCCACATACGCAGATGACACAGCCATATGAACAAGTCATCCCTCTCCCACACAAGTTTCACTTATGTTGCAAAACCACATATCAACAATTGAAAAATGAAGCAATCTTTGGAAAATAAAGTTTAACCCCTCAAAGTTACAACATATCACCTTTACCCTTCGTCATGAGATTTGTCCTAGCATATACTTATACATATACTTACACAATAATAAATTATGAATAGTGAGATTTTTTGAAATCTGCAGAACCCGTAGCTTGGTCGCTTCCGATTATTTTGACCTGCTATATCGCTATATTCTCTATATCTCCGGAGGTGGTGAAAGGCACGGCTGAAAGGAACCGCAAAACTGCCTTTTTCAAGGCACGTGTATGGATGTGCCCTTTTTAGGGCACTTCTGAACTTGGTTAGCATTGCAGAACCTCGCTAGCTAAGGGATGTGACAATGCATGTAAAATCTTCCTGGGGGGGAACACTGGGCATCTGAGAAATCCCGCTCCGGGATAAGTCCGGATGTTGAAGATCATCATGGGTCTTAACAACCATGAGTAAAGACGGGAATATCTATTACGTTGAGCGCCACGGTATTTTTTGGTGAAGGATAAATACCGAAGTCAGGAAAAAAAGGAATAGAGATAAAGAAAGGGAAGGAGAGAGGAATGAAACTAAAAGTCAGATCGTTTCTCCGACCGATGTAGCGCCTCTTGCTTACTCTCCTTGTTTGAAGAACTCGCGCTTCCACCCAAGGCGTGGGAAGTAACCTTCCTACCTTTTTTTTTCCTTTAGCAAGCAAGCTTCTTCCTTCTCCGGCAGTTAATTCAATAGCACGCTTGTGGTTAATTAGCGTTTAAGATAAGGATAAGAAAAAATGAACAAAAGTAACAACTATTCTATGTATAGCTAAATTTACATAATCATTTTTAAATTAAACTAATAACAAAAGGAAACTTACATCTAATATCGGAACTCCCGAATTATCAGGCCTGATAAAAAAATTGAGAAGGACCAAACTCGCAGGATCACTCCTCCACTTTACCTGAACACGGTACAGCCGTGCTCTCCAGCGTTCTCTTCGGAAGAACCCTCCGCACCCGTAGACGAACCAATGGGACCATACTTTCACGGGCCACACACTCTGTTTTTTTTCCAACTTTTTTCTTGTCCTCGCGGGGACCACCTCTCACTCCGATCGTCTGTCTCGAACTGACTGCCATCTTCTTTTTTTCTTAATCTCGAACCCAGTGCCCTGTCAGGATCTTCCCGGCCGCGAAATGCTTCCTGATTCTCGCCTCGGTTCAACCCGTCACATTTTAAGTTTTATTAATTTTTCTTTCGAGAAAAAACGTAATAGCAGTTTAGTTGGCTAATTATTCCTCAGCACAGTGCTTTTCTGTTCAGTTTTATTATAGAGATACTTTAACTACCTAATGTGCTACAAAGAGTTTGTCGTATTGTTTCATTGAGTACATGACCTCAAGAAGGAATTCCAGTCGGTCAGTGATATACAGTGGTATCAAATATACTTAAATATACATAAGCAGATGTATATTTTTTTTGGCTTTTAAAATAAAAAAAGTCAAAATTTTATTATTAATCTACACATTGAAATTCTCAAAATTTTAGTTTTTTTTAAATAATTTACTGCTGAATTTACATTTCAAATAATTACGCAATGTTACTTTATTTTGGCGTTAACCATTTCTCCGACGAAGACTAAGATTGAAATCATCAGTCCAAGGATCAAAAAGTCAAATATTCCGTTGAGATTTTCCATTTTTAGTTTTTTCGCCTTCTGCGTAGTGCTTCTCTTTTTCTTGAGTTGGTACAGCGACCTTCGATTTTGAAAAAGCCGACGAATCACCCTGTCGAATTTCTTTCTCGTGATACCCGCCTCAGTGAGTTTTCTGATGTAATGGTTGAAAGGCCGGTTAAAAGGGGAGCCGACCCGGTACAAAAATCCTTCGAAGTTCGACGTCAGGCAGTGGTTCACGGTCTCGAATTGCTGCAGGACTTCCCCGTCGATGTTTTCACCGAAAGCTACGTTGATTCGAGAAATTTGTTGTGTCAAAATAACCGATTTTCGATCCTCTTTTAGTATTTTGTTTAAATCGCTACCGTTGACAATTTTCACCCGTTCAAACCACTTTTTGAATTTAACCTGCTGAAAGAAATAGCGTATTTATTAACAACATGAAAGTTATATATTTAAATTTTACCTCCATGTCGAAAATTCCTTCATAAGGTGCTTTCGTAACTGGCCAGAAATAGCCGTGGTTGAGAAACTCGTTAATGTAGTTATATTTGGTTCTATGTTTTACGGTAGCTAGGACAGAGACAAGGATGCTCGTATAGCTATTAGTTAACAATAACGCAAATAAAACCCACCTGTAAATTTAAAGAAAAAAACTATGATATAAGGCTAAAAGGAGGGAAAATTCGAAAGATAGATTGTGATGGGGAGTTAGTGTCCGCGTGGATCGAAGTCACAGTAACTTAACTCAAGAGGTTAGAGCAGCGGCGTATTGAGCCGAAGGTCGTAGGTTCGAATCCCGCTCGAGACATTAACTTTTTAATTTCAACCAATACCTTATATAAGGATTAATTAATTGAAATAATTTATTTGGTCAATCGGACCACGAAATTTTATGGATATAATGATAAAGTGTATTCAATATTTACATAAATAAAATGTAGAGGAACTGAAGAATACTGCATACTTACTAGTCTGCAGAGTTTTGGATAGGTTAAAGTACGTCAGTAATCACAATAAAAATATTTGTGAGATTTTTTAAACCTGCAATTCGACCGATTCCGATTAACCGCCTGTCATCTCCGCTTTCATCGGTCACTCGCTTTTCATCTCACCCTACTTATAACCTTTACATGAAAACAAGCACTGAATAAGGGAAAAGACGAAACGCGGCTGACCGAACAAACCAGCAAGGCTAGGTAGATCAAAAAGTCCCAAACTACAAATTGAAAGAGAGTAAGGTTGTAAACTGAGGCTGAGTTACATGAAGAGGAGCAAGAAACAGCCTGGAAATGCCCAATACGAACATACAGACAGAAACGTTGGATTACTTAATTAAAAAACCAACAATCTACAAATAAGAAAAACCAACTAACAGAGAAGTGCTGGGGAATAATAACAAATTAAACTATTTATCAAAGCGTTCTAACATTAGTAGATATAACTACATATGAACTAATAACCCCCATAAACTAAAAATTTAATATGTATTTATTTGTGGGGGGAATTAAAATAGATTAAAGTGAAATATTTCATTTCACGTGCAGTAGAATAAAGAACATTAAACTCACAACATAACATAGTAGTTTATGTAGGTAATTCTTTCCTCTTTTTGCTTTCTTTCTTTCTCTCTCACTCTCTCTCTCTCTCTCTCTCTCTCTCTCTCTCTCTTTCTCTCTCTCTCTCTCTCTCTCATGTTCAAATAATCAATCAATTATTAATCTCGTTTTTTATTGTATATTGTATTGTATACTAATTGTATTATATACTACTCCTCTCTATCATGTACTTTTGTCTGACTGCCACACACGCCTCCCTCTCACTCACTCGCTCTTATTTTCTCTCTTACTTTTTCTCAATGTTTGACTCTCTGTTTCTCTCCTTCTTGTATGTCTCTGGGTCTCTGTCTGTCTGTCTTTCTCTCTTTCTCTCTCTCTCTCTCTCTCTCTCTCTCTCTCTCTCTCTCTCTCTGTCCCGTCTGTCTTTCTTTCTCACACTGCTTCGCTTTTTTTCTCTTGCGTCTTACTTTACTTTATCTCACTCTCAATCTTTACTATGTTTTTTTCTCTGTTTCACTTATTTTCATTCTGTCTTTCTCCTCTCTTAATATATTTCTATCTCTATCTATCTGTCTGTCTTTACCACAAACTATTCACTCACTCTCCATTCAATCAGTATGACTATCTCTTTACTCTTTTTCTTTCTGTAATATTATCTCTGTTTAAAAGTGGTCGGTAAACCATGCTTAGGGCCTTGTGCCAATCATCAAATAAACTAGTCTTTTCTACATTTATAGGCTTATTCTATCTAATATCGAACGAAACGTAATATCTAACGTCATTTCAACTGTAAACTTCAAAAAGTCAATAAAGCCAGGATGATATAGGCAAACGAATGCTATCGGCGACGAAAAGAAAAAACAAACATCAAATAATGTTGATTTAAAATAGGTTTGTTACATCAGTAATCATTAGTAAATTTACCATGCTATAATGTGCCTAATAGGTCCCAATTTAACCCCCATTTTGGGCCAGCTTCCTAGTGCAAGAATACCAAAAAGCATTTGCAAACTATTTCCGAAATGTCCGTACTCTGAAAAAACAGAAAAATTTCTTATTTTGCAATACATTTTCAAAAAAAAAATTGCACTTACTCTTGGTATCAAATTTTTTAACTCTCATCAATAATCTAGCTAAAAGGAGTAAGAGTACAGACATTGAAACCACAGTTGTGAAAAGAGTGAACCAAGTGTCTAAAGCGAATGGCCTGAATATCGCCAATATGCTGTTGTTTACTTCTGGAGGCCGGTGTACGGCGAATATGAAGCATATGAGGTGCACTGGTGCAGAAAGTTCCAAGTTCATGGGCACTTTGCTCGATTCGATCAGGCACCCGCAGAAGCCCATGTCCACATTGCCGTCAATAACTTTATTCAACATTTCACCCTGAGAATTTTCAATTCCGTATTTGACCATGCCTTCCATCGGGATCACCTTATGCGTCGCGTTAACCCTGGTTGCGATCTCTTTGAAAAGTTCGTAATCATAACCGTCCGAATATGCTAAAAATAGTTCGATTAAATTTTTAAAAAAATTGTGCGTTCTTAGTCGGATCGGGTCATTACTTGGACGGCCGTCTTCTTCAATCGGACCCAACTGTGAAAATATACTACAGTTGTACGTTGAGATTTTTATCTCACGCCCTTGGAAATTGAAAATTTCACCCTCCTGGAAGAAACGGTACATTTGAATACGTACATTTTACGTTTTAAGTTCACTTACGTCTAACGGCCAGAATCCCGTATCGATAGAAAACTTATTGAATGTTCTTACAGGCTGCTCAATTCTATAGCCGATGGTGATATTGGACAGCATGACGACTAATGCCTGAGCATCTCCAAACATACTTGCATTGGCCTGAAAATATAAATCCTGTTTCATTATTTAATTTTGTTTTGTACAAAATTATAAAATTTAACGAAGGAAATGAATGTTTCCTCCCCAGGATACTGCTTCGTGAAGCTTATTGCAGAAGGTGATGCCATGATATGATGCTCATTGTCAAGCTCACCAAAACAATCTATTCCGTATATTATCTTTATTTCCATTCTCTGGTTTGGTTAATTTTCAGAAGCACCAAATACTGCTCAGAGAATGTCGACTCCACCTGCGAATACTTAGGTATTTCGAGTGTGTTGAAGCAATCAACGACTGACACAGTCTGAATATAAATTATATAAGAGCATGCCACTTATTCTCGTCCAATGCAACAAACCATTAGAATTATCTCTGCCCTCAGCACCAAGGATTAACAAAAGGAAAGAGACACCAGTGTAAACAATACTTAAGAACAGAAAAATAAGTGTGCACTTTTATTTGATTACATAGCATCACCACAATTGTCATATCAAAATAGAAAAAGCTTAAGCTTACTGATTGCATAAAAAATTAAGAAATATCAACCCCATTTCAAAGTAGTTCAGTTGGAAATTATATATTAATTTTAAAATTTATTGGTAGTTAAGTGACAAGTGCTTACCTTCACGAAGGTCTCAAGTTGATCGACACTTCCTAAATTTATGAGGGAAAGGATTCTGTGTTTTGACCATTTGGGGACTTTTGGTAGAATCCATGTCATCGATGAGATATTTTTGGACAGTATCAGATAGTTGTTGCAATCAAAGGTTTCCTTCCTGATGCCCTGAATGAACGACAGGGTGACATTAGCTTTCATTATCTGAATAAGCAGCGTTTCGGCCAGGGTCGATTTATCAGTGACCATCTGAAAGTTTAAAATCTCTGCAGAATGAAACAGTAAATAAAAGCTGTTCCTTTTTAATTACGTGAATGCATTTGATTTTCTTCGGAAAGGTGTAGATGAAAGGTATGGTCAGATTGACGACCCTCAGCGGTACATTTTCGACGTCCGTGAAACTCTCCACGGACTGGTGCATAAGTTCGTTTGCAGAAGTTTGGGAAAAAATCAACAAGAAGTTTATCAACATTTCGGCCGATGTTTTTCGAGACTATCGGCCTGTCCCCAGGGTATAGTTTCCTTTTTGATGGACAATATAGATAAACACTTGTTTCCTTTAAACATGCGATATTATTAAGTGTACATAAATTTCATTCATTATTGATTGCCTTATGTGCCAGGGTTGATATTGAATTAATCCAATTATCATAAATTAATTTCAAATTGAAAGCTACCAAAAAAAAGAAGAAATCGTGATCAATTTCCTAACAATTTTTTTAATAACGTAGAATTAAAAATAATTCTGTTTACGAATACATTCGGTATTTTTTTAAACACACACACAAGAAATAAATAAAAACAAAACGTCAGATTTGTTAAAACGACACTGTTACGCCAGTTTTACCAGATTATATTATATCTTCAGTCGGCTGGTATTTATCTACATTTAAAAGAATTTTACTTTAAATTAAATAATCCAAAAATAGAATGAATTGAACTGTATACAACAGCATCTTTACCGAGGAGTAACGAAAATTGTTGGAACTATGGAAAAAAAAAACTGCAGTTCAAGGTGTCTTCATTTATTTCTATAACTTGATGATTTTCAGCATTATTAGTTTATTGTTTGATATACATTATTTGACGGAAAATATTTTGCTCAACAACTATCATTTTGGTCTGCATTCTTGCTGTTTTGGTATGTCATTTCAGACATTTCACCATTACTGGGATGGACTTGTGCTCTATCCTATATTTTTTCTAGTATATATTCTTTTCTTCTAGTATATCCTATATTATTTTACGATTATACGATCCTCTTGCCCCTCCATGCTTATATCCCTGACAGGTAGGCCAGAATGATCGGAATCGGCCAACTTACAGACTTATCAAATGACAGAGCTCAACCCAGTTTAGCGATAAATCGGTGTGCAGCGACTTTTAGTTGTAATCATGAAAGAGCACAGAAAATGTTAATTTACTTATGAACTGCTTTTATCAAAAATTTGCTATTATTCTAAATGACATTGAGGTTTAAATCAAATGTTTATTTCAACTTTATTTTATCAGATTACACAAGCTAATTTTGATTTTTATGTTTCAATTTTGACTGGTTTTTGATTCCTTTAGTAAGAAATTCAGCTATGAAGGTGGTTATGGCAAAGAGAATGCCTGTGGCGAAAATAATAAAAGCACATTTTGCGTGAAGTAACGAAAATTTTTGGGATGTCATTTCTTTCCCTTTTGACAGTTCATACTCCCTCATGCTTGATTTGTCCCAATGGTTGACAATTCCACTTTCTAAAAGAGAGGTCATTACATACCTAAAAGGTTCGTTGTAAAGTGAATCTTTTTTCATTATTATCGCTGAATTGTGCGAAGTTATAGTGCAACCTGGAATTATGTGTAGACCCTTGGAGACGTTCCTGTGCAACAAGACGTGTTCTTCGGCCAGTTCCAATTTTTCCTTGGTGTGGAAGACGGCGAAATTTCTTTCCTTGATCAATCTGTACACAACGTCGTTGAAATCACCTGGAAGGAGCATTTCAAAACGTTTCAACACTTCCTTGATGGCATCGCTCGTCTCACTGGAAGCACTTAAGACATGGTACATCTTCGGGTCACCGGTGAGCGTGAGGTTGGTTTTTAAAAGTTCCGCCACCGAATCGATGTTGGTACTGTCCGGAGGTACTGTCACAAAGCTGCCCATCGACGCCTGATACGCGGACGTCATTACAAAACAGAAAAACAGCCAGTTGATGTAGAACATTCTCAGCGCGTTCGACGTCGGCTTTGGATCGACCGATACGTTCAAATAAATTGCAAATAAATGCAAAGAGCTGAATTTTGAAGTGAAACGATCCTCTTGTGATTTGTAAAGATAAAACACGATATGAAAAAATGCCCATACGATGATATGGTTAACGATCAGTGCATACCATGTATAGTAGTCGAATTCGAAAGCGTACATCGTCCATATGCTCGGCATGGCACCTGCTTTGACCGGCACGGCCCACGTAAAACAGTCGACGTTTAGCTGCACTGGAGACAAAATGTTTGGATCGTAGTCCAAAAGCTGAGAAAATATCCCGACTCCTATGTCCGATTGGCCTTTTAAAACGCTCTGTATGACCGCTGTTGAAAGGTTAAAGTAAGCGGCTGCATATGCATTCGCTTCCCTGTCCATTTCCACAATAAGAGTTGAAAAATTCATAAATTTCTTTATCGTCTGAAAGAGCTTAATGGGGACTCCTTTAATCGACTGCTGGTTCAATTCGCTGAGCGACCTATCTTGAAGAGACACCTTTATAGAACAGCCTTGCAAATTGTACAGTTTTCGCTTTCTTGAAAATATGTTTTTCTCTCTTGCAAATCCTTTTATCCATTTATTCCAAGTATTGATTCTTATCGGAAAAGTGTCAGAACACCCGTTTGAATTAAATGGGAAAAATGTCAGTACGTACAGTCCTGTTTCAGATACATAAAGAGCAGCCACATCGAGTAATCTAAAACTCCACGTCAGCTCGAACTTATTGACAACATCGTGAAATTTTTTCGTGATTATTAAATATTGTAAAGAATTGTACTGAGCTGTTTTAAAGAATCTCGAATAGACATTAAGGTCCGAGTTTGGAATCAGTATAAAAAGCCCTTTTAAACTTTCACGGCTTTCGACGGCGGAGTGTATGAGCATCTTCGGCCAGTCAAGTTGCAATATCGTATCGGCGTAATCCGAATTTTTCACTTCGTCTCCAAACATAACAATCTGCTTGTAGAAAACGTGTTTTTCTATAATTTCATTGAGACATTGAAAAAGGGATGAATTGTTGATAGATACGCTATTGAAAACTGGCAGTTTAAAATTAAAAGAAAAGCCTAAACCAAAAAACAATATTGTAGTGCATAGGACAATAGTGGCCATCCTACCAGCTTTCTAACAAATCGGGGAAAAGGAGTAGCACTTTCTATATCGATTTCCATATTTATTTTGGTTTGCTTTTAACAAATTAAACCGAACAATAGAGCTTTTTAGTACAAATCGATCCCAAATAGCCCAACAACTTTAGAATTGAATAGGTTGAAAAGTACACAAATTATACCTCCTTTCAAATCTAATTTTGACACTATAATCATATTTAGTATTTTTCTTTCTTTCATAGGACTTTCCTGTATTATTAATCAAGGGATGATTTGTAATGTAATAAACAATAAATATTTAATACTGTGAGATTATGAGGACTGCTGATTGCTGAACCTGTCTCCTCGCTGTTTTGGTCGGTCAGAAACGTTTTCGTACTACTTATGGCATTGTGTGATTTTTTGTTTATGGTTCTGTTTTATTTCTTCATCTAAATAATGTGTTTTTATTGTCTTTCCAGTGTTATCGTTGGTCCTTTAACATCTTGATACATTTATATGCTATGTTTCAAGAGTAATTTTATCGTCAATAATGTGAATAATGGCCGAAATTTTGTCCAAGGAGAAGAAATATTTTATGAGCTTGTGACCTTTATGGAAAAATTTGTTTCGTATGTTTTTTCTTTTTGTACTTTCCCACTATATTTCTTCACCAAACAAAGGGAGGATACGGACACTTTAAAGATGTTATTATGTAAAAATATAGTAATGTAGCCCAAAAGCATTTTTGTTGGAAAATCAAACTAAAAACAAACCGGATTCGTCCTTTTTTTTGTGGATGGGTTGTATCAAAAGGAGAGGCTTAATATTCAAATGCTGCTGTTACCATATAAATATACTTAGTTATTAATTTTCATAAGACATAGACAGCAAGCGGAACATGCAAAAAAAGCCTATTGGTTCATATCAAACCTTAATCAAACATTCTACTTTTTTTACATTATAATTGAGTTGTTTTTTTGTTTTTTTATTCGGGACTTGGGAGCAAAACTTCTAATTCATTTAGCCGAAGTTTATGTAAATTTATTCCCTTTATCAAGGAAAATGCAGCCAGTGGCTATTGAAGTTTTTTTTTAATTCTTTAAACATACAGACTCCTGAGGAGTGAGTTACCACCTTAAAACGAAAGAATAAGTTGGTGAGATCACCGATTTTAATAAAACTTTTTTGGTCATACTAGGTTCAAAAATATTACAGCGGTCCGAGCGTTCTGGCTAATCGGCCCTAGGAACCGAAAAATATATTTATGTGATTGTTAAGGTAATTTCAGAAGCACAAAATACTGCTTAGAGAATGTCGTCTCCACCAGCTATCTGCTGTGTATTGCCTAATTCTATTTATAAAATTTTTTTAAAGTTGATGATGGTTTTTGGTTTGCGAGTGGATGAATTATAAGTAACTATAAGTTTTTTAAATAAGTTGTTTTGCTGTTATTGTATGTGTTTGTTATTAGTTATTATTTTATTACATATGAGTAATTTTTATGTAGAAAAATAAAATAATATGTAGGAGCTTACTACGTACACTAAATGTTACAAAAACAAAATTACGTTTCCGTTGAAGTAGGCCTAAGACCATTTTTTGTTGAAAAAATTAATTTCGTTTTAATCACCCTTTAACACCCTTAAATACCAATTTTCATACTAATGGAAAAATAGATCATTTTACTGGATTAGCCGGAGGCAATTTTTTAAAATACGTCTATGTTTTTGTTTACTATAAATATTAGTATTTATGGGTTTGAAGGTTGATTAAAACGCATCGAAATTGTTTTTCAGAAACACTTTTTTGCCTACTTTATTAAAAGCATCTTGGTTTTGTAACTTTCTGTATGTCTGGTCTTATTTTCTTATCCTAGGGAAAAGCAAAATTCGGTATATACCGGGACATTTTCTATTGTTTACTCACATTTCTTTCTATGTTATAATATCGACCAAGTTGAACTTGAATTAAATAAATCAGAGTCGGAGATATAAAATAAAACGTTTGGAGAGTTTTTGTTAATTTCATTCTTATTTTTAGTATATAATATATGTAACCACCAAGGGTTGTAAATGTAGGCTCAGAGAAGACAATTTCTGCTAAATTTTGGAAAATCCATAGGAGTTAGGAATTTTTAAGGAACAAATATGGCTCATCCAGCTCAAATATGTCTATATTTTGTTTGCCATAAATATTCGCATTTAAGGACTAAAACGAATTAGGATTGTATTTTCAAAAACGTTTTTTGGATTTTAATGGAATCGTCTTCTAGTTCTTGTTACTCGTACATGAACAATAAAGGTACAAAACCACATCTCCAAAAAATGACGTCTTTTTTTCTAGAACACTAGTATCCCCAAAACTGACTAGTGATATTATTTTTAGCCTGACCATCCTTCATATGATTTTTATGTCTGTGTACGGTTTGGGTCTTTTCGCATGTTGTTGCGGATTTCTTTTTTGTGTACTTCGTCCTAAAGCTTTTTTTTTTTGTTTGCGAAAGACGTTTATACTATTGTTCTGTGATTATACTATGTTGTTGGTGTCTACTTTGGGGAGTGTATTTATCAGCATTTCCATATAGATGTGTAATTATTTGTTTTCCTGTTATTCCAGCGAAGAAAGCATGCCTCGATTTGGAATTTTACAATAATTTAATGGCTAAGGTTTTCAAAAAATATATTTTTATTTAGCTTAACTTGTTAACAGCTTTCAAAATGATCATTGTAGCTGCACTTTCTTAACATATAGTAAAGTACAATAAAATTTAATAAAGTACAAAATATACTCTTGACATTTAAGAAACATTATTCTTTATGTATCACTTACTTCTTTAAAAATTATATATAAAAGAGTCAGCAAATTAAATCACATATTTATATGTATTTTAATTATTGTATTTCATTTAAATTGTTTAATTGAACCAAGTTATTGCGCTTTGGTTTTAATGTTTCTTTTGTACAAATTAAGTACTGACTATAAAAAACTTTTTCACACCATTTACAAGAACTTGATACATTATGCATTCGCATTTGATAAACATTCATACCTTTTTCACATGTTTAATATTTAAAGTAATTTAAAAAACAGTCTATTTTCCGTATCCAAGAGCGAACCCCGGTTTGCTGTCGATGTCTTCGGGAAGCTGGGAGTCTTTGAATTTTGGCCTTGCCTGTTGTTTTAAAGTTTCGATAGGAGTAGCCATTACCTAAAAAAATATGTATGTACATAAAATCGTATTTTCTGTTATAATTAAGAAGAAATACCTGTTTGATCCAGTCAGGATAATTAGATGAGTATTTTGTATCCCAGCTGTAAACGCCTGCGAGCTCGTATTGACCATCTGGTGGTTCGCAGACAAGGGGGCTTCCGATGTCAACTTTGCACAATTCGAAAAGGCTCGTAGGAACGTTTTTTACGTATTTTTCATGCGACGCAAAAAAACCAAAAAAAAATCGAAAAAATGTTTGTTGTCTTTTTCGATGTACAAAGCTCGTAGGCACGTTTTTTACTTATTTATCAAGAAAAACGCAAAAAACCCCAAAAAATCGAAAAAAATTTATTGTCTTTTTCATGTAAAAGGCTCGAAGGCACGCTTTTAATAATAAAAGTAGCAAGGGCGTCGGTGGCCAGTTTTTTAAATTTGTTTTTATTTTTCTTATTTTTTTTTTAACGACATCCCGAGGGTTGATATGATATCTGCTGTTGTGAACCCACTTGAAAAGAAGGAAAAAATCTTTCTTGGGACAATTTATATAGTTTTTGTTAAAAAACCAATCCAGAGTAAACCGAAATTCCCGCCAACGCTCACAAGAAGCATGCAAATATTTTAGTGCCGTTTGAATGATTAGAAATAATTAAAACTATTTAGTTTTATATTATGTCAGTGAACAATCTTAAATTAGTACTTAGTTGGGAAAAAAATTTTTTACTAATTTGGGAAAAACCTATAATAAAATTTATATAAAGTAGGCTGTGAGGCAGAGCTGACTAAATTGTGTCGACGTAACATTCTCTTTCGAGACCGCAGTTGCGCTTCTAACCAGAGCAAACGTTTGTGCTTGTTCTCGTCTGAGCTAAGGCCAAATTTAAGGCGACTTGCACTTAAAAACCACTTACAAATCCACCGATAAACATGTCGAAGGCAGAACTCGCTTGCGTTTATTCCGCTTTGATCCTCATCGACGACGATGTCGCCGTTACTGTGAGTATTTTGTCGTCACGTGGCCAATGCCATGCGGTCTTTCTTTTTCTCGTGTTCGCTGCAACATTACTTTTACCCGTTTCTTAACTAATTGCCTTTAAAATTAAATTTGGAATGAACCCAAAAAGTTGTTTGTACCTTTGTTATTTAATTAAAGACAGCGGTATGACTGGTATTCACATCCTCACTGATGTGTTAAATGTGGTTTTTCCCGTGTTATCGTAATGTTATTTAAAATTATCAATCCATGAAATTGTAAGGAAGAAATTAGTATAGGGGTCTTTGGTATGTGGACCTCGCATTGTTGTTTTAGTCTTCACTTGTGTACTAAATATTTATGCTTTTTACTTACATATTATGCATTTAATATAATATTGTAGTCAGTTTAAATCATAAGTCCCTTCAAGGAATATCATGTTAAATAAAAAGTAAATAATTCGTCATACAGGAGGGCTTGCTGTCCAAATACCTGCTGGGTGCCGCGGACGAGGGCTACTTTGCAATACTTTTTTCAATCAATTTTTAATTTAAAAAAAAAGCCATTTGTGCTGTGATTTGAACTCAGGACTACTGTCGTGGCAAATACGAGTCACATGCCATAACCATTTGGGCGCAGGGTTCTCTTGTCAAATTAAAAGTATAATGCGATTATGTACATTCTGAAATATTTGTGTTAATTCTTGTAAACCTCGTGTCATGGCATGTAGAACCCTTTTTAACGAACTAAAAGGGGAGCTTTTTTGAGTAACACAGTTTTTCAGATAATCCAAGGAGGATATTGACATACGGTAAAAAGTACATTTACATAATTTCCAATTTAAGGTGTGTACACACTAAGGAAATCTCAGCCAACGAAGTGGTTGGCTTTGGTCAAGGTTCGGACTTCTTGCGGTAACATCAAAACTATTTGCTGCTGATTGGGGTTCCATGATTCAAGGATGGTCAATGTGTTTATGACAAATGTTCAGCCTGATATATTCTTTTCTTTTGTTGGCTGAGGTTTGCTTAGTGAGTATGTGCCTTAAAACGTGAATTGTAAATACAAATGTAAAGTACAGTATACTGTAGCTTACATTAAAATTACACACTTGAAAAAAAATCTAATTTTTTGTTTTTTCTTCACAACATTTAAGTGATGTTATATGCATTTGACATATCAGTACCAGGCCATGAATATAATGACAGTCAGTACTGTCTTTATATTCAGATTTTTCCTCTCTCTTTTTGGTCTTTAAATAAATCAATTGTTTTTTATTGAATTTGTTTAGTTGAATCCAGGTTTCCATTAAAGAGTATTATTATAATAGAAAAATTTCCCTTCAAATATCAATGACCCGCATACATACTCTGCTAAACTGAAAAGTATCAATAATAGGAATTTTTTGTGTGGTATGGGAAGGGGGACGTATTCAAAGTACCTCCTTATTTATTTTATTTTATTATTATATATTTATTTTATTTTTATTTTTTTTGTAAAAAATATTTCTTATTCCATTAAAGTTGACTATTTGTTATTTAGGGTGAAAAGATCCAAACTATTCTTAAAGCTGCTAGTGTTGACGTTGAGCCCTACTGGCCTGGACTTTTTGCCAAGTCATTGGAAGGAGTCAATGTCAAGGATTTGATCACGAACATCAGCAGTGGTGTTGGTGCTGCACCTGCAGCCGGTGCTCCAGGTACATTAAGTGATAGACTATGAATTATCTAATTGTATAATTTTTATATGTATATGTTTTTGATTAGCACCAGCAGCAGCTGAAGCTGCTGCGGCTCCTGCGGGAGGTGACAAGAAGAAAGAAGAGAAGAAAAAAGAGGAAAGTGACAATGAGTCTGAAGACGACATGGGATTCGGTTAGCCATTTTTACTATAAATGTAGTATTTATTTTTTATAACTATTTTAATGTTTTTTCTTTGTTTTCTAGGACTTTTTGATTAAACATTTCTGGGTGATGTACTGTGTATGAAAGGAGTGTACATTCATGAATGTCTTTATTTTACAATAAATTTTATTAAAAAGGAATGTGTATTTTTTAAACGAAAATCCCTATCTGTATAAGTACACCCTACAAGGGTTTACTTACAATAACTATTATCTTTATTCATAATTATATATTACCTTCAAAAATGCAATTCAATAAAACTGGAAAAGGGGAGTTTTGTATGTTACGTTCAAGAAACGAGTTCGAGTGTGTTTTCTGTGTAGATTTGTCTTGTTGAGAGAGTTAGTGAGACATTGTTTTTTGTTTATTTATGTTTGATTTTGAAGGAGTGGAAGGTAAGGATAGAAATACATTTTTCTAAAAGGAAAGCTGGTTCTTTGAGGTGAAATGGTCTGACAATGGAAGAAAAAGTAATAGTTTGTTATTCGGTCCTGGTTAGCCTTTCAGGATTATTGGGGTAAAAAGAAAGATATTGTTGAGAATTTAGACTATGTATAATTATTTGATGTGTGGAGTTGTTTTATATATAGATTAGGTTTTATGGTCCAATTAACCAAATAAATTCTTTTCAATTAATTAATCTTTAAGTAAGGTATTGGTTCAGATAAAAAAGTCTATGCTAACGAGCAGGATTCGAACCCACGTTCTTCAGCTAAATACACAGCTGCTCTACCATTACATCATCATTCCATTTGAAACTGAGAATCAAATAGATTACGCGACATCTGAAAAATGGCAAAAAAGGAGGTAAAATTCAAAAGGTGAGGTTGAGATAGGAAGTTGGTGTCCGTCGTCCGAGTGGATCGAAGTCACGATAGCTCAAGTGGTAGAGCAGCGGTGTATTTAGCCGAAGGTCGTGGGTTCGAAACCCGCTCGTGACACTGACTTTTCTATCGACCAATACCTTATTTAAAGATTAATTGTTTTGTACATATGTTGTATTACATTTTGTGTTATAAAGGTTTTTCTAAACCTGTCACATCAGACCCCGTCTCATGATCTCTAAATAATCATTATCATTAAAATAATGGTCACCGAACATTACACAGTTTTATACCTATAAATCTGATGTTTTCACTTCCGGTACATACCTACATATGAATCAACACTAGTTGATCACATAATTCGGAACATATTTTAATTATAACTGCTATGTTACATATCAGTTATAGCTTATATTTTGTTACGCAAATATTTACATTTAAATGAAATTATGAATAAAGAAGTGAATAGTTGAAACTATTTAAACTGGATTGAAAAGGAATTGAAAGATAGAAAACATTCCAACAAATAAAACAACTTTTAAAGGATTTATATATATATATATATATATTTTTTTTTTTTTTTTTTTTTTTTTTTTTTTACAGAGTAAAAACGAACAATATTTTTCAATTAAAAATTAAATCTAAAAAGTAAATACAATCTAAGCATAGTTAAACTTTATTTACAAAACAATTACCACATTGCTCTTTGTACCCCAGCCAAAAGATTATGATCTGCTAAATCTCTGAAAACAATGCGGCTCACATGCCATTTTAGTACATTTCCATTTCCCCTTGAAGTAATAGCACACCGAGCACGAATCCTTCTTCCAACTGCATCCCTTGGAAACTCACTTATTTCTTTGTCAGCTATTTCCTTGAAAAAAAAAAAATAACAATAATTATAAAGAAAACTTAAAGATTTGGTATTAAAAGACTTGACTCACTCGAATTTCTCTTGGCAAAACATTGTTCTTGCGGAGGGCATTCACTCTGAGTTTATTTACTGCGAACTCAGCAAGAGTTTTCCTTTTCCTCACATCTTTTGCCATTCTCCAATCAGCCCATTTGTACCGCAACTGCGTTTGAAGAGGTGAGTTTGGCTGGGGGAAAAAGTGTATATTGTAAAGCTCGAACACTAAAGATCGTTGCTTTCAAACTAGAATGAAGTCAATAATAATCTTAGCATTTTTTAAAAACTGAAAATGCAACGAATTAATTAAATTGTTTAAACTTGTGTTATTGCTACTAATTTTTGGCTTTTAATATCTTATTGATCAGACATTGATATGGCATGTACAGAAATGCTGTATTTCTACATTTTCTGATTTTTTTTTTTTTTTTTTTGTTTTGGCATTCAATCCTATTTTGTACCATCGTCACTTATTTGTGATGGAAAAATCCTCCATTAACCTGTGGATTTCAATGCTCACTTGAAAAAAATGCCTAGAATAACATGGCAAAAAGAGTATGACATCCAACCTATAGGATGCTACAGCCTACAATACAAGGGGCAGCCCTGATACACTAAGATATACAGGGCAAGACAATTTTTCACCACCATGTTTAGGCTTTGGCTCAGTCACAACCAGCTAGCTAAAAATTATTATTACAAACTATGCTAGTTGTGTTTGATGCAGCGATATCCTGACCCAGACCACAACATCCTGGCCTGCCCTAGAAACGTAGTTAGATTTTAAATATTGCTTTCAGTCATAAATAACTACAGAATAACATTCCACACAAATATTCAAAGTATACTGTGGGACACAAAAAATATTACAGATTTGGACTCTCTTACATTGTTTATTTGGAAAAACGACATATTGATTTTCCCTCCCTAGTTTTTTATGTGATATTTATTAATGAGAAGGAACTATCTCAGGCCTGGAGGGGTTGGTCTGGGTGATTTCAGGTGCTTGGGTTGGGTGCTGTGGGTGGTTTGTGCTTTTGTGTCCTGGATCCCATGTGGTTGTGTACTATTCCATAGCACTATAAACGGTTTTTATTCACATCACTGGAAATGGGATCTTTTACTACTATCCTTTTAAGAATTTCAACTCTAGCACCCTTACGTGCTCTCCCCTGAGGGCCTGTATAGCCCCCTGGCCAACTAGTTTAAAGCCTTATATACAAATGGCTGAAGCGTTAGCCATAAGGAACAAAATAATCTTGTTCAAATTTTCTGCAGTTTGTATGCCACAAGTTTGAATGAAATTAATTATCCAAGAGGACATTAGGTGAGTATGATAACTGAGGTAATATATTCTCCTTTTAATTTCAAAAAATCTATTTTATTTTCTACATAAACACACCTTTAGAACTTCTAAATTATTTTTTCATCATTGCCAAAATGAATGCATATCATCACCGTCTTTTAAGTCTATGACCTTTTTACTAGCTAGTCACTGGTAATCAATTTTACATGAATCCCCAGAAAACAAAAGTTGATATTCTAATTTTAAAATATTATAAGGATCGTGAGGTGGCATGCAGCAAAGGGAATAAATCAATAAATCCGTTAAGTATGTTGATAACAATCTATGTGGTTTGGAAGTTGAGAAATGAGGATGTGGCTGTGAGGTTTGATGGAAGCCTCTGAAGTTGGTGAGATTCCGACAAGTTTTTGACAGACTAAACCAGCAGGTGTAGATAGTAAGAACAGAATGTTAAAATGATCAAACAACTGGATGTGAATTTTTTTTTAAAGAAAACCGCGTGGTTGAAATAATTATAATTAGTAAACATTTGTGAAGCTGGGTAGGTACCAATATGCAAGAGTATAACTTAGTAAACAAATTAAATTATTGGTTTTCTTACCAATAATAACTTTGGGTTCCAAATGTGCTTAGAAATATTCCCGAAAACCATTTTCTTCAAAGTATCACCTTATTAATAGTTTTTCAAGACAAAAACGACACAAAAGTAGATATAAAGATAAACCTTTTAGAAACCTCAGGCACTGTCACTCAGGTACTTGGTAGTATCAGAATCAGATTATCAGACCGGAAACTGTCCTTTTTAATAATAATAATAATAAACATTTATAATTGCACATTTATTCCCTTTTTATTAGCTGTTTCAATTAATTAACATTATAGCATTGATGATGTACATGGGTATGTAGGGAATGCTCGTTATGTAGTTAATTTGTTAACCATTCATTTATTTGCATTTTCTAAAATTCTGGTTTATTTTAGGAGGATTTCAACTTTTATAGGCATTTCAACCCCTCACTCATTCAGAGGGTCAAAGAAGATGTATATGCATTTTAGCACTTTAATAACACCACTTTTTCCTTATTTTGCAGTACTAGCCAGAGCTCAGTATCTTCAAAATATTCGGTTGTATGTTTTTAGGGGAATAGGAGCATGAAAAAAAAAGTGCGGAGTCTATGAGTCGAGAAATTATCAAACTGACGACTTGGCTACTGCGGACCCCCACATTCAAACCTCTACCATATTTACAGCAGACATCATAAACTGTATAAATAACACCAAATTGTTCACAAAAACATTCTGCATTGCTGAAAGAAGTATTATGAATAATAATCCCAAAACCAGATATTTTAATAAATGTTATTTATTATTTATATTTTTAAAAAAAACAGTCAAAACTCAAAAGTACAAAACCAGATATTTTAAGAAGTTCTCCAAATTATCTCATTTGCATGGAATTCCGTGAGTACCCTATTTTGCAATTTATTTAAAGCTAATGAGGACACTATCAACAAGTTAAAATTTTAATTTAATTTTAACTGTAACCTAAAAAAAAATATTTGCAAAGCTATTTAGGGTCTAATGATTTGTGAAACAGTCAAGGCAATGATTATCTGGAGACCCATACATTTTTATATGAGAAGAAGTCAAGGCAATATTAATTTCATTATCTTAAAGAATGACACTACAGAAAATTATAAAACCTTTCTTCGTAAAGAAAGCCTTGACTGGATTAATAAATCTGATTACAATTAGTTTTTTTTTTCTTAAATTCATAATAACAATTGTAAAATTCAAATTTATATGTTTGGGCAAGCTACATTGTAAAAAATTATGCCAGATAAGATTATATTGTATCCAACACTTTAGATTTTATTAGTTTAACATAAAAATCTAATTTGAAAATGATAAACCCTGCCCTTTCCATGATAGCACATTAATTCATTTCTGAATTTAGCAATATGATTTAACTTTTTGTATTAAAAATTAAGAGTTATAAGTTACTTAATAGTCAAATTGGCATTATTAAGTTTGTAAGTAAAAAAGTATAATATAATATGTGAGTAAAATTCTTTTGTCAATTTGCACAAATTCTAATGATTTATATGTACGCTCACACATTTTCTTTATACGTTGTTAACAAAAAAATCTCTCATGAAAAATTATTAATATAAAAAATAAAATTAAATTGAAATTAAACACAATTTTAATTTTAGTTGTAATTTCAATTAATTCAGATGTTCACATTGTGGTGGATGATGGTAGAGTTTATCATTGTTTTAATTACAAATTTATTTTAAGCCCTCATTTATATTAGAAATAACTTTAGTTTTATAAATGTTGTAAAATAATAATAATAGTTTTTCAACTAGGAATAATCTCAGTAAGATTTCATTGACTACGTTATTGCCACTGCGCAAGGTTATTCTTTAAATTTTTTTTAGTTTTCTTTTTTGGTTGTTGACTTTTTATATTTCTTGGATTTCTTTTCAGGAAGTAGACAACCATAAAAAAAATGAGTTTGCTTTTTTTTTAATATTAATTATTTATAATCAAATGATGAAATCACAGTACAATAGAAAAGCAGAAAGAGAAAAAGGTAAAAGGAAAAGAGAAGAAAAGTTAATGATTTGTGTTGTTTTTAAAAACTCAGATTCCATGGATCTGAAACAAGCTAACGCGGAAGCAGAACATACTTCCCTGGGAAGCAAATTCCATAATCTTGACCCTGCAATTCTGAAGGTTAAGGCTAAAGTTTTAGAGGAGAGTTGATGTTTTCGAACTCGAAGGCTTGGGGTATGATTAGTGCGTTTGGATATAGTATGTGGAGAAAAAGTTGATAGTTATTGAGGACATTAATAAGATATAATATGCAATAAGAATTTTAAATATGTATATTATATGTTGATAATATTATGTTGATCAACTGGCTTTTTGTTAAGCCACAGACAAGTAATTGTAAACCTCTGAACTTCTGTAGCTGAATTATATAATTAAAGTTTTTTTTTTTTTCAATTTAAAAATTTGAACATTCTTTTGTTACATTAAAATTTAGATAATAATTTGTGATCAGCTGTACAAAAAACAAAGTATTTCTTTTACTGTGATTGCTTTAATAGGCCATGATTATTATGAATTAATATTTAAATACACATGTTATTAATTATTCATATTAAGAATAATAGAATCTAATACTTCAATTATGGCAGTATTTTTTTAGTTTAATCATCTCTAGCACTGGAGGTTTTTACTGTGAAAAATTTGTAAAAGGGATTCAAAATCTTGAGTGATCATACATTTTAAGACATGACATATCTAATTCCGCAAATCGTCTTATTTGAGCAATTATTTTATGCAATTTGGTTTTTTTCAATCATTCCAGTCTGCCTATTTTCCAGTTGTACCTCTTCTGTGAAATTTTGTCAAAATAAAACACAATGTGACAGAGACCTAATATTGAAGATGGTGAAATGTCGAAATGGGTATGACACACAAAGACAGTAAAGATAGGAAGACCAAAATGATCAGAAAAGACCAAATTTCAGGTTCATCACTCTGCAGTTCAGGAAGAGAAAAGTCACAAATAATTATCATCCTGAGTATAAAATATTATTTACAACATAAAATTACTAATTATAAATTTTTCAAATATAATTTATTTTGTGCTTTTACCATGCAGTAAAGTCAGGCCCAAATATTTTTACCATTTGGGTCATTTAATTTTTAATACAAATAATCATATATAATTTGATACTGAAGGACATAGTACTGTGTCTGTCAAAGTTGTGTATTTATTTATTTCTATTCTAAATTTGGTAATGCAGAAAATAACTCAACGACTATCACATGATGCAGAATGGACGGATAAAAGACCTTGTCCTCTTTCCAAAGTAAAACTCAAAAATCTATTAAATAAAAACCATTATTTTGAGTATTGTAAGTATACGTTTATATCTGTTAAAAGTTTAAATCATTAGAAATAGTTTCAAAGTCCTGACGATGGAACTATGTTCCTAAAAAGCTCGTTGCAAGAATTGAATGTTTTTCCTTGAACTTTTTTATATGTCTGATACCAATCAATTCAAAATAAACTTTTTATGTTGTGAGAGGAAACATAAATTCACATGTAGCAAATGGTTTGAATTAGTGAAATGTTTAAGCTTGTCTGATAGACAAAAACATGTGATGATAAACAGATCAAAATGGTTGGAAACGACCTGTCATTTGAAACTTATTGAAACATTTATTTGAACTTATGTGTTACATTGATTTATAATTTTGGTAAAGTGTGGTTGATATGAAAAGTTGGTGTCACGAGCGAGACTTGAATCCACACCTCTGGCATTTTCATCCCAGCCGCACTTTACATAAAAATTATAAATAAATTTACATAATCACTTTGGTTAACTAGGACTAACTAAAAACATAGATTAAATATATATTACACTTAAACGCTATGTTTTGTCACTTGTATCATAGTTATTTATTTAATGCGCCTAGCCTTCATGATTACTAGTGTTGTACATACTTTCTAAACGTGTCAAAAGATTATTAACATAAAACCAAATAATTATGAAGAGAATAAAAGAAGAAAATGGAAATTATAATTCATTGATAAAAAGAACAACATTTTCAAAATTTATCAACCCAAAAATAAATGAAAATAAAAACAAAACATTATAAACAAAACAGCAACGATATTATCGTATTTGAATATTTATAGACAGTTAAGAAGGTAACGAAGAAAAAATAAACATTCCGGGAGTCAATAATTGACTGTTGTAATATTAGTAGGTTACATTGCATTCGTGTTCTTCATCCGTATGTAAATTTTGAATATACTGTGATATAAAAAAAAAACTTTCTGCGTTAAAACCATTATTAAAAAAAAGTTCTTAAATGGAGTAGTAAATGGAAATTTTAATTGATTTGATTAAGATTTTGACAAAAGTATCTTGTTACTAATTTTTCGATTGTTATTATTCAAGAGTTCAACTCAATGAAATTTATTAATACTTATATAATAAAAAATAAAGTTTTTTTTAAATGTGGAAATGTAGTGTTATAAATTATTTTGACTTGTTTTGTTATCCGTTGTATATTGAAGGTCCTCAGTGAAGGCTCAATTTTTGATTCAAGGAATAAAAATAAAATATTCCAATTACAGTATTATTTAATAACAATTAAAAAGAAGTAATTTAGGTCGAAAGATTTTGATAAAATTGCCACTTTTTTCTTTGATTACAGATAAATCCGTGGAGTAGTGACGTAGCAGGGACTACTTTATTGCTCAAAGGGTTCATGCGCCTCGCGACTGATTCTGTCTTCCTCTTTCTGCCGTAGCACTTGGAGGTGAGTGTTCTCTTCAGTACTTCTGTTATATCCGCTTGTATCCTGTTCAATATTTGCCATCTCTCGATAAGTTTAACACAAGTCAGTTCTAGTTTCCGCCTTCTTTTACTTTCTCGTATCGTTTTATTTAGAATTTAACATATTTCAGACATTTTCTACTAACATGTTTCGGACTTGTACACCGGTATGGGTCGACGTTCGGGTCTCCTTCAATCGTCCCGTACTTTGTTTTAAACCGACTCTGTATATTTTAACGGTGCAACCCACTGTAAAGATAGTTGAAATGTTTAATTCATTTTCAGTCGAGTAATTCTGTCGGTTCGAGAACGTGGTCTCCACGTTTTCTCAACGCCATTTTGTCCATTTGCACAGTTATTGATCTCCACGGGTACAGTCGTGACGGGAGTTTTTACAATTTTTGAGCATTAAAATTTTCAAGAAATTGGAAAATTTCGTATTAGGCTAGTGGATCGGTAAAGTAGAATTAGAGGTTAGAGCCTGACGGATCGATAACGCGTTTAGCCTTATGCTATACCGGCTAGCTATCTTACACGTCACCCATCATGTCATCGTTATTTAAAAGAATTTTTTTTTTAGTTTTATACGTATATTACTACTATGTGTCATGTACTGTTGATGTAATGTACTCAAATTTTTATAAACCATTAAATTTTATATATTATTAAATTAAAACATATTTTTCTTTAACTTTTTATCTGTCTTGTAAATAATGCGATATTTCTAAAACAATAATTTTTTAGCTTGTTCCAGGCCTTAAAGAAGTTTTACAAAAGATGGAAAACTTTTTTAATGTCAGAAAACGGGTTGTATGCTGCGGCCATTTTGACTTTCTCTTTATCCGCCCCACCACCTCAGTTGAGAGTTGTAGGTTGAGTGGTTGTAGGTGGTGGTGGCCATTTCCGATAAATACTCTTGAAATTATTTTCCGAAGAAAATTGGGAGGATTTTGTCATTTTTTAACTTTTAACTTGAATCTCGATCCATAAGATGTATTCCACAATTTTTTTTTTCCGTAATCTGTGATAGTTCGATCGGTTTTTATATCTTAAATTTTTGGTGTATTGTAACTTGATGAACGTGGAGTTGTCGGGATGGAAAGGGAAATTTCTATGTAATTTTGGCAGCACTGCATTTCAGTTTTCCGTCGTCACGTGCTCGCCGGCCATTTAACCTCCCTTGTCCGAGTTTCAACCTTTTTTTTTTTTTTCCATCATCGTTCATTTGTTTTTTCAGATCATCTGATTTTGATTTCAAAGCGCATTTAATCGTCGACAATGGGAAAAGAAAAGATCCATCTTAACATCGTCGTGATCGGACACGTCGACTCCGGAAAGTCGACCACAACTGGTCATTTGATTTACAAATGTGGTGGTATCGACAAACGTACCATCGAGAAATTCGAGAAGGAAGCTCAGGAGGTAAGACTACAGGGATAAAATAATTATAAGTAAAAAGTTTGTAACACTTTTGTTCATTTTCAGATGGGCAAAGGTTCCTTCAAATATGCCTGGGTTCTTGACAAGCTCAAGGCCGAGCGTGAACGTGGTATTACCATCGATATCGCCCTTTGGAAGTTCGAAACTTCCAAATACTATGTGACCATCATTGATGCCCCTGGCCACAGGGATTTCATCAAGAACATGATCACTGGTACCTCGCAGGTGAGTCAGTCTAGTTTAGTTTATGAATCAATTATTGCATAATTAGTCGCAACTTTACATCAGTTTTTGAGTTTTACTTTTAACATTCACGTTTCTTTTGAGGAACTGGACAAGTCTAGTTTTGTTTGTATAGTTCCTGAAAAGAAACCTCCCACAAAAAAAAGTATTTAAACTACTTATTAAAAAAAAAAAAAACTTGCATATCAATATCATTTTAAATACTAAGATGTTAAATTTTCATGATAAATTAGTGTGGCTTGGTTTAAATATTTTTTTCAATTCAAATCACAGTCCCTGCTGGCCTTGATTAATGTAATTAAGTAGCCAGATTTAAAGTACTGTGTATATTATAATGGTTTATTCGCTATGTTCGTAAGGTTTCGGTACCTTGGGAATACTGCATATAACCCTACAGTATTTTTTTTTTTTCTTTAATTCGTTTATTTTATCAGAGATTTTTTTACTTTTCCTCTTGGGTTGTAATGAATGTAATTTTATTTTTCAGGCTGATTGTGCCGTACTTATAGTTGCAGCAGGCACAGGTGAATTTGAAGCGGGTATTTCTAAGAACGGACAAACTAGAGAACACGCTCTATTAGCTTTTACACTTGGTGTAAAACAACTTATAGTTGGTGTAAACAAAATGGACTCTACTGAACCGCCCTACAGTGAGGTTAGTTTTGTCTTGAATTCTAATGTTGAAGCAATACTAATGAAATAATTTTACAGTCTCGTTTTGAAGAAATCAAAAAGGAAGTGTCATCTTACATCAAGAAAATTGGTTACAACCCTGCTGCTGTAGCTTTTGTACCAATTTCTGGCTGGCATGGTGATAACATGTTGGAAGCTTCTGACAAGATGGGCTGGTTCAAGGGTTGGGCTATCGAGCGTAAAGAAGGCAAGGCTGATGGCAAATGCCTTATTGAAGCTCTCGATGCCATTATCCCTCCTAGCAGGCCCACTGACAAGCCTCTTAGGCTTCCGCTCCAGGACGTATACAAAATTGGTGGTATTGGAACAGTCCCTGTTGGCAGAGTGGAAACCGGTGTTTTGAAACCTGGTATGGTTGTCACTTTTGCACCAGTGAATCTAACCACTGAAGTTAAGTCTGTGGAGATGCACCACGAGGCTCTTCAAGAAGCCCTCCCTGGTGATAATGTAGGCTTCAACGTTAAAAACGTCTCAATTAAGGAATTGCGTAGAGGTTATGTTGCTGGAGATTCCAAGAGCAACCCGCCTAAAGCTGCTGCTGACTTCACTGCACAGGTATTTTAATTTTTTTTTTTTTTTTTAATGGAAAAATTTACTAATACAATTCATTTTTTTATTTCAGGTTATTGTTCTTAACCATCCAGGTCAAATATCTAATGGTTATACTCCAGTTTTGGATTGCCACACAGCTCACATTGCTTGCAAATTCGCAGAAATCAAGGAAAAATGTGACCGTCGTACTGGTAAATATTATTAAAATAAATTTATCTTTTTGCTTGATATTCTAACATCCCATACCCCACATCCAGCTCCACATTGATTTTAACATTGCAATTGTGGCGTTTTTATGTGGAATATTACAAATTGGAAAACACAATTATTAGCTTTTGTTCATTAATTGCTTATAATAGGCAGTTTTCCTACAGCTTTTTAAACATAATTTAATGAATTATTAGCAATATTCTATTTTTAATTATATTTTGCCTTTTAGGAAAAACAACTGAGCAGGCCCCTAAGTCTATTAAATCTGGTGATGCTGCTATCATCAATTTAGTTCCAACTAAGCCAATGTGTGTAGAATCTTTCCAGGAGTTCCCTCCGTTAGGACGTTTTGCTGTTCGTGACATGAGGCAAACTGTTGCAGTAGGTGTAATTAAGGTATGTCCATGTTTATATTTCATTATTTTTTAAATTATTAAGCCAAATATTTTAATTTGTATTTTTTAATTTTCAGAGTGTCACCAATAAAGATGTAACTAGTGGCAAAGTGACAAAGGCCGCAGAAAAGGCTCAAAAGAAGAAATAACTAGGTGTCATGGAATCTCTTATTAACAAAACAAATCTCTGTCGCTTTTCTGTACTTTGCCCCCTTCTTTTGTCAAAGTGGCTTCTGCAGCCGTGTTTCCATCGAAAAGAGTTTAGGAGGAAAAGCGGCTACATATTTTCACTTTAATTCCCTAAAACATTATTATATATATATTATATATACACATATATAAATATATAGGAACAACTTGTACACGTTTTTAATTAAACAAAGAGACTGTTAATAATTTGGTTTTATAATTAAAATGAAACAAATAATAATAAAAAATTAATCTGAGTGATTGTAAAAGAACAGTTTGACTAACATTATATCATCCTTGTTTTTATTTCTGTGAAATATTTGTATGGAGATTTTTTATTTACGGCTCTCGACCTTAGCGAAGCAAAAAATTTTCTGTATAGATTGGTGACAAATACATGCTTCATGACACGAGTTGATACTTGCTTTCTCACCTCAACCACTCCTTTCTTTCAAGAATTCAATTTTTTGGTAATTGCTGTGGCTATGGAATCTTTAATAAAGGTCTGTCTGATTTCTTGCCTGGCTGTCTTCAAATTTGTACTTTATGTCGGTGCAGTTACTTCATTGTTTGAATAGCTCAGAGATGGAAATAGTTTTATTGTCCTCATCTTGACTAAATTTGACATAAAATAGTTAAATTTGTTTATTCGTTCATTCGCCGTAAATACTGGGTTTGTAATCTTATTTTTAATTAGTTGGTATAAGAGTGCTCTTACATGGACATGGTGCTTACCTGAAGTTAAGTAAAAACTATAGTAATGGTCGTATGGTCAAGCTTTTGATTGTAACATTGAAAGCTAAAGAATTTTTAATTATCTGATATTTGAAAACATGCATTAGTTCAGATTACAGAGTATTTTTCAAATAAAGATAGGTTAAAATAAGTAAGTAAAAACAACCGCTATTTTTTTTAACGAGGGTTTGCCCATCTATATGCTTAACACTAATAAGACAGCTGCTGGATTTGAACCTTATGCTGTGCCTGTTGCAGCCACCGACAGTTTTATTGTATTGAATCTGTCTGGCTGATTGAAAATTATTTTTCTTAAAATTAAAATGTAAACTTGCCAAATATTAAAGTTTGGCCCTATTGGAGACGAAATTTTCCTCAAAAGGTTTAGTTATCTCAGCTGATTAAACATACAAAAACTCACAAAAGAAATCGGATGTATGTGGCTGCAATGGTTAAGGCGTTGACCAGGCAACTCATCAGTGTAAAGTTCCTGGGTTTGAATCTGACAAACGAGCTTTTTAAAAAAAAGATTGGTTCCCTGAGGTATCGTAAAACGTCGCAGTTAAAATACCTTAGTTTAAAAAAAAGTCATCTAAAGTAAAGGATTAAAGAAAATATTAGTCATGTGGAAACATTAAAAATAAATTTATTTTTTAAAACTTAAATATCTATTATAACAAATAATTCAACTTTATCCTCATTTTCATGAATTTGCATGTTAGAATAGGTAATTGCTTTAACATCAGCACCCTGAGGATGTTTTCCAATTGTGAAAGTTTCACCAAACCCCACTGCTTTGATTTTAAATTCTTCTCTGTTGAATTCTGTAATCATCACCACCTAAAATGAACAAAAAATTAATTTATTATTAACATTATCATATATTCTGGCCCGTACCCGAGGTATGAAAAAAGGTTCGGCAGAAAACATGAATAAAAACTCGTCAAGGAAATGGAAAAGTAATGATGACAAATCTTCTCCCTCTGCTTCTATTGTTTGCGTCTCTGCAAATTCTACATACTCAAGGTCTGTTATATATCCAAACATAGCAACAGCACATTGTTCAAAGGCTTCTTTCAAATCTTTTCCCCACGCATGCAACCTAAAGAAAATGTAAAGGAGAAAATATAAAATACATATTTACCATTAACATTTGAAAGCCTATAATTCTCTCTTATTATTACACATACTTTCTAACCACTGCATATTTAAATGATCACATTCCGAGAGAAATGCGAGGACTGAACCCTGTACTTCATAACTTGAAAATTAGGACAGCAACAAAACCAATGCACCTTGTCATTTTTATAGACAAATCCTGATTAAAATACCTACTGTTACTTGAACATTACATCAATTTGCTATCATCAGACTTTTGAATAAGCATGCCAGGAAGCATTAGGTTCATTAACATTGCATATGTTACATATCCCACTACTTAGTTTATAAAATAAAAGGATCTAAATGATATTTATGCAAGGTTGAACTGATAAAATATGTATTTGCAAATGCACTGATTATTACTTTTTTACATAGGTTTTTTCGGTAGATTAGATTTTTGGCTATTTTTTTTAAATATGGAAAGGTGTGTGCAACAATTTGGCAGCCCAAATTGTTGAGCTTTGCTGATTATGACATTAACTTACTATTATTATAAAATCTGTTTATTTTATTAGTGTTTTGAGACAAATAAAAACTGTTTAATCCCTCATCAGAAATACCCAGTCCTAAGTATAAAGTAATGCCATATTATGTATGATAGGACTTAAAATAAAAAAATGTAAATTTAATGATTGCAACTCCCTCCCCCGTCTCATTAAGGCTAAAGGCACCCCAGGCAGTCACCTCAGAAGACTGTCCTGAGTCAAGACTAAAGTACTTATCCCAGGAAGTGAACAGCCGATTCCAGGAGTTGATCCAGAACAGAAACAGCCACCTCCTGCCTGGGACTCAACAAGGGGACTCAGCCAGCCAGAGCGAGGACCAGCTGTTGCGACTTATCAGAGAATCTGGAAAGGCGCTGGGAGTGTCATTTGGAGTAAGTCCCTTTGTTCTCATGACTCATCTTTACTCATACCAGATTTAGAGTTGTGGCTGACTTTTTAGATTGGTCAAGATTTTGTTGTCGTTTGTGTACATTTAAAAGAAGAATTGTGTTAAAATAAATGCTGAAGAGACGAATACACCCTCTGGTTTATTAAATTTTAGAACCTCACCTTCCCCTACACAAGAATAAGTTGTGAAGCGCTCACACCAACTACTCTCTTATTGCTTAGAGAAAAGTAAGTCAATAGAGAGAGTATTCGGCTGTCGACGCTTACAGAATAAAATTAAATGATTGAGTTTATATTTTTTCACAGGACTGTATGTACTAATATGCGTAGGCTACAAATAAAAACATAAAAAAGATATGTAACACGTTTCTTGATCGCAACACAGTAGAATCAACTGATATCTGATAAAAACTGATTATGGGATGTAAAAAGGCAAAATAAAGCCTGATTTATTTAATGACAGAGTGGAACTGCATTCCTCCACAAGAAGGAATGTTTTGGGTCTTATAACACAACTATTGCAACAGGAGCAAAAAAAATGCATAGATGACTCATCGGTGTAATTTATGTACAAAACAGGGTATATGACACATAGAACCCACTAGATTTTTATTTATTATACACTTTATACGATTCACGGAATTTATTTTATAGCATGAATGAGATTAAAATAAATACGCACTGGACGTCAGCCGTGTGATCTAAGTCTGAAAATGAAACAAAGTACGTTGAGCCTTGTATATACGAATAAAGAATATTGATGATTGATATACTTACATTCGTATTTGACCGGTGGGAAAACAAATCCATCAGGGAGAGACATTGTTCAAATAAAAAATAACATAACATTTAGCAAATCCACTTCGTTGATACGAAGCACTGTCAGTTTATAAAACTATAAAAAATGTGGCGACTGGCGAGCAAAACAGTAAAGAAACAGAATGTGAACAGTAAACGCAAACAGCAGAGTAGCATCAATTGTCTTATGGTTTATTGTTATTTATATTTTCTACTATTGTTAAAACACTAAAAACTGTTGATTTGTTTTAAAGTATATGTAGATGTACTAAATTTCTTCCTAAAAGGAGTAATAAAAATAAAATCCCATAGGTTTTTGCTTGGAAATCAACAGTTTTGATTAATCGGAACAATTAACTACTAATTAAAATAAAATTTATTTGAATTATTCTCTTTTACAGTTGTTTATGACTGATTGACGGACTTGTAAAAACAGGAAGTAAAACGAAGTTGGACGCCCTGTCGAATGCCAGGTTGTAAGTGTTGATGGGGTGGCTAGAGTGTTTCACTCGTCCACGGAGCAACGTAAACCCGAATCTGCCGGATAGCCGGCGATGTTGTTATCAATTTTAATACTTTTTCACGATTTGTAGTATTAGACCAGCTTTCGTAAACTGTTCGGTATTTTTTTAAGTGAAGTTTATCTTTGATTTGTATCTGGGATCGAATTATTTTGTCATCACGCGCTTTTAGTTTAGACAAAAATGCTTTTAAAGTCCAGAAGCCTGAGGATGTCTCCGGAGAAGCAGGAGACACTTCTGAAGCTCTCCATACTATCGATAACAGCCATACTCTGTAAATAAAATTCAATTATTAAAAAACATTAAAATTTAAAAAATCAGCAATATACTGAATTAAAACAATAGGTTGTGATTACAATAAAAAATTATATTTTTGTTTGTTTCGTTCTTTTTTAGCTTTTGCTACAAGATTATTTTCTGTATTGAGGTTTGAGAGTGTCATCCATGAATTTGATCCTTACTTCAACTATAGGACAACAAGGTTTCTGGCTGAAGAAGGCTTCTACAAATTCCATAATTGGTTTGATGACCGTGCATGGTACCCGTTGGGCAGGATTATTGGAGGTTTGCTAGAAAAGCTTTATTAGTTTTAGGCCGTAAGTAATTTTTTTCTCCCTTAGGGACAATCTATCCTGGTTTGATGGTGACTTCGGCCATTCTTTATCACCTGATGAGATTTGTCAACCTGACGATTGACATTAGAAATGTTTGTGTGTTCTTAGCTCCTTTTTTCTCGAGCTTGACCACAATAATAACATATCTACTGACGAAAGAGTTAAAAGTCAGTAAAGTACAGCTAATTTTTGTGTCATGATTAATTTTAATTTTCGGTTTAGGATTCTGGTGCTGGACTTGTTGCTGCAGCGATGATTGCAATAGTTCCAGGTTATATATCACGTTCTGTTGCTGGCTCTTACGATAACGAAGGTAATAACAAAAAGGAATAGTTGTGATTTTTCCTCTTGAGGTAGTGAACCTTTAGTTTGGTTATTTCCTGTCATTTTATTCTGCCTGCCCTCGTCAGTTTGGACTCGATTTCTGCTTCTCACCATTTTCGGTGGTGAGTGTATTATTTGCTTAGCCAAGCACCTGGTATTAAAAGAGCTAATATCACAAAAGTTGGCTAGAATACGAAAACACATCTGTCAGGGCAAAATGATCAGAAACGGCTGAATTGCAAACAGGAATAAATTTTTATTCGAAGAAGTTTAACATTAAATTTTCTGTAATAAATGGGACTAAAAGCCATGACATCCGAATTGAAATCCCAGTGCTCTACCAGCTGATGTACAGCTCCTGGTATAATACACTGCCCATTAAAAAAAAAAAAAAAAAAACAAATTGAGCTGGATCTGGAAATCGTCCAGGAGCGCCATAGTACTGAAATCGATAGGAAACTTCGGAAACTTTAATAAGCTTTCAATTGGTCGCCTTCCACTGTTCCTGATTTTTGGGCCGTTATTGAGATAGATGAGTTATTTGCAATTTTTGGGCAAAACACGTGGTTTTGTTCATGCACATGACTAAAACCGATCACTCTCGCTCTTCTGATATTACCATATGTAAACCTATTGTTTCAATATGTTATTCGAGGCCAAATTGCCAATGAACTGGTGTAATGGGAAAGAAAAGTTGAGTTTCTATAATGAGGTAAACAAGTGGTTATCGACAGGAGAAGCATTCCTCATCCCAGAAGGTCAAAGGAAGAATTTTCGCTCCCCTGTCCACTTTTTGGAAAAAGTCCTCGGAACAAAAGTAGAGCATAAAATTTGCAAAAAAAATGACAGTTCAAAATTTATGCATTCTATAAAATTGGGAGAGAAAGAAAGAGTGATTGGTCTTTTCCATGAGCATGTAAAAAACCATGTTTTATGCCCCAAAATTGCAAATAACTTGAAAACAGTTGGAAAATTTGGCAAAGTGGAAGGAGACCAATTGAAAGCTTATTAAAATTTCCCATTGATTGCCATAGGGCGCCACTCCAGGATGATTTCCTGGCTCTACAGCTCAATTTGAAGATTTCATAAAAAGCACAAAAATTAACGTTCCCAAATTTTTCAATTTACTTATAACATTTAAAAAAGTCATCTTTTTCAGCGTAAAATTTTCTAAAACATGAGGCCTAGCACAGCTTGGTGACTAAAGGCTGAAAAAATATGCATTTCCAAAGTAAACCATTTTTTTGTGTGCAAAAACCAGGCTTTTATTTATTTATTTTTTATGGGCATTATATATTACAGCCAACAGCTTAGTTATTAGAGCACAAAGGGATCTGGCTGTCGTAGGTGAATCTCTCATTGAACTAATTTTTCATTTCAATCTGTTTTCCATACAAAAATAATACAATATGATAATTTATTAAAGATAATGTATAACAAAAATTGGAATAAATTAAATAATACAACAGGAGAAAACTATTGTTACTTTGTTTTAGCCATTGCCATATTTTGTATGCTGTTAACGTATTATATGTGGATTAAATCTGTCAAAACTGGCAGCATTTTGTGGGCAACTCTAGCTGCTCTTGCATACTTTTATATGGCAAGTAATATAATATAAGTATTTTTACTATCCTCCTACTAAATAATATTTATAATATTTTTTATTTTCAGGTATCTTCCTGGGGGGGTTATGTATTCTTAATTAATTTAATTCCTATGCATGTTTTCACTCTGATGGTCACCGGAAGATTCTCGCACAGGATTTACATCTCTTACTCGATTTTATACTGCATCGGCACTATGCTGTCAATGCAGATTTCTTTTGTAGGATTTCAACCTGTACAATCATCAGAACATATGTTGGTAAGTATGTTATATATTTGGTAGTTTGTTCCATTTACCTCTATGTTTTATAGTTAATGAGTAAGTATGAGGGAAAATTTGCCCTTACCAAAGATCAATTTAAAAAAAAAACACGATGTCATTGGGAACACAAAATAATATGTATTGAATTTTAGCTGTTGTCTCAGCTTTTAGGCGTGCGTGTGATTTTCATGCTGGTGCTTTTAAAACAACAATTTTTTAAATTAAACAGTAAATTTTTTAATTTTCATGAACCTGTTGTCAATTTTTAGTCTGCAAAATCCTATTTTAATAAATATAGAAATGAAAATTAAACCATCCAATATGAAACAATATCTGTGATAGTGGATAGTATTGCAATGTTGTTTTGAAGATAACTATTTCTTTCATGTATTTGCTGGTTTCGTTATGATTTTTAATCAAATGAAAAATGATTTGTTAGATTTTTTTTTAAATTAATTTATTTGTTTAAACAATTGTTTTTAATATATTAATTTCTTTAAGCAGAAGAATTATATCAATAGGCTAAAATAAATTAAACAAATTGTACAATTATATCCTTAAAGTGTGACCAAAACTAGAAGGCAAAAGTGCAACTTGATGGATATAGGATGTAGAGGTCCTTATCTCGCCCACAACCTTTCCCTTGTATAAAACAAATATCCATGATCCAACCAATTTCTTAAATTGATTCACTTTTAAAATGATTAAATTATATTTGAAATAGTGTAATCCTTGAAGAACATTAAAAAAAACTGTTTACTGCACCATGTTAATTCACTATCGGATGTTTGTAATTTAAGGGTCAGGGAAAATACGATTAAATGATGTACCCGGTCTAAACATGATCACATCAACTCCCAGTTTGATTTAATTAAATCTATTAATCAAAAACTATTTCCAGGCTTTGGGAGTTTTCGGGCTCTGTCAAATTCACAGCTGTGTTGACTACTTGCGATCTAAATTAACTTCTGCAGACTTTGAGGTGTTGTTTAAATCACTAATGCTCGCAGTCACTTCTGTGTCTGTCGTTGTTGGGCTGATATTGACTGTCACAGGTTAGTAATTTACACTTAATCAAGTATGTGAAAATTATTTATTTAAATTGACTGCCTTAGGTAAGATTGCACCTTGGACTGGCCGTTTCTACACTCTTCTGGATCCTTCGTATGCCAAAAACCACATTCCAATTATCGCATCAGTGTCAGAACATCAGCCTACTTCATGGTCTTCTTTCTACTTTGATCTTCAGATTCTAGTATTTTTATTTCCTGCAGGGCTTTATTTTTGTTTTGCTAATCTGTCAGATGCAAATATATTTCTAATTCTTTATGGAGTCACTAGTATATATTTTGCCGTAAGTATATTTTGTAAATATTTCACAATTTGGGATCATTTGAAAGGGTTTTATATTTTAGGGTGTCATGGTCCGTTTAATGCTCGTCCTTGCTCCTGTGATGTGCATTCTATCAGGTATTGCTGTTTCGGCAATGCTTCATACTTACATGAAACAAATAGATCCAGATCGAAATCTGGATAAAAAGAAAATGAAATTGGAATCAAATTTTGTAATGAAAAGTCAGGTAAATAAATAATTGTTCAGTCAAATAAAAATGTAATATCAAACCAAAGTAGACGTTAGCACAACCCTTTTTTTAGATTGCAACAGTATTTGTTGCCATAATGACATTCCTCTTGCTGACTTACACCTTTCATTGCACTTGGGTTACCTCAGAAGCATACAGTTCTCCGAGTATTGTTTTATCAGCGAGGACTCATGATGGATCTCAAATTATATTTGATGACTTTAGGGAAGCATATTATTGGTTACGTATGAACACTCATGAGGTTGGTGAAAGATTCAGTCATTGTAAAGATAAATTATGATGTTAATATTATTATAATGTTAAAATTATTTCAGGATGCCAAGGTAATGTCTTGGTGGGATTATGGCTACCAGATAACTGCTATGGCAAATCGTACAATACTCGTGGACAACAACACATGGAATAACACGCATATATCACGAGTGGGACAGGCCATGGCATCTACAGAGGAGCAGGCGTATGTTATAATGAGGGAATTGGATGTTGATTATGTATTAGTTATTTTTGGCGGTGTCGTTGGATATTCTTCTGACGGTGGGTATGATTATTTAATTATCATTATAATATAAGTCTAACTCATCCACATTTTAGACATAAATAAATTTCTTTGGATGGTTCGAATTGGAGGATCGACTGAAAAGGGAGCACATATCAAGGAAACGGATTATTATTCGCCTTCAGGAGAATTCAGGGTTGATAAGGAGGGTTCACAGACTCTTCTGAATTCTCTCATGTACAAAATGTGCTACTACAGATTTGGCCAAATATATTCAGAAGGAGGTTTGTAAAAATTTACGGAAATATCATATGCAGGAAATGACTGTTGTTTCTTTTATAGGTAAACCTCCTGGCTATGATAGAGTCCGTGGGGCAGAAATCGGTAACAAAGACTTTGAATTAGATGTTTTAGAAGAAGCATACACTACTGAACACTGGTTAGTACGTATCTACAAAGTCAAGGATTTGCGCAATCGGGGAGTGTAATCAGTGTTGATTTTATAAAGCCTAAAACTAGTGATAAGATTTTTATTATTAAAATCTGGTAACACATTCAGGGTTAACATTTTTTAATTAAGTACAAATTGTAAAAATTGAAATAGCCAATGCATAAAACTCAATAAAAAAAATAATTTCCCTCAATTATTATCTTTTAATTGTTATCAAGTTTAACTACATAAATTGTATGTAATTATATATATTTTGAGTACATGTTTGTACCCTTATTTCAAATAAATGTGAGTCTGTTTGTTTTTTGACCTTCTGGTAAGTAAGTATATGTTAAGACATCCACACATAACTATGAGAGTTCAGGTACTTACTGACTCTGCTGTGAAAATATCCTTCCATGTTTACCACATGTGGTGCTGTACCACAAAATTGTGCAAAACAAACTTCCCTCTCAAACCTAAAATCAAAGAAACCACATATGGGGAGGCTGTGCATGGGAGATCACAGATTGAAAACAACCAAGGAAAAAATATCTATTCCCCCCCCCCCAAAAAAAAAGAAGTGGTTTTTCAAAGTTCAAAATTAACTAACTATTAACTTTATTTCTTGGTAGAACATGAGTGACATGTTCATAGTCTCAACTTGGCAAGGAAGGCAAAAGCCAAGACTTGCTGAGTGGGACATCTATTATCTAAATGAAGAAAATGACTGCACTCTCCACCTCAAGGCTATCATAGTGAACCATGCTAGTTACTATCCTCTAATGCAGTTTCTGTCGAGTCTTCCAATTGGCTGTTTTAATGATTAACATTTATTTTATTAAATCCATTATGTGTAGTAGTCTAATTGACCAAATTACTTTTTTCAATTTATTCTTTTTACGTAGTCTTGAGAAGAATTGATTTATTAATGGGCATCTACATTGGCTTTTCCCACTAATACATACTTATGTGATTCCTTGATCTGTCTTTCCTGGGCCTGGGAAGTATTGCATCTTTTTTTTACATTTTTATCTTTATATTTCACCAGCTTCTTGACATTGTATTTAATAAACCCACTTAAAATCCATAAAGGGTCTTTTCAAGTTCATCAGCTATGTTAACCAAATCAGTGAATATTACTTTTTTTTTAAATCATGCTCACGAGGCATGACAGCACTACCATTTTAACACCGTAAACATTAATATGTGCACATAATAAAAATGGCTCATATTGTAAACAAGTAATTTAATTATTACTTTTGACTATTAGTGAAATGTTTCAATTTTTAAACTACAGATTGAATTTTAGCATTTCAGCAATCTTAATTTCATTATCACTGGAAAGAGGTCCAATCACCTCATTTGACAAGTTCTACTCACAGTTCAGTATCATATTGTATTAGTGGTTAGTAGAAGTATTTCTTCATTATTTTTGAATATTAAATCAGTTATCTTGATTGGTTGGTGGAGGATACAATAATAATGGTTATGGTTTAAATCTGCAGTCATGTAAAATGGAAATTTTCTTACCATACTATGAGCTCAATGATATTCAAGAAAATATTTGTTTATTTTGCACGAATAACAATTTAACAACATTTTAAAATTAACATAATTGTTTTCTCAAATTAAAATAAAAATAACGAAAAGACAATTTTTTTCTTTGGTTATTATTGATAAATATTAAATTTAAAAATCTGTATTCAAAGTATAATTATTTATAGAAAATATATTGACAGTCAAAACAGTTTTAGAAACATTTGGGGATTTGAAATAATAAATATTTTATTAACTAATATAATAATTTTCTTTTACTTTTGTTTACCTTTGAGCATGTTTTAATATATGCTTAGAAAAGTTCCTGGCACTTTTTGAGATTTTAAAAAATCTCTAATACTGAGAATGCAATGTTTTCAATTATACAGTATTGACAAGAAATGATTATAAGCAGGTCTTCAGATCTTTGATCTCAATTGCAACCAACTTTATAATTTAAATGCCTTAATCATCACAATGATAAATTTATTTTTCTCCTACAATATTTACACACAATATTGTGTGCAAATTTTTTACAAACAAAACAGAACAATTTTTAATTTGTGTTTTTTTAAAATAAAAAATAACTTTTCCATGTGTTTTTTCTGCTTTATTTTTTACATTAAATTGTTTGAACATTCGGCAATTCAATCGTAAGCATCTACATTTTCCTAAGACATAAGTATAACAAAGGATATTAGTATTTTACATTTTATGTCTTTTAAAAATGTAGATGCTGATAATGGGTGTAAATTCCCGAAACGTCCAAAAAATTGAATGTACAAATAAAGTAGAAAATGTAGAAAAATATTTTTATATAAAGAAACCACAAATTATAAATATAAAAAAAGACAAGTCTTTTCAAATATCCATGTTACATAATAAAAATTAGAACAATTTTTTATTCTCACTTTAATAATGGACTGTTTTACTTTTAATTTAATTTTCTCAAATTTATAAATGTAAATAATTAAAATAATCATAATTTAGTTTAAGGACTAATGAATTCAGTGTTAAATAGCTGCAATAATTTACTACAAAACAGATACATAGAAACTTGAATATTCATATGGAGCTACGGTGAAAGGTTAGAGGTTTGCTCTTCATCACTATCATCGCCATCGAAGCGACCAGCTTTGCAAGGTGGAGGACTGTGGGCAAAAAAAAATCTCTAAGGAAATATTTCATAAAAGGCAATACGAGAACAATTATTAATTGATTTATCTTGTATCTCAATTATATTTCACTGCTCAAAAAATAATAAGTTAAAAGTGAATTTTTTGTTTGCTATGAAATGATTAAATAATTGTGAATTTAAATCACCATTAGGAACCCCAAGTTTTATCCTACTATTATAGAAATCTTTAATGACAGGCATTGAACTAAACCCATATCTGAAATAACCTTCGCTACCTTTTTTGACATTTACAATTTACATAGCGTAGATTGGGATACAAAACTATTCATCTCTGATGTATTAAAAATTAATTTTGTTACCCTAACTCGACAAGAGTGATCGTTGTATTGGTTGCTGGAAGCAGTTTTTTTTCTCTTCCTCCTGAAAATTGATATTGGTTTAGTAGTATTTAATTATCAATGAGGAAAAAAGCAATATTTATCTCTTTTCAATTAAATATTTAACCAAGTCACCGAAGCGAAAAAATTAAGCATTATAGATTAAGCATGTTTTCATACTGTAATTCGTAAATAACAATTGTAGTATATGAATTTACCCTTTTTTGAGCAGTAAATGTTTAGTATTTATAGTAGCTGTTTTAATGATTCACCTGTTCAAATCTTCACTACTTGATGGACTACTTTCTCTTCTTGGGCTGGAAGGGGGTGAGAAGGCCTGCATCAGTCTTCCTTTGCTTTCACTCCAGATGTGCGACTGTTGGGTTTGTTCCAAAAGGTTTTTAGTATGTGTTCAAAGGACAAAAAAAAAAAAAAAAAAAAAAAAAAAAAAAAAAAAAAAAAGTTAAATACCAGTCTGCCGTCCCTTCCGAAGAGAAGGAGAAAAGCATCGATGAAGTCTCTAGATTTTTCTTCCCACTTTTGGATCATGTCGAATCGTTTTTCACCAATGTTTTCCATGACTCGTTTACTCTTGTCTTTTAACTCTTCCATTTTGTTTTGCAGTCGAAACTTTTTTTCCTTTAAATAAACAAACAACTTGCTAAAATTACTTCCAACGTCCTTAAGAAAATATAATTATTAAATTTTTTTCTTTTCTTTTTTGGTGGTAGTTAAATGAAATACTTATTTCACAGTCTTGCTTTTTAAAAATTAAATAAATAAAACAAAATTTAGGTTTTAATTTTATAATTAGTGCAAAGCAAGCTTGAAGTGTTCTTAGATGTCCTCAATTTATTTTTATTCATTATGAATATAACCCATCTGACATTCACTGGGTTAGATTCCCAGCTTTGTTTTTTTGGATATACTTTCTAAACTATACTGTTTATATTAGAAAATATGTTAAAGTTGTTTGAAATAATATCTTTCTCTATGGATTAATAAATTTGATCCAAAATAACTTTATTTAAATTAAATTGATATTTTTGGGTTTGTTCATTTTGGCATTTAGGCCAAAAATATTAAAACACTAAATCTATCCAATATGGAAGAGAACTTACACTTAGGAATGAAACATTCAGTTCCTTTGCACTGTAACCCCTGGCAAGATTTCGTCTTACATAAATGTCATAATCCCGGACAATCCGAGCAACAAGATCTGATGTAGAGACCCCCTCTGTCCTTTCGGTTGCGGCAAACATGCCCCGTTCCTTCAGCAGTGCATATACATCATCTCCACTGTCCCCCATATATGGTATTTCATCATGAGCAACAAAATCAATCTAATTTTATCAAATTAGAATATCAGTCAATTAAATGCATGAAATTACCTTGTGATCGTTCAGGAAATTATCATCTAGTTGCCAAGGAGCATCCCTTACAACTTCATCTACATACCTACAATGCCTTACAGCTTCATAGCGTTCAATGTCGGTCATAACTGTCCTACCTTTTTTAGAATGAGTCAATTCATCACTGCAAACTGAAATAGCATATATATTTATAGTTTTTCTATTGGAATTTTAAATTTTGCTATTGGATATACCTCCCACAATGAGATAAACATTTGGAAAAATATTCTTTGCCTGCATCAACTGCCTGGCATGTCCCTGGTGAAAGAGATCGTAAATACCATCTGCATATACCCTTATCCTCCTAGTACCTAACATTATTGTATACCTTATGAGGTCTTAAATGTTCATTTATTTAACTTTTAATTTAAAAGAAATCAAAAATAAGAAAAAACCAACTTACTCCTTCCAGATTTTGCTGCTTTGTATGAGAACCGCTGGGTGTAATCACACTGTTCTCTCTCTAAAATGGCTTCAGCGTCATCACTAAATGGTGCTGGTTTGGTGTTTGACTGAAGCAAGAAAAAATATCAATAATATAAGTACTAAAACCAGATAAAATGTGGAAATTATATTTTTAAATAAACTAACATGTATTTCACTTTCATATTTAGCTATTGGTACTGTTGTTATTTGCAATTCGTATATTGAAGGGCTGTCAATGTAGGGAACAGAAGGCATCGTAGCAACTACTGATACAAAGAAAAGAGAAAAATCACCAGTATTTATCAGAGATAATGATAAATTATCTCATGACCAATAGAGAGGGAGTGGCTGGTTCTTTTCAGTGCATACTAGGTCAAATATGTAATTATAATTCTGTAGAATATGAAAAAATCAACACAGTTTCAAAAAGCTTACTTGGTAACAGTAAAAAATAATATTGTTAAAAACTAACAATACGCACAACAATGCAACCCAGCAAAAATGTATTATAAATAAATGAAAGTCCTTGAATGATCTTAAACATGATATGTTTAAGGAACAATTATTATTTTATTGTGGGCCATGATAATGTGAAAGGTAATATCAAGGTGTAAAACAATCTCAAATTCAAAGCCAAATTGTGATATCATATTAATGCAAAAAAAAAAACAACTGTTATGGGTTATTTTTATTTATCTTGAAACTAGATTGCTCAAGAAAACGGGTGATAATGATTGCATAATCATTAAAAGTAAATACATCCTTTAGTGGTGTGACTAGTAGACAAATCAAAACTCAACGATAAAACCCCATTTGAACAACCCACTCAATACCATTGATTATTGAAATTAAAGCAATCCACATATACTCCTTTTATTATTTTGTTTTTGAAATTATTCAGTTCAAGAAGGTAAATGATATACATTGTGAGTATACAATATATATTTTTAATAGCCTCATACTTCACATTTTAGCCAGCACAGTGGTTTAACAATTTTGGGAAAAGATAGTTCTACTCACATATGTTTTAGACAGCTATCTGCATTTAGAGTAATAAATACTCATTAAACAGGCATGTCATCCCTAACCAGTAGAATTTACAATATAGTTGTGGGGATAGAAATTCCAGGGGCAACAGTGGGAGTTATATATATATAATCATATTATTAATGAACACAGCAATTTCATGGAATACCAACAGGATTCAGCAGAAGATCGAAAAGAAAAACCAATCTTATACCAGACACATTCAATAAACATAAGCAAAAATGCCGTTCTCAAAGCAGTATGTTTTGTGTTGTGCAATAATTCCTAGCAAATTACTATAATTTTAATTAAATTCTGAAGGACTGTCTCTGGACAAAAATCTCACTCAGAATTGTATTGTATCAAAATGAATGTCTGACAACAGTTTGAACAAACAAATGATCAATCAAAACTCTAAGGGAGTGAATGTGACCAGACTTCTAGTTGGTGATGATGGGATATTGGTGTTGTAGAAACATCGAGTTGTAGAAATGGCTTGGGCGGTTCCTGTTTTTCTATGGCAGGGTGCTGTGGTTTGGTGCTCCCTGGATGAGAAGCCTGGACTCTCAAAGAGCCACGGCATGCTGCTTGGGTTCTGGCTTCGCTTGGAAGATTATTCTGTTTAATATGTGTGGTGATTAAAACAGAAACAGTGATTGAAACAGCTTCTCTGGTTTCTGACTCTCTTCTTTCATATGTATAATACATTGATATCCAAAAATACTAGCCTCTCGTTTGTATCTCAGGTTGTCAGCTATCAATTGGAAACAAAAACAAAAATATTAAATAGATAATTATTCAGAAATCGTGAGATGCAATCTGGTGTGAAATGTTGGCACGATAAAGAAAATGTTTTTCTGAAACCTACATCACACCAGACCGCATCTCTCGATTTCTGAATAATTATCTATTTAATATTTTTGTTTCCAATTGATAGCTGACAACCTGAGGTACAAACAAGAGGCTAGTATTTTTGGATATCAATGTATTATACATTGAAAGAAGAGAGTCAGAAACCAGAGAAGCTCAAACGGCTAAAGTTTAAAAAAGACGTGCGTGAAAGACAAGAAATAGAAGGAAAATACACAGGGACCACAGTTGTGTGTTCGCCCATAAACATCTCACATTATATAGATAAAAATTAATCCGCACATATATATTTGGTAGACTTAATTGACCATATTAATTATTTAAATTAATTATACTTTTTTATCCAAGGCCTTGGTTGAGATGAGGTTAGAGCAGCGGAGTATTGAGCCGAAGGTTGTGGGTTCGAATCCCACTCATGGCCTAACTATTTCATCTAAACCAAGACCTAAGATAAAAAGTATAATTATATATATATCAAAAATTTAATTTAAAAAACAAAAATCAGCAAAAGTGATAACAATAGCAGGTTAAAATACATCAACAGTACAATGACGTACATAGTGTCTAATTAGAATAAATAGCAAGTCATCTACCAACTTGCAAGCAATTGAAAGAATAGTTACTCTCTCCCTCTCACTCTTTATCTATCTATCTAGCTACCATGACTTTAAACACAGGATCAGGGAGATTTTAAATTTTAACTTGCAAAATCGTTCTTAAATATTTAAACATATTGGCATTTAAATCTTTGAATCGAAAGATATCAAGCCAGCAATATGTTTGAGCCCATCTAAATTTTTGTGTTCAGTAAAAAACGGAAAAAGAGAAAAGCATTCATATATCAAGGGGAAAGTCAACAATTGAAAACGCCGCTTTTTATCACTGTTCAAACATTGCGGTTTGCAGTTTATTCGACATAAAACGTGTCTGCAACAACATTTATAAAGAAATGTGTAATAAATATAATAAATACCCTTGACATTTTAAGTTGATTAGTGGATGGTTCCACTTTTGGCTGTGCACTTTCTTCTCTACACCTTTTCCTCGACATTTCTATTTCATGCTGGAAAAAAGAAAACATTAGAAATTTTAATTTTACGAGAGCGCGAGGTTTTGAACAAAAGAGGCTAAATTTTGCGATAATGTTAACGACACGCGGAAAAACAAAAACATGATGTGGAAAAACTCGTTTTACCAAATCGGCCGTTCCTTCGGCCAACGTTTGAAAACGCATCTTCCGGCTGGTTGGGCGTCGAAAACTATCACTAAATTACAAAGAAAGGTACACCACGTATAGAAAGGTAAAACTGCTGGAAATAACGGGCTTCCCCTTCGAAAACGGGGTCAAATCAATGAACGATTGTCAATAATTCAAAAATAATTATTGAATAGATCTATTTATTTCACCGTAGTAAAATTAACAGAAATAAAACTGACGGGCGGCCTAAAGCCTGACTTACCTTTCGCCTCTATTCTTAACATTTGTCTTCCCTCTAATAATACCATGAAACTCGTGTCAATCGTACGCCGGAACCGTTAAAAGCATTGTTTTTGTTTATTCGGGGGGGACAGGAGACCGGCAGAAGACAGAATAAGCAAATGCGGACCGGTCAGGGTGAGTTGGAAAGGATCGAGGATACGTGTAAACGACCAATCCAACTATTAAATAGTGGCATTTCACAAGTTGTTCAAATACAAGGTAAGAGGACGAGGAAAAGTCAGCTGATGTTCACCGGCCAATCTGACTCATGGCTTGATCCCGCTTTTTTTCAAAACATGCCGCAATCTTCTTTTATATATAATTGTCAACGCCCAAAACGCCGATAGAAATTTCGGCCAGATCGCTCCGCGTATTTTAGTTCTTGATGACTTGAATGAAAGCCCTGACCTCAATTTATTCGTAAAATTATCAAACGTATAATAATAAAATAAAAAGACAATAAATAACCAATTAAAATATGGTGCGGGAGTGGTGAGGGCCGGCGCCGGAATTCAAATTTCCTGTCATCCGTCGGCTGTTGTGTATGCCTCTCCGCCTTTCAGTTGCACTACATTTCAGTATTACTATTGTTATCTTTGTTTTGTACATTTATCTACTAATTACGAAAAATAATGTTTTGGTTGTTATCAGGGATGTGGTCAAAGACCAATATTTTTAATTTTAAATCTTCGCCTAGCTTTTGGAACTTTATTGTACTTTCTTCGGGCTCTACAAAAGGATATATCATACATTTTAATTTTGGCCAATTTAACATCAAACAAATACATATAAGAACAAGACACACGTTTTTGTACTTACTGATTTTTGGTCAGAAGTATATAAACTTAAATTTTTTTATTTTCATGTTAACACTGAAAACCTTTCACGTTCTTCTTCACCTTTTCAAATATGAAATGACTAAACTAATTTAAACAATATCACAGACAATAAAAATAAAAACAACAATGAGGTTTCTCTCAGGTACGGTTTATATCCTGAAAAAGGTACAATAAAGTTCCGAAAGCTAGGCTAAGTTTGAAAATTAAAAATATTGGCCTTTGACCACAACCAAGACAATAATGTTGTTTATTGCGTAATGTTTTTTATGTGTGTTTCTTAGTGACCTGTTGTTTAATAATTTGTTGAAATCGTGAGGAGCGGTCAAGAATGAGGTAGTTTAGAAAAAATGTTTTTCACTTTTTTATCGACGTTCCGACCTTTATTCGGGTCTTCTTCAGGGCATAAAGTGTGGTTCTATTCTTGTGGTGTCATATTGGTTTTGTGTGAAATTGTGTTGGTTTTGTGACACTACAACACTTTCACACAAAACCAATATGACACCACAAGCATAGCACCACACTTTATGCCCTGAAGATAACCCGAATAAAGGTCGAAAAGTCGGCAAAAAATGGCGTTTTTCTAAATTACCTCATTCTTGACCGCTCCTCACAACTGCAACAAAATATTTTTTATTATTGTATTATTTTAATAATAATAGAGATGCTACATACTGAAATAGAAAATAATAATTGTAACATTCAAACAGACACTATGGGCTTAAGTTCAATTTCTGAAGGTCTTATTAATTTTAAAAAGAGGCCTTTGACAACGAGAGGAGGACCTCCGGGATAAGATTGCAAAAAAAAAACTTTAACAATCTATAGACATATTTAAGGTTGTTTTGAAAGTTCTATATATTTCGTCTATATTTCTACAAACTTTCGTCTTGCATTGTTTCAGCTACAATCCTGTATGCTTCAACCAAAATGCCACCAAGGGCTGTCAAAACTAGGTAGTCTAGTTTTTTATTTTTTGGGCATCCTGAACTCACATCCACAGCTTTGGAGTAGTCCAGTTCTACATATTGATTGTTAAATCAATTGTACAAATATGTTTTTCATAATGTGAAATTAATATAGGCCCTGATATTAATAGGTCCTTAAAATAGGTCGAAAGCTTGACATTAGCAACTAAATTGCTTTCTTCTTCATGACCATACCTTGATCCAGAGTGTTCGTAAGAGAAATAGTGGTCGATACTTCTTAATTCTTATACTGAAAACAGAAAATTGTATTTTTGTATTAATCAATGGCCGCCCATCCAAGCGGAAGCCGGTTTTCCGTTCCTAACACGGGGAAAAAAGTCTTACTCCCTCCATATACGATTTCTGACAAATTATGTTGAACGAAAACTTCAAAAGTTCAAACCCAAGCACAGCTTCAATGGATGTAGATGTGTGTCCTACAGTGTTAAACACTTTGAGGCTTAGAAAACCAGTGATCATTTTAACTCCTGCTGACACAATGACCTTATTTCACTCCCAGAACCACAAATCATTTTTGAGTTAAAAGAACAATTCCTTAATCGTCCACACATGGAATTAAACAACGCAATAGCATTTGCCTGATTTTCTTAAAGAAATTCCGGGAGTTGGACTTTACTGTTTTATAGTACAAGGACAGATTCACCGATTCAAATCGGATTTGTTGCCACATGAGGTGAAGTTCCATCATAGGGTCAATTGATTTATAGACTCCTCCAAAGCTGTGGATGTGCGTTCAGGATGCCCAGAGAATTAAAAAACTAGACCACGCAATTTTGACAGCCTTTGGTGGCATTTTGACTGAAGCATGCAGGATTGTAGCTGAAACAATGCAAGTCGAAAGTTTTAACTTGAACTTGCGTTTTGTTGATAGTTTACGGATGTATGTGCGTAGATTTAACAAACCTATAGCAAAAGAAATAGCTCGAGTTTTCCATTTTTCAGAAAGAGAACCGCCAGCTCATCGACACATCGTTGTGCATTAACGTCAATCCGCGGTTCAAATTTAATTTTTGATTTAAGCCCTCATTGTGATCCCACGTTGTCCCCACTGATCTATCTCCATGATCTTTCCAAAATGACCCATATGTCCAGCCAGCTATGTCGAATGTGAAGCAACTGCTCAATGGAGACAACCTGGGGTAAAAAGAAAACGGAATTGCAGCAACAGTCAATGCCCTTATACTCGTAAAGAGAAGGATCGAGTCTATTGAACTGAACTAAGGAAATAGGAACAAGTACAGTAAGTCAGAAGGCTGCAGGACATAAAAACCCCACTTCCTACATTTCCATCATTATCGTCATCATTCTGATCATTTTGGTCTGTTTGTCCTCGCCGTTTTGTCTGTCAGATAATTTCAGTTTCTCGCCATCTTCAGCGATAGATTTGCACATAGCCTTTTCTTTTAACTAAGAGAGCCCTTTCCTTCATGTAGTTTAGGTCGAAAAAGCCGAAACCCGTCTGACTAAACTACAGGCTCGTCACATTGCTCATCCCACGAGATTAGCTGCATAAAGTCATAACAAAACAAAGAAATTTACACATTTAAATGGTAAAAAAAGGAATAAATTCAACGTAAATGCATCTAATAAAAATAAAAACGGATAATAATTACAGTAAGTGAAACTAAATATGAATTTGGAAGAGAAAGCGTAAAAAAATGTACCCATTGGTATCTACCATACGAAGGCCGCGAATAAAAATGACGCTTTTGCTTGTTTTCGAGATAAACACTATTTAAAGTTTAAAACAAATTTGAGCTGCATATTTCTTTCACATAAAATGAGAACTGATGTTAATTTCTTCATCGCATGCTAAATTCCAATGTTCACGTCAGCTAAAATATAAGTGTATTTGTTTGGAAAGCAATTGGGTTATCAGTCATAATAATGACATAATCAGCATAAAGAACAATTATAATTTTAATATCGCCAACAAGTAAATGTCCCTCCAAAATTTTCTCTTCTATTACATTTCTTATTAAACGTTTAAATGCCGTTCAAACCGTTTTACAAAGACCTACAATTATAATGGGACTGTGATTTATTAGAGTATAAATAAGATTCACTATTAATTTCCCAAGAAGTGGAAAGAAGTGGCTCCTTGCCTCGAACCAAATTAATTTATTTTTAGTGCGAGTACAAAAGACAATTATCTTAAGACCTTTTTATTGCTTATCACTAAAAAAGAAAATAACAACATAGGATGCCAGTGATATAAAAATGAAAATTAAATCTTAGTTTTCTCAGCGGAACAAGAAAACAACTCTGTTTGATAAATAAAATATTAATTATAGATAGATAGTTGTTGTTAATGTTATATTTTTCTTTTTAAAACTTTCTTTTTAAAATTGTATAAAAACTGAGGGGAAGCATGATAATGGAACACTTTTAACTTAACATGTTAACTTAAAATACATAAAATATAAATGTGTGGTGGTTAGTGACCGTTAGTCAATGATTATTTGGAGATCGTGAGATGCGGTCTGGCGTGACGTAGGCTTTAGAAAAACATTTTCTTTATCGTGCTACGTTTCGATCTTTATTGAGATCATCTTCAGGGCTCAGTGTTTGTTTTCCGTGTAGATGTTTCATTCTTGTGTGTGTTGAGAATGCCCTCACGGAAAACAAACACTTTGAGCCCTGAAGATGATATTAATAAAGATCGAAACGTTGGCATGATAAAGAAAATGTTTTTCTAAAACCTACGTCACACCAGACCGCATCTCACGATCTCCGAATAATCATAAAATATAAATGTAACGTATCTAACGGACAACAAAAGAAGGGGAAATATATATATATTTTTTAAATACATAGAGCAAATAATTTAGGACTTCCGCAGGAAGTAGCTCCAATTTTATAAACATTCGTACCTGTAGCTCCAAGCCCTGAGAGCAAAAGAAACGATTTTGTAAACATTTTTTATGTTTATGCCACTCAAAACCACTTTAATCTCGACCTATTACAAAAATTCGTTTGGAATATAAAATGTTGATGTTAAACAAAATTACCTTTATACAATTGAAACAACTTCTTACAAATAAAATTCAAATAATACAAATATTATTCTACCCATCTGCCAAAGCTGTTTTTCCTCACAATGACTGACTATTCATCCTAGACCTTCCTATTTTTCAATTGTTGTTACATTACTTTGTAAAATATTGTAAAATTTAGTGTTATTATCGTTAGAATTATGAAATAGTGGATTTTTAGCCGTTTCAACGGTTTTTTATTTGGTGGAGAATATGTGAATCATTTGTCTGATCTGAAAGCCATATTACACCATTTTGTCTTTTCCTCTTCTCGTCTTTTACTTTATATCTTTATACTTTTTCTATTGAGACAGACCACTTGTTCAGCAACTATTATCATTTTAAAAATAAAGCTGACAATTCTAAAGTGTAATTGAATATTACATGGTACAATTTATAATCTCTTTATCCTAAAGTCGAATTCTTAACAGTACTTAACGCTATCTAATTTTGGTATTTTCCAATCTTATGCCATGGAACATGAAATTTTTGATTAAATGAAAGCCCGACCTATCTGATAAATACTTTAATTGACATTTATCTGTATTTAATTCATTCTTTTTTTAAACACTGATTGCTAGACGAATGAAGAGACTCATTTGGTTTTAGACATTTCTTCAACTTTGATTCGTCTCCTTGATTTTGTTCCTCTTCCCATTCATTTAATTACATTCAGATTCTCGAAATTCTAGGTTTCTAAGTTAGATTTGTTTTCTGTATTTTCCGCGAGGGTTCATTTAGAAAATTATTTTGAATGTTCTTTCTTGTTCTCGCGTTAGGTAATAAACGATCAACCATTTTGGCCGTGTAAAAATTGCTATCCTGAGGCCGTAGTTAACACTAATCTCTAGGCTTTTTGGGGTATTTTTACACTGCAGAACCGGAGAGATGTACTTGAATTGTTTTGTGTTGTTTTGGTGACCGTCCTCCGACAACGTACATTCAATCCGTGATACAGGGGTGAAAAATAGTAAGTACCCAAAACCTAAGTAACCCTATAGTTAGGAGGAAGGACTTGAATCGTAATTCGTCAGATACTTCACCTACCAGACCCACTCATTGTACTTTACTTTGGAGTTTGTATCTGGTTTAAATCGAATTAGCTGTCAAGCAAAAACGCTTTTTTGCCGCATTTACAAATGTGATCTTTAGGTGATTTTTTTTTTTTTTTGAGTTAAACAATTTTGAGCAACAGTATGATAGTAATTAATTGAAGTCGTGAGGAGAGGTCAATAATGAGATAGTTTAGAAAAACACCTTTTTCATTTTTTTTACCAATGTTTCAACTTTTATTTGGGGTCATCTTCAGGGCATAAAGTGTGGTGCTTTCCTGTGGTGTCACATTGGTCTTGTGTGAATTATTGTCTCAACAATATTTCCCACAAAGCACCAAACTTTATGCCCTCAACATGAACCAAATAAAGGTCGAAATGTCGGTAAAAAATTGAAAAAGGTGTTTTTCTGAACTGTCTAAAAAAATTAAATTAAAAAATAAATGAAAATAAAAGAGTATAATTTAGCTTAAAGTGTCTATTTATTGATTGCTAATTGTTATGTTTTAAACACATAACAAAATAATTCACTCATTGTACTGACCTGTATGGAAGAAAAATAAATTGTCCGAAATTGATGAATACAGTTGACAAAAGGTGTTAATGTCAACCGAAAATAATGGCACTCTTATAGTAAAACAATGCTATGTACTATGTATATATAAAAACCTCAAATCCACCCAAATCAATCATTCGTTTTGATATTAGCAATTTTTTTTTATCTTTGTTGACTTACTGCTCCATCAATTAAAATAACGTGATTTTATGAGGAAACACTCTATGTCTAGAGTGATGTGATGACTAACTCTTTGAAGTTTTATCGGTTAAATAATTCTTTCTAATAATAATTGAAATGCCATGTTCAACTTGAACTACTTCAATAATCTATATGTTTTTAGTTGGCTGTATTGAACCAAAGGAATTATTTAAATTAAATTATAATTTTTATGTAAAGTGTGGTTGAGATGAAAAACTTGAATAATTTTTTTCCAAATGTAAAAAAAATCATAGTAAAATTATTCTTAAGATGTAACGTGAAAATATATGTTTAGAGCAATGTTTGTTAATATTAATGTTGAATGTTAGGATCTTCGAAAGAGAGGAAAATCTTTTTCAGTTTAAAATGTACTTGTTTTTGGAAGAGTGCAATAAATGAAACTATTGGGAGAACTATTATAAAATTTAAAAAAATCAATTTATCATGGTATGTACATATTATACATTTTATATGTAATATAAAAACACAATTAAATAATATTGCAATGCTCAATAATTTTCAAAATAGTTTAGAGATAAGTTTGACGGGAGGGAGGTGGCCATGCTGACCCCAAATTCCAAACCATGGCATTTAGGTATACAAAGTAATTTGCGTAATATGTAATAATTCACACTGAGCATTACAAAAGACAAAACCATAACTCCTTTTCATTATATACAAACTCATTCAGTGCAGTCCTGAAGCTCAGGAGAAGAGCCTCTGTGAATCCCCTGATGAATAAAGTTAAATTAAAATTAAAAGGGATTTACACAATTGGGAAGAACATCGTGATGGTGTGGGTTTCCAGTCTCAGGAGTCGGGAATGAAGGAGTCACCAGAAAGCCCACGATGCTTCCTATCCTGTACCAGTGGATTTAAGGCTATTTGTTTCAAATGTTGTAAAATAAGAATGGAGAACCACTAGGCTCAGAAAAATAAAAATAATCCTGCCAAATTGTGGCAGGTTAAGAAAGAAATCAGTCTGGTCCACGGAGCATGTGTAAGGGGGGCAAAACTGACAAAACTATGCATAGGTCATACAATAATAACACACGGCACCTTCTGGCAGGAAAGCGTCTGCATAGATACCTGTTATGCAAGGATGAAATAATAATTAAGCACCTTTTTAATTGTAGATCGCAATATTTTGGCATACCATCGGACCTGTGTGAAGTCTTGAGGCATGACAGCAGAGACAGATTGTTCTTCTGGTACATCATGCTGTAGGGATTTTTAAATGCATATAGTGTTAGTGTTGTGACTGTGTTATATTTATGTTAATTTATTGGAATAAAGGTAATTTATTAGTGTGTGGTGATTAGTGACCGTTAATCGATATTTATTTAGAAATCGTGAGATGCGGTCTGGTGTGATGTAGGTTTCAGAAAAATATTTTGGCACGATAAAGAAAATGTTTTTCTGAAACCTACATCACACCAGACCGTATCTCACGATTTCTAAATAAATAGTAATTTATTAGAGTGAAAGGAAGGGATTGTTTAACCCTGCCTGAGGAATAATATATACATAAAATCTAATATTATGTAAGCAGAAATAATAAACACATATTCTATTCTATTCAACGCTCAATCACATCAAGTAATTTATAAGACAGGCCATATTTCATTACGTAAGCAGTAAAATTAGCACACAAAAATTGAAAGGCATGCATAATGGTTGTGAGGTGTTCCATCTATGTTTTAGTTTTCCTGCCCTTTTTATGTGGAAATATAAACAATGTTTAAGTTGATTGATATCAATCATGTAGGCATATTATAATGTATTAAATTACATAAATTTATGACTGGAAATGATATCTCAGCAAACATTTCTATAAAGTATCAATTCAAATTGTCAATTTATATGAAACAACACCCATACACTCACGTGTGCATGCACATACTCACTTTTACACTTGCACTCATGCATGCACATGCACATATTACATGCTTCATTTTATTATTCAATAACGATTTCATTTTTCAATTTCTCTCTTCACTTTTTTAAACATCTGCCTATCTGACAATCTGTAAATATTATCAATTACCCTACAACCTACAAATAAGCAGGTGAGAAATGAGAAATGTATAATTAAGGTGACCAGTGATTTTCAGAAATCATTGTAGTAACACTTTATTAATTAAATAATAGCTATTTGCCTAATTTACATATTAAAAACATCAATACTTTTTTTAAGTGTCAAATAAAAATATTATTATCAATATTGATAAATTTTGATTTCTAATTCTAAAACAGTTTTTTTCTAAACATCAAAAATGTTGAGGGTTTGACATTGAGCCATCATTATGAATTTAATTTTTTTCACTTATTGTTAATCACTTACAATTTAAATTTTATACCATTGTCCAATTTTTTATATTGAAAGGAATTGCTATCTGAAAACATTTATACATCTACACTAAAAGATACTGAAAGCCTTTCACATTTAATGATTTGTCTAACTATGTACATTACATCTCATTTAATTATTATTGCCTTTCAGTTGGTCACTTTAAGTTATAAAGGGTTAGTATGAAACCCCAGGGGCTTTGTGGAATTGTGAACATTCTAACAGGAAATATATTTCAGTCTAGCTTAAAGGATTCATAACTAAAAATAAAATAATACATTTTACAAAAATAACACACCATTATATCTTCTTTGTGTGTTCTTTACACTTAACTTTTCACTACAAATATTCATAAGCGTTTCTTTCCATTTGTATTATAACCCATAAAAATTAAAATAAAAGTGATGATTACTAATATGTTCCTATATTAAAATCCTAACAAGTAGCAAGTTAACTGCAAAAACTGAGTGTTGCAATTCAATATAATTCGACCGACGGTAGTAGAATTTAATCCTCAATTTCTTTTTCTAATAATTTAATTGTTAATGGGAATTTTGCACAAAGACAAACTGGTTTCACAATTAACGCAAGAAAAAGTATTTTGTCTATAATAATACTTTTTAATTTAATAATAAGTACATAAAAAATGACATTTCTTAAGTAAAATAAATTAGAAATATTTGACTGATTTGATTGCACCATGTTGAAGAATTAAATTATTATTACTCGTAAGTATATGTAACGATTCATGAGAACGCATGTTATTAAAATAAATATAATTAAAATACAACATAGAAAAAATGTCAAAAGGTTTTTTTAAAATAAATCATACTTTCCAATTTTATAAACTTTTTTGTACATGTATTGAATGTAGATGATCAACAATGTTTAGCTAAGAAGGAAATATTTACAGAAAAAAATCATGTTTGTTGAACTGTTGAACTCATGTATAAGAAACAAATTTGTGCATTCTTTTTAAATATTATTTTGTTTTGTCCAAAGGAGGAATAAGGTTATCAGTTAAGAGATTCAGACGAAGCTGTGGAATGTACAGTTCGATGCTTGTAATTCGAGCTGTGCCCGAATTTTGGAGAGGAAATTGATACTTGTGGAACTTCATCTATTCTAGCTAGATCATTTGCAGCTCCAGCTGAGTTTTGCTTGTAAATTCGTACATTCTTAGCCTCTACAACGTCCTCTTTATCGACACTGAACTGTCTTTTGAGGAATCTGGAACTGGCAGCTTTTTGGTGACCAGATCCATCATTTGGCGAGAGGCACTTATAATGGTTGTACTGAGAACTGAGGTCATTTTCATCAACAACTTTTCTCAATTTACCATTTAGGTTTTGTACACTTTTACTTTGATTAATGAAAGAAACACCTGGTGTGTCAACATTTAGCTCTGAAGCTGAAAAAGGTGTAATGATCCCCGATTTAGAGTGCTCACTTGTTGAATTTTTAACATCGTTTGTCTTATTATCGAGCTTTTGTTCCTCGGATATATCAAAAGTCATTTGTCTCTGTGACTTCCATTTGTGTTCAGCTCGCTTTTCTTCAGCAGAGGCTGCTAGTAAACCTGCATCCAACGAAAGCTGATAAAAAGATTTCACGGGTTTCTTTGATTTTGTAGGGGTTGATGTCATGGGTTCAATGTCAGATGAACTATCGTCGGCTCTTCTTGGTTCCTCTGTGAAGTTTTGATTTGGGTATACACCGGTCCTTCCATACTGAACTAAATGTTCATCCAAACTGAAAAATATAACATATGAAAATTATTTTATGCATACAGTTTTTCAGTTTGGGCTTCTCCTTTCATTCTGGTGTTCCTAGGAGTACGAATCTCAGGGGCTCAGAAGTGTAAAATGGTAATCTCGAACTAGCCAATCAGAAAAGGGAAACAAAACTCTAATGTTCACACTTCTGGACTCCAGCAATGAGGCCGACCACTGGAGTTAACCAAGTTAACCCCCCCCCCCCAAAAAAAAAAAAAAAAAAAAAAAAAAAAAAAAAAAAAAAAAAAAAAAAAAACCTGCAGCATATCATAACAAAAGGTAAAATATCGCCAATGACCACAAGAAGGACCTAGGTAAATCTTGGGGACTAAAACGGAAAATGTTCCATTGGCTATATACAGCAGTAATAATAATCACAATAACCTATGGATCACTTATCTGGTGGACCAAAACTCAAAAACTAGCTACCCAAACATAATTTAAGCTCCAAAAACACAAACTGGAACTAAACAATTCAGACACACAACCATAATTAATAAAATCAGACACCTGTTCTTAGAAATGGGGACTGTCTACATGATCTCGGAAACATTCTTTACAGCATCCTATAAAGTCTCAACAGACTAGAAAGGAGAGGAAGAACTTAGGAGAGCATCAGATACAATGATATGGTATACAGATGGCTAGAAAACAAACGGAGGAACCGAATCAGGTGTTTTTTGTACTAACCAAAACTTGAGCAACCAAACACATTAGGGAAGTACACTTCGGTCTTTCAAACAGAAATACCCGCCAAAAATGCTTGTACCCTAGAAAATCTTAAAAGAGGTTACACTAGCAAAAAATCCTCATATGATCAAATAACCAAGTAGCTATTAAAGCAGTAGCACATAAAAAAATCACAACTAGTCAGTGAATTTATCCAAAATCTCCAAAACCTGGTCTGAATATATATATCTTGGGTACCCAGAGACAAAGACATTTTGGGTAATGAAAAAGCAACACACTGGCTAGAGAAAAATCTGCAACCCTATATATGCCCTGAACCTTTACTTGGAATAAAAATACAAATATAGAATCCTCCATCATAAAATTGTTAAAAAAAGTGGATAACTCTAGTGGCACTAGACACATTAAACTGTCTCGCAAATTAAACTCACTGATGCAATTGGAGAGGGCCAGATGTAGAGGAGTGATAGGACTATTACCCGGTCATTGGTATTTTAGATAACATTTACATAACATGGACATATTCAACGATGATACCATTTGTCAATTATGCAATGAGGAGGAAGAAATAGACGCTTCCTAGCATCCATCATCATAATCATCATTTGGTGCTCCTATCCTCACTTGTTTGTTCTATTGCTGATTGACATCTTAAGAGTTGGGTTTGTGTTATGATGAAGTAATACCGAAGATAGACCAAAACAGTGAAGATAGGCTTGCTCAGGGGGATGGCTGAAGTCAACCAAATTAACAAATACATTACAAGATTGTTTTGAATTAAACCTTTCTATTTGCCATTATTGCAAGTAATGTCGCATTATTCATGAATGAAAAAACATGTACATAGAAAATAAAGTTTAATCAATATAAATAAAAATTGACTTACCCATGGCTTTCCCTGTTAGCAAGATAAATTGTCATAAATTTAATTAAACTTAATCAAAGAACTAACTAAGAGTAAAGAAGGACTAAATAAGGTATTAACTGGCCTTATTGGTGGTGGGGTTGGAAGCTGTTTTTCAAAGCCGTTCTTTCCTAGTAGCCAATAAGTCATGACTCTTCCTTTTCCTTTTAGCTCAGTTAGACCTCGACATTCAATTTGATATCCTCCTGACTCTTCCAGTTTGCATTTTGTCGATTCTGATATGTGAATTCTCCAAGCGGAACCTTGAAGAGGAATGGATATTGTAGTATAATAACAAACAAAATTAAGTTACATATATTTAATAAATAAAATTGCCTGTTTTTCCCCTATATAATACAAAAATTACCTGAAGATTCCATTCTCGAAGCCGTGTTGACTGTGTCACCGAATAAGCAATACCTCGGCATAGTCAGACCGACAACACCAGCACAGCAGGGCCCTTTCAAACAATAGTAGAACTCAAAGTTGAAATTAAACTACATCAACAAACGTACCTGTATGTAATCCTATTCTTAAGCGCAGAGGAGTAAAGGGCAAATGTCTAATTCTGAACTTTCCACTGTGGTGCAACAGGTCCAACGCCATTGTAGCAACCTGCTGTGCATGGTCTGGCGTTCGAATTGGAAGCCCACCGACAACCATATAAGCATCTCCGATTGTCTCAACCTGGTTGGACATATAACCAAATGCTAGTAAAACTGCAATGAATTGATACTATGATTATCTACAAGGAAAATTTAAAAAGAACCACCGCTATTGTGAAAAATTATTACAACCTATAAAAGGGAAATATTTGTTTAGTTGGATTTATTAAATTATTTATACATTATGTTTATATATACAATTGTGCTTCTTGAATATGTTTGAAATTTCAAGTTATAAGAAAAAATTGTATAAATACTTTTTGAAATGTATGTGATAAGTATTATCATTTTTCAACCATCATTCCTTTGGTGATTATCATATTGGACATTTTAATTAATTTGGTAATAATGTGCAGTGGGCATATAAGAGGTCACGAGGTCACATACACTGCATGGGGCTTTGCAACAGAGGAAGTCATATTAACCCAGACCAAATATTTGGTTTCCTTTAACTTACAGTGACAACCACTGTGTCAATGCCTAAATCATCGAGATCACTAATTCCTGCCTCAATCCTTCTTGTTATTTTGCATTATAATAAATATTTTCCTATTGCAAATCATTTTTAAATTTTTTAAAAATATTATTATTTTTGTTTTTAATTTATTAAGGTATGTTAATTTGGGTAGATGAATCTTATTTCTTAATGAATATTTGTTTTTCTTTGGCTTATACTAAAACTAATTTTTTACTACAATATTTTGTATTTTTATGTTAAGATTTTTGTTTAATTTTAACCAGTAAAATTTTTTAAATGTAAGAAAGGTTCTTTGTAAACCATTGAAGAAATAAGTAACCTGCAGTACAGATCAACCAGGTGCTCTACCTTGTAAACGTTGTAAGCATTTATAGTAGCATCAAAACAAGTGTAAAGATCATTAAGAAGATCAACGACTTCAAATGGTGTTGAGTAAGCCGAAATGGTTGTGAAGCCAACTATGTCAGAAAAGTATATTGTCACTTCGCTGAATTCTTCGGGATCGACAGGCATTCCAAACTTAAGTTTCTCAGCAACATAACTGCAAAATAAAATAAATTCTTATGTTCATACAGAAGAAGATATCCATACCATACACCAATCCGACCTCTTATCTACCCTCAAACCATCAAAGCAATATGATAAATAGCACATGCTCAATTATTCATTAATTTCTCAATTATTTTATAATTAAATGGCAATGGCCTATCTCAACATAAGGCAGCATTGTAGTTTTTGCTACATCGTGAACAAATTTAAATTGCACTGACATCGTTTTCATTTAGCATTCATACAATTAAAATTTTCATTTGTAATGGACAACCTGCGTTACCAATTTCAGGCTTCCAGTTTAAACATATCTTTGTCTCTTATAGATCTGCACACCAAATATACACATTTTTTATTTATTTATCATTATTTTTTTACGAGGGTATGCAACAGCAGAAGTTATATCAACCCTTGGGGTGCCAGTGTTTTTCAAAAAAGCCCATTTGTAAGTATGTCGGGTTTGAATGCAGGACCACTGGACCTTCGGGGGAACCTTGAGCCGTGATGAGCGCCGTGTCAATGCCTAAACCGTTGCTGCCACCGACGCCCTTTAAATAGACACATTTTTCATTATAATTTCTAAACATTTTGACTTTTGTTTTTTATCGGTTGATGGACAAATATTCAATTGGTTTAGGATTTTGCTATCTGAAAGCATGTTTATGTGCCTCTTGTATGCTTGTGTGCTTGTGTGATTGATGTGTCAATTGAGAATTATTAGTCATTGCTACATTGTGGGATTACACTACCAAACTTTTAGTGAATTCGATTTTACAAATAATTGTTCCATTAATCTCACAATCTTACACAAACAGTAGTGCATTAGATGTTTAATTCAAAGGAAAATTGATACAAATTACATTTTTGCGATCAAGTAATATGATTGAAAATATAAAGTAAGATGACTGTAGTACTTTCAAATTGTTGTGGGTGAGATATAGGTCAGAAGGTATGGAGCAAAAATTACTGTATCTCAATTTAAGTTCTTATTATCTAGGTACCTATGAACATATAGGACATGATGGATATAAATTTATATGATAATATAAATACATCACATTTCAACCACCTTGGAAGCATCCTGTTTAAAAGTTGTTCTGTCTTCTTTTTCTCCATGTCCAGCTGCTCAGTCCTTTCGCGAATTAAGTCCTCTAAGTTGTTAGAGTATTTTTCTAGCATTTGGAACATTGTATCAACAAAGTTTGCTTTCCTGTAACAACAAGACTATTGTATTAAGTAATAATGAAATAGTAACAATTAAATTACAGCTATTAACTGTATGTACTGAAAGAAGCCAATTCGCCCTTCCCCAGAGAGTGTTAATAGGTATTTATTTTAAAAATAAATTTCACATTACTTAAAAAAATTAAACAGTTAAACAGAATGATAAGATTGAAAAATATAATTTTTTTCATAGATAAAATTATGTCTTAACTGAAAGGGCAAGTTGACATTTTCCCAAATCTGATATAATATATATTATATTTAAATTATTTTTTGCCTTCAAAATTTTGAAAATTACAATAATGTTGAGCAATAGTCTCAATTTAAGTAACTCAAATTATTGTGTTTTTTTCTAGACCAAAATTAAAGAAGGTAATAACATACAAACACAGGACTTTGATAAAATCATATTAATACTAGCACTTTTTCTATTTTGAAACCACTTTCTTCAGATAAGTTCATAAAATTGAAAAATTTATAGACACAAATCATCTCTCAATAATAGAAGAAAGGAGTTACCTTCCATGATTAAGAGTTTTAAATAAATCATGAATAGTGTTGAAATCTGGTCTCATTTCTGGAAGCTCGGCCCAACATTGCCTCATTATATTTATGGCCTCTGGTGGTGCTGCGCCTTTGCTAACGGAAGGCCTTATTAGTGGTGGAGGTCTCCTTATCTTCTCCAGAATTTCTGAAAAGGTGATTTTAGTTACCATTGAGAAGACTGGTAAGTTAAATATATAAATTAAAAAAAGTTAAATATACAAAAAATGCAAAAGGGTGGTGCATTTTTGACATACCATAGGGCAAACAATGCACCACTTGCATAAATGGATTCTAGCACAATTGTCTTAATTTTCTAATTAAAATAAATTTCTTCTTAGTAAAACCAAAATAATTGGTTTCCAACAAGAACCAAACAACAAATCTTTCAGTATTTAAATAAATTAAGTTACAAAACTTATTGGCAAAAAAATGAAAATATATTATAAATATATGTAATAATACTTTCCTAAATTAAAAAATAAAATAAAAACAGAAGTTTGGAAAGTTTGTAAAAAAAAAAAAAAACTAAATGTTATTACTACAAATGAACATGAAGTCAAGTGAGTTGTTTGAAGACTTCCCCTTAAGACAAAGTGCAGTAGCCCGATTGGGCAATTTCAGTTTGGCATTTGTTATTTTCACTGGCATGATATCATCACAATATGTTTGTATAGCATGCTGTAATTTGTTAATAAAACAGATTTGTTTAACATTGAATAAAAACACGAAATGTATGTTTATAATTTTGAATTGGCCTTCATCATTAGCTACAATTGAGGCATTTGCTTACTAAGCAGGATTAAATAACTATGCAAAAATATGTTAAAATAATTTTGCCTAAACTGTTAGTTCAAAATATAGTCAAATCATGAAAGGTTGTACGAGTAAAGCAATATTATGGCGTAATTTAGTCGTTCCTGGTCATTTTTGGTCCATCTATCCTCAATGGACTGGCCTGTCAGATGCATATTACATTTCATTATTTTCAGTGTATCTGGGTGATTTCTTTGATAGACAGACCAAAATGATCAGTAACGACCAAATTATGAACCTGCAGACTATGGAAGAAATTTCAAATCTCAGAAAAATTTAAACAACACCACCCCGGGTGACCAACTCCAATCCATAATTACATTGGATTAACAAATTTAAATCTAGTGGGAATGTGAAATTTGTTCACGGAGGAAGTCACTACCAGCGAGATTTAGCAAGAATGAGCGCTCGACTTCTTCCTCAATCTGAATCTCTATGCAATGGACAGTTGGATACACATTGCAACTATGAGCATGGTTAAATGGAAGTGAATTGATAGTCAATCCATTTAAGCAATTGGAGAATTGTTTTTCTTTGAAGTCTTGAACAATTTTTCTATACTGCATTCTTATTTTATTTTAAGACACTAATTCTTCATTCAGTGTTCATTAAATAATTACATATTTCATTGCAGAGGTTCTTGCAAAAGAAGCATTTCTTGATAAATGATTTTCTGTCAATTTGCATTATATTTATTAGTCTGTCTGTTAAATTGTATTATTTCATCATTAATTTAAAATAAAAAGCTATAATTTTAAATTAAATAATTGTTAATAATCAATATTTAGAAAAAATGTAACCTTCTGGTGGAAGAGAGAGCATGCAGTATGGTTCTCCCCTGACTACTACCTCCTGCATAATTATACCAAAACTATATACATCTCCTGCTTGGGTACCGCATTTTCGCAGGGATGGGTCCCTCAAAAATTCAGGGGCTGACCAAAGCAAGTCTGAAACAAATATCAAAAAGTTCTTATATTTTTATGATTCTTGATAATTTAATTTATTATGCATTATATTTTGCCTTTTGGTTTCTTAGCTGGAGGGGTTAAATTTTGACACTCGTAAAACTTCGGCATGGCGTAGTCCGTGATTTTGAGGACCCATCTTGCGTCAATTACACAGTTTCTTGATGTAAGATTACCGTGGACTTTTACAGGAGATGAATGTAAGTATTTCATTCCCTAACAACAATAAGAAAGTTCTTAAAGGAGTTTATATGTTACAAAGTAGAATACATGCTTCTGTCTGAGACATAAGTTATTATAAAACCAGATATATTTTGTCTGGTTTAGAAAATGATAAGACAATTTAAAAAAATAAATAATTAGCAAATTCCCAACTAAACTACACCAGCATAAACAACATGACATAATTTCACATATTTTAGAATTATTGCTTTTAGTTTTTTATAAAACAACTGCCTATAGAGAAAAATCACATATTATCGACAGATTCTGTAAATTGATTTAAAAACAAATACATATATTCATATTAAGTTATCCACAAATGTGAACACTACTCATATTTATTGCTGGCCAACATTTATAGAAAAACTATAAATAGTAAACTTACCCTGACTAGGTCCGTCAGGAGAGAAAGTCTGAAAGACCAATCAAGTTTAATTTCATCGGCCATTAGGACGTCTTCTAATGATCCCCTGCTGCAGTATTCCCAAACTAGATAAGGCCGTTGGGGATCGGTAAGGCACCCAATGATTGGATTTAAATTCTCATGTCTTAAAGTGTGCATCTGCAAGGATCAGACAGACAAAACATTAAGCAGGTAACTCAAGCGAATGAGAATATATTTAGAATTGAAATATGAAATAAATAACAATATACTAAAAAAAGGGCAATATTTAGAAGCATTAAATATTTTGTTTTGTCGTTTAATATTAAATATTTCTTTTCAGCTAATTACCTACATATATTACTTACTGTCATTAAGCAGTCCATTGATTTACTCCTAAGTTCAAAACTTCCAGAATCATCAAGAATTGCCTTGAGCTGCACCAGATCCCCCTTCAATAATATTTGACATTTAATTATATTTGTTCTGCAGTATTTAATGGGTGCATCAATTCTTGTGTTTAATTTATGGTACAGGTTTTTACTCACATTATACCTTGCCCTAGGATCTGAGCTGATTTTGGATATGCTTCCAATGCTGGGGCTCTTTTTCATTGTTGATTTGAGAGAACCCACTGAACCTTTGAGAAGGTCTGGTTTGTCCACTTCTGGTCCTCCCAATTCTTGGAGTTGATGTAGCCAACAACAAAGCATTGCTTCAATCCCTTCTTCAACCTAAAGTATGAAAAAACTTATTGCAATAATCTGACTTAGTTTGTAAAAAAGATTTGTAGGTTGACTACGCACTCTTTTTACTTCGGGTATATGTGGAAACACAAAGTCTGTTGGTGTCAAAATTATTTTGCAAGGCCCCTTCGACATCCTTGATTTCTGATACAACCTCCTGAAAAATGTATAAATCAAATTTTGATTTTAAGGGTAATGAAAATATTATTTTGACATTTTTGTCTAAAGGTTAATTTTTCTAAATAACAGACATTCTATTGAAATGTAATTGAGTATTTATTTATTATATTGTAATATATATAATGTATTATACTGTATTTATTGCATTGTATAAGAGGTCTTGCTTATCAAATATGAAAAAGAAATTGACAACGTGCCTTTGAGCATAGACATTAGCAGCATGTATTCTTAAATCAACTAGGAAACCTGTGTAATGAGTTATCAGGATAAATTTTGCCTAACTATTGTAAACATAAATTAAAATAACAATGTAGGTTATGCATATGACATTTGAAAAACTCCAATTAGAATTAGTTTTAGTTTTTACTTTTAGCCATTTACAATACATAAAACTGTATTCGGTTTTACAGTTGCATATCAATATACTTGTGCATAACAACTCAGAATGGAAATAATAAGACGATAAGTGTTTACTCATCTCTTTATAATTTTCATCAATTTTTTGTTTGCAGCCAGCTATTTTAAATAATTAGCAATTTAAAAATATGTAGAAGAATGTGTTTAAATTAGTAGTGCTTCAATTGGCTGAATTACTTACCTTAGAAAAGAGGAAGCGCTTACTAAAGAGCAGACCAATATAAACGATGACACTACTACTATAAGGATGTTCACTGCCTTTGTGAAAAAACCTATTTAAATAAAATTAAGAATTTTTTTTTTAAATGAATCAATATTAGACAATAATTATTTTGTTACAATTCAGTTGCAATGCAAACAAATAGATGCCAAAATTAATTGACTAATTTATTAATATGTGAGCTTCTGAATTTATATTAACAATTCAAGATATATGAGTAACAAAATTTTAATTAATACTGCTGATGGGAGAAAATAGTCAATAATTTTTTTAAAATTATAGTAAATTAAATTTTCAACTTATATCATTAAAAAAACAGGTAATTAAGTTTATTTCAGATATTCAATTTTGCACTTCTAATTTTGTTTTAGATAAATAAAATGTTATTGTTTTACAACATGCAATTAAAAAACTAAGACTATCTTACCATTATTCTCTACAAGACATTCATCATTTTCACAAATGTATTCTGTGTTGTTGAAAGGATCAGTTTTCAGCCTTATCCAATCTCTGGAGCTGTTTACCAAAGGTTTTAGTTTTAATTTTTCTCTGTAACATTAATACTATTGGTTAATATTATTGAAATAATTCTCAATCTATAGATTCACATTAAAATCACAAACATTAATGCACACACCCACAAAAAATTGATTCACTACAACTGAATATGGTAGAAAACCTCTATTCCTTCTCAATATTAAAAAAAAGTAAATAAAATAATAATTAAAAAAATGCTACTTTATGGTGGCATTTTTGATACTTATACAAAGCCAAAATCTGGCACCTTTTAATAATGTAGAATTAAATGAATAAAAATGCATATTTAGTTAAATTATTTACCTCTCCTCGATGTAAAGATGGATGATAGGTCGCCAGTAGGCAGACATGTCACTGGTGCTATTCTGTCCAACCCAGTCCCAAACTGTGAAACCGTTCACTAAATCTTCTTTTTTCCCTCCCTCGATCGCCTCTAAAGATGTTTCCACCAAATAATCGAGATCATCGAGCTGAAAGTAGTTCCCGTAAGTCATCTGATGAAAAGGATGCTTCAAAAAGTTTATGTAAAGCAAATATTTCATTAGTTGTTTGAATTGTAAATAAATTCCCTTAAGTAAAAGATATAAAAGACATTATAAATAGAAACAAATGTATCATTCCTCTTTCCAGAAAGAGATTCTTTTTCAATGATTCACACCTCAATTTAAGACAAAAGCCAACTGTTTTATCCTGACAACTGTATTCTTTTGCACCAAATGCTCAGCTAATCCCTATCAAATTTTCATAAACAAATTACACTTATAAAATAAGTCATAATTTGATTCCTTAGAAATGAATTTGTAAAGCTAAAAGTTGTTAATGATTTTAACTATTGAAAAGAAATTGATATAAATGGAATAACGATTTTAGTTTAAAGTGAACAGACTTGGCTTTTATAAGATTTAAATACAAAGTATTAATTAATTGATCCATAGTTAATTTGAGTACTCACGATTGAAAAGCGAGTCGATATGACAAGAGAGGTGTAGGCCATTCGGCTTAGAACATCGGTGTACGCTCCAAAGGGTGGGTAAATCCATAGGTGTACAAACAGGAGAGATGAAGCTAGAAAATCAGTTGTGCTGTAAATCTCCAACACTTGCAATAAAAGGTTTATCTCTGGCCAGTCGAGTGGAACCAAAATGCACGTCACTGAAAAATTTATTTTTCATAGTATTTGACACAGTCTTTCTCTAAATACTATGTTACCCCTGGCCGGTGAACCTGTCGGCATAAGAATATTTTGTAGCGTGTTTATGTCATAACGGTCATTTATTAAAGTAGTACGATGTTTCACAGTTATGTTCCCTTTCAATAGCCTGTTTTCTAGAAGTACCGAGAGTTGAGTCCAAATGCCAAAGTCTGAAAAAGATTCTCATACTAAACACTTGTGGAGCTTCATGATAAACATATTTGTAATAATGTTGTTGGTGGTTTAACTTGTTATGTAAATTGAATTTCCTATATAATTATTTCTCTTTACGTTTATAATTTAATAATTGTTATAGTTGCATTATTTTGTTTCACATATCACTAATATGTACTTACCACTAGAGGTACAGCACATCAACGTTTACGAAAACAATATTTTTCTTACAAGTTTATCAATAAGAACTTTTGTGTGTATTATTGTACTGGTTTTAATAAATAAATGAATAGCAGCAAATTTATTTTTATCCCATTTGGACTTATAATAAATTAAGAAAAAAATTCTAGCCAATGTAATGATTAAACGGAAACGGGGAAAGGTAGGAAATCACTTACACAATTTTTACACAGTAAGTACAATTTATGACCACATTACTACATGTAGTATTAATTATTAATTTTCACTTTTATTCTAGGCCTTTCAATTTTTATTACTTACAATAATCAAATAATTCATCAGCTAGTTGATTAATCAAGTAATGTAATGTTGTTATAAGTCTGCCCTGCCGGCGCGCAAGACCAACACTTCTGCAACACTTGTAAGTCGTGCGGGTTTAGCATACAGGATGGCTATGTAAAACAATTTCTTGATATTTTCGCCCGTTTAATTCTGACGACGGGTTTGATTTTGTTTACATGCACTATTAAATATAATGGTAAAAAATAAAGGTTATTAGAAAAAAAACCATTAGTTTTTTAAGCAGCATAACACATAATTGACATTATTAAACAAAAATAAAAATAATTTTTTTACTAGAAATAATAAGAAGGTAGGGTGAGTCGCTTCACGTTTTACAAAGGATGGTTCTTACCCACGGGTTTTGTTGTTCCAACTATCCGGATTTCAAGCATTAAACACTCATCATCAAATTGAAAGAGTTACATAAACGTATCTCGACATGAATTGAGTGAACTCGCCGATCCACCGACAACGCGATGTTCCAATGAGAATCTGGTTTTTAATGCCGAACAATTTTGAACGTATGAAAAATGCGAATTGCAACCCAACTAAATATTATCCTAATACATACTGCAAGAAAAATAATTTTAAATTAGTAATTAAATTGTACGTCAAATAATATTTAGGTACATGTTTAAAATACGGGATAAATAAAAATCTATTTTTGATTAAGTTTTTGACGTTTAGATTTATCCTCTTTGGTTTAATTACTTTAGCACATTTATATTTTATAATTTATTTTACTACAATTAACCAATGAACCAAGGGATAATAGCCTATTTCATCTAGTTCTGTTTTTGGGACAAATTTTAAGCCTTTATTTAATAAATTGTTTTCTTCTTTTTTTAGGATCACCACCTACGCGGACGACACCGCAATCCTATCCTGAAACTCGAATTCTGTCCAAGCTACCTCCAACATTCAGGAACACCTTGAGCTTATCGAAGACTGGTGTAAAAAATGGAGGACAAGACTGAACGAAGAAAAATGCACTCAGTGTACTTTTACGCTGAAAAAACAGTCTTGCCCTCCATTGTACATCAACAACAAAGAGATACCAGTTTCCACTCAAGTCAAATACCTGGGACTATATCTCGACAGCAGACTGACGTGGAATCCCCACACAAGACTTAAAAAACAGCAACTTAATACAAGACTTGGACTACTACGAAGACTTTTAAGACCGAAATCGACTTTGACAATTAAGACAAAACTAACACTATACAAGACTTTACTAAGACCAATATGGACATATGGAGTAGAATTGTGGGGCACTGCCAAGCCTTCCAATATCCAGCGCATCCAGTCCTTCCAATCGAAAGTCCTTAGACAAATTGTTAAAGCACCCTATTATGTCACTAACCTCACTATCCACAAAGACCTCAACATTCCTTTTGCCAACGAACTAATCCAGTCCAGATTCCAAACCTTCCATACCAACCTTTCAAACCATCCTAACCATACGGCTCGAGCCCTATCCACTCATTCCCATCCTGACAACCCACCACGACGCCTCAACCGAAGATGGCCTCGGGACCTCCTTGATCCCTAATCATATAAACTGAGTGCCAGCAATGGCTGGCTCCTCAAAGCATGTGTCCTACCGGTGCAGTGCTGGCATTAGTGCTAGTGTTGTGCTGTGTGATATTTCATGCATGTGTACATATTTGTATAGTATACAATTCTGTATAGGTAACAAATAAATAAATTAAATTAAAAAAACAAAAAAACAATTTAGGATCATGTTTGTTAAGTTTATAACCCTTGGGTAAAATTTAATTGAAGTCGTTTGGTCTTAATGAGTAATTTTAAGTGTAGCGTACTTCATGTTTTTAATTTTTTTATCCTTGGAATTTTGTTTTTATCAATAAAATTTTTTAATATAATGAAATGGCTTTTGTTGCTTGCCATACATTGGGGAACTAGCAGAAAAAGTAGGTAACATTCTTAGGCGAAAGGTTTAAGAATTGTTTTTAGAGATGTGTGTCCACTTAGTAACATCCTAAAAATCTAAAGACAAAGTTGACAACTTGTCGGGGGCCGCAACGGTTTAAGCGTTGACCCGGCGCTTATCGCTGTAAGGTAAAGGTCCCGGGTTCGAATACAGGGCCGCTGTCCGACCCGACATACTGTAGGACAAAGCAGCAGAAAAATTAAAACGAGAGTTAAAGAATACTTGCCTAAAGCGAACAAATTTTCTGAATTAAAGACCATCTAAATGAAACAATACATAATTTAAATTTACAGTGTTACACAGTTTCAAAAAAGTGAAGGGAACTAAATTGGTTTAAGAAATTTATAATAAAAAAATGTAAAATTAAACATGGTGATAAATGCATAAATAATATAATGCATTATTTTGATTTACCCCCTATTTTAAACATGTACCTAAATAATATTGGGCACACAAATTAATAATTTAAAATTATTTTTCTTATAGTATGTATTACCATAATATTTAGGGATGGTTATGATAATATTTAGTTGTGTTTAATTCACGTTTTAAGCACGTTCAAAATTGAAAGGCATAAAAACCAGCTTCACATCGAAACGTCGCGTTGGTGGTGGATCACAATTAATGCCGAGAGACCTGTTTGTAACTCATTCAACCTTATGATGAGCGTTTAATGCTCGAAATTTGGCAATTGTAAACAATAAAACCTGTGAATAAGAGTCACCTTTACAGCAAGTAAATCGTTACGAGATGTTTGCGACTAGGACGTCTTAAATGGGATACCTTGAATATAGAAAGTTACCAGATTACATCGGGTTTATTTTTAAAAAGAATTTTATTATTTATAAGTAATTTATGTCAGATGTTATGCATTGTATGCCGTGTTTAATGCAATAATTTAGCATTCTTTAAAAGTTGAGCATAATGACAACGTACTATGATTTCGTGTTTTATGTTTACTATGATAATTTCGTTAAAGGAATATGAAGTACAAGGACTTTTTCTCTCCGAAACTATTAACTTTTCAACATTTATTTATAATTTGCAATTTTGTATCAATTAAATAGTGTTAAAATAAAAAAATACCTAGTGTGATAATCGTTGCAGATTTGAAACGGAAATATTTAATTGTCTGAAACAACGCTTTTGCAATGGTTGTCAGTTTCGGAAGGCATCTTAACATCGAGCTGTTTCCAGTGCTCCAGCTTATCTGAAACAAAATATTTTACCATATTACTCAAAAGCTTAAAGGTTTTACAAGCTCAATCAAATCATAACAACTTCAATATAATTTTTTATACGAAAACTGAATCACAACGAACCTTACAAACAATTTTCCAAGAAATAGTTTGTTTGCTTCTTCATCTATAATCGTAAAAAAACTTGCCTTAGAGATAAACAAAGTGAAAGTAAGTATAGTCAGTATAGTAAGTAAGTACTCGGCAGTGGTGTTCACTATTTCTTTAAAAAAACACATGTCTCAACTTAAACACGGCTAAACCATTATAGTAAACCATCATGACTGGGAGGTCTTGCAGGAGTAGTTGTTTCTACTTTTTTTTTATTTATCACAGGCAATTTAATTAACATGAAACATGATTTTTTTAGGGGCATCCAGTAGATTCCTAATGCTATTGCACAGCAATTTCATAAATATATCTATACGAAAGCATTAACATTTCATAAATAATTGCAACAGACAACGACACTATATAAATGAAAACAATTCTATAAACATAGAAAATTTAACAGTTTAATAATAAATAACATGCAAACAGAAAATAAATAGATAGTACATGCCATAGAATTGAGTTATTTTACAGTTTTCGCATAACACTAAATTAGGTAATCTAATCACACTAGATTTTGTCACCATTTGACTACTTGTTGCTATAAAAGCTCTATATCGGGAATCATTCCTAGTGTAGATCTTGCGTTCTCTTTCGTTTAATCTATGATGATTTTCTGGTGAAGCTTCATTTACAATTTCGTCTACTGAGGCCCGTCACATAGGAGTACTGCTTGCGGTATGCATCTTTTACGACTTGGGACACCATTGGGATGTACATATCATTACGCAGTGTGTCATTTCTAATGTACCATGGAGCTCCAGTGATTAACCGCAATACTTTGCTTTGAACTTGATTTTATTAATGTGGCTGAGACCCATAGGCTGCACGAGTTTAGTGAAGACGGATATCCAAGACATATCGACGGTATCTAAGGGTGGTCGAGTACGAATTGCCTCGACAAGGAACAGCGATACTCGGCCTCTCTAGTCGTATTCCTCACCACCCTTGTCGCAGGCCATTAGCTCGGGAACTTTTATGAATTCGCCTCCCTCAGTTGTGGAGTTCTTACAAAGACGTAAGTTTATCAAAACTTTTTTCAAGTTAAATTTTTATAGTTGTTGTTGTTCTTATCTACAAACATTTCTCGTATAATTTAATTTGAAATAAATTGAAAGATCAACAATGGAGTGTATGCACGAGTAATATAGACAGAATCAAGGGATTAATTTAAGAAAAAGAAAAATTAAAGAAACTTAACACCAAAAGGAATATAAATATAAAAACAATAATATATACATAAAAATGTTGTTTTGTACATTTTGCGCAATACTTTCACACTTCCATGTTGTTAAGTGACATAATTTTAAAAATAGTTCTACAACAACATAGTAATGTTTTACTGAGTTGAAATGAAGTAGAATTAGAATTATTAGATTTACGAGACCTCCTAAGAGGCCTCTGGCCTCTCCGTGATGGATCAGGGGGAGTCACCCTCCTTGGTGCCTGAGCGACTCCTAGGTTGGGCTCTGGTCGGGCGCCATCGACTTCTTTGGTCATTTCGGCGTCCTTACATTCCCTAAAACTAGTCATTCTCACACTCACTCATACAATAAATACATACATGCTCCTATATACAAACCCAATCACACATGCATATCTGTCTAGAATCCGGGTCGGAGGGTACTCTATATTTCGCCCCGAGCCTGCTTGGCAGAACAGCGGTGGAGCTTTGAAATGATATGCTGCACCGCCGCCCAGCATACTCCTATTCTAACATAAACTTAATCTAAACTTTAACCTATGAAATAAATACCACGCTATATACAGCCCATTATCCCAATATCTCTGAAAAACCTAAAAAAAATTTCTTTAAACTCGCTGTCATGCTCGAGTATTCTCCTATAGTCCGGCGGTATTCCATTTCTGTCCCTATACGGGGTCAAGCTGCGACACCCCTCCAACACGTGCGACACCGTGAGTCTGTCATCTTGGCATGCTGGGCACCTAGGTCGACTCGCGCCAACCAACAGGCACCCATGAGTCACATGTGTGTGACCGATCCGCAGGCGGGTCAGGACAACGCTTTTCCTTCGAGATATCCCCTCCGGGCTCCATCGGTTGACGTCGGCTTGACTTTTCTAATATCATATTTTTCACTATTCTCTTAGCGTCGTCAGGCCGAATCGAGGTGGTCTCAACATCATCACTGTGAGGAACGAGAGTACCCGCTTTCGCGGCCAGGTCCGCTCTCTCGTTCCCCTCCAGTCCGACGTGCCCTGGAATCCAGGCTAAAACCACCCTTTTCCCTGCGCGCACAATGTCCGCATATTTTAATTGGATTTTGCCGATCTGTGGATCCCGTGTATAGGGGTCTCTCAGAGCTCTCACCGCGCTGAGGGAGTCAGTGCCTATGAGAACAGTTCCGTCCCCCATACCCGACACCCCCAGCATCGCGTGCCAAATCGCTTATAGCTCGGCTCAATCTCTAGGGAGTGGGTGGAGGAGCTCTCCTCCCGCGTGTTCACTCCGCATGCCACATCCGCCTCGGTCTTAGAGCCGTCCGTGAAGACGGTCTTACATCTGGGGAGCCGAGAGCGGAGTTCAGGCTGGCTAGTGTCCCAGCGGAAGAACCCCCCCCCTATCCAGGGATACGGCAAAGAGGATCCCAGAGGTCGCGTCCGGGTGGGCAGCCTGGAATACTTATCCTCGTGAGGGTTGCCCGTGATCATCACCGCCAGCGGATTGCCCGGTTTGGCCAACATGGATACCGCATATCCGTAGGCGAGCTGCTCCCGCCTCAGGTCCGGCGGGAGAACACCCACCTCGCAGCAAAGGCTGGTCAATGGGGTGGTCCTGAAGGCGCCTCACACCGCTCGAAGACCCTGATAATAGAGACGGTCGAGCTTAGTCCGGCGGGACCTCCTTGCAGAACCTTGAACTTGAAGAACTTGAAACCTTGCAGAAACTTAAAATGAAGTAAAAATAAATACTGTTATTTATCAAACTCTCTGCTAATTTTAGACGACAAATATTTTCGTTTATTTTAAAAATATTAATTCAATTTTTTTAGCTATAGTAATTGACTTTTTCTCCACTATAAACTACTGATTGACGTAAATATTAAATAATTAACTAATTACACAATAATCATCGAACAGAGGGTATGGTGACCACCAAGCCATCTATTATCTATATTAAATTCAAGCATTCCAATCAAAAGACCCCAGAAGAATTATCTTAGCTCACTATCCACAATGTCCTTAACAATTCCCTTCGTTAATGAATTGGCCTGTTTCCGCTTCCTCAAATTTCACTCCACTCTTTATGCCCACTCTTACCCCACTACTCAAGCCATCTTCAGTACCTCCAAGAACAGTAACTCCAACCATACCAAGAACATGACATACTCATCCCCTCGCTCCTCAATACAAGCATTATTCTAGATAAGTTCAGCAAGTACTAGTTAATTGTGGGATTAACCATGGATTGGTCTGTCAGAAGCGTTTCCACATGTCTCCATCTTCAGTGTGTCTGTTTGATATGACTTCACTCACAGAAACCCCCAGACACACTAAAGATGGTGAAAAGCCAAAACTCATCTGCAAGCCAACTCAAATGATCAATAAGGATCAATGATTGAGACCAAGATAATCAATACGGAATTCATTACAACTAAAACAATTATTTCTACCTTAATTACAACCACAAAATTAATTACGACCATTTACCCATAATTTATACTATGCTAATAATAATAATAATAATGGTTCTATTTCACTTATTTATCGTTATTCACCTTTTTCATGTTCTGTTCTCGGCAGTTCTTTCTGACATTTTTAATAATAAAATAATTCAATTTCGTTAGGTGTGAAACTAGTGTTGTGTTTAGGTAAGCCAATTAATGGTAACCGATCAAATCAAGGCATGACCAATTCTACTATGAATTAATCAATAATGTGAACTATAAACTACAATTATAATTTATTTGTAACAAAATTTTCAGTCAGTTACAACAAGAAGAAGCTAAAGAAAATTTTCAAAAATGTGCGAAAAATCACTTTTCGACAACATGTGGGTTAAAGTTTTTAAAAGAATCTGTAGTTAGCTAAAGCTTCTCTGCTGTTCTGCCCCGCAAGAAGATATATTAAACACCATTTTTACGAAATAATAATCTTTCTTCTCGTAAAATTTCAAAATAAAAACTATAATTTAAATTTTAAAAAAATAAAAGCTTTTGGTACATTTTTCAATCATAGTGATGACAACTCTAATCCATAGAGTAAGAAAAACACGTTCTTTCGGGTCAACCTATGAACTAACCACGCGATCATAGATCACACACGCATGCACATACAATCTCTCTTTATCTCTATGTTGAAGAACGAATTTATTGAATTGTCAAAATTTATGTAGTTATTTGGTCAATGAATTATTCACTGTTTTCTGAAGAATAATTGTATATCATCATATATTTAGTACATAATACATGGTGGGTTTTTTATATAAACTTTGCTGTATGAAAAAGCTTTTTCTTTACCGGTGCCAGCTAAAGTAACGAATAACAACGAAGAAATTAGACTATTTGTCGTGCAGTAATACTGATTATTTGACACTTTACCTTAGGACAGTTCCAAGCGACGACAGTGACGGATGAAACAGCGGTCGCTGACTCGATCAAATCGCAATGTTCGGTTGGAAATGATCCTATCACGGTTCTAGTTTTGTTTTGAACGACGAGCTCCAGGACGGAACGGATTTCTTCATTCCGGCAGTGTTCTGGAAGAAACTTGTTTATTAATATACATTTTAGTTAGTGTGATTTAAGTGAATCGTCGTTGCTGAAAAATAGAACGATATGCAAATATCTAATAAATCGTTACTTTCTGTCTATTACTGTTTTACTGAAGTGTTACTGTTGTAATCGTATACGTTAAATGTTATTTTTAATCTTTGAATAGCAAATGTGATGTTAAAATAAAAAATTCTTAATCTAGTACTAGGAAAGTGGAGTTCTCTACTGAGTAAATGTAGCAGGGGTAAATAAGTAACAAAAATAAGAAAATTCTAAATAAACGACTTTAATTTACCAATTATGCCAACACAGATTATTGTGTAAGAATGAACAATAAATAACAATCGATTTATTACAAGAATATAGACAATGAATATTCTTAAGTGGATTTATAATAATTGGATAAAAACATAAACCGTGGAAAATAAATTCGTTTATTGGATGATTTCATAACTGTATTAATATGATAATGTGATCTTATTTGTGAGGTAGTACGGGTGAGACATCTAGCTCATATTCTGAGATAAGAACATATAGGTTGAATAACAAACAAGGTTTCCTTTGATGTAGAACCGACACTGCCAAGCCCTTTAAACCAAATACTCATTGTGTAATCACACAGGGCGAACTCCCAAGTCAATTGCATTCCAGTTTATGCAATGATATTATACAACAAACATCAACAATGACACATTAAGGAAGAAGACGCTTTCAGTTAAATACTAAAACAATGTTTTAATTTAATAAAAGATTTGAAAATGAGATATCAACACAATTGGTGTAGTTCACCATTGTTTATAGGTGCAGTACTATAATGGCAATCTAAAGCAGAAATTTATCAGCTTCATTTTGTTTATGATCATCTTGGCCTGTCTATACTCACAGCTATTTTTAACATATAGAATAGTCTCTGCTAAACAAAATTCACGCAACAACAATCACTGAAGATAGCGAGAAGGTGAAATTAGTCTGAGAGACTAAAGCAGCAATTGTAGACAGAACAGGATTTATTGATTACTGATTTTATCAGCTCAATCTGCACACGCATGTACATACACTCGACATACAAATTTCAGCTTTTGTGTGATTACAGTAGTTACCTCAGGCCTTGAGAACACCAGATGTTGGCAGACCTGGGTCAGACCTCGGTCTTATCCATTCAGCAACCGACGCAATCAGTCTCTCACTCCAAACCCATTCACACTCTCACTCTTAAATACATTCTTATTTATTTATATTCCATATAGTCAATTTGGTTGGTACTCGATATTCCTCCATTGGCCTTCTTTCACTACATATTCACGGGAATAAATACATTCGCTTTAAAACATGTTGGACACAAAACTATCATTACTATATACAAAAAACCACCTTGTTTCCTGTTTCCTCCAAAAGTTGGAATAGGAGACATGAATACTCGTTGCCGTGTTCAAACATAATTCTTATAACGGTTGGCATTTCTACGCGCTTTCTATATGGAGTCAAGGAATAGCACCCTTCAATTAAGTAGGGCACATCGAGCAACCTATCTCTAAATGCAGGTCACAACGCGGGCTTTGGGTCACGCCATACCCTCGCCAGTCTTAGACCCGTCTCTGAAGACGGGCTGAAACCACTGTACCTCGATCTAAGATAAAAGTATGGCGGATTAGACGACTTGGCTAACACTGAGAGATCGTGTTGAACTGGCATTGGGTCACTTAGGCCCGTCTTCGCGAGTTCATTTAACTACTCAAATGCTTTCGGCCTTGCGCCATCTTCAGTGAGGAACTGTGGACAGTGAGTGAAGACAGACCCAATAAATGACCGAGTTTCAGCATGAGTTCACCGACCAACACCAAATATCAACAACACTGCGAGATCTTCCCGGTCGAGAACAGGATTTAACTTTTCAATTCCCAGATATGGAGGGAAGAATAAGAGCTCTCTTGCAATACATTGGCAGGTGAAAGTGTTCATGATTTCTCTATATGTTTTAGGTTATTTCACTTACGTTATGCCTTTATGTATACGGAATGTAATAAATAATAAAAACGTTTTCCACCTATAAAGACTAAAAAGGATGATCGCAAAGGACCAAAATTTTAGTTTTTTAACCGTCATGCGAAATGCCGTAACGCTGGGACGACAAAATCAGTGAGAAAAGACAAGCCAAGATGAAAGGTACCTAACCATCAAATTATAGGTTCATCACCTAACAGATCGTAGGAAGAAATCTCACAATTCAAAAATATTACAATCGCAGTACAATGTCATACAGTTTTTAAGCATGTTGGACCTTTTTCTGTTTCTTTAATTTGATTAACCCCAGATATACTTCATTGGTCCGTATTATATTTTTAGCACCTCGTTCGTTTCCGGTAAAACATTTAATACAAACAATAAAATGCAAATGTAATGGAAAGCAGTGTAGGCATTTAGGTTTTGTTCTAATTAAACAAGTGATAATTACAAAATATCGTGCAATCACTGGTGACCCACCCAAGAATAACAATTGTCAATATTTGTTTTTCTATAACTTTAGATTAGCCACATTTGAATATAAACTTGAAATTTGTTTTTCACTCAGCATTAAAGAAATTATTTGTACATATATAAAAATAATCAATATCAGTTCAAAAATAAAAGCATTTTTTTAAGGTTTTAGTTTACTTTTGACAAACGAACTTTTTCTAATGTTAGTAAGAGAAGAGATTACACCTGTACGATTTTCTTTCCTCATTCTTATAATACGGCTCACTGGCTGAACAATATAATTGAACTATCTTGGGTTGTTACAAAGGAAATATTCGTTGTTTTGAACAGGACTTGAATGAAACAATCGTGTTAAATTATGTCCCACACATTTTTATCAACGACTAAGTTTTTTATACAAGATTTTAAAAACAGAGTTAGGGGTGAAAGACCTAGTACCATCAAATACCTAGTAAAGAAATCATTAAAATCACAAAATAAAAAGTGAATAATTAACTATTTAGGAGTGTGACACTTTTCAGTCATTGTAGTAGAATCTTGGATAGGGATATTTGACATATGCCATTGATTCTTTATCCTTCTTTTCCATGTTCTGTTAAATTTAAATATTTAAATAATTTAAATTAGTGCGCCTAGAAAAGTTATATTACCTAGAACCTCATGTTTTTCTCCGTGGAAAACATTTGAAACTGAAAATAGTGCAAAGGCGAGTACAAACCTTTTCGAAAGGAAGAGATGGTGACCAGGTAAAAGTGGCTTGGCTACTAGTGTGGCTGTAAGTGCCTAATGTAAGAGGACACGCAACTCTTTTAAACGTTACCTCCACTCTTGAAAGGACGTCGATAATTCAGGCAGTAATTCCCAATTATTTCGAGTGTGAAATTTGTTATTAAAACGTTATTACATACGCAAATAGTATTCAAATTAATATCAATTCTACTGTTTTACACGGTTATAAAGAAATAAAATTCTTGAAATTAATTAAATGTTACACACTAGAATAACCAAGGCAAAAGAAGGATGATTTGGTAAATTTTTAATTAATTTAAAATTTATTGAAAATTTTCACTTCTTACCCTTTAAAGTAAAGAAATGTATCTTAACTGATTTTGTGGCATTTTTGAAAATCAAAACAAGGATTATTTCAAATCTAAATTATGATTAATATTCCAATTATTTTTTAAGATTAGAGATTAAGATTAGATTATATCAATCATTTAATAAATGTATAATAAATTCCGTTTTTTGTTTTTTTAATGGTCGTGCACGTCCCATTGTTTTGAATTTTTAACTGGAATATTATGTTTTAGGAAAAATTTCAAATTCGAAAATGCTTGTACGTTTTACATGTTGAACTGATCGTCGCTGGTGAGTTACTGGGTTCGTGTATTATCGCTTGTTTATATTTTACCCTTACGCGTTTCGGCTTCAAGCCATCTTCAGTAAGGATCTGTCATAACATAGCGTTAGGGTCGATCAGTCCAACATATGTTCATCCACTTGCTTAACAACTAAAATCACGAACTTTGTTGTAATTTTGCTATTCATAAAGAATACGCGACTGGATATGGAAGATGGTTTCATTTTTTTACCATTCCAGCATTACTACAGAAATAATAAATTACAATTAATTAAGGTTTTTAGTTGAGATAAAAAAGTCAATGGCACGAGCGGGATTCGAACCCACGATCTTCGGCTAGATACGCCGCTGCTCTACCACTTGAGCTGCTATCGTGACCTCAATCACCTATCATTAATATATTACAATTAATTAAGGCTTTTAGTTGAGATAAAAAATGAGATAATAATTGGTCAAGCTGACCACGAAATTAGTGAATTTAATGATTTAAAATGAAGTATACTTCACTAAAGCTCGCCGTGGCCATTTCATTTGTCGTCGAGAATCCAATCCAATTCAAGACATTTGAAAAATGGCAAAAAGGAGGGAAAATTCAGAACGGTGTGGTTGAGGTGGGAAGTTAGTGTCCGAGTGGATCGAGGTCACGATAGCTCAAGTGGTTGAGCAGCGGCGTATCTAACCGAAGATCGTGGGTTCGAATCCCGCTCGTGCCATTGACTTTTTTATCTCAACTAAAAACCTTAATTAATTGTAATATATTAATTGGTCAAGCGGACCACGAAATTAGTGAATTTAAGAAATAATAAATACCATTTGACTGATCTTTGTTGAACAGCTTTCTTGAAGATTTGTTATTAGTTACAATTGCTTATTAATATTTGGTATAACCCTGACAATTTAGGGATGTTGTGCTATATATTTAATCCCTCATCAAATCTCTAACCGAAGATTCATTTCATTGCCATTCATAAAAACATAACATGTCATACATTTATACATTTTTATAGGAATAATTAATACATTCTTCATCCATATAACATTTTTGTGCTAACCTTGTTGTGGGTGGCAAGGGAGGAGGATGGTGTGATTTGAACTTGAGGATCCTTCGTGTAAAAAATACAGAAGGACGCCAAGCCCTACTCCTACAGCACCCATAACTGCTTTGGCTACTTCCTTCTTTTCATCCCCTCTGTCCCTGTAGGCTCCTCTGCTTCTTGTCTCTATTTTGCTGGATGGCTAACCACCACTCCAGTTCAGAAAATCCGTGGCGTAATTGTTCTTCATAACCGCTTCGCTCCCTGAAACAACGTCGAAACTGTGAACAAACCACAATAAAAAAAGTTTGTGTAATTAAAAAAGTTTTAAAAAATAGTCTCAATTATGATTAAAATCTTGACTAGAAAAGTATTTTTAACTATTTAATCATAAATTTTATATTTATGTAATAATATAATTAGTGAAAATTATACAGATCATTAAATTTAATTAATTAATAATTTTGCCACGATATTAAAATAGTAATTCAGGTAAATTTAGCTCATTTCTAATCATGATATACCTACATCATGTATACAGTAAGAACCATACACCACAAACTTGGGATATATTTTTCTCAAAAAGCCAATAGCGTTTAAATATTTAAATTTATGTACACACAAAACTATTTAAAAATTTATACTCGCTTTAATCGGTTAAAATTGCGAACTGAATTTATTTTTGTATTTCTAGAAGTGAATGAATTTAACGCCAAACACAGAACTTTGTTATTAAAGGGCAATGTAAACAAAGTTTCCCCGCTTATTATCTGTTCGTTGAACTGAAGAAAATGACCACTATCCCAGTCACTCCGTTTGATCTTGTATGTTTAACGATTCGCCCAGTTGGTTGATAATTTATTGATTATTATTTCACGCAACTTCGTATGTAACATTTTTGTTATAATAATTTTGTTGTTCTGTAGATTTAATTACCTTTAAGCATTGGCATGCGTGATCGTGTTTGAATCGATGATAATAAAGTTCTTTTTTTTTTACCTTAACTGATTAATATAAGTCTTAGAATATTCCATACAGCGTTTGGTTCTTATTTCAACATAAATAGGTTTCCTATTGTTTTAATTTTGCCACATACACAAAATATAGAAAAAATAAATAAAATTATATAAAAAATAAAAACGTTCTAATGTACAGAAGAACAACTTTTTAAAATCATGTATGTTCTAAGTCACTCAAAAATCCAGTAAACCACTCGTGACCGTTTTTCTAAAGGTTTTTTCCTTAGGGCAATAAGGAGCGGAATGTGTCCTTTTGCCCTGCTAACGTTGAACCTTCGGAAACACCCTGAAACTAGGAGTTATCCATTATAATATATTCTACGAGTGTTATCTCACATTTTAATTGTACAACTATTTATGGTAAAAAAATCTGTGATGAATAATTCTCCGCTTTATTTGGTTTTCTTTACTTCACTTCTGAATTTCCATCACCTCGCTTCAATATTTCTGAGACTTATATTGCAAAGAACTATTTCTGAAATGTATTCTTTTTTAGTTCATGTTCAACTTCAAGCGAAAGCTTATGACAAATCAATTCAGTCGGAATAAAGCAGTAATTCGAAAGTGCGCGATCGAGGCATTTATTTTTCATAGATTTTTGGTATATAAATTTTTGTTGTTTATGTTCTGCACGATTCGTGGTCGATTTTACTTTAAACGCAATTGCTACTTGTGTACAATTGTTTTCTTTTCTTTGAACATACTACTAATTGATTATCTTTTCTTCGATGATAGATTCGGACAAATAAATAGGGAACTGCTTAAACCAATTTAATATATTTTTGAAGCCGTTCGCTATTTGTTTGTCCGAATCTTTCTTCGAAAAGAAGGCTGAGTAAATATTTAGTCAAAAGAATTTTAAAACATTAAGAAAAATAGTAAGCTAGCTTTTTACTATATGCAATTTACTCGAACTTAGCCCGTCGTAAAGTGAGACATGGATCATTATCATGCTGAATGAGGGAGATATTATAATTGGATGATTTAGATACTCCCGCATTAATTTTTCACTCCCTTTTCATAATAACCGCAAAAACGTATTACTACAAAGATCTGTTGCTGAATGTATGTATTTTAGCGATAATAATTGCGAGAATCGTGAGGGTCAGGTCATTTATCATAAGTCAGGTGTTTCAGACGTTAAGACATTCTCCACCTCGTATGCCAGCATCCATGTCTCCTTCCAGAAATATGTTTCTGTAAACAATCCCCGTTACCAAGAAGTCCATTGTTTGTAAGTAACAGTCACACACGGCAGAGTGAATATGTTCAGTCGGTGCAGACGAAGGTCAGTAGGCAGATCCGATGAACATCCCGAACACAACCAAACACCATACCATTCTGATGTATACAATCCACAGGGATCGATCTACTCAGTACCACGCCTTCGTCCGTCTTAAGACCGACTGAAAGTAAACTTAAATGGTCCCTATATTTTTAACTTCACTGAAGCACAAAGCTGAAGTAACCTTAACAGTTGCTTCTCTCTTCATGATTTACAATACCAAATCGCTACACAGCCTGCTCGAAATCTTACATTTATGAAGCTGAAGTGTTTTGAAGTGTAAGGAATAGGTCGACAAAACTAGTCAGCCAAATAACTTTGTAAGATCCGCTCCTCAGCTAATATGATCAATGAAGTTTATTAGTAGAGAGCTTCCCTTTCTGTCGGCAGTGTAATGTACATACCACCTAAATATCAGCTCGAACCGATTTTTTATTTAGCAATATATTATATTTTTCTTTAAAAATAACCAGTAAACAAAAAAATTATATCGATTGCAAGTCTTTACTTAAAAAATAACGAGGGTGTCCACTTTTTTTTGCCTCTCATTGTAGATTAAATATCTTGCTAATTATATTTTCCTAATCATGGCGGTCTCTTTGTTGAAGTTTGTTGAAGATCACAATTTGAAGCAAAACGATAGTTCGAAAAAATTATATGCACGAATACTTCACCATATATTTTTAAACGGCGGACCGAGTCCAATTGGCGTGGATCATGACTAGGTTCTTTTATTTGCATTTTTTTCTATATTATATCTTCGTATACCTTCGATCTCACTCAATTTCTCTTTCAGATTAATTCTATTGTAATGGGGAATCTACCAACTGCTACAAGCTGCTTGGTCGGTAGGAAGACTCTGTAACGTGATTCCAGCACTCTCTTGGGCTAGCTATATTTTAAAAAATATATCAACTTATTTCATAAAATCGGTTAGAACTAAATGGACCTCTCCGTCTTGTGGCAGTCTAGGAAGGATCTCTAAGTTTCATTCACCAAATTGAGTTACAAACAAAGTTGAATAAAGAATACGTCTTTTTGCGCACAGCCCATTGAAGGTTTTTGCCTCATCATTGGTCCCCCGTTGAATGAGCTGCTTTCGTTCATCCCTTAAGTTACAGGAAAAGTAAGTCGTCCAACCGTCTTATCCAGGCCCTATCTACACTCCTGCGACAAAGATTGAGACAAAAAATTTTCCAAAGTTTCGAGGTGGCTCAATCTGAACTTAGAGGTGTTGGTTGATCCGAGGGTGAATGAACACATGTTGAACTGATCGACACATCTCAACCTGTTACGTTTTACCGCTCCCTACAAGTTTTGCTCCCCGGACAAATTTTTCAGCTCCGATTGATGTTATATTTTATCTGTCACTCTGTAATCCGCTCAAACCCCGGTTATTATAGTATTCCTTTTCCATACATTATAAGCTGTTCATCTTCCTTTGATAACGTCCAATTTTCGCTAGGATTAACATTACCACACACCTCATTTATTTATGCGACAACGGATCCAAGGTATTTGAAGCGAACTTTCAAAACCTCGACCTCTCGTTTTATCTCTTCGTTGTTAGTTTATACTTTTGAGTTCATTTACTTTCAGACCAAGTTGTTTTGCTACCTCGTAATCTCTTCTATAAATCATGTCAGTGCCGTCTTAGAAATCGTAGAAAAACGAACATCGTTCCTTCATAACAAGTTTTGTTTCAGATAATAAGAGACAACATAAGACATGGTTTAAAAACAATATAAATTTATTCACTGTCCCTTGTATATTATCGAATTAGGCTTTTTAATTAATAACAGGAAAAATTTGAGCCATCCTGTCAAACTGTTATTTATAGGTTTTATATTTTACAATACTTTGTCATTCGATCGTTTCTGTTCTAAGTGGGTCATGTGTTTTAGTATGTGTTAAATAGACAATTAATTAAGCTGAAATTAAACTATTTAAAACTACATAATAATTGGATATGAGAGGTTAATGTATTATGTACTCACGATTTCTGAATAAAAATTATGTACTGATTATAAGAATGATAATCGAACATAAAATATTCAAATGAGCGGTTGACATGTCTATTTTATCGTAGAAAAAAATTAAAAGTATTAAACAGAAAATCGTATTAATAATAAATAAAAGAATTACTGGACAAAATATTTAAATAAGAAATATAATAACTTATGGTGAAATAATTAATAGTGTAGAAAGGTCATATTTCTCCTGGGTTTTGTCGAAAAACGGGATTTGTTCGAGGTGTTATGAGCAATAGTATTTCGCAAATAAGCGAAGGACCTTTTCAGCAGTCCTTGTGGGCTTACCTTCTTGGTTGATGTGGTGCGTCAAGTCTCCACGGACACACTGCCACTTCTCTTGCATCCTAGCTCTACTATCCACCCCGAAAACGTCAGCTTCTCCAGCATCCACCCTCTCTCATCCTAAACCCAACAACCCAACCCCATTTCAATTGATTTTCATGTCCACCCGGGTCCAAAATTTTGCACTTCGACTAATAATTATTGAAACTTTAATTAATTAAAATGATTAATATATAAAAAATGTTCAATGAAAACTATTATTCCAAGTATTTTTATAATTTTTTGAAAACATTCAATCTTCATATAAAAAAAAATTGATTATTAAGGAAACAATACGGTTTTTTAAACATTTTTTATGAAAAATATTTATAAATTTTTTATCGTGTTAAATTATCTCCAAAATTAAGATCTTTTTCATTCCCATTGTCATTTTGTACTTGTTTTTATTTAAATCTAACGTGTGAATTTCATTTTGCAGACATTTTATATTTAATTTTCCACCAAAACACAAAATCGAGCCAAAAAACTTTAAAATTGGTAATACTGTTAAAAATTTAGCTAATGCCGGCAGCAAAAAAATATGCAAAACATCACACTTTTTTTGACAGACAAATTATATTCATATGAGATCACAATAATTGTTAATCTAAAGTAATTAATCAATTACGTCGCTAGCCTCTCGTTAAACTGACATTTTTTTTATCAAATATTTATTTTGCTTATTGAAATAGACGACTTATATGTTAAAAACATTAGTATCTATTGAAAAATTGTCTACAGTAAAAAAAATCGCAAAGAAAAATTATAATACTGTAAATAAACAATATAAATATTTGAAAAATAAATAATCTAGAAAGAAATATTAACTGATACACCGTGCTTTTATCTATCTGAATTAAAATCCCCCCCCAAAAAAAAAGTTAAAAAGAAAATATAAGTAAAAATAAAAAAGCTTACAACATTTTCATGCAATAGATTAACAAGCACTTTAAAAGCAAAAATGAATAAAATGTTTGCCCAACAAATTTGCAGCCGGGAAGAAAAATCGGACAGGTCGTAGCGGGAATTTACTTGATATCACATCCTCATGAAAAATACAACACAAAATCTCTAATACGTACAAAGTACACTTTATCGGCATGACCAGTAATCTAATATTTTAAGACACTTCAAAAACAAAATATGAAAAAGTATATTGTATTCTTATCTTCTTCATTTCCACTTCATACGGAATATTTACTAATGAAACGTATAATAACTTAACTAACGTAAAAAAATCAACAAACTTTTTTTAAAATTAATTTATTGTTTGCATTTTGTTATACAATAAAGTACTTTTTTGTTATTATCTGGGTGTCGGGGTTTCAATGTAATAATGTGCAACGCTAACTTCATTATATTCTGAATCCCAAAACTATTACATAAATATTGACTAATGCCTGTATGTCCATTTTTCAATGGAATATTTTTCATGGAATTTAAATGGTTTAAATTACGTTTGGACGTTATCCTCGCAAAGGAAACGCTTTTAAATATATTTAAGGGAATTAGCACGTGATTTATACCATTTTTAATAAGGAAAAAAGAGGTTTGATCGTTTTCGTTCGCCTATCTTCTCTGTTTTGGTCTAGCGGATTTTTTTTAGGAAGTAACATTCATAATATTGGCACTAACATTGAAGATAGGATAAACTGGGGAACTTTGTATATATACAATGTTGGACAAATTTTACGCACCACTCAATTTATTTAGTTTAAAATTAAATCGATTATCTTTCTACATTAATTACAAATATTTACGAGCTATCGTAGTCAAAATAAACAGTAAGTTGTGATGGTGGCCCATCACAATTAAAAGTTTCAAATTTTCAAATGAATAAGAAAACCCACAAAACTGATTCGTCCTTGATGGGCCATCTGAACAATTTCAAAAGGAGGGAAGAGATTAACGAAAATATAGTCAGTCCCCATTTTGCTCGCCCTTTAAGTGGATCGTTTTGTTTAAATGTAATTGATTTTAAAGAGTAGAAAATATGTAAATTTTGAGACGAAAGATTTTTCGAAGGTGTTTTGGTTAACCATTAATATAAATTTTATTTTGACTATTAAATTAAAAGGGCTCGAAGGGTTTCTTTGAGATTCTAGCTTACGATATCAAATTGTAAGTTGTTAATTTTTATTTTATATGATTAATTATTCCCTGAAAGATTGCAATCAAATTTTAATGTTAACAATAAATTAAATTTTTTTTGTGGTTATTTTTTCTCTCTCTCATTTTTTGTAAAAATTTAATAACATCACAAAGTAATGCTTTGTGAACTTCTTTTATAAACTTTTGTACTGATTAATTCCATTTGTATAAAAACTGAAATTATGTTCTTCCATTCTGTTACGCCTAAAGATCGCTTTCAGTCATTTTTTTCTTCAATGATTTCATTTGATATTATTCTTATTTTTAAACCTTTTTCAATGGCTCCAGTCATTGTGAGTATGACCGTGCCAGGTTCATAACATTATTAGAGGAAGGATACAACCGACACGAAGTCTGAACGAAACTGAGTGTAAATCGCTCAACAATAGTAAGGGTTCTTCGGCGTTTCAGAGAAATAGCTTCACATTCCCATTGTCCAGGACAGGGACGAACTAGGTCATCAGGCTCTACCAAATCTATTAAGACAAGTCCGAAACGTCTCTATTTCCTCCCGGACTATAAGAAGAAGACTCAATGAAAATAACCTCAGACCTCTTCTTATCACGACTCAGAAAATGGCCAGGCTTCAATTCTCACGGGAACATGTGAATTGGGCATTGGAAAATTGGGGACTAGTTTTCTTTACAGGTGAGGTGAGAGTTGGTCTCAAGTCTTCAGATGGGTGTCCTTTCATATGGGACGCTCAGGAGAAAGGTACGCCCCATGATGTATGGTTCCTCGGGTGGCATTCCATGGTGGGTCATTGATGTTCTGGGGTGGCATTTCCTTGGACGCCTGCACGGTATTGGTTGTTGTGCGAGGAAGTTCTCCAATTTCACAGAGATACTTACAAGACATAATCGAAGAACGTAACTATTTGCCCCTCCCCATCGATGAAAGTTCTTGGATAATGCCAAGCCTCATAGAGCTATAGATCTGAATGAGGTTGGAATTGAGTGCTTGGTGTGGCCAGCTTGAAGTCGATATTTGAACCCGATCGAACACATTTTGGACCAACTCAAGAGAGAAAAGTTGAAAACGGCTGTTATTGATGAATGTGAAAGAAATCTGTTCCAAGGAATGCAAAGGCGTTTAGGTAAAGTGTTTCGTATCAGAGGTGGAAATACTCCGTATTAAAGGAGTCAAATAAATTTTCTTTTGCATTTTTATTTTCTGGGTTTTCACTATTACAATTCGTTTTTTACTCAAAATTGATTTTGCAGAATTAGATAATCAAAATTTTTATTTTAAATGTCTTATGAAAATATGAATAAACCTAAATACATTAAAACTTAAGGGTGGTGCGATAATTTTGTCCATCAGCGTATATGTTATATTTATATATATATTATATATGTATATATATATATATATATATATATATATATAATCACATCCTTTGGCCAATATGCCTTGTCCATAAGGCAACTAAAAATAAATAAATAAAAAATAGTAATAAATAACTTCATTAGATTTCGTGACCCGATTGTCTGAATAACATCTTTCTATTAATTACCTTACATAAAAATTAATTAATTTAATAAATAACTCAAAAACAAATAATAGGTTATTGTGAAATCAAGTAAATCGTATTAATTTTGTGTGATCTGGACGAAATCGAGCAGGAAAATGTAGTGACGAAAAACATTACAATTTCTATAAACCAATTGGTCAAGCCATCAGATCCAACTAAATTTTAAAGATTTTTGCCACTGGAGGTAATATTTTCTTCTAATTCATCCGCAAATCGTTGTCTATCGGTTTCGTATTTTATTTAAAATGAGGTTTTTTTCTTGAGATTCATTTGTTAAATCTGAAAAGAACTGTAGAGAACATTCAATTGGGGCGTCGGTGGCCGCAACGGTTTAGGCGTTGACACGGCGCTCATCACTGTAAGGTAAAGGTCCCAGGTTCGAATCCAGCGGCCCTGCATTCGAACCCGACATACTTACAAATAGGCTTTTTTCAAAAACACCGGCACCCCGAGGGTTGATATAACCTCTGCTGTTGCGAACCCTCGTAAAAAAAATAAAATAAAATAATCGGCCCATTATAATCTTTTATACCATAATGACCATTTACTCCACATACGATTATCATATCTCTGTTTTTTTAATCAGAGATTCAATCACATAGATTTTTACAATACGTTTTTTATTTGTACACTCCAATATCAGTTAGGGTAAATGTTACCATAGTCAATAACAAAACATAACTGTGCACACCAAAATTTAATTAAAACTGAGAGGTCGTAATCGATCTTGTTCATATCAGGAAGTAAAAACAGCAATTAATGTTATGAAGACAGTCATAATTAAAAAAATGTTTGTTTTATAAATACTACCAGTACGAGCACTTTTCAAGAAGAACAATATAATTATCTAAAGAGTTCAATCATTAAAAGCATTAAACTCACTGAAAGAAACGAAATGTTGAGTAAGGAAATTGAAATTTAATGTACAACAATAATTTTTAAAAATTGTCGAATTTTTAAAAATAGAGTAAACCTTAAATTCGTTGAATTGATCTTTTTGAATCGTTTGTTTTAAAAACTTTCTCGTTGGAAAACCAATGAGCCAGTAATCACGGTCACTGAGTGCGCTGTCTCAAACAGGAATAATCATGAATAATCAAGAAAAAAGACAAAAAAATTTCAAATTAAGTGATACTTAACTAGTGACCTCAATTTTTAATCCCCACTTAATAAAGCTAAACTTATACCCAAAATGACCGACTGAAAATAAACAAAAACATTTTTTTTTAATTTAAAAAAAACTTCAAATAACTGCTTGGTTATAGCCCGTTTCGCAGTTGATAAACAGCCGGATTATACAAAATCCTATTGTAAAGAAAATTAAATTAGATTTTTCAAGATTTGGAGATGAAATTCGAATCTAAAATTATTCATCTTTCAAAAAGTACCTACACCCCTCCAAATTCCCGAAAAAGTGTAAAACAACCTCCAGGAAGGTTCGCAACAGGAGAGGTCACATCAACCCTCGGGGTGCTGGTGTTTTTGAACAAGAGCCCATTTGTAAATATGTTGGGTTCGAATGAGGGGCCGCTGGATTTGAACCCAGGACATTTACCTTAAAGTGATAAGCCTAAACCGTTGCGGCCACCGAAACCCCTCAGACCAAATGCTATTGTTCATATAAAAATGATTTTAACGAGTTAACAGTTAAATCTGAAACATGTACACAATAATTCCACTTACCACAAGTCTCTTTAGACGTACCGCTTGGGCATAATTTTACTCGAAAAGTCCTTAACACACCTCAATTGTACAAAATACATTATAAATTTTGCAGTTTATCCAATAACCATGATTCCAGTGTTTTTAACGCCTACCACGGTTTTTTAAATTAATAATATTGCGATCAAGGAAATATTGATAAAAAATTAATAAGTGGAAATGTATGAAAGTCCTAAACCCTGGTGACTATCCAGTTATGTGGATGTATTTATTTCTGTGAGTGGTTAAGTGTGTACCGCACGTTTAGGGTGTGTATAATTTTAACGTAGTTATAGAGGTGGGGGTCTCGGCAATATATCGAGTACTCTGAGGCCCACCAATAAATTTGAGAGAAAAAGTTAAATACATAATTACTAATTAAATGGAGAAAAAATGATTAAAAAGTTTTTTAATGTTAGTTCTGGCTCTATTCTCAATTCCATGAAAAAATACAATTCCTGATTCAGTCACGGATTTGGAGTGAAAAGAGACAAGGAACAAAGAAATTAGCGCTTGAAGTTCTATCTTGAAACACTGGTGAACACGATTTAAAAAAAGTACTATTAGGTTCATCATCAAAAAAAGATGTTCAAAAAGAAAAAATATAACAAAAAGTATAGATGCATGAGACTAAGAACAATTTTTAACGCACCTGCTAAAAATGTACCCTCGGCGCTGTTTGAAGGCCAAATCAAATGCACAATTGAGTTACAGAACTTTTCCCGCACGAATTATTTCTCCACCCGTTGGAATGAAAGGGATTTATGTTTCAGCTTTTTTCAAGATACAAAACTTTAAAAACTGCTAAAAATTCGAAGTTACACCTAAAATTATGAAATTCGCGTCTATTACGGAAATACTGTTCTTAAGAGGTTGGACGACTTTTGGATTAAATTATCAACATCTAAACAAATATTTTAACTAGATACTGCTCAAAAAACGAGATTGGATACATCTATGGTACGGAAATTTGAAACATTTTAACTTAACAATAAATTCCCAAGTGCTTTAAAACCCATTTTTAATAAACAGCAAAAATGAAGATAAGATATAAACAAAAAACAATCTCACAAGAAAATAGTTATTTAACTTAAACCTTAATTTAATTTTTATTTAATATAATTTAACCTAAAACCAGAAAGTAGCTCTTTTTTGAGAATCACCCATATGGCCTATTTATAGTGCACTAAGAAAAATTTGTAAATAAATAGTTTGGTTGTCTGTGATCATCCTGGTTTGGCAAACGCCTATCATTGCTTTGGTCAGGCAACATTTCACCACCTTAATTGGTTGATTTATGTGAAACATCTCACCAAATGTATGTTGTCCCGCTCACGACAGTTGCGTAGTTACCAATTACTTGGACATGAACTATACAGGGAGATGACTCAAGGTCCTATTTCGTGGTCTCCGAGATCGCCAGATTTGAGCCCCTAAGTTTATTTTCTTGGGGGGCATTGAAGAACCGAGTGTATTCCATCTCCAGAATTGACCGTCCAAGAATTTGAAAAACGGATTGTCGTGGCTTGCAGAGAAATCCGCCCAGAAATAATAGAAAAGACCACAAATGAAGAATTCCTGAAACGAGTAGAGCTCTGCGCATTAAACGCAGGGAGCGTATTTGAGCATTTATTATAAACATAAATTTTAATAAATGGTCAAATCTGCATAAATAACAGCTGAGAGTCATTTTAAAAAAATTGGGCAAAATTTCTTTTTATAAAAAGAGTTCGATTTTTCAAAAATTAATATAACTAAGCGAAAAAGCAACTCCCTGATCCTTACTCTATTCTGAGACGATTCCTTTACTAAATTAACTTGCTAATGCTAATCGTTTACGAAATATACGGGGAGGGCCATCTTGTTACAAAAAGCACACCCCCTCACGCGACTTCCGTCGGGCATAACTCAGAAATGGTCGATCCTACCAAAATTTTCCTTTCAATAAAATTGTCCTAAAATAAGAATAGAATCGAATTGTACAATAAAAATATGGGATTCTCATTTAAAATAGCAATATTAGTGTCATTTCCCAACTACATGAGAAAGTTATGTTAAATCTGTTACCACCACGCTATTCCTGGCCAAAATTAACTTGGGGTTTGTATAAGGCCATTTTTTGCTATAGTTAATCATTTCCTAATTAAATGAGTGGATTATAGATGATACACCCTGTATATTTACGGACGGACATGCATGTATGTAAAAATATAAAATAAATTACTGTCTAAAATATATCCAATTGTGGCCCACTGTCATCCCTTAAACAAAGTGAAACAAATTATATGACAGGGAGGGGGATGAGAGATGAAAGATCTGTTGGTGGGGGAGTTCATTCAATCTCCCACAACTTTTGTCTGAAGTGTGTGGCTGAATATTATATTACTGGAGCTCTCCTCCTTTACAATTATGCTAACAAAGCTAATTAACTTTAAAGCTTTAATTAACAAAGCTGGGTATTGATGTGAAAGTTTTGCATTCATTCTTTCAGTTTTCAGTAGAGTTCAGCATTTGTAGAACATCCATCACTAACAAACTCATAAAGCCACTTTTCAACGCATGACATTCTTTTGATATAAGAAAATAGTTTTTTTTTACAAAGAAATTCGCAAGTTTTTACCATCTTAAAATATTGCTGTTAATTTAAAACTTATTTTTGTTATTTAACTTCTTCTCCATACAACTATGTATATAAGTATTTCAATTTTTAGTTTAAAATGTGTGATATATAAATACATCAATCACAATTTATTTGGCTTTATTTATATTACCATTTATTAAAACAGTGGTACCTTAAAATATTATGTATTATAATATTATTATTAAATTTTAATAATAATATTGTTCGTGAGAGGTGGTCAAGAATGAGGTAGTTTAGAAAAACACCATTTTCATTTTTTGCTGACATTTCAAATTTTTTTTATTCAGGTCATCTTCATGGCCCTAGTAAATTACAAAACATGTTGATGGGAAAAATTACAATACAGATGTAAATATAAATTTTGAACCAAGTATTTAAAAAAAAATATAAATTATATTAATCCATATTTGTCTAGTGGTCATAATTGACCATATTAATTATTCCCATTAATTATTCTTTTTATCTAAGGTTTTTGGCTGAGTTTAAAAATGAGTGTCACAAGCGGGATTCGAACCTATGACCTTCAGCTCAACATGCTGCTGCTCTAATTTATAATTAGCTTAAGTAGTTAGAGCAGCGGCATATTGAGCCGAAGGTCATGGGTTCAAATTCCGCTTGTGACACTAATTTTTCATCTCAACCAAAAGCCTTAGATAAAAAGAATAATTAAATATTATAACATTAATCTGTAATATTTTTTACTGGGAGTAAAACATTGAGAATAAAAATATATAATCAACTATTCAGACTTTCAATTGACCTAATTTGTTGTTAGGCTCCTCATAGGTTACTCATAACTCACATCTCCACATTGGATAGAATACTTTGTTGTTAACTAATTTTTGATATAGATTCATCGGTGGCCGCAACGGTTTATGTGGCGTTCATCACCATAAGGTAAAGGTCCCGGATTCAAATCCAGCAGCCCTGCTTTGAAACCCAACATACAATTGGGAGTTGGAAACCCCCCTTGGAAACACCCTTGGAAAAAAAAAATCTCTGATACAAATTTATTCCTAAGACCACATATTGGTGAATATTCTAAACAATTATATTATTATTATAAAACATGAATCATCAGCCATTCTACAATATCATAATTACCTATCATCTTAATCTGCCTATGTCAATGATTTCATTTATCAGATGCATTTTAGCATTTTGCATATTCAGTGTTGAGTCTAGGTGAATTCACATAGAATTAAGAGTTAAAAAAGGAATGTATAAATTAATTACTGAAATATTTATTTGTTTTTTATTTATCATAACACGTCACTACAATTTGTAATATGATGTCACTAAACTTATTGTCTAAAAGTCTTAAATGTATGCTTAACAATTAAATATTATTTACATTTTTACAGAAATAAATAAAAAATGTCGTTTGGCTACCGAGCCTTGACCACTTGCTTACTGAGAAGGGCTTTTTCTTTGTTCTTATATTCTTCTTCTATCTCGTATAATTTCTGCATTATCTCCTCCTCTTTCGACGTAATTGCAGCTTGAAACTTCTCCTTTAACTGGCAAACAAGATTCTCATACTTTCCAGGAAACTTTACCTTGCAATCCTCCCACTTCTTCTTATAAGCAAGTGCCGCCTTCCGGGCTGACTTCAACTTCATCTTTAGATCTTCTGCTTCTTTGGCATTCGCTTCACTCTTTTCTTTGATTTCATTTACCTGATACAATTATTTAAATCAATTTATAATAAATAATTGTTTATAACTTTAACACAAGATTTAATTAATTAATTCTACCTCCTTGGCCCAACGAGTCATCATTAAACTTGCATGTATTCTACTTTCTTGTATTAAATTCTGAAGGTAAATGATTTGCTTCTTTAATTCAAGGGTTTGTTTAACCTGAAAAACATACAAATAAGCATGAACAAATAAGAAAGTTAAAAATTAAGCTTACTTAAAATACATACCTCATCATCTTTGTTACTAAGTGTCTTTTTCAGTTCTTCAAATCTGTCTAATTCTTCTTTTCTGATAGCTGAAAGTTCGTCTTTGTGTGCATTTCTCATCTTATTCATCTCATCAGTAAAATAGCTGAGGGAGAGCTTTTTAACTCTTTCTTCCATTTCAACCAGATCTTTGGCATGTCGTGAAGAAAGGGTAGCCTCGAGTTCGAACAGCTCTTCTTCAAGTTTTTCTTGATAACAAAAAAGTTTAACAATAAAAAATAGAACTCTGTGTGATTTGAGGATAGAAATGCATATATTGGTAACTTTAAACTCTATAAATTTTAAGAAAAAATGTTTTTGCATTATAAAAGAATATTAACCATAATGACTCAACTATTCCATTTTAACACCGTTGCTAAGTCTTTTTATAATCAATTTAATATTTAAAGTGATTGTATAATATTTAAATTGAGCCTGTAGAATTAGATTTAATAGAAAGGATGACTTCTAAACCATTTTCATGGGTAATATTAAAAAAACTAAAGGAAAATTTATAGTGATCTATATGAACAAGAAATGAGGTTTTAGTTTGGAGGGAAGAGGACGTGGAAGAAAAAAATGAGATTAATTCATCAAGGGCAAGAATAGTCAATTTTGTTTTTAAGACCAAGTTTTCTAATGTTGTTCCAAAATGACTTGGGCGGTAAATTATGAACGAGCAGCTTATGAAAACTAACTTTCTGTGAATTGTAGTCTAGATTTCACGCTTTATACCTTAGAATTTTAAACCTAGACAGGTCCAACGGATCCCTGGTGAATTTCTATTTGTTGTAGGCTGAATCACAAGATTTAAAAGTAAGTTTAATTGTGTGAGAAAACCAAGGCATAGGAGGGTGAGAAATTTTAATCTTCATTAATGGAGCTACTAAGTTCAAGACAAAAAGGAAATTATTATTTACAATGGTTAACATTTCATTAACATTTGTGGCACTGAAAGTGGGATCCCAACTTAATTTGGAACAGTATTCAATGATAGATTGAAATGAAATAGAGTGTAATTTACGACATTCAATGTACCAAGGAGTAAAATTAAAGGATGGAATACAAACTGTTACAAAGAGCATCTTATGAGCAGAAATGGATGGGGGGTATCAAAGAATTGGAAATTGTTAATACATCTCATTTTTTCTCATCTCATTTTAAGTTTATTTCATTTTTCCAACATTTATCCATTTTTCCTTCTTATTTTATGTTAAATATATAGAAATATTTATTAATAATATTTATGAAAATGATATTGGAAACTCACTTTGAAAACTGGCTTTTAAGTTGAGTATCTCATTGTTTTTTTCTGATTCAAGCAATTTCAATCTGTCCACTTCCTTCTCTAGTCTATCTATTTCCTCAAGTGATTTTGTATTGATCAACTCTGACAACTCTTGGTCCATCTCTGTGGAAATGCTTTTCATTGAAGGTGTTGCCTTACTATTTTGAAGTTTTATGATAATCTCCTCCTAAAACACCAAACCTTCCTTACACATAGTTTGATCAATAAGGGAAGCCATATTATCTTGTTGCCCACGCTTATCTTTTAAACTTATTACAGTAATTGTGGTGATGTTTAATTTTTATTTATTGTACAATTTTTATTTTTTACTTTTATTGATTAACTTTAATTCCAAAACCTTTTTATTAAAATACTACTAAAAAGACTAATTATCTTCTCTCATGAGGGTAAAAATTTAAACTCATATATAAAATACATGAGTTGTCCATGATTGAAAATAACTTTTAAGTGTTTCAACATGTAATAATATTGTAAAATTTAATAGGACTTTTTTGAAGATATGAAACTTTCTCTTAACAATTACCTTCCAGATATTTTGATTGGAATAATACTGGAAAAATAAAATAAATGATTCTAACCAATTTTATAAATTAATTAATTTTTGAAATGGTTGAAAATGAAATATGTGGCCATGATACATTTCAGCAGTTTACCAAACATAATAACCCCTTCAGTTTGCACTGAATATATTTCAAACTTATTACTTGACCATCAGAAGCAACTAAAAAGTAAATCACCCACTAATTTAATTTTTTTGAAGTATTGGAATTGTTATAAATAATGCTGACACATAAAGAAGCACATCAAGGATATACAGACAAAGAAACATGTGTATAATGTATATCTGCATAGGCAGATATAGATAGAAAGAATAATGGTAAAGAGCAATGACATCACAATTAAACAAAAGTCCAAAACTAAAATGGAGCAAATAATAAATTAATATTTGTAATAGATGTTTGTTAAATTTACCTTCTCATTTAAAGCCTGGCTGAGTCTAAGGTTGTTTGCTTTTATTTCCATCACAGTAGCTTCAAAAGAGGACTGAAGTCTGCTTTCCATTTCTTTATACTTTTTCTTGAACAATTCTACATCATCTTCATTAAGATCTGCTGAAATAAATTGTGCGAGAGAGTCCGTTTTGTCATTATGATGTTTCAACTTTTCAATTTCTTGTTTGAAAAACTGAAACAAGTATTTACAATTCATAAAATCTGAAAGGTAAAAATCAACTCTTGAGCATTTAAATTGGGATTTATACATTAAACAATGATGAATCAACAGTGGAGTTGCCCTTTTTAAACTGTTCTTCCAGTTGCATCCCATCTAAAGATTAAAGAATTGATAAATACATAATTGTCAAAAATGAAATTATAAAACAACCTACGTTCGTTCAGCTTCAAAATGTAGTCTTCCAAATTTTTTATATCTATTTTCAGTTTGTCTACCTGTTTCTCAACCTCTTGCTTTTCATTTAAGAGTCGAGCTGATAATATTTTTTCCTCGTGTAAAAGTTCTGCAAGTTTTTCTTTTTGTCTCCTAATGTCAAGATATAACTGTTTAACTCCATTGCATTCTGTAAGTAATTCTTCCATTCTATCACTGTAACAACAATCACAATGAAGAAATGCATATACTTACAAAATAGAAGGGTTACTTAACTCACTTCCAAGCCTTTTGTTTGTCAAAAAGAGTTTTCTCCATTTCTGCTTTAATCTTAGCAACCTCTTGGTCATGAAATCTGAGATACTCATTTTCTTGTTGTTCCTTGAAAGAATCGGTTTCTAACAGCTTTTTGTGAAGCAAAGATACCTGTTCATCAAGATTTTTGGCCTTGTTTTCAAAGGTAAGTCTTTCTTTTTCTTTTATTGATAATTCTTCTTTCAATGCACAGATTTCTTCTAAGTGCTCCTTGTCAGATACAATTGATCCTGAGTTTATCAATTTATCCGTATCAATTCCCATGTCCCTCTAATGATTAAATTATTTTTAAATGAATTCCACATTTATATCTGTTTATTTTACCTTTAATTCTGTCTGCAACAGGTGTGCATTTTCTAGGTCCCTCTTTGAACTTAACTGAATCTCCATGGTCTGAACCTGTTGTTGTAATTTTTTAATTAACTGTCTCTTTGATTTCTGACCTGTTTTTTTACAATCAGTAGAAAAATAATATATATTGAAATATACAATTGTACAGCACCCTTTACAATGATACTTCTATTTAAACAAAACATATGTATGTACAGAAAGTGCATGTAGTAAAAAACTGTTAATTCAAATTAAGATTGTTAAAACACTTTTGAAGTTTAAATAAAATAAATTAATATTAATCACCCAAAAGAGCCCGGCGTAGTTCATCTTTCAATTTGGAAATGGTATCTTTCTGTGATATGTTAACAGATTTATTCTTCCCTTCGCTCTTTCTGCTTATTCCCATCATTATCACAGAATCAGTGTCCTTGTCATCAGAAGAAGTGTCCAAAAGATTAAACGACCTGACTGATTCGTATTGAGCAAGATCTTCTTGCAGTTGCTTGTAATCATTCTAAGCATAAGTTCAGGAATAGAGGGACAAAAGTAATTGTGAATCGGGCACATAGAAAATACACACAACATGAAATAAATACCTGTAAATTATTGTACTTCCGTATAAGTTCAATCTTTTCAGCATTAGCTTCATCAAGAAGAGTTTTTACAGTGGCTTCCTGTCTTACAGTCACATCACAATTTTTCAACAAATTATTTAAATGCTTTTGTTGAAGCACATCAAGTTTTTCTTCAAGTAATTTATAACTATCTTCCTAAAATTGTTCATTAAATTTTCAAATTTAGATTAAATGATTATGCATATTAATACCTTTTCTTTAATTTTTGCATAAACGTTTTCCAGCTCAGACTGAAGTGAATTCACTTCCATTTTGTGTTTTGTGTTCAACGAGTCAATAATTTCATCAATTTGTTTATCACGATTCCCTCTAGCATCACACCTTTCAGACATAGCTAAATTTTGTTCTAACTGCATTATCCGTAATTTTGCTATTTCCAGTTCACTTTTTGTCTTGAATGTGAATAATAATATTATCAATATATANTCTTATTATTATTATTATTTTTTTTTTTTTATGAAACAATATCCACCATATATGTAAGACATTAATTACCTCCTCTCGTGATTTCTCAACTTTTAAGATTTCACTCTGAAGTAATGTCAACTCAGCTTGCAGGTTCATGACTTCTTTTTCCTTCTCAGCTTTACGAAGGTAAACAACATTATTTAATTAACACCTTTATTTTATTTAAGAATAAAGATGCTACGTTTATAATATATTTTTAAAATTATCATAAATGTCTTCCACCATACCTAGTTTTGTTTTGTTTTGATTAAGAGTAACTAAAATAGCAGATTTCTCTCTTTCAGTTATTATTAATTTATTCAGAATTTGTTCCTTTCCCGCTTTCTCTGCAATAAGTTCTTTATTGAGCCTTTCGATTTCTCTCATTCTAATTTCATAAAGTACATTTAACTCATTCAAACTTCGATAATCTAAAAGGAGCAAAATAGTTTCATTACCACTTGCAGACGACAATGGGAACAAATTTACCACACCTGAATCGATATATTCTTCAACGTCTTTGTCATTTTTAATAGCCTGAGGACGGTCCCTTCCCGGCTTCATATATTCATCTCCTAAATAAATTAATAATTCAACCCTCTATATTGCCATACTTTTATAATAATACAAAAAGTATATTCACCATTGTCAAGAGGCAAATTTGGATTCTGGTAAAGATTTTCACTGAGGAAGTTAACCTGTCCTGGTGTTGGAATATTGCCATGTTCAATCTCGCTTTCGTCTGAATTAAAGGCATACAAATTTAAACAAATAAGAAATAACCATCTGAAACACAAAAATAGCTCACTTGAATAACTGCAGTCAGTGCTGTTAAACGATGAGCCCTCATCGCCAAGATCCTTGAAAGCATTTTCAAATAAATTTTGCAGCTGAAACATTAAAATGGAAATTAAATAAATTCAATTACATGAAATTATTAAGATAACTGAAAAATAATTATAGTTAAATTAATGTAAGTATATAAATAGAACGAACTTGCATAGAATACATACTCTTACTAGAACTGTAGACCATACTTATACAAACGTGAAATTATATATGAACCATAAATGTATATTTTTTATTTGTTGAAAGCAGTTCAGTTAAAAGATTTTTTTTAAAATAAATATTTCTTAATTTTTGTTTTATTCGTAGAGAAAGATTTTGTTACCCAAACACACCACATTAGATGGTAAAATCCAAAACAACAGCAAGTTTCAAATATGACCAAACAACAAATATAATTTTTTGAGCTGTAGTATTAACCTAAAATATTTTTTTCTTTCCAACAATAAATAAACAAATTTAGTATACTTGAAAGATTGAAAAAAAATTTTGTATAGGTTTTGTCCCATGAAAACTTATTTTAACTACTGCATACATTGCATCATCACTAATCATGATGATGTTTAAAATATCAGGGATATGGTCTAAATTGAATTTAATATTAGTAATGAAGAATTAGATATTGTAATATCAACCATTCGAATTATTCAAACAAATATAAATGAGCTGAACATTGGAGTACTTCAGACATTTATTTATTAAAAATACGGGCACCCCAAGAGTTCATATAACCTCATATGTGTGGTACTTAGTGACTGTTAGTCTATGATTATTCAGAAATCGTGAGATACAGTCTGGTGTGATATAGGTTTCAGAAAAACATTTTCTTTATCGTGCCAACGTTTCGATCTTTTTTGAGATCATCTTCAGGGCTCAAAGTGTTTGTTTTCTGCATAATTGTGCCATTCTTGCGTGTCGTGTAGAATGGCACACCACATCTCACGATTTCTGAATAATTTTAACCTCATAGTTGAAATACCCTCATTAAAATAAACTACTGTACTCAACAAACAGCCAAAACTTAAATTTCAACTCGTATGTTTTTTAGTTGGTCCTAGTTCAACAAAATAATGACTTATAATTTTTTTTATATAAAGTGTGGTTGAGATGAAAAATTAGTGTCAGGAGCATTTAAATAAAAATTATAAATCATTTTAAATTTCGACCATAACCAGTTGCATCGGTATGTGAAAAAGTGTTGACAAATGTCCTGGCTTGGGGCTCTAAATTCAACTTTTTTTTAAATAAGGGTATTTCAACTACAAGGTTATATAAATCCTAGGGTGCCAGTGTTTTTGAAAACAGCCCATTTGTAAATACGGATAGGGATAGGGATAAGAGAGACGGCCACAAGGCCTACTGCACCTCGACCTAAATAGATCTATTGTGCTCCTCTGTTAATTACAACTCACTGGCCAGCTTCAGGCTATTAACCAGCCTCCACAGCTTTGCCAGCGGTTCCTTGGTGTAGGATCTTCCTTGTGGTTTTTCTTGTCCTAGTTGCAAGAACCTGCACCATGTCGTATGTCTGTAAGTATGTCGGGTTTGCATGAAGGGCCACTGCATCCAATCCAGGATCCTTTACCTTACAGTGATGAGCACCGTATCAACGTCTAAACTGTCCTGGCCACAAATGCCCTAAACCCAACTTTATTTAACAATAATGAACAGATAACAGTTCCATACAAAAATTTTATCAAATCCTACTCAAACCGAGAATGGGCGTAAATTGAAATGGGCCACCCAGACAAGCGAATATAGTCTAATCTAAAAACAATACACAAGATGCTTAACAATAAGTCTAAAGACCTGACCAAACTCAAAAAAATAACACTTATAGGGAAACCAAATTATGCAACTATAATCCAAAACGCTTTGTAACAGAGAAAAATAAATAAGACATATTTTCCTTAAATAACTATTGTCATAAATTATTAAAAATTGAACTCATTACAATGGAAATTCCCAATGTACTCAAAGCAATACATTATGGAACAAACAAAACAATATCAAGATTTTAAAAAAATTGCAACTTAATCTTCAGATTTGATAATAAAAAGTTGCTGAAAATATGTAAAATAAAAAATGGACATCAGCTTTTTAAGTCAGATAGTGGAGGAATGGGTAAAATTGGACACAACTTTAATGAATAATTTCTTTGAGAAAAATAAACCTTTCTGGAGAAAAACAACAAACCAAAGCAGTGTATATTATAGATTTTTTTTAATTGGCTGTAATGAAATACATTATTTTATTATAAATTCTAGTATATTACATTTTTTTAAATATCTACAGTAGCAATCTCATTTTGAGGGTTTGTCACAATCAAACTACATTCATTTTTTTATCTGTCAAGAGATCAGCATATCACACCATATCACACTTATCTATAAATTATTGCAATCAAAATTTGTCACACAATTTTATGAAAGGCCACAAAATCCGTCATCTATAATTTCCACAAATGTGTATTGGAATAACATGAAAATATAATGAAGGCCAAGTACATACATATGATAATAAAAAGTCCCCCTCCACATAAAACATCAACAAAAATGTTATTGCTTATTTTTTTAAATATTTCTTCGGAATTTTACCCTATTTACGTTTGTTACAAAACCAAAAATGTCTAACTGCTAACAAACAGTCTCTACCATATTGCAACGATACAAAAAAAAGTTTGGATCAAAATAATAATTTTCTTATGTCTTTTTTTTTAATCCATTTTCTGTTTTGTTTTTAATTAGTATACATACATAGTGAAGACAAGGAAGACGGTACAAAATAAACAAACTGTCCCGCATGGCGAACAAACATTCCGGTAATGTGTTTATATAAAAATTAACGTAAATGTCGGCTAAGAACGGACCTCGACGTTTCTTTTGTGTTCTTCTTCGAGAAACTCCTCCTCCTCCTGTCTCTGGCCCGACCTGCTGATGTTCAGCTCACCGGCTTGGAAAATGCTCATCGTCTGTCCAGACTTTTCTCTACTGAAAACTGAAAAGCAATTTTTCCGCGAAAATCGGCCACCTTTCTAGGGAGGTTACGCTATTATCTGCTATAGGTCCAAATACCTCACGGGGCGGGTTGCGTATCAGCAGTCTAGGTTTAGCAAAGTGAGAACGACCAAATTATTTTTTCTTTTCCGGTTCGACGAACTTCGAACTGGTTTTTTCATGCGACTTTCCCGATTCCGAATTTTAAAATATCATTTTTTTTGTCTAAATTGGCATTTTAAGTTTTATCCGTGAGACACATCTGCGGTTGGCTGCAACTCAGCCCACATCGGAAAACGAGATGAGAAAAAAAATTATCCACGCGCTTTATTATTTCTGATGAAACAAATGAATCTTTTGGCATTTTTCCAGCGCCCGGCGTAACCCGCCATCTCTTTAATCGTAAAGAAAACATTAAAAGTCGACTCTTTTCTCTTTTCTGACAAGTCGTTCACGTGAAGCGTTAATAACATAAGAATTATTCCCAACTTTTGTTTAAAACGCAGAGGGAACGGAGAAGTGTTCATTTTAAATAGTTCAAGTTTTACTACTTTTGTCGGTTTTTGAAAGACAGCGATGAGTGAGGTTTTCCCGCCGTTATATCTGATTGGCCAGGAGACAGTAGGCAACCTTTCTCCGTGACGGCCTGGAATCCGATCGAATAATTCCAGTCTTTCACCTGAATGTTTTTAGATGAAACACTTTTCACTCCCAGACGCAAGGTCGGAAGGAAAATTCCACTGTAATAATTTCCCAACGGGATTTCTCGGTTGTTCTGTTTGACGTTTATCTTAATAGACGATATCGGGGTTTATAAAGGTTTTATCGACTCCGAGGGTATTTCCCAGTGGGACTGAAAGAATTTATTGTTAAAGTTCTGGTCGGGAGTGAATCTGTTGTGTTTTCCTCGCCGTGCTCGTCGCGGTATACGGATAATTTGCACCTGTGTCGACAAATCACGTCGGCCAAGAGACACTGCCACCGAAAAGGAGTCCGTCCAACGAATTTCAATTCAGCCATCACAAAATGGCTACTTCAGGTTCGTGTGTTTCATGCTTATGATGATGTTTAGTTTGTGAACAAAATCGTGGTGGATACGGCTTTTTGGAGGGTGGCGAGGTGCCGTGGAATCGTTTTCCCTTTTTCCGAGACGAGTGCGGGACGGGGTCGGGCCGGGCGACGTCGGTGGGCCGAGACACGGAGACCGTCCTGTCAGGGCGAGCGATCCGGCCGTCCTCTCGCCGCCGGACCTCGTGGCCGCGACGCTCCGGGCCCCGTCTCGGATCTCCGATCCTCGGCACCTTTTTTACCTCGATTCGTCTGAGATCTAGACTTCCAAATTATTATCGCGATTGTTTGTATTCTAGAGGCTGTGATTCGAGACCCACCCATTATTGGGATGCCAGATGGAATTTATTTATTTAAACGACTCTCGTCCCAAATTGCAAGGAAATGTTCAAGGCCCGTTAAGAATTCGTAAAAATTTTAAAATCAGAAAAAAATATAAAAAAACGCAGGAAACCCCTTTTTTTCTTGTAGAAACTAAAGCTCAAAACCCATTATGTGTTCCTCCCGTGCAAGTAATATAAAATAGAATTAGCATTTGTTTATAAGCTGTAGTAAGTTGGATGTTTTTGTAAACGCTCGACAGTTAATCTTGAAACGTTTCCGCAGGCAAAAAAAATAAAACAAAATGGACTCCGATTCCGGTTGAAGCTACGTCGAAAAAGATGGTGCTTGCGACTAGCTGGGCCGATGAAATGGAAAAGGAAATCGACAGTAAGTAAAACCCGTCGAATTATTTCTCCGAAACGTTCACACCCGTATTTACACAGATTTCGCGACAGATAATGTTGTGCTTCCGACTGCCCCGCGATCCTCGAGAGCCTCCAACTACGACGAGAGCAAGATACCGTCTGTGCCGCCCTTCCAAGTCTACCTTTCGAACATCCCATATGAATTGACGGAGGACGAACTTGCCAATTATTTCAGGGATTTGAAGGTAAGCCATTATTTGACGTTATTACACTGGGAAATCCTTGCCAACTAACAACTGCCCTACTCTCCTGTTGTTTGGTCAATCTCTATTGTTTTGGTCAATAGTTTGAATCGTTAAGTCAATAATATGCGTAAAGAATTCGACTCATATTCTACTATTTTAACCCCTTTTAAAATCATATCTAATGCCTTAAAACTTCTACGCATTTCATGATACGCTTTCTTACAGGAACTGTTATATTTTATTACTCCGTTTGACATGTGTTACACTTTAATAATGTCATATACCTCAGAAATGTTATTCAATTTATACCAATCCTTGATATTTTAAATAATGGGAATTTACGCTCATCAGTATTTACTCCTCTCATGACGTTTGACTCATTACAAAGTAAAACGCAACGTGCATTAAGGGTATTCACGATTTGTGATACATGTACTTATTAAGTCGAGTTGAACATGATCTGTAAGATTGTGCATGCCCTTTTTCTTATTTTAATGTTAACGTGTTAGTTCGTCACCATAGTGCCCTCCATGGCACCTAATAGAACCAAAAACTTTCCAAAGATATTGTTTCCACTGGACGGAACACTCACACGAGGATGTTAAAGGGTGAGCCAACTGGCTGTTGGTTTTTTAGTGTGCATCAAAGTGTTTCGCGATGTTTGTTTCGCTCCGTGTAAATGCATTTTGCAGTGCACTGATTTTTGTGGGATGCAAATGATAAAATTCATAAGAACAAGAGAGTGTGTGGAAGGAAATTAGCATCAAAATGGGATGAACTCAGTACTTGTTAATAAAAAATGAAAACTTATGGGGTCTTACAGGAATGAAAAATTAAGGATAAAGTTTCTAATAGTATCGTTGATGGGTTCTATTGTTGTATCCCTCAAAAGCCAGTTCTCATATTGCATTCGCCGATGAAATAATTCTTGATGTGGCGTTTTCTGCATTTGTTTTTATTTTTTTTAACAAGCATTGCCATAATCACCAGAATGATGCAGCAGTTGATGCAGTTATAAACAGCATGCTTGTCTCACGCATGCTGATGGCTCACCTTGTTTCGCTTCTAGGTTACAAAATGTTTTGCCTTGTGGAAAAGGTTAACCCGAGACGGCATTTCACGAAACAGTTGCATGAGTGAGTTTGGCACAGTGAAAACCCAGCTTAACAGTTCTTGAAGATTTGTTATTGTTGGTAAAGCTTTTGTTTTTAATTGTGAAGGAAGTGTATTTTTTTAAAAACTCCATAGGTCAATCCAAAGACCTGATTAACATGTTGCCAGCACTGGCATACCGCCAGGGATAGGCAGTATCTGTTTGCATGGTGGTAGTAACTGGCATGCAACTTGACATATACTTTTTGACTAATGCCAGCTATAACTGGTAGTATTTGTTTACATTGTGCAAGTAGTAGTCAAACCAGCTGACTGTTGTCCTCTTCTCTTGTGAGAGTTAACCTTTTATCACAACAATTAGCACATAGACAAGTGCTTCAAAAATCTATTTATTTGGTTTCTTTATTTGTGTGTGAAGAACTTAACAGGAATTGCTACAGGAGAAGAGAAGAAAAAGGAAAAGGATGTAGGTACGAGGTTGGATGCATAATTAAGGGATGGGCGCACCAGAAATCAATGTTACAATACTTTGTTACCTTACAGAACAAAAAACAGGCAATTTGTTGTTCAGTGAGGCAATCCTCAAACTTCAACAAGATTGGACCTGTTGCGTTAACACAGTGCAAGCAACAAGGTGCCAGTTGGAAAAAGTGGGGGGGGGAATCAAGCCTTTTTGTTTCACTTGCACTCAAGGAATAAATCAGGCCTAATCAACTCTGATTCAAAATTCAAACTAAATTGTTTGAAAAAATTGTACAGTGAAATAGGAAAAGTGCTCATTTAGAAGATAGACAAATTAAATCATATAAATGGCTGCCCTATTTAAGCAAAGACAAAAATATCTGAATGGACGAGATAAGAAGTAAATATGACTACTTTGTGAATCCAGTAATGAATATCCTTACTTCATAAGATAGGTGGATGGAAAATAAATATACATACTTAGTTGATGAAGATCCCATGCCTCACTGTGAATGAAGTATGATGATAAATCAGAAATTAAAAAAATAAATGCATTAGTCAAATTTAATTAAAGCGTATCTAAAAACTAAAATACATAACAACAAATAACCTGCTATTTGATTGGACTTAGAGCTAACACAGGTCCAACTCCTTAAGATTGAGCAATTCTAACAAACCTTCTCTATCTAACACAACTTAACCAGAGTTAACACAAAGATAATGAATAACCAACCCTATTGTGTCAAACTAATATCCCTTATATGAAGCTACACAAAGCCCTTTTTGTATACATTCTCTTTATCTACCACAAAAAAAAGTGCTGGTTGGTTTTGACAAAAAAATGATTATGTTTAATATTTATATCTGTCTGCGATAATAAGTGCATTGCTCTGTTAGTTCAGTGGTACCTTCAGATATGAGTGCTACAACATACCAGTTTTTTGTTACAACCCTTAGAATATAGTGAGGCCACATCATCCACTAATGGGAATTGCTCACGTGATAGTTTTTGTACCTATAGTTATTTTGCTTTTTTATTCCCCTGTGTAATATAATCTATTATTAATGTGGACAATAAGTATGTATGTAACAAAAGTGATATGAATGAAACAATTTAATTTACACCTTTGTATAAGCTTTGATGTGGCTCAGTCTGATATGAAATGAGTGGGAAAGTAAATAAAAATAGTCTACATGCAACTAGCATTGATTTACCGAGAAAAGAGCTCAACCTTGGCTCAATTTCGGTCCTTCCCTGGATGGCCCGCCCAAGGAGTCGAGTGACACTGCAAGATCACGTACCGGACCAAAGGCTCTTGGAACCAGCATCTTGAGGGGTTGTTCTTTTCTCTTTCTCACTCCCTGACCCTGCAACTATCCCTTGTTCACCAGGGAGCCAAAAGCTTGCTCTTTGTATCGTATCCATGGGTCCTCCTCCTAAGGCTTCCTCAGTGCTGGTACTATGATGCTGGGCCTCCACATAAAAAAATTCACAGTCATTCTGCTGAGGGCAACCGCATTGGTGTGCTTCCTTTTCCGGGCTTGTGCTCGAGCCATCAGTTGTGTCTCCTTTTCTTCATCTTCACGCATTTCTTCCTGTCTGCCCATCTTGTAGGGAAAGCTACTTCTAAATGTGCCCCTCCTGATCATGTGCAATTGACCTAGCATCTGAAGGCAATCCATGATGCAAGGACCAGCTGCGATTATTTTCCTTCACCAGCTCTTCTGGCAGGGTCCCCAGTCCTTGAACAGTGCAAACCTCTGGCAACTGCCTGGGCTACTCCATCAGTTCTAAAATGTCCTCTGATGAGTGGAACTGCTCAGTTGTCCGCCCAACTAGAACCTCCGAGAATGGTGGTACCGTTCTTACCATGGCATGGGCGGCATTCCCTTTACCACTCCTCCTTCCAGTATCTGGGGTGCTTATGGGTTTGGCCTCTTATGTTTCCACATGGGTTTTGTGGGATCTCTAGGTGCTTTCTTTAACTTCTCAATACACCTAATGGCCTAGATGAACTTGCATATCTTTCTGGCCCCATAAAAAACTTTCCTTGCATTCTTATATATACAATACACTACAAAAATTAAAACTTTCAATGTAACTTTTTTTTTTCATTTTTACTCTTAAACTATAATCTCAATATAGTAAACATGTCAATATATAATGTACTAATCGTTTGTCATTTCAGATACAATATTTTGATTTAACTGAATGTACATTAAATGAAAATAAATGGAAATGTTACTTTTAGAATAACTTGTAACTTAACGTAGAATTTTTTTTTAAATTAAATTTCTTTCTTATTTGTTTAGATAAAAAATGTCAACCTCCCTCGTGAAGAGAGAGGTGGTGGAAACAGAGCCAGAGGATTTGCCTACATGGTCCTTGAGGATAGAGCAAGTCTCATAGCGGCTTTAAACAAATCTGATACAGTATGTCATCAACATGTAATTTTTACTTACATATGCATTACTTACAAAATCATTGGTTTTAGGTTATTAAAGGTCGCAACATAAACATAGAGTTGGCGTCCAATGACAGTGGTCGAGGTGGCGGCATGAATCGCGGAGGCAGGGGTAACCGTGATGGCGGAAGGAGTGACATGGGAGGACCGGATAGGACAGCTACCAATTGGAGGACTGGGCCCAGATCCGATGAATTTCAAGACAGATCGAGTTCGTAACAACAAAAAAAATTTATATTCTTGTTTTCCAAGAACTTCTTAGTCTAATAAAATATTCATGCATTCCAGGTAACTATGACAGAGGATATGGTGGTGGTAGACGAGAATTTTCAACTGCTGGATATAGGACAAATTATGATCGGGAAGACCGAGGAGGGTATTATAGAGATGACAACAGGGGAGGATTTGATAGAGAAAGGTGAGGAATTTATTATTTCTAATAGTTGTTATGTGTCAACCCGTAATAAGATCTCTCCCCCCCCAAAAAAAAAATTACTCTTGAGAACTGTGAAAATGATTCTTGGTTTTTATTTTATTTTAACATTATAGTCTAATGTGTGGTGTTTAGTGATCGTTACTTAATGATTATTTGGTGGTCGTGAGATGCGGTCCAACCTCCAAATAGTTATAGGCTAATAGTGTACTGTTCGTTTAGTTTTACATTCAGAAAAATTAAAATTGTTTTAAAATATAAATACTTTAGGTTTGGTGGAAGGGATGGAGATAGACGTGAAGGAGGATTCAACTACGATAGAGACAGAGGGTACGGCCGTGAAGAAAGGGGCTTTGGGGGTGATAGAGACAGGGGCTTTAGTCGTGGTAGAGATGATAGGGATGATAGGTATGGTCGTGATGATAGGTAGGCAATATTTTTGTCTCCTATGATAGATTGTTTTTAAGGGCCTAATATTTACCTTTGTTTAAGGGGCAGTAGCCGTGGTCAGTGGAGGGATGAGTCTAAGAGTTTCAATAAGTTTGATGATAGACGTGACAGAGATAGAGACACAAGATATGGGCCAAAAAGGGATGATTTACCTCCTCCTAGCGAAAGAGGTATGTTAAGTATAACTTAATAATTGACACAACTTATGAGTTTATTTGTACTGAAATCAGGACCAGGGCCAGCACCTCCCAAACAGAGGCCAGTTCTAAAGCTTCTGCCTAAATCTACTACAACTCCTTCAGAAGAGAATGGACCTGCTTCATCCACAGCCTCTATATTTGGTGGTGCAAAACCTGTCGACACTGCAGCAAGAGAGCGAGAAATTGAAGACAGGCTTATGAGAGCCTCTGAGGATATAAATGGAAGCAGGTTTGTTTTTACTTTCAATGTTCGCTCGTTTCGATAAGCAAAGACAATTGGTTGATACATTTAAATAATTTTAAGATCTCGAGGCTTAGGAAGTGGGCTTTCTTCTCATAAAGATTCCCAATCAGAATCTGAAAATAAAAGAGTTGAGCCAGCTCCACCACCAAAAGAGAACCCCTGGTCAAGAAATAGACTACATTCATCAGAAACAGTAATTCCATGATAATATTCTCATGCCATCTATAACATAATGTATTGAACTTGTGAATTTCAGACTAACAATGGTAGGACTACACCTGATGATAGCTCCAGCGCTCCATCACAGGATGACAGGGGTGATTCCAATAAAAGTTGGGGCCGACATCGACAGGAATCTAAACGAAATGGTGACCATTCTAGCAATTTGATGTTTATTTTTTCTTGGAATATTTTAAACTTTTTTTTTTCTTTTCTCAGATGAATCAAAATGGGGAAAAGGCCCTCCAAAGTCATCTGCTAACAATTACAGCTCAGAAAAACTAAAAGGCGGGAAAGATGAAAAAACCCCTGGAAAGTTAAGGTGAGCTTTTGATTACAAATATAAGATGAGTATTTATTAGTTTGTTTACTATTTATTCATTTTAGAGAGTCAAAGAAGGAAAATGTAGATGATTTTAACAAAATGCCCAAAGTTCAAGAAACTACAGTCCCTGTAAGTAAAGTTTTGTTTTCTCCATACTTAATCTCCTCAAATGTGCTGTGACATACCCTCCCCCTCTCATTATTTTCCCCCAACCTTATTTAGGAATTGTATTTTCTAATCACTTAAACCAGTCATGTAAAATTTAGTTAATATTTTTATTTTGTTAAAAATTTACATCATTATTAATTAATTTCATTCTTTCTTTCAGAATTTTGCCGGGTCCAATAAGTTCAGCACTTTGGTCGACTCTGATGAAGCCCCAACAGAATAATTTCACTCCTCTTCTTTAGAGATTGTATAAATTCAGCCTACAGTTAACACTTCAACTATGTCTGCTGGTAGTAGACCCCTCTGAAGAACAACCATTGTAAAAAGAAAAATTGGGATAAGGAAAATGTATAGTTTCTTCAAGCATATGCCATTTTTAACGATCGTAAAAGTTTGTATTAATACAAAACTTCGCCCTCTCCTATCTTCACATTTTCTCCCCCTCTATGTTTACCTCAATATTACCCCCTCGCCAGCCCTCGTACCCCTGTAGCATTGTAAAATAGACGCTATCGTTCCAATGTGATAATAGAGTCATAAATTTATTTCTTTAATTTATGATTTTGTTATGTTATGCTTGTTTGTGTAATATAGCTATTACACATGGCTGGATTATATTAGCAACTTATGAGAATGTGGACTATATAAATATTGTAAAAATGAAAACTGAAAAACAAAAAAAAACACTCTGCCAATTTAATAAATATTGGACTGATTCTATTTATAAACTATAATAACACATTGTAATTAACTAGTTCCTAGAGAAATTTGGAATAAACAATTTGAATAGCCTTTGAATACGATAAGACTTAAAAATGGTCACTTTTAATTAAGACAACTTTGGCAATTGTGCTACATCAATGGGTCATGTTTACACTTTATCATTTCAGAATATATAATTGTGCTATCTACACCCCATGTAACCAAAAATTGTTTGAAAAAAAATTTAATACTATAATGCTGTCCCACTAAGAAAGTTTTGTGCCTCATTGATCTACTCTTCATCTAGTGGCTCAGCTTGTTCTAATTCCACAACCAATGGATTAATAAATTGTTGTATGCTTGGATTTTTCTTTCTTAAATTTTTTAGCTATATTAGTGAAAGTGTTTCTCCTTTTTTTAATTGATTTGTTTGTTTGGATATTGTACTGTTTTCCAATGCATATTGATAAGTAATTTGCATAGTTTGTGTTGATCATAATTTGCTCAATTTATTTTATTTCCTCACCTAGTTTTGTATAATACATAGAAACTTCATCATTGTAACTTATTTTATTGGTCATAGTCAAAAACTAAAATCTGAAATGCCAGAAGCATTTAAATTGCATAATCCTAAATCATTCCTTATTTTTTAAGAATAACATCAATCTTCAAATCAGTTTGAAAAGTTGCAATACCATTTAAATCTGAATGGATGGGTCAACAGTTGTATTGTGAATGTATATATGAAATAGTTGTGATGCTGTAAATTTTCTAGCATCAATAATAATAAATTCATGCTCTATAAACTTTTGTAAAAAAATTTCCTTTTGTCATATTTACTACATTATTTTAAAAAAATGTTTAATTTAACAAATATGGAAAATACTGTATTGCCAAAACAATTAGTACAGTTAGTAATACATAAACTAACTTAATTGAATTTAAAAAAAAATAGTGTTAAATCTGTCAGTGTGTCTACATATTAAACACTTATTACAAAAACTACAATTACATTTTTTCCTTTTATTATTTTTGGTTGGCAAAAGTTATCATTTTCTTTGCTCTATCAAACTTGTTTATGTTGTGATGGCATAACATGTTTGTGGCTGGGAAAAATAATAGATTTTTATACATGTATGTATATTAATAGTAATTTTTTTTTAAATATAGTTATATTGACCTAAAGATTTATTCAACAACAGTTTTACCTACTTTTCAAAGGTATGTAATTTTGTTATATTTATTTACAAACAGAAACGATACACCTATTTACTGTTTAGAGGCTAAAGTTGCAACATTTTTTGTTTATTAATTAATATAGGCTGATGAAATCTGTTTAATTTATTATTTACTGTTGTTGTAGTTGTTAAATTTCTCACCTCCTTGTTATTCCCATGTAGCTAAAATTAAAAATATTTATGTAACGTCATTTAATTGTTTCATCTTAGAGGAAGATTTATTAAGGTATCCCTGCATTTATAATTTTTTCTATGATAAATTTCTGAAATTTTAGCAATAAATGAAAAACCTTTTTAAGCAAAATATTGTGTACATGCACTTCTTAATTAAACCTTTTAACCGACCCCAAGGTTGGACGGATTAACTTTTACTGGCTTTGTATAGATCAGAGATTTAGTTTACTTTTCTAAGGAGACATGCTATGCAATTTTAACCTAGTATACAGAGGATTTTTGTTCTTGTGATTCATAAAGACTATTTTCTCAATGTTTTGGTTTACTTGTTTGAAGTTCTATTGTCCAAACTTTAACAATACAAAATGTCCTTGGAAGGAACTTTAACCTCTATTAAAACTTTTTTTTGTAAAAAGAATATTTGACTTAATTATCTTCTGTTTTCAGTGAGCGAACTGTACTATTGAACAGATTTCAAGGAGAGGTTTTAAAACCGCTATTGGACAGCAATTTAATTTATGAAAAATGTAGTTGCATACTGAAAAACTGAAAATAGAACCATTACATTTTATATGAACTGAATGTTTCAGAAATAATGTTTACTGCATATATATTTTATTTTAATTGTAAGGTATAGATTAATTTTTGTCTTGCTGTTAAATATAGTAGTAGTTTGTAACAAAGTAAATCAGTCCGATCAGATGTAAGTATCATGTTCAAGTGAGCTTAGCAATTTTACAGTAAAATGAGTGTTTCAGAGAAAAAAGAGTTGAAATATTATTGATTCCAGGACTAGACAAGATACAGTTATAATTGTTAAAACAGAAGGCAAATAAATTGACTTTACTTGGTTTTTTTCCAGTAAAATAAGCTAGAATATGTAATATCCTCTTGGATGGTTTGAATTTTGTTTATTGAATTGTAATTTAGAAAAAGGTTATTGACACCCGTCTATAGTCATGGTGTGCCTCAGGGCTCTCACTCATGGCCAGTATCGTTTCTTATATATTTTAAAGACATCTTTATCCTTAACAACTTTATTTGCACTCCTGATGACTATTTGCCTTAAAGATCCTCCAATCACTGGTACACAGCGCCACATTACATGTTTAATCACCCATATCACACTTGATTAAAAGGGTCCAAACGAGGGCTTCTGAATACATGTCCAGTCTCCAACTGCATCTGCTCGTACTGAACTCACTAGAAGACAGAATCTTGGTCCCAGGAAAACTTTGCACGTATGAATTGTTTTAAGCTTGTCAACAATGGACAGGTTATGGTATAGAATTATGTATCTACATCAGTACGACATATGTAAGCATCACAGACCCGTTCTCTTATTCCTTACCAAGGAAGCTTTCAAATGGAAAATTATACAAGCTTAAATGCTACAGTATAGTGGCAAAACTAGTAGTAGTAGAGTATAAGGTATAAAAAAAATTAACATTGTTCAAATTTAATTAAATCAAATATGATTATTACAAATAAATGATGTGCTTATACAAAATATACTTTAAACATTATTTTCATTATACATACATTAATGATGTAAGTAGTAATTCTAATTTAAATGTTATTAATCTAAAGCAGAAGACAAATTTTATTTCCCCAATTAAACATTATGGGAAAGTAAGTGCTACGAATAGAAAGAACAGCAGGAATTGTTTCTTGACTTTAAAGTGCCATACGTCTGCACTTGATCTGGCCTTTATAGTTGTGAAGGGATCTTGGGGAACAAGAAAAACAGATCATGGATCATGCTATTAGATATACAAAAGCAACAGAAGAAAATCTAAATGACTTTACATATCACGCCAGGTCATATGCGAGGTGTTCCAATTCAGTAATGGTATTATAAAAAGTAAACAGAATTCTCTCAGAAAATATTTATTCCAGGATGTGCAATGTTAGCACCTGATGTGGCATTCTAGCTTAAGGAAATAAGGGGTACTGCTGCCCAAGCATAAGCCTTGGAAACAAATATTCATGATTACAGGTACATGTTCCTGACTAGAGGAAGAATTATTTAAAACATCCATTTGAAGTAATTAAGGGTTTTAAATTGGACAAAGATTGACGAGGAACTCCAGAACCGCTTACAGACTACTATTAGGGCAGCCAACATAAGAATTTGTAAGGTTGAGTTGTGAAAAGTAATAATGCACCTGTGGTTCAGAAATGAGCTTTCACCAGGGTGGATGAGTTAAGATGAGAAAGGAAAGTCATAAAAAAGATTTTCAGAACCATAGTGGTCAGCTGCTTGTTAGGGTTTATAGAATGAAAGAGACCTAAACATGGACAACCATGGAATGGGGATGCCACAGGTGTTCTACGTTTATTATCATTGTGTGGTGTGGCATTTAGTTGCACTGGAGGGTTATCTACAAACTGATGAACGCTATATAGTGCAGTATCATCTCAGGCCCTTTTGGTGGTGTGAAAGGCAACATGTAGTCAACATTATACACTATTGTGAACAAAAAGTTATTTACAAGTCAAACGAATAACATGTACTAAGACCTATTTAACTTTTATTTTCTTCTAAACACTGTATAGTCTATATTGCTCTTTTGCATCATAAACTACTAATACTGACGAACTATCGATAGTAATAAATGAAATGCTTTCTGTAATATTATACTTTGATTCAAACTTACAATCTAGAGAGAAATCTTTCTGATGCCATTGTTTTGTAGTGACCTCATGTCCTACCATTTCATCCACAATGCTACAGCACTGTTCAAAAGGCAAGATGTTCAATTCAGGAATAAAGCCTTCAAATTCAAAAGAATCATTTTGGCATTTTTCATAAAGCCCTTTCAATTCATTTGTGAGGCATTTTTCGCATGTGTTCTGTTCAGAAATTTCCTTCTCAATCTCGAGCTGATAATGTTGAGGTACACTGACTCCTGTTGGTCTTTTAGGCGTAGGGTTTGCAATTCTCCTTTGTGAAAGTTCGTTTTCAATGAAGTCAACAAATCTTTTTACAACCTGGTAAAAATGAAGACTATTGCTAAATTTCAAATTTTCCAGTACTCTCCAGACAGGACGTAATTCTACATAAAAAGCTTCAATTATTTTTTCACATTTTGTCTTTTCAATTAAATTGAGTTCGTCAATTCTTTTGTCTCCAATTGTTAATGTTTTTAAATTATCAGATTCTTCAACCTTTGCTTTATTGCTTGTGTTGTTAACTTTTACAAAGTCTTTTATTTCTTTAGGAACTTTATTTATAAATTGGTTTTCTGTTATCTGGTATTTTCTTAATTTTTCTAGAAGAGCTATTATTTCAGCTTTGACGGACTTAGTCAGTAAACAAAATGATTCAGGAGATTTCAGTAATGATGAGAATAAAGCGTTCATTTGAATATCAGCTGTCGTCTGGAAGTTATTAATTAATGCAGAAAAATTATCTATTTTTCTGAAGTGCTTAATAAATTCTCGTTTGCCTTTAATTACTGGGTTAACTTTATTTTCGGGGGCAACATTTAGGTTCAGCTGGCCATTTTTCAATATATTTAATATGGGTTGATTCTGTTCTTCATTAATTATTGAATTCATAGTTTTTATAGAGAACAAACTGTGGGTGAATAGTAGCGTTGATGTAGTTAAATGTAAAATCTCCAAAGAGGAGGGTTTTCCTTTTTTCTTTTTTAACTCATAAAAAGAATTAACTACTCCAAAACCAGAAACTCCAATCGAGGATAGCTGCAAACTTGAAAACAGTATATTTACAGATCCTGAGATTGTTTTGCCCGCTCTGGCACAAGCAGCAATGAATCTACTACATCCAAATGTACCCAATGCCAAAACACTTCCTGACATGTGTAACCAGCTCTGTCTTGCTTCATTGTTTTTTAGTCCAATACTTTGATGGTGCATTTTCCTGTCGAGGAGCAATTGAGCACTTCTAAAAAACCCAAAAACCATTCCTGGAGCTCCGATTCCCATTGAAGTTGCCATCAGTACAACACCCGGAACAGTAGTGGGTGGAAAAGAGGACATAACAGCACCAGTAAGTAATGTTACACACGAGACTATGTTAGTTTGTGATGATATATTGTCCAACTTCATAAGTAATGAACCATAATTCTCCTGGTTTATAAAACTATAATCACGCTCACTCGAGTAGTAACCATTATTTGGGACACAAAGACAAGATCTGTACCATTGATTTGTTTTTAAATAGATCGTCCAGTTTTTATAAAACCTACCAAGATGATCAATGAATGCATTTTCTGAGATTTCTGTTTCTTCCACACTGTCAGTCGTCCTTACTCGTATCACTGGGACAGTTAATAACTGTCGATCATGGTAAACACATACAAAAATAACTGCTATTTGGATTTTGTCCTCATAAATTGAGTATCTGACAATTCTGTTGATAATATCTTCAGCTAGATCCCTTTGTTCTTTGGAAAAACCCAAATATTTATCATCAGCCAAAGGTCTGCCAAATAATGCTGGAGCTAGTTTTGAATACATGTATTCTTTTTCTGCTGACTTGAATTCATCCCAAATTCTATCTTCCAACAACTCGGAAAAAATATCTTGACAACATATTGCTTTTTTCTTCCATTCGTTGAAATCTATTGCATTGTCTGATGTAATCTGTTGGACGGCATCCATCTCTACACGAAACAAGAACCTAAAATAAAATAGAAACATATTACCAAAATCAACAATCTTATTTATATTTAAATCAATTAATAAAAGTATTCTTTTATAAACTTATTTATTAAAAAATAACTTACACGTCTTCAATAGTGATAGGTAACCAGCGAAACGGTTTTAAACATCAACAATTATAGGAATAGTGGGGGCACTTTGTGTACTTAATAATTTACCCTAGTTCTAGTAGTAGTTCCAGCTAGTACTTAGTAGGCACTAGGAACACGAGGAACTAGTAATTCAGATGCAAATATTCCATTTTGATTGGTGTTGAATTTATGGTTAGCAAAAATGGCAATAGGTTTTTAACGTACGGTTTATACAATTTTTCGTTGTCAGTCACATTGTCGCCAAACTATACATTTATCAATTATTCAATTGATACAATACAATTAATAAGATTTGGTCTATTTACTTCGCTTTTTGTACATAATTTTCAGGTTTAATGAATGAAGGTTTAATGTAAGAAAGAAAATTTATAGTTCTTCGTATTTTTACTTTTTCTTTGATCGTTCTGATAACCCCTTTAATAAGATCTTTTAACCCGCTCAAACTACGTCGTCATCAATATGGGAAAAAGAAGAAAATCTAAATTCATTGAAGTACGTCGCTTGTTCAGAATTATAAATTAGTATTAGAACAATGGATTAACAGTTAGTTCTTGGAACTAACTTTAATATGTACCAATGAAGCCAGTAGAATATAAAAATAAATAAAAAATATAAAATAAGTTAAAAAAGATCATCTTGAAAATATCTGTGAATAAAAAAATCACAATATTTTAACCAAAAAGTCCCTATTCGTTAGTTTAATAAAGTATTTCCTTATAACTAATCAAAGAAAAAAAAATCAGATACCTCCTATTATGTTGTTTATTTCAAACCATATGTATTTTTATCGTTATATTAATTACATCATACTTATTTTAATGTAAGCCAAATTTAACGATATTGTAAATTTGAGTTTTAATGAAAAACTATTTATTTTCTTCTGTTTAAAACATGTAATTTTTAAGCTTAGTCCGTCTTTTTTAAATTTGTTGGTTAATGTCAGAAAGCATTTCCATATTATTTTTTAAATAAAAAAGTAAATATATTACTTATTTTCATTTATTTATGGTTGTGAGAACTTACGCCCATTATCAGTTGTGCATTGGATTAAATTTCTAATTTATTATTGCCCATATTGTATTTTAAAGGATAAGACCATCTTGCATGTGCCAATAGGCTGTGTAGCCAAGAATATTAAAATATGAAATTAAGATAGTTTGAAAGAAAATTCACCAAACACCAGAAAATCATTTGATATATTAAAATGTAACTAACAATTTATTACCCAGTACTACTCTTAGTAATGTGTAGAGGGCCTAAACTCTAAAGTCTCCTACACATGAAATAAATAAACGATCGAATTTCATCTTGTGAAACAGAATCCTATTCTTCAACAAGAGCATATTTGAAGTTGTTCAATTATTGTTGGAAGCGGCAAATGTCTAATCTGCTCTTATGACATGTATCATAAGTGTTCCATGGATTTTATACCAAGAGAACATGCTAATGAATTGATTGTAGTAATCCCTACAACCTCCAAGTAATGGGTGACAACTTGAGCTATATGTGGTCGAACAATATCATTCATTAACCAGAAGTTGTCTCCAATAAATGGAGCAAATGGGACCACATCTTCCAGAACTCCTTCAATATACCTTAGCGCAGTCAAAGATCCATTCTATATGATGATCAGTTTGGTACGGGCAGGGACATTGATTCCACCCCATACACAAACTGACTGTCTTTGAAAAGGCTGTGAATCACACATGGCACATGAAGCCAAACGTTCTCTATGTCTTCTCCACACATTGTTCCAGTCATCTGATTACCAAACCCGCACATGACTGTGAAGAGAACAGCTCTATTGTTCTGGGGTCCAAGCAAGGTGCTGATTTGCGAATAGTCCCCTTTCTACTCAATTCCTCTCTAGTAGTACAGAACATCATATAGGAAGTCTAGAGATTATGCTATTTTCAAAAAGCCTTCTTTAGAGCTCACCCTTACATTATGGACCATTTAGAGTTGATTACCTATCAAGGAAGCTGTTCAATGACATTCCATAGTCTAGTAAGAGCAATAAAACAATTGTCTCTAGCTATTGTACTTCTAGGGCCTTGAACTGCTGTAGACCATCATGGATGGTAGAGCTCGGAACACCAGAACTTCAGCTATATAACAGATGCTACATCCATCGTTGGCCAAAGCATTCACCCGGGTGAGATCTTGTCAACTTAAAAACATGCTTTTAAGAAAAAAAAATTAACTTAAATTTAATTTAATTCAAATTAAATAAACCAATTAACACAAGTTGGTTCTGGAAAGCTCTGAAATTGAGCTGATTCTCTTTATTTTTAATCTAAAGAGCATAAAAGGATTAGAAACACTATAAAGGTAAACAATAAGTTAATGTTGTCAACTAGTTAGTTTTTGTTTTGTTTTTTCCAACTAATGTTTTAGTTGGTCCTATTAACCAAAATATTTATTTTGTTATTTTTTATGCCGTTTGGAGTTGAAACATTAGAGTCATGAGCGGGATTCGAATCCACAACATCCGTATCAGTACCTCAGTATTCCGCCATCTGAGCTTCACTGGTATCTGCCCTCGAGAAACGCACCGATCATCTCAACTTACAACTATTTTACGTTTTCCTTTTATCAACTATCAATCTTTAAACCTAGTTATTATGGAAAATAAAGAAAAAAAATACAAGGGTGTTTTTTTGAGTGTATAAGTTGGCGTTATTAAATTTTATTATATTTGATACATTACAATACCATCGACTTCAAATTGGAAAAAGGAATCTACATAAAATACCACAATTAGCATAAATGGTTGTGTTGCTGAGCTTTGACCAACCAATTCTATGACAACTATTATTAAAATATTTAAGATTATCCATATATAATGGTTAATTCATAATTATTAAGGCTATGTAAAATTATATGTAACAATATAGTAAAAGCAAAAAATCAAGTTTGATGGGGGGGAGATGCGCAATAAAAAGAAAAAAAAATGATCGCTGTTTTTTATTTGAATCATGTTAAGTGCTTTGTACACATAGACCAAATTGGATGTTTTACACCAAGAAAAAAAAACTGATTACATTATTTATCTGAGCTCCATATTCTAATATTTATAAAATCATTGCTATCCTAGAAAATATTATATTTATGTGACTTTAAAGAGTATTGGAGATAAATTATAGTCCTTGACTCGATACACACTTCTGTTTTTACAATATTTACACTATTTACTTATTCTATGGGTATAGAAAACAAGCATATACCAGATTGATGAGTGTAAAAATATTCACAATATATTAATTGTAAAAAAGTTTAGAGATGCAGATGAAAAGAAAAGTATGTAATAATATATTGTTTTGTAATGATAACAATTAATATATAAAATACAATCTGGTAACATTTTTTTACATAATAACTCTTTTAATTTAAATGTCGTTTAATTTAAAAAACAATCTAATTTTTCACTTGTTTTAATTTAGTGCAATTATTTTTGCAAATAAATATTTTGGAGAACTTTACATGAAAGCTATTGTTGCACTAGTTCATGATCAGGCATGTAAAGCCCAATGACAGACGCTGCAAACATTATTGTCAGTCCAACTAGAGTTCCAGTTGTAATTATATTAAAAAGATGTGAATATTGCAATCTACAGAACCAAGCAATTCCAAATATAAGGCTTAATAAAGCATAAAGAAGGCCCCCCAGATTCCATTCTGGAGAAGCTCTGTGAGCATGTGATTGGCTATTATTTGTATTTGCATTGGTTTGATTGTGCACAAGACAATGCACCACACAGTTGTCAAACAGGCCACAGCCTTGAAGAGTACGGTCATCACTTTGCAATACATGCCCATTGAAAATAAGACGAATCCGCTGTTGCCTTGATATTTCTGCATGGAAATTTCGCCTGAAAAAATAATATTAGGTTTAAAACTGTATTTCGTACAACCTTTTTGACTCATTGCAAAAGGCTATTTATCAATCTCAACAAAGAATCTACAGGCCTGCTACTAACATGTAGAAAATTCCAGGATTAACAACAAATCCAAATGCATCGTGTAAATGTTTAAAAATGGTTTATAATACTAAAAATATGTCAAACCAATGGGTTATTTGTTTTGGTATTAATCATAGTTGAGTAACAGTAGTAGTGAGTGGTACAGATCCAACATGTAAACCAGTGTTCAACAAGTGTTCACTGACCTGCAGACATCCATCAACTTTATACTAAAAGAGTATAGATTGTCAGGGTTGGATGTTAAATGTTTAAAGCATCCCACACTTTCTTATTTCAAGCAAAAATAATTTAAATGAAACATAATACATTAATTCAAATAATAATAATTTTTATATAAGGTCTTGGTTGAGATGAAAAAGTGTCACGAGCGGGATTCGAGCCCACAAACTTTGGCTTAATACGCAGCTGCTCTAACCACTTCAGCTATCGTGACTTCAATCTACTTAGACACCAACTCCCCAGCTCAACCTACAACCTTTCTTCAAGTGATTAGAATGAATTGAATGACACATTTAACACAGAGTAAACGTGAGCTCATGACACTAACTTTTTCATCTCAACCAAGACCTTACATAAAAGAATAATAATTGAAATAATTAATATGGTCAATTAGACCACTAAACATAAAATGGAATAATAAATTAACAAACCTTTTAAAATCGCCCAAAAGTTCTTGAAGTTTTCCTTCGACTAGTTTCTGTTCATCGTTGAGGTACTTGAGCCGTATCCGTATGTTTCCAGGAGGTTGAATATCCGGTGGGTTTTCAGATCTCGATTCATCCGACGGTCTATCGTCGAGAGGTCGGTCAGGGTCCTCATCTGGCCTCTGGCCGTCCTCGGCGTCTTGAGTGTCGCTACCACTTCTCGCCTCCTTCGGCTCGCTAAACAATTTGCTCTCTTTAGAGGACTCCTTGTTGACCTCGTCATCAGTGGTGGCCACTTGGGGGGCGGCTACTTCCGTCACTCTCTCAGGAGGCGGTTGGGCCCGTCGACCCAAAACCAAAACCGTTCTAATTCTCGGAATGTCGGATATATTTGTTGACCACCAAGCAAAAATGCCCAGGACGGCTGCCAACAATACGCCAAAAAACTGGACAACTTCATCGCCAATCCCTTCTATCAACGGCATATTTAGAGAATATTCTCTCCCCAAGTAAAGTTAAAAAATCAAGTCAAACACAAACAGCACATTAAATCCCGATTACTTATCTTTGTCTTTAATTTTCTATCAGCAGCCTTTCACTTTCGAATCTCAACCTTTACTGTTACAGAAAAAAATATTTAAAAAATCCAGGACAAAATAATACATTCCATGAATTCGAAGGTCATTCCTGTCTAATGTTAATATATCGTTAATATTTTGACTATAACCTCATTTAAAGATCGAAAGTCGATGGAGCTGAAATACACCTCGATTATCGTAAGAAAGTTATGACGAAACGTTTTCCCTCCTTTAAACAAACTGGCTGAAATCACCGTTGATAAAAATACATTATTGTAATAATTGACCGTAGGACGAAGGATCCAATTAGCAAATAATTTGATTCGCTTTGAACTCAAATATTACCATGTCAAAAATGTTAGCGAATGTAACACGCGTCAATTATAAAAACTATGTTTTTAATTGGTCCTAGTTAACCAAAGTGATTATTTAAATTAATTTATAATTTTTATGATTGAGATGAAAAATTAGGGTCAAGAGCGGGATTTGAACACACGGCCTTCGGCTCAACAGGCCTTTGCTGTAACGACTTGACCTATCGTGGACTTCGGTCCCCCGAGACACCAACTATTTGCGCATACTCCTCAAAAATGTTTGCCACGTAGAATTCTGAAAAAATGAGTAACTCCATTTTTACCTCCAACGAAACTCCACTACACACCAACTGAACCACCAACGAACGACCCACTTCAAGGTTGTGTAAGCAGGTCCCCGTCTTAGGGATAAGTTTTAGTTGTTAAAGTAAGAAAAAATTAGGGTAAACGATGATAGGGTACAAAGGTTGTAAATCTGAAGGGGCTATCACTCAGACGGGAACGTGACGTCCCCCTAAAATCTGGCAAACATAACTTTGAAATAATTACACCGTTGGACAGGTAGATAAGAACGTTGAAGAGTGTCGCAGACCCAGACTGGAACCACATCATGTTTCCCACGAACCTGGAGAACATAAAGTTGCAATAGTTGGACGACCGATCAAATAAATAACTATTGTCTAGTTATTTAATGCTGAAGGGTTTCAAATTTCAAAAGTGTTGAAACATTCATGCTGAACCGGCATCGGGCCACTAGTATTGGGTCCGTTTTCACTCGCTGGTTTGAACTTACTCAAACGAGAAAAACTCAGGACTTAACACCCTAGAAGAATTGGATACGACTTTCTTGATGAATGGGAAAGAATTCAGGATTTTACCAGAAATCTTATCCAAGGAATTTAAAGGCGGTTAACGGACGTGATTCGTGCCAGGGTTGGAAGTACTCGGTATTAAAGGGGACACAACGGTTTTTTTCACATACAACCAAACTTATTTTTGATATGCAAAATATGAATAAACTTAAATAAATTAAAATTTAAGGGTGGTGCGTTAATTTTGTCCATCAGTATATAAGTCATTGGGTCCGTCAGTTGTCGCTACGCGCCTTTGCAGTTGGAGTGTGGCCTTGGTGTTCATTGGTCGGTCGTGAAGTCGGTTATTATTTGTGAGTTGTTAGTTTCTGTTTCGATGTTGTTTTCTTTTGAACGTTTCCGTTTGTGTTATGTAATGTTTTAATAGCGTTTTAAATGTGTTTGTTATACATTTAAAAGTTTTTCGTCTTTAAGTGTTATTTGTCTGAATATCTCTGTTCTCCAGTACGTTGAGTGTTCGTCTTTTTTGTTCGTTGTTATTAAGGCCATGCTTGTTTCTATTGTGTTTGATTATTAGTGTTAGTTATTTATTTTGATAATTAAGTGTGTGGCATAATTTTTTTTCCCTTGTTGTATCTGAACAGTCTGACATGTTGTTTGAATGGATCTCTTAATTTCATTAGACATTCCCTATTTTGTAAGTTCTGCGAGACGACACCAGAAGTTAAAATGGATCTTTATTCAATAAAGTTTTAAAAATTCATTGTTTAATTTAATGTAAGGGTTGCAGTTGTTTAGAATGAATGAATAAATACTAATTGAATCTGAAAAGAAGAAAAACTATGCAAAAGGGTTAAATCATTGATATAGATCTATTTATTTTTTGTTTTAAAAACGTCGTATCAGACTTCTTTTCTTCTTAAATTATTTTAGAATTATAAATTGTTTTATATATGTACGTAATATTTCATAACGTGAAGGAGTCCACAAAAGAAAGTAGTTAAAGTAACGTGAAGCTTTCCGTCGGTCTCGATCAAAGAGGCATGACGATTCCTAGCTTCTGTACTCGATATTAGGTTTCGAGTAAAGTCGGGGATTACCGCACCGTTTACAAGATAGACGTTCCTTTTTTAATTGTATAAATTGAATAATTCGACAAATATGGACCTGGCCAGTGGGTCGAGGGTTTATCGTTTTCGTTAGAGGCACGGAGGACCCCGGATTTTTTATTATCGACTTCCGTCTGAAAGCACAGGAAACAGGAAGTAAGTCAAATCCCCCGAGAAAACTCCAAACATCCTGTTGTAAGATGGATTATTCCCGATTCAAACACCAGAATGAGCCGGCTTTCGGTTCACACCGGAATGGTGTCACCACATCTTTATCACGGACGATATTTTCAATTTATCGGCAAGATTTGCCCTACGGACTTCAAAATACTGGCATACTTATTATATAGGTTATTATTACCCTTTCTGATCTGTCCACAATTTTTTGCCCATTTACATCGGATTTTAAGAATTGTCAATTGTCACTAAGAAGAAGATTCGTCGTTTCGTAAACATAACAGAATAAAAACAACATTTTTTGAACAATAACACGTTGAATTTGACTTAGGGTAAAAAATCAGAGGATGAAAATTGAAACTTTTTATCAACGATCGTCAACCGGGCCCAGAAGCCTTGTAGGAAACGTTTTAACAAATGCCATCTCTAGAAAATATTTTTTACTTGAAATAGTTGTATAACAGTTGTGCTTTTTATAGCTTTGACGTTTATATGATAACTTATCTTATGTCCTTACCATAAATAATACTTGGTCTGAAATAATCGGATTTGAAAGAATTAAACATATATTCGCATCATCACATTTATCAACAAATGATTGTTTGAAATAATAGTCTCTTGAAAAAAGTAGTGAATAAATCCGATTATGAGGCTTTTATTATCATTCCAGTTATTATTCTGTAGTTATTAACAGCAGAAATATAAAACATCAATAACCTTGATTCCATGTATATTTTAATTGTTAGTAAGATTTCAATTAATTATTATTTTTATGTAAGGTCTTGGTTGAGATGAAAAAGTTAATGACACGAGCAGGATTCGAACCCAGACCTTTGGCTTAATACGCTGCTAATCTAACCACTTGAGCTATCGTGACTTCGATTTACTCGGACACCAACTCCCTGAACTGAAAAATGGCAAAAAGAGGTAAAATGAGAATGGTTGTAGGTTGAGTGGGGAGTAGGTAGTAGATTAGTAGATTGAAGTCACAATAGCTCAAGTGGTTAGAGCAGCATTAAGCCAAAGGTCGTGGGTTTGAATCCCACTTATGTCACTAACTTTTTCATCTCAACCAAGACCTTACAAAAAAAGAATAATTAATTAAAATAATTAATATGGTCAATTAGACCACTAAACATAAATGGATTAATATAATAAGTAAAGAAGTAATCACTTCACTAACAGTTTGCCATCGCCATTTTAATAAGTTGCTGAGAATCTAATCTCGATTACACAACATTTGAAAAATGGCAAAAAGAGGTAAAATGCAAAATGTTGAAGGTTGAGATGGGGAGTTCGTGTCCGAGTAGATTGAAGTCACGATAACTCAAGTGGTTATAGCAGCGGCATATTGAGCCAAAGGTTGTGGGCTCAAATCCCGATCATGAAACTTAACTTTTTCATCTGAACCAAGACCTTACTTAACAAGAATAATTAACAAGGTAAAGAATAATTGCATAATAAGAATAATAACTTTTTATGAAATGGTTTACTCTGTTAAATGTGAATTAATTTTAACTGACATAAATGCTAACAAGTGAATGTAGAATACCCCATTACCATGTAGATTAAATATACATTTTTTGAATATGTATATATATACAAGAAGAATATCGAGTACTTAGTCATCAGAATGATTGTCTTAACATACTATAAGAACCATTTGGGAATAAATGTGAGTGTAATTAGGTTCAAATTACATACCTTGAAGGCTGAAATGACATTATTGTCCATATTTAATACCTCCTAGAGTCTAACTTCAGTGGGCACAACAGACACGACCGATAGTCTGGTCTACCAATGACACTGGTGTCTTATCCATAATTCCCAGTAATGAACACATGATCATTGAAGCACATCAATATTATCCTTTGATTGCTTTTTATTATCTGAATTTCTTTAAGGTTAATAGAAGTATAGACAAGTATTACAAAAGTGTATGTTTTTAAGACATAAATCTTGCATATTTAAATTCTGTGTTAACATTAGTACATAATTTTAATAATCGTTACCAAATTAAAATTTATCTTCTCTTCATTAACATCGTCATTTATTTTTAATTTGTGTGGTTTTTTCAGAGCAAGGATATACAACATTGATCCTCCCTTTAGGAACCTGTTATTTTTTAAGCAATGAAATTTATAAATGAACCTTTGCCATTTTTCATGTAATGGTAATTTAATGTTTTAATATAGCATCAATTTGTCAATTTGTATGTCATATTGGTTATGTTTATTTTCAGCATATAGCCATGTCAGAAGAAACTACTATACAAGTAAATATAATTGGAAAGTCTGAGGATTTGATGGAATTTGATGACACTAATCCTCAGGTATGGACAATAAGCATGTACAAAAATCTACGTTTCAAATTTAATTTAATATCTTCAAAGTTTTGTTTGGTTATATTTACACATTTTCAAATTTGCAGGTCTTCAGTTTGAGCACCCCCAAAGTTGGCAGTAAGGACTGTTCATTGATGAAACTTGGTAAACAGCTTCTTATCAAGGCAAAAGAAGGAGAAGCTGAAGAAGTGCGAAATCTTATGTCGATTGGTGCCCCTTTTACTGCTGATTTAGTGAGTATTGTTATATCGACTCGCTTCAAACTTAAATAAAATAATTCACTCCTTATTTTTTATTTATTTAGGTTGGTACCAGCCCATTGCATTGGGCAGTTTATTACAATCACATTGAAGTAACTGAATTATTACTGAAAGCTGGGATTTCGAGGGATGCGAGAAATAAAGTGGATCGAACTCCATCTCATATTGCTGCCCATAAAGGTTTTACTATTATCCTTAGACTTCTTTTAGCATATGGTGCAGATGTAAACTGCAAAGATATGGTATTTAATATTATTCAGTTTTCAAACGTTTTGTCACAGTTCAGTCACATTCCTTTACAGCTTAGGATGACACCTTTACACTGGGCAGCTCAAGGTGGGAGTGTTGGCTGTGTTCAATTACTGCTTGATTATGGCTGTGATGTTAATTGTGTAAATAAATTTGATAAAACTCCACTTGACATTGCAAAAGACAATAACCATTTGGAAGTTGTGCAACTCATAGAAGTCAGTTAACCTTATTGCAATTATATATGTAATCCATAATATAAAAAATTTTTAACTTGACTTAATTGCAGTTGGTGAGTGCTGAAGACCCAACCACAAGAATGGCCAAAGTGACTCACTTTAAAGAAGGAAGCAAAATCATAGCACTTAAGAAGGCTAAATTAATAGACAACGTAAATGATTCAGTTGGTTAGTCCATTGAAATTACCTATTAAAATGTGATTTCTTGCTTAATGATGATGTCTAAATACTTAAAATAAACAAATCCCACTGTTAATTCTATAAACTAAAAATATTTGACAGTTTTATTGCGGATAATTAAATATTAATTGAAGAAAAAGTCATAAACAGGAAAAAAATTGTTCTCAAGTATAAAATGAGTACTTTGGTTGTTTTGTAGTAATTAGTGTTTTCCAGGTGTTAAAAATAAGACATCACCCTCAAAGAAAAATAGAGTAGGTATTATTGTGACTAAACCAAATCCCACCACTGGTGTGCAATCTACGTTAGAGCTAATTAGGGATTGTGAAACTTCAGATTTACCTGACTGCTCAAAAACTGTCAATAAGCCTATACCATGTAAGATATTAATTACATCTTCTTAACAGTTATATAGGTTTTTAAACAAACTGTATTTTTGACTTTTATGTTCTTGTTTTAAGTGCTCAATTTTCCGCTTACTACTGCAGCAGAAAATCCAGAACCGCCAGATAAGAAAGTGCCATTGATTATTAGAGGTAATTCAGGTACTTTATTTAAAAAATAACTTTCATATTGAAACAAAATAAAAAGTTTTTATATAGTAAAAATTTCATGTTATGTTAAAATTGTTAAAGAAATTAAAATTCAATTAATTTTGAAAAATTTTAATGATAAAGTTTAGAAACAATTATTAACAATTGTTAAAATATCAATTTGTAATATTACTAATTTATATTTGTACACTTACAGATGATGGTAAATTATTTTTAAACTCTTTCAAACTGGGGACAAATAATGATCCTAAATTTATACAAAGGAATGGAGCAAAATTTGTGACGACGCCAAAATTAGTTCCAGCGAACTATCCTATTAATCCATCATATAATGAAGTGAACAAAGGTCCAAAGAAAATAATTAAAATCAATGCGACTCAGCTCATAAATATGACTAAAGAAAAAAAATTATGCATCACTTCGAGAAATTCTTATGTACAGAACATACAACTATTTAATGTGAGTCAATGTTATTATTTCTTGATTATTATCATTTCTTCTTAATATTAGAATGCTGTTCCTCTAGTTTTACCTTAACTTGAATATTCTAATAACATTACTTTTCTAAAGGGCATTCTAACTCCAGGGATAAAAGCTTATGTAGAACATAAAATAAGGGCTAAACTACAAGCAGCTGTGAAAGAAGCAGAAGTCATTAGAAAAAATTTGGAAGTAAAAGAAAAAGAAATTGAAAGTTACAAGCATCAGTTGGAAAATCTGTCTCGGCTTGGTTCCTTATTAATGCATTGATAAAGCCTGAATAGGGTTATGGTGAAACTTCTCATTATTGAACACCCTTAGAGCAAATGCATGCATACATTTTTTAGGGTTGTCCAGTAAATAGATAATTTTAAAACAATTTAGTTTTGCAGTTTTTAATTGTTTATTAATGATTTACAGGGTTGATTAATTTATTTTGGTTTACATACCCTATAAACATATTTTAAAATTAATTATTTTAAAATATGTATATGTAATAAAGTTTTACAGAGCAGTGTTAAAAAGTTGATTTGATGATAGTACAAATTGATAGTACAGTCCAAAAAATATGGCATTGAGAACTCGTTGATTTATCGAGTTAAAAATATCTTACAGTACCACCCTTTTCTTTTTGGCTTATTGATTTAACTTTATTTATTTATTTAATTTTTTTATTACAGCCCTGGTCGAGTGATAGTGTTGAATTAACACTAGATTTTTCCTCCTATCTGTAACATACATTATGTATTGCTTGGTTTATGTAGGCTATAAAATTACATTGTAATAATACATAATAAATCCCAATTTCAATTGTTTACTGTCGTAAAGGTTTATTGGCATTTATAATAATTTAAGCTTAAATATATGGACAATAGTGCCATTTGAAATACACTGCAACTGCAAAACATTTTTCTGAAATTAGTGAAAATCAAATAATTTTTTTAAAAGTATTGATTGTGATTTAAATGTTTATGTGCTTAATTTTGCATTGTAGCGACTCTTGACTTTTTACTAATATCTGATATTTTATGACTGATATATCAGATATATAAATTGTCTGATATCTTTTTTGTTCTTTGTCCTCATTAACTAATTAGAGAGTATGTATAAACAATTGAAAACCTTTCAAACCTGTAAGAGAAACTGTTGATTATTTATCTAGTAAATTGGTGTTCGTTAAAGGAGGTTTCATTGTATTTCTATTCATAGAAATTTATCAGAATGAAGATGTCAGCTCATCTTAAAATTAAGTTCTTTAATTGTTTTAAAAAGTGTCTTGGACATGTGTTATGATGGTTGTATTTACACTGACTGAAGATGTGAAATATAATAAATTTATAATGTTATGCTTTGCATGCATAGCATTCCACCCGAATTTGCTATGTAGGTATAATGTGAGCCGATAAATATTTTCTTATTGACCTCTCAGCTTATTTTTCTTTTCTTTTGAAAAGTTTTTCTTCTAAATTGTTCATTGTTGCATTTTATTATCTTGGTTTATTTTAAGTGCAGCTAATATAGTAAACAAGTCTCCCCTGTATTATTGATCTAAATCAAGGACCAAAAGGAAACAAAAAGTCTAATTTTATGATCATTTATTGTATTAAAGTACAAAACTATATTACAACGACTTAATCATTTTTTTATGTCAGTCCTAAGGAAAAAAATATCTCTGAACATTAAAAAAAACAAATGTATATCAAAGCTTAGAGATTACAGTATGCTACCATATTTGCTCTTTAACACAACCAAAAGAGATTATGTTTCATGGGTGCTGAAAATTTTGTTTTGGCGGTCCTCTCTGAACTATTTTGGTCCACCTGTCCCTGCTGGGTTTGTTCTTCTGATGCCATTTTCAGTGGTTAGGTTGTCAAAACAACTAAACCAGGAATGGAGGTGGTTCAGGATAATGGGCACAACCAAACTACAGATTTATACAGACGTTCAGAAATTCATTTGATTAGAATTTTATGTATTTGAAATTATTATTACAGTAAATGTTTGTGAAATAAAGTTATATTTTTTAAAGGTTTGATAAAGTTCAATGAAATGTGTAATTTTTAAAAATTACATTTTTTCCTTCAATCAACATAATTTATAATTACTGAAAACTGAGATATGAAATTTAAATATGTAGGCAATTTTTAATGAGCATATTCTGCATTTATTACAGGGAAGGTTTGTTCTTTTGTCATTACCATTCCGTGCCATATTTCACATTTGAATTGAATAATATTCTTTAATAATTGTGATATTAATAACCATCAGTTTTGTTATGTTTTTAATGACATGTTAAATATAAGTTAAGATGCTTTATGTTTTTCTACCTCAAAATTCCGCTTTAGTTTTTATAAGACAATTGTGATTTATTTTTGTGACTATGTGCAACAGAGGTAGTATAATTTCTTAGTGTAAGAAAAAAAGTTTTATTGTAAATAAATGTATAAATTGTTATAAATATATATGTATTATCATACATTGAGTGTGCTAGCACCTTAAAGTTTTGACTTATATTTTTTCAATTTCATACCAAAATAAATTAAACCAGGTGCTAAAGTGCGTACATATTGTGGAACTGTCTGATTTATGTATTGTTGCTTCCAGACTAATAAAAATTGACGAGGCATTAGTTTTCTTCTTGTTCCCTCCCAGGAGAGTAATTACCAGTTATTCTTTTAGAAGGAATTGACGGAAAATTATAAAACCTGGCAGAAAAGAATTGACAGATCCTTCCGGATCGAGGCCTCAAGGTGGATCTAGGCGACAGGCGGATCCTCGGCCCGACTGGCGCGTCACCCGTATCGAGTGCCGGTATCGATTCGGCGACAACAGTCGGGCAACCTCCGCTCTTCTCCCACCTCTACAATCCTCGATTCCAGAATCAGTCCGTCTCTAGCCCGAGCCGATGTCGGTTTTGTCGAGTGAGCGCGACGAACGGCAGCTTTTTTGAGTTTGTTGTCATTGTCCGTCGCCGTCGAGCCGAGTGAACGCCATGGCCGAGCGCAAGGGATCTCTCATTGCGAAATCCGTCTCTAAACACGCCGGGAGAGCCAAAGAAAAGGTGAGCAGTCACATTCTCCACCCCGCCGACTCGCCCACATACCGACACTTTTCATTTTTCCTTCTCACAACGTAGTTCTGCTACAACCACTCTCGACGTCTTTTATTTATTTTTCACCTGAGTCGATTAGTGGTCACCGTCTGTTGGCTCTAAAATCTGATACTCAATATAGTTACGTTTCAAGTTCTTAAACTATATATGTAATATGTGTCCCCAGCATTTAAGAATTTATTAATAAGAAACGATTATGACAGAATTCTTTTCATCTTTGTAGGGTTCGGTTGCCAATTATTTGGTTGCTGGTTGTGGAAAAAAAACGCTTTCTATTAAATCGTTAAGTGACGGATTCGAATGGATGTTCGAATAATTGATTCTCTCTATTAAAGATAAATAGTAATAAAAATTGAAGGGTAGTAGGCAGAAGGATGTATGTAGGTGTGCTCAATCGTGGAAACTTGATTGGAGAATGGTGTGAAAAGGCTAAGATGTTTAAATTTATGCTTCATTTTTGACTTGAGATTACAGACGTTTCCAGGCCTAGAAATAGGATCGATTAAATACTTATTTTAATAAAAATCTTGTACGGGAATTGGCACAGGCTAACGAGGTCTATTTATGACTTTGTCGGACATTCGCTTTGTAGGCCTCCGTCTTTATAAATAGTCGGCTGGCGGTTTCCACCTCCGGCTGTCTTTCGCTGCGACTCGTGCGCTCGAACATTTCCATCATTACCTGAGTGTGAGAAAGAAAAAGGAAAATCGCAAAGGAAAAACGACCAGGTGAAAATGTCGAGTTCAACGCACACTTTGGCACAGTCTCAATGACACTAAAAAATGGATTACGACCAGCTGTAATCTAATACCACGTTCCAAAATAGATCGTGTTAAATATACTGAGGGCTTGAGGAACTCCGCAAAGATCGCCGGGCCAAAGTGACGTAAAAAAAATTAAGGCCGGCCGTAGAGACGTGACCGCATATTCACGAACGGTCCCTTGTTGTAAAGAAAAATGTGAATTCTGCATAGTGCATTTTTCCATTAAACATGGCCCAAAGGCATTTCCCAAAACTGGTCCGTGAGCTAACTTTGAATTGGGGACGACTAGTCTAAACAAAATACGTCCGTTTAAAAACAACTCGAACCATAGACGAATACCATACTCGCGGGACAAAAATAGTCCGTTGTCCCCTGTTCCGTTAAGATGAAGAAAATAAACCGTTGATTAAAATTTTAATTGACCAAAAGTTGTTAAGAACTAATAAAAATTGCCGAATAAGGGCCCAGATTTATGACGACATGAATATCCTGCTGATATAACATTATTCTTATTAATGGTCTTGTCAGCACAAATACCGTGTTAGTAGGACGTTTATGAATAAGGCATCTGACGAGACCCGAGAAGACTAGCGTTTTAAAATGCTCTCAGCTGAATGTCAGCTTAGTCGAGCCGTGTCGAACAATGTGGGTGAGCAGAGAAAAATGTTTTCACAGTTACGTAACGTGACTTCCTTAAGATCTTTCTACATCTCTGCAGAAGTCTCAGTGCAAAATGTACGTTCTATTCGGGTATCAAATTGTTCATGCAGAAATCGTATCCTGCATCGTAAGTCTCGTACTTTCTTTCCCAGTTTGGCAGGATCGCCCGGAAAACTCAATACTCGATGCCACTTCCTCTCTCGTCCGATATGGTTTCTTCTTTTTTTATAAATGGCCAGTTGGAAAACAAGAAAACGTTTGTAACAGGTGGTCGAGGAGTCTGTAAATCTGAACACACGTTTTCTAACGGGACACGAACATCACGAATTTTTAAGGCGAGGTCTTGCAATAGATGCACTGAGCTCTGTGAATTAAATTAAATAATAATGACGATTCTTCGATATTCGGCAGCAAATTTTTTTTTTTTTTTGTGTGGAATGAATTTGTAAAAGGACGAGGCTCCAACCAGCTCGTGAGCTTTCAAATTTAAAGCGATGTTTCACAACTGATTATGCACGACAGCGAAGATGAAAATCCGGTCTATCTCTGTTGTAGAAACGCGATTTCAAGGTCCGTTCGAAAGTTTCGATCCAACCTTCTCTCATTTTTGTAATAGTTTACTCCATAAGTCCTTTTTAGGAATTGGGTTCGCCCACATAACACCCATTCATACAACAAACAAGGAGATGGCGCATTTAAGCCCCAGTCCCCCCTCTCGAATAAAGCACCCACGAGGAAAAAATCAAGTCGCCTTCTTTAAAGCCACACCTGTTTTCTTAATCGTGACACTCTCGTGAATCGAACTTATTTTTAAAACAGCCAAATTATTAATATAAAATTTAATGTAATTCCGTTAAAATTTTTATATAATTAATTGATATCAAAATTTGACAAGGTCGTTGACTTTTTACAGTTTTATAAGTATGTTTATAGCGCATAGGGAACAATTTTCTGTTTTGAATGAAATCAATTCCATCCATATTTGAGGGCTCGCGAATAAACGAAAAACTAGCTCTTAGTTTTTTTTTTTTTTTTTAATTTCTTGGCCTAAATACATAATATGTATTATAAAATAAATGTATCACAGGTGATGGCTTAACTTCCAACAACCCCGTTGATAGTCGCAGATGAGGGGTCAAACCACTTTACAATACATTTTTCATACTGTTTTCAAAAAATCCGTGGGCTACGTCAGGATTCGATCCCAAGACCGATAGCCTGGCTTAACCACTCGGCCACCGCGCTATAATAAATGCATTTTACATTTATAATTTATACAGAATCACAATGGTGCTAAATCATAATATTCGAATGGAATTAATAATAGATTTTCTCGCTATTTTTTAATGGCTAAGTTGAAGTATCTACTGAGTATCTAAGAAGTATCTACTGAGTATCTAAGAAGTATCTACTGAAAAAATGTTGGTTGAAAAAATAATCAAAATATGTAAATAGTCATGGTTTATTTATGATTGGTGTTATGGTTGAAATTTACATTTTTTACTGTTGTTTATAAGTGAAAATAGTAATTTACTATTGTGTCATGATTCACTTTACCCACTGAGGGTATTCCGTCACTCCATGGGAACAGTGTTTAATAATTTAAGATTGAAGAACATACAACTTCACATTTATCATTTCTATGAGGTCAGTGTTTTTTTAAATTTATTATTTGAATAGAAGTTTTGAAGAGATTATTTTCTAATACCAATTAGGGTAGTGAACGTTACCTTGTAAATTATGTTTTATTGGTGATTTTGTGTACTCTGTTGTGTTTCTATGTTTTTCTTTGGTGAAACGACTACAGGGGCAGTTGCTTTATGATAGTGCAGGATTGATAGTTGAGATGAAGAATCGCTGTTGGATTATGATGAAAGACTCCAGGAAAACTCATGTAGATAAGATAGAGGTTACGATCGGCTTGCTTGCAAGAATATCGTAAATCATGTATTAATATTATGCTATCCAATATTCCTTTCCTGAATGTAAAAGTATTCGATCAAAAATGATAAAATATCCATAAGTATTACGCACACTTTCAAAGTCTAGATATGTTTTATAATGGTATCTCATTAACTAAACTTATTATTATTACTAAATGGCCTTCAACCGTATGGGTCATTTAGGTAGCTAAACTTAGTTTGCTGAGTGAATTAAGGAAGACACTACCCGTCCGGTTTAAAATGTCTGTGGAACGCGATGAAAAAATGGGAATTGTTTATTTGATTTAAGTAAATAAATGAAATGGGTTCCACTCGAATACACCGATTTATATGTTTATCTATAATAATATCTTGAAAAAATTCAAGCAATTGTTGATAAAGCCGGGAACATAGAGTACGGATTCAGTTTCCGATTAAAATGGATACGTGATTAGAATAATGAAATTAATACATAAAAAGTATTATAATAGTACATAATGCCACTTAAAATATTACTTCTGTACGCTGTCTTATCTCGATGTGGAGTAAATTGTTAATTAATTCGGGGCAAAAGATCTAAAATGTAAAAAAAAATCTAAAAGAACTGGAAAGAATGTTCTTTGCGCTTTACGCCTGGCCCAGGAAACGTCCTGTTAAACCTCCTTAAACTGAACAAGAGACACTGTTGTATTATGAGCTCTTAGCGTTACAATGAGCCCATTCAACTGTTGACAGAGGCGCGAATCTAATCCAATAAAAATGTCTTTAAACTCACGTATTCAAATAAGGGTGCGATGATATAAAAAAATCTAGCACGGCTTAATTAAATTTGCACAGTTTGTTGTAACCAGGCCTGTAATTTCGTACGAACTGAACGATTGGTTGCAGGAGACGCGTTATCATTTAATCAAAAGCGCTAGGAAGTAAGATCACATTGGAAAAATAGAGAATAAGGGAGTTTCAGTTACTCCTTGCCACGAGTGCTCTAGGTGTGTCGTGCCATTGACCGGTGTCATCGTATCATCTTAAAACAAAATAAAATAATAATTTGGCATCACACATACATCTTTTAAATGAAATAGTAATAAATTATCAAATTTAAAAGAAAAACTTTAATTATTAATTGAAATAAAATAAAGTATAAATAGTTATTTATTTTTTTAAGGTGTTTTATTTTAAAATTGAATGTGTAAGGTTAATTTGTTTTATTAAAATTTGTTGGTTTATGTTCGAAAACATTTCCATGTGGGTTTTTTAAATAAAAAGTAAATACATTAACCATTTACATTTATTTGGACGTTTCGGGATTTACACCCATCATCAACATCTTATATTGCATTAAATTTATAATTTATTATTATCCATACTCAAAATCTTCAAGAAGAATTATGGAGTAATCTTCCTGGCCATGAGGTTTGTCGATGCAAGATGGTTATATCTTTAAAATGTAATATGGATAATAACAAATTATAAATTTAATACAATATAAGGTATTGATAATGGGTGTAAATTCGCGAAACGTTCAAATAAATGTAAATAAGTAATGTATTTACTTTTTTATTAAAAAAAAAAAAAAAACGGAAATATTTTTCACATAAACCAA